ACCCTAACCCTAACCCTAACCCTAACCCTAACCCTAACCCTAACCCTAACCCTAACCCTAACCCTAACCCTAACCCTAACCCTAACCCTAACCCTCTTGCCACACCTCAACGTCAGGCTGCGCCTCAGGCAGGCCCGCAGCGCCAGCAAGGAAGTGCAGCACTGGCTAGCTAGCCGTCAACTCTTTCTTGGGCGTGCCTGCAGAGCAGCCTTGCATGGCCTCAGCAGCAGCAAGGAAGCCAGGCTCTGACGCTGCGGCGCGGCTTGATCCCTTGCTGCAGCCAGTGTTCAACGCAGCGCCAGGCGTTGTTGCACAGATGCGGCCAGGTGTCCCTGCAGCGCCAGGCTTTGCTTCTGCGCAAGCACAAGCACAGCGCATCTACAGCCTTGTGGCCAAGTGGCTGCAGCATCAGGAGATTGAGGTGCGCCCTTGCCGTGCTAGCGCAGGAGCTTGGCTGCGCCGCACTGGCAGGCCCGGCGGTGGTCGCCATTGAGCAGGCAGGGCGCTGGCTGTGCAGAGAAGTGCTGGGCAGCAACCTGGAGCCCGGCAAGTTTGCAGAGCGCATGAGGGAGGAGCTGGCGCGCTACACAGCTCAAGCCCGCAAGCAGAAATAATGACAAGCGATGATCCTGCTGCTGGGTGTGGAGGCGGTGGTTGGGAAGGAAAGCTACCTGTACGCGTCGTGCGCGGCACGGCGCGACACGCTCCACTCTGCTCTCCTCCTTCTGCCCACCATCGCCCATGAGCTTGCCCACTGCCTCGCCGGCCGCGCCGGCCGCGTCGCTGGACCATCTCGCCGCAGACACGCTCTTCTACCTCGGGCCGCTAGGCACGTACTCGCACGCCGTGGCACAGTCGCTCAATGCGCGGCGCTCGCGGCCGTTTGCCCTCGAGCCGTGCGTGAGCATCACGGCGTGTGCGGCGCGGGCCGCCCAGGCAGGCCAGCTCGCGCTGCTGCCCTACGAGAACAGCAGCTTCGGCCCGGTGGGCGAGACGAATGCGGTGCTCGTGCGGCAGGAGCGCCTGTACGTCGTCGCCGAGGCGATCCGCGCCGTGCGGCACAGCCTGCTCTGCTCGCCGGCGACGCTCGAGCGCCTCACGGCGGGCCGCGGCGGGACAGCGACGGACGCAGAGATGGCCGCTGGGCTCAGCGAGATCTTCAGCCACGAGCAGGTGAGCACCGGCAGTCGTTGCCCGCCTGCGCTCCGCTCACCACCAGACAGCCAATCGGGCAGTGCCGCGGCTTCCTCGGCAGGCTGAGCGCACGCCGCACACCCGTCGAGTCCACCGGCATGGCTGCAGAAAAGGCGGCGGCGGGTGCGCCCGGCTGCGCTGCCATCGCGAGCGCGCACTGCGCAGAGAAGATGGGCCTCGTGGTGCTGCGCGAGGGGATCCAGGACCGCGACGGTGAGTCTCGTCTGATGCGCCTCGTGCGGCATGCTCTGACGATGCGCAGACAACGAGACACGCTTCCTCCTCTGCACGTCCGAGGCACCGCCGCTGCCGACAGCGCAGCGCAGCCGCGCCCTGCTCGCCGTGCAGTGCCGGCATCCGGCGCCGGGCGAGCCTGGCCTGCTGCACGTGTGTCTGGCGCATCTCGCTGCCTCGGACGCTGTGCTGCGGCGCATCAGTCTGGACCCAGACTACGCCAGCGTGCAGCTCGCGCCCGACGGTGGTGCGGCGCCGGGCCACGGCGAGTGGAACCGGCGCTACTTCATCGAGCTCGAGGCTGCCAGCGGCGAGGCCCTCGCGCAAGTGCTGGCGGAGACGCAGCGTGCCTCGCAGGAGAGCAGCGCCGCTGGACAGACACGCCTCGTGGGCCTGTGGCGCATCTAGAAATCCCAGCGGCCGACCGCGAGCAACGGCAGATACCCTACCTACACATCCTAATAGACCGCACTGCAACGCATGCTCCACTCGCTCATCAGCTCTGCTCTGTCTGGCGGCACATCTCCATTCCTGCCCTCACGCCAGATCTGGCTCGTCCTGCACGGCCTTGCGCACCGCGCGCAGCAGCGTCGCCATGTACCCGCTGACGCGCTTCGTGCGGTCGTAGTCGGCGACGGCGGCGTCGAGTGCGGCCACGTCGCCGGCCTCGCACGCAGTGAGCAGCGAGTGGAGGAAGCGCCCCTCCATCGTGCCCGGGAAGCTCGGGTCCTGCTGTGCATAGAAGCCCATCGCGTTGCCGCACGCCACGTAGTCCTGCGCAGCACCGTCAGCCACGCCCCACTCCCACACTACGCGGTACACTCACCGGAATGGCAAGGTAGCAGCCGCCGGCGGCGAGGTAGTAGTCCTTGACGCTGTAGCGCGTGAGGTTGCTCTCGAGCGCCATGGCCGCGACCTGCTCCCAGCGCTCCAGCGCGCCCTTGAAGTCGCCCACCTCAATGGCAAGTGTCGCCGACTCGCGGTAGCAGCCGCTCGCCGTGCTGTACGCAGCGTCAGTCGCCAGCAGCAGACGTCGCACACTGCCACTGCACTCACGCAGCAGCGCCCTCCTGTGCGTACCAGCCGGCGGCGCGCTCGTATGCATCGCGCGCCTTGGCCGCATCGCCCGCGTCGCCCTTGTACAGCTCGGCCACCTGCTTCTCGCGGTCGGCCGCCTGCCGGAAGCGGCCCGCGGCGAGCAGAATGTCGCGCGAGGCAACAAGCGCCGCAACGGCCTCTGCAGTGATGTCAGTGGTCTGCGCGTGAAGACTGGCCGCGCCAGCAGCGACCCTGAGCCGGCTCCGGCCTCTCTAGCCGGGTTGCGCCGCTCGCCGTCGCCGCAGCCATGAGAGAGCTCCTCACACACTGCGTCTGGGCATGCTGCAGCCACATCTCTCTCGCCGCCGCCGTGCTGCGCCACGCCGCACCCCGCACCTCACGTCGCCACGCCGCACCCGGCACCTCACGCCGCCACGCACCCTCTGGCCGCGCCATCTTGAAGCACTTGCTCGCCTCAAAGTACGTGTTGGCGGCAAAGTCCTTCTCGCCGGCCTTCTCCTCGGTCTGCGCGGCGCGCACGAATGCGCGCCCGGCCTCCTCGAAGCGGTTGGCGAGGCGCAGCTTGTTGGCGGCGGCCTTGAAGAGCTCCGTCGCCTCGTCGAGCGCGGCCGACTTGGAGGAGAACCAGCCGCCGGACGAGGCGGCGCGCTTCTCGGCCGACGCGAGGAGCTGCTCGGGCGTGGAGTTGGACATGGTGGGCGAGGGTGGTGGTGGTGGTGAGACGTGGAGGCGGCGCGGCCGCATGTGCGGTGCCAACTCCAGGGGCGCGGCGGGCGCGGCGGCGGCGGACACCGGCGCTGCGCCTGCGCCCGCCGTGATCTCACCCGCGAGGGCGCAGCGCGCGCACAGACACACACAGCCACGCGCGCCGCCCACACTAGAGCAACGGCGCTGACATCCCTCGCTCGCTCCTGGCAGAGGAGTGACAGACAGTGCACGGCTTCGCTGCCTCTCAGACGCGAACCAGGCTGGACGGCTGTGCCCTGCCTGGACGGCAGCGCCGCCGCTGACGCCACGCAGACGCTCCCGTCTCACACCCGCTCGCACGCGCACATCCATCGATTCTACCGCTGGCCCGCGCCGGCGCCGCCGCCAAAGCCGCCCATCAGGTTCTGCATCATGCCGCCCATGCCACTGTGAGAAGACAAGGGTCAGCCAGGCGCAGGAGGGGGCAGATCGTCCAGGGCACTCACCCCATGCCTTGCATCATGCTGCCGAGCCCGCCGAGGCCGGGCATGCCGCCGCCCATGCCGCTGCGGAGAGGTGTGAGCATCTGCACCAGAGCTCCGCACGGCTGTACACAGATCCACGTCGCAGCGGCACTCACCCCATTGCTGCCAGCTCGGGCGGTATCTCGCCGGACTGCTCATCTGCCGTCAGCACGCGCCGCCGCTGGCTCGTCATCCCGCCTCACCTGTAGTTGCTTGAGCAGCTTCTCGCGCCCGCCCGGCATGCGCAGCTGCGCCTTCATCTCCGGCGACAACATGCTCTGCATCTGCGCAATCTTCTCGGGCGTCATGCCCGGCGGCAGCGCCGGCGGCCCGCGCCCCCGGCCCGCGCCCGCTCCGCCGCCCTGCATCTGCTTGAGCCTGTGGGGAGCGCGGTGAGCGAGGCGCGCCTGCAGCTGCGCTCCGGCGCACGCACCAGCCGGCCTTGCCGCCCATCGACTTGACGAGCTTGGCGACCACTGCGCGAGGCGTCAGCACGGCGCGAACCACTCGCAGGAAGACACGCACTGCGGTATTGCATGAGAAACTGCAGCGTGTCAGCGGAGGACAGTCAAGGACGCATCCGCATCGGCTCACCTCCTCGACCTCGCGCACACTCGTGCCGCTGCCTCGTGCCACACGCCGCGCACGTGCGTTCATGCGCACCGGCACCTTGGGCTTCTTCTTCTTCTTCTTGTCCTCGGCCTTGCTGCTCGACGCCACGGCGACGCTGCGCTCCTCCTCCTCCTTGGCGGCGCGCTCTTTCTCGCGCCGCAGCGCGTCCTTGCGCGGCTCGTAGAAGATGCTGCCGTCCGAGTCGAGCTCGGCCGACGTCATGCTGTCGAGGATGTACGTCATGCGCTTCATCTTGTCGCCCGCCGCCTCGTCGTTGCCGCCGGCGCCGGCCATCATCTGGCCGAGGCCCGGGATCATGCCGGCGATCTTCGACAGCGGGCCCCTGCGCGCGCGCTGTCAGTCCTCGCAGCTTCCACTCCGCACCCGCCGCTGCTCACATGTTCATGAGGTTGCCGACCTGCTCGCGCCAGTCGCGCAGGCTGAACACGCCGCCCTGCTCAATCTTCTCGAGCATGGCCTGCTGCTTCTTCGGGTCCTGCATCTGCTGCACCTCCTGCACCTTCTCGAGCAGGCCCGACATGTCGCCCATGCCGAGCATCTTGGAGATGAATGGCTGCGGGCGGAACGTCTCGAGATCCGTGACGTGCTCGCCGAGGCCGAGGAAGAGGATCGGCGTCTTTGTCGCCGCGACGCTGTGAAGGAGCGAGAATGAGCGTCATCGCTGCTGCCACCACCACCGCCGCCGCCGCCGCCGCCACCACCGCCGCTGCCGCGCACTCACGCAGAGATGGCGCCACCGCCCTTGGCATGTCCGTCCAGCTTCGTCACAAAGATGCCGCCAAAGTCGGCCGCCTCCTTGAACGCCTTGGCCTGCGCCTCGGCGGCCTGGCCGATGCTCGCGTCCACGACCATGATCGTCTGGTCGGGCTTCGTCGCCTCGGCAATCTCGACCATCTCGCGGAAGAGCTCCGTCTCGGCGCGGTGGCGGCCCGACGTGTCGACGATGATGACGTCAAACTTGCCGCTCTTGAACGACTCGACGCCGGACGCGGCGATGGAGACGGGGTCCGACTCGGTGTAGGAGCCGTAGAACGGGATGCCCGCCTTGGAGGCGTTCTGCTTGAGCTGGTCGAACGCACCGGCGCGGAACGTGTCGGCGCAGACGAGGCCGACCTTGAAGCCGCGCTTCTGGTAGTAGAGCGCGAGCTTGGTGCACGACGTCGTCTTGCCGGAGCCCTGCAGACCGACGAACCTGTGGCGAGGTGAGTGCGGAGCCGCTGCGGCACACACCGCAGCACGCACATGATGACGTTGGCGCGCCCCTTCTTGGGCACCCAGGCCTCGATGCCCGGGTCGACGAGCGCGACGAGCTGGTCAAAGATGGCCTGGCAGCGCGGCGATCAGCACCGCACGGGCAGCAGCCGGCGCAGCGCAGCCACGCACCTTCTGCACGACGTTGTGGCGCTGCACCTCGGTCATGCGCTCCGCCTGGCCCTTGTCGTTGGTGTTGAGGGCGTCGGCGACGTCCTTGCGCACGGCGTCGCGCAGGCGCGACACGAGGCGCACATTGACGTCGGCGGCGAGCAGCGCGGCGCAGACCTGCTTGAGCAGCGCATCGATGGCCGCGCCGTCGAGCACGGGCGCCTTGGAGAGGTCGCTGAGCGCGCTGGTGATGCGGCGGCCGAGGTCGGCGAGGACCATGCTGGGCAGGCGAGGGTGGTGGAGGGACGGTGAAGCGGGGCCGTGCGGCGACGGGCGGGCGAATACAGCGCACGGCGGGGATGTTGTAGTGCGACTACAGCAGCGCGTGTGACGGAGCCGCGGCTGCTGGTTGGCGGGCGCGACGGCGGCAGTGCGGCGCAGGCGGCGGCCGACTGGCGTGTGGCTGGCCGGCGTCGCAGCAGCGTGAGCAGCGCCGTCGCCGCCGCACGGCAGCCAGTCGCACGCAGCGCATCAGCACAGCGACGGCGCACGGCACACGCGCCATCGCATCGCACCCGTCCGCGTCCCTCGCACCCACCACCCCCCACGCCCGCGATGCTCCCGCTCCGCGCCCTACCTGCGCTCGCGCGCGCCGGCGCGCCTGCCGCGCTGCGTGCCGGCGCCCGCAGCCTGCACGCCTCGCCCGCCGCGGCCCAGGCGCGCCCCGCCGACGCGCCGCCGCCGAAGATGATCAAGCTCTTCGTCAATGGCAACGAGGTCGAGGTGGAGCAGGGCACGGCGCTCATCCAGGCCTGCGAGAAGGCCGGCGCGCAGATCCCGCGCTTCTGCTACCACGAGCGGGTGCGTCGTCGTCGTTGTCGCTGGTGCCGTGTCGCTGCCGCTGCTGCTGACGCTGCGCCGCGGCCACAGCTGCAAATCGCAGGCAACTGCCGCATGTGCCTCGTCGAGAGCAAGGGCGCGCCGAAGCCCGTCGCCTCGTGCGCGTTCCCTGCCATGCCCGGCCAGCAGATCTTCACCGACTCGCCGCTCGTCGCCAAGGCGCGCGAGGTGAGTGGCACGGCCGCCGCGGCTGCGCTCCCACTGACGCTGCCCTGCGCCCGCTCCAGAACGTCATGATGGTGAGCCTGAGTCGTGGCTCTCGCTTCCAACACAGCTGACGCCTCCGCTGCGCCACAGTTCCTGCTGCAGAACCAGTGAGACCCTCTGCCGCACAGCCCCTCCACCCTGCTCGTGCTGACCCCATATCAGCCCGCTTGACTGCCCGATCTGCGACTGGGGTGGCGAGGTGCGTGCTGCCCTGCGAAGCTCCATATCACGCGCTGACATCCGCTCTCGCCACAGTGCGACCTGCAGGACCAGTCGATGCGCTACGGCGCGGACCGCGGCCGCTTCCACGAGATGGCAGGCAAGCGCGCCGTCGAGGACAAGAACCTCGGCCCGCTCGTCAAGACGGTCATGACGCGCTGCATCCACTGCACGCGCTGCGTGCGCTTCAGCAACGACATTGCAGGCGTGCAGGACATGGGCACGAGCGGCCGTGGCAACGACCTGCAGATTGGCACGTACATTGAGAAGACGATGGACTCGGAGATGAGCGGCAACATCATCGACTGTGAGTCTGCACCGGCTGCGGGGCGCCGCGACAGGCGCACATGCGCTGACACGCGCCACAGTGTGCCCCGTCGGCGCGCTGACGGCCAAGCCGTACGCCTTTACGGCGCGGCCGTGGGAGCTCAAGAAGACCGAGTCCATCGACGTGCTCGACGCCGTCGGCTCGAACATCCGCGTCGACTCGCGCGGCGTGCAGGTGATGCGCGTGCTGCCGCGCACCAACGACGACGTCAACGAGGAGTGGATCAACGACAAGACGCGCTTTGCCGTCGACGGCCTCAAGTACCAGCGCCTCACGACGCCGCTGATCAAGCAGGGCGACCGCTTCGTCGCGGCGTCGTGGCCCGAGGCGCTGGCCACCGTCGCCGAGGGCCTTGCCGCGTCGGGCGCCAAGGGCGATGAGATCCAGGCCATCGTCGGCCCGCTGGCCGATGCCGAGAGCATGGTGGTGCTCAAGGACCTCATCAACCGCCTCGGCTCGGAGAACCTGACGACGGACCTGCCCGCCGGGCAGCTGCCCGCGGCGACGGGCGTCGATGTGCGCGCCAACTACACGTTCAACTCGACGATTGCCGGCATCGAGGACGCCGACGTGCTGCTGCTCGTGGGCACGAACCCGCGGCACGAGGCGGCCATTGTCAACACGCGCATACGCAAGGCGTACCTGCACAAGGGCCTCGACGTCGGCCTCATCGGCGAGAAGGTCGACCTGACGTACGAGTATGCGCACGTCGGCACCGACGCCTCGGCGCTGACGCAGCTGGCGTCGGGCAAGGGCGACTTTGCCAAGAAGTTCCTCGGCGCCAAGCGGCCGATGATCATCGTGGGCAGCAGCGTGGCGGAGCACGTCGACGGCGCCGCGACGCTGGCGGCCGTGGCGAAGCTGGTGGAGAAGCACGCCGACAAGTTCCTGACGCCCGAGTGGAACGGCTACAACGTGCTGCAGCGCACGGCGTCGCGCGCCGCGGCGCTCGACATTGGCTACTCGGCCGCGGCGAGCAGCTCGAGCACGCCGGCCAAGTTCGTGTACCTGCTCGGCGCCGACGACTTTGCGCCGGAGCGCATCCCGCGCGACGCCTTTGTCGTGTACCAGGGCCACCACGGCGACGCGGGCGCGCAGTACGCCGACGTGTGCCTGCCGGGCGCCGCGTACACGGAGAAGAGCGCCACGTTTGTCAACACCGAGGGCCGCACGCAGCTGACGCGCGCCGCCGTGCCGCCGCCGGGCGCGGCGCGCGAGGACTGGAAGATCGTGCGCGCGCTGGCCGAGGTGCTGCAGACGCCATTGCCGTACGCCGAGACGATGGACGTGCGCGACCGCATGTTCGACGTGTCGCCGACGCTCGTGCGCTACGACCAGCACGAGCCGACGGCGCAGGAGACGGCGCGCCTCGGCCTCAAGGAGCTGGTGCGGAGTGCGGGCAAGAAGGAGATCACGGGCGCGCCGCTGCTGCGCCCGATCCAGAACTTCTACCAGGTGCGTGCGCGGCGCTGCACGATACTTTCGCGCCTGCTGACCCGTGCTGCCCCTGTGCAGACCGACGCCATCTCGCGTGCCTCGCCGACAATGGCCAAGGCCTCGGCGGCCTTTGTGCACAAGGTGCCGATGAGCAAGCTGCAGCCGGGCGTGTCGCTCGGCCTCTAGACGTCGGCGCATGGGTGTAATACATGGATCCTGACTGACTTGCGCGCGCGCGCGCGCGTGTAGCTGCGGGTCTGCCGCATGTGCACGCCTGAGCCGGCCCGATGTGACGAGCGTGCAAGCCCGGTCCGGCGCTCCGCATGTGAGGCGACCCAGGGGTCGGGGCGGGGATGGAGCCGTGCGGACGTGGCGCGAGCGACTCCGCCGTTCACACGCGCTGCGCGGCACTTGCGCGCGGCCTCCGCTCAGACGGCTGTGGCCTGCGCTCCCTGCACGCAGGGTGTGCCTCTGCGCACTGGCATGGTCGGAATGCATGTCTGCTGCATTCTGGCCGGTGCTGCTGCTGCCTCGTATCAAGGAGCGACGAATGCACCTGGCGGCGTGTGGGCTGCAGCGCGAACATCGACGCCTCTCTCTGCGCGTCACGGCTGCAGCTCGCGCCGCGCAGACGAGGCAGAGGCGGCAGGAGAAGAGAGGCGCCGGCGCGCGCCGCACCGCGTCGCGCGGGCCGCCGCCGCCGTCGATGCTGAGCAGCGGCGAAAGTGGCCAGCATCGCAGCCTCGGCCGCAGGACGCAGCCAGCGTCGCATGCACAGAGCAGCAGCGAGCTCGCCTCTCACCGCACCACACGCACCGCTGCGCTCCGCTGCGCACCACACTCGCAGCAGCCGCACCGCCGCCGACCGTCGCGGCCACCGCACGCCTGCCGCGCGCGCGCTTCTCGTCGCATCCGTGCTCTGCTGCGCGTCCTCTGCGCCGCACGCTCCGCCAGCTCCACCCGTCCGTCTCCACCACCACCACTACCTGCCGCGCTCTGCGACACCGCCGTGCCAGCGCCGCCCCGTTTGCCCCCGCGCCCTGAGCGCCGCCTCCTCGCACTCCGCCCGAGCGGCCGCGGCAGTGCAGCATGGTGCCGCGTCCCGCGTCGTCGGCCAGCCTGGGCGCCAGCGGCAGCGGCAGCGGCGCCGGCAGCCACGCGCACCACCATCCGCACCATGCCTCGTCGCCCCTCGGCGGCGGCGGCTCGCCGTTCCCGCCGCTCGGCCTCGCCGCCACGGCGTCGCTCGCCGCCGCCTCGGCGCACGGCTTCGGCCTCTCGCCGCCCAAGCCGCTCACGCCCGCCGCCGCCGCCGCCGCGACGGCACAGGCGGAAAAGGAGCGCGAGGGCCTGCCGCCGCCGCCGGCCAAGGTCGACGCCTCGGCAGCGCAGAACTGCCGCCTGCAGGATGCGTACTGGAGCGACGACGATGTGAGTGGGCCTGCGGCGTGTGCCGCCGGCGCCAGCGCGTGCCGCCCGGGCCGCCTGCGACGCGCTGCTGATGCGCCGCCACGCAGGAGGACCTCGACTGTCCGCTGTGTCTCGAGGAGATCGACCTCTCCGACGCCAACTTCCGGCCGTGTCCGTGCGGCTACCAGGTGCGTCGGCGCCCAGTGCCCGTGCCGCGCGGCGGCCGCTCACGCTCTCCTCGCTCCGTCTAGATCTGCCGCTTCTGCTGGCACCACATCAAGCAAAATCTCAACGGCCGCTGTCCGGCGTGCCGGCGGAAGTACTCCGACCAGGCCGTCGAGTTCACGCCCATGACAGCAGAAGAGTGAGCCGCACGAGCCACGCGCGCCGCGTGCTCCGCCGCTCACAATGCTCCTCGCAGAATCAAGCGCCTCACGCAGAGCAAAAAGCAAAAGGAGCGCGAGCGCAAGGAGCTCGAGGCGATGAACCGCAAGCACCTCGCCAACATGCGCGTCGTGCAGAAGAATCTCGTCTACGTTGTCGGCCTGAGTCCGAAGCTGGCCAAGGAAGAGGTGGGTGCCGCGTGCGTGGACCGCTGCGCTAGGTGCTGACGACCTGCGCGCGCAGTTCATCCCTACGCTGCGCTCCAACGACTACTTTGGCCAGTACGGCCGCATCAGCAAGGTGCTCATCTCGAAGCGCACGACGGCCTCCAAGCTCGTCATGGGCACGTCCGAGTCTGCGCTCGGCGTGTACGTGACGTACCACCGCAAGGAGGATGCCGCGCGCGCCATCGTGGCCATCGACGGGTCGAAAGGGCCGGACGGCAAGACGATTCGTGCCAGCTACGGCACGACCAAGTACTGCACGACGTACCTGCGCAACCTGCCGTGCACGCTGCCGACATGCACGTACCTGCACGAGCCGGGCGAGGAGGGCGACTCGTTCACAAAGGAAGACCTCAGCACACTGTGAGTGTTGTCGCGCGCTGCGAGTCCGGGAACGTGCTCACGCGCTCTGCACTGCAGACGTCACGCGGCAAAGGACACTGAGTTCAAGGGCGGCAAGACCGTTGTGCCCTCGTCCGCGCCGATGCCGTCTGCCCTGCGTCGCAGTGACTCGTCCTCGGCGGACGCCAGTGGGTTGGTGAGCTCCTCCGGCGCACTGACGAGCTCGGGCATCGAGGCGTCGGCCCTGCCAAAGACGGCCAGCTGGGCTAGTGCAAAGGCGCCGGGCACGCCGTCGACGCCGATTGCGCAGACGGCCAGCAGCGTGATCCGCGACGCCGACCTGCCGTCGCTCGCTGCGGCCGCCGCCAGCCGCGAGGCCACGCGCAAGGCGAATCAGGCGCAGAAGCAACAGGCCGCTGCAGCAAAGCAACAGGCTGCAGCCGCCGCTGCTGCCGCGTCTGCTGCTGCTGCGGCAGCAGCTGTGGCCGCTGCTGCCGCCGCAGATCCGCCCGCCGCTGCGCCCGACTCGCCGCAGAAGCAGAGCGCTGCCGCAGCTCCGCCAACAGCACCAAGAGGAGGGCGCGCGACGCGGCCGACGATCGTCACTGCTGTCTCAGCGGACGCACCAGGCTCTGCACCGGAGTCGCCGGCGCCCGAGGTCGCGGCCGCCACGCCAGTGCTGCCGCCTGGTCTTTCGCGCACGACGCCTGCCTCGTCGGGTGCCGCAACGCCGCGACCGTCCGCAGCGCCTGTCGAGAGCGAAAGCGGGACCGGCACTCCGCGACCGCCAGGACTCCCTCCGGCACCGCCAGGCCTGTCGCGAGTGGCTGCTTCAGGGCCGCCGCCAGGCCTGCCTCCATCGCGCGCCGCCACGCCGTCGAGCAGCACGCCTGAGCTCGCTCCGCCGTCCGGCTCGTCTGCCGACACGGCGTCGACGTACCAGCCGAGCTCGTCGGCGCAGGCTCTGCTCGATGACATGCTCGCGCGCCGCGACGCCGAGGCTCATGCTGAGCCGCGCTCGAGCCCATTCCCCGACTTCGACGATGCGCTGCGCTCGTTCCGTAATGGCGGCGATTTCTGCTTCAATCTGCCCGAGTCCGAGGCGCGCAAGGGCGCGGCTGTCGGCGCAGGCGGCGCTACGGGCGTTGGCCAGGCGTTTGGCGCGTTCAGTCCGATGGGCGTGCCTCCGCCGGGCCTCGGTGGCTTCGGCGGCAGCGTCGTCGGCGCGCCACCAGGGCTGGGAACACCGAACCGCAGCAACTCGGCATCGCCGGCGCCCTCTTCGTTCTTCGGCTCGTATAGCGGCTCCTTCGACCCGTTCGCGTCCGGCGCAGGCGAGAGCGTGAGCACTGCCTCCGTCGCCACGACGGCCGAGGAAGGCTCCACGGCGGATCCCTTCGCAGCCATCGAGGAGATGCGCCGTACGTTGTCTGAAGAGCGAGGCGGACAGAGCAGCGCGGTGGACGACGACGAGGACGCGGCGTCTGGCGGCGAGCAGGCCGATGGCGGCAAGAAGCGAGCGAGCCGCTTCGGCTTTGCGAAGCGCAAGGAGAGCGTCGGCTCCGCCGGCTCGGCAAGCAACTCGCCGTTCTTCCGTGCCAGCGCACCGCTGCTGCCGGCGGCTCTGCAGCAAGCCCATGCGCAGAGCCAGCAGATGCGCGAGCAGTTTGGCAGCAACGGGCACGCGTCCGGCGCAGAGGAAAGCAAGGCGGTCGACGACGACGCGCTGGCCCTCAGCATGCGCGACCGCGACGTCTCTGGCATCCTGAGCGGCGTGTTCGACGCGCACGAGCTGCAGAGCGACGGCGGTGTGTCTCGGCAGCAGCAGCAGCATACGCCGCAGCAGCCGCAGCAGCAACACCAGCAGAGCCAGCAGCATCTCGCACAGCAGCACCACCTGCAGGCGCAGCAACAGCAACAGCAGCACCAGCAGGCGCAGCAGCAGCAGCACGCCCAGCAACAGCAGCAGCAGCAGCAGCAGCAGCAGCAGCAGCAGCAGCAGCAGCAGGCTCAACAGCAAGCGCAGCAGCAGCAGCAGCAACAGCACGCGCAGCAGTCGATGCACCAGCACCCGCACAGCCACGCGCCTCAGCACGCGCACGACCACGCTGCGCACCTGCAGGCGTACCAGACGCAGTACGGGCGCGGCGACTTTGGTGCTGCACGCACGTCGCCGTTTGGCGGCCCCCGCGCGGGACCGCCGCCAGGCTTCGGGCTCGCGAACGGCAGCGGCGCCGGCGCTGGCGGTGCGGGCAGCTACGCCTCGAACCTGCTGGGCCACGCCTCGCCGCTCGCCGCGCCGCACTTCTCGCCGCACGTGCAGCACCAGCAGAGCCTGCAGAAGCACCTGCAGCAGCAGCCGCTCAACGGCAACGCCAGCTGGCTCGCCGAGCTGCAGCGCAACGCCGCCGCTGCGAACGCCAATGGCCACGCGCTCAAGAGCGGCAACGGCGCCGGCTACGCCGTCTCGCCGAGCACCGAGCACGCTCCGCGTCACGGCGGCTTCTTCGGCGCGGGCGGGCCCAACGCCAGCAACTCGCCCGCCTCGGCGCCTTCGACGGGCAACCCGTCCGACCCGCTCCTGGCGCAGCTGATGGCGGCTGCGGCTGCTCGTCCCGATGCGCGTCGCCAGCAGCAACAGCAGCAGTACGCGCAGGGTGCGCCGTTTGGCAACGCGGCCGGCGACCGGCCCTTTGCAGACCCGGCCGTCATGTCGTGGAGCTCGCAGCCGCAGCAGGCGCAGCAGCAGTCGTACGGAGGCTCCTTTTCGCCCTTCGAGGCGCACGGCAACGGCTCGCCGTTCGGTGCTCTCGGCATGGGTGGCCAGCAGCCGCCGCCGCCGCAGCAGCAGCAGCAGCAGCAGCAAGGCGGCCAGCAGCCGCAGCAGGGCTACCCGTACGGCCAGCGGAGCACGTACACCTGAAGCACGCCTGCTCGCCGCTCTGCCTCTCCGTCTCGCCGTGCTCCGATCCGCCCGTCTCCTGTCCCATTTCCCTCTCCCTCGCGCCCCCGAAGACGAAGTCCCCTCCTCCGTCGAAGATCTTGCGTGCCTCCATTTCTTCGACCAGCCCCTCCCACCAACACCGCCCCGTGCCGCGCCGCCGCGTCTCGTCCTGCCCCGCTACACAATCCAACCAGCCGCGTGTGCCTCTTGAAACATGAAATGAAGCGTCTCTCCCGTGTGCAAGGCCGTGCGAGATGCATGATTGTGGTGACGAGGCGGCGCAACACGATCTTCTCGTCCCAGCCGCGGCCCGACTCGCGCACCGACAAAGTATACCCGGCTTGCGCCACAGCCGCCGGCCGGGCGCGCCGCACCGAGCGCCGGCAATGTTTGCGGCGTACGTCGCATCACAGCAACACCACCCGCTGCACCTGCTGCGGCCCCGACGTCAGTCTGCGGCAGCACCAGCGTGGCGCACGCGGCGCTCCGGCTTGCCTGCAGCGGCGACGGCTCGGCGAGCGAGCAGACAGCATCAGGCGCGACCCGATGCGCGGCACGCATCAGCGGCTCCACCTTTGATTTGCCGGCGTGGCGGCGTGGCATGCAAATCTTAATGAGAGATGTGCGGACCGTCTGTCTCTCGCGCGAGTGAAGCGTCCGGACAGCTCTTCTCGCGCGAGTCCGAGCGCCCGAGCGAGCGCCCCCAGGGGTCCGCCTCCTCGCCCCTGGGAGCGCGCGGCTGGGACGCGCACACGTCGCCGCCGCGCCGGCCAAGACGCCGCGCGCAGGCACCCGTGCCGCCCCGCTGCTCGGCTCTCAGGGTCTAGACCCTCTGCTAGCTTACCTCAGCAACGCCCCACGCCGCCTGTCTTGGCTTCGACGAATGGTGTGGGAGAGGAAGCGGGGCGCGGCGGCGCGTGGGCCGCGAGCGTGCTCCGTCGGAAGGCAAGCGCGATGCAGCGACGCCGGGACGCGGCGCTAGGCGCAGGCGCGTCCCGCTGCGCGTCCGGCCCTCGCGAGCGCGGGCGGCGCCGGCGCCGGCGGCCAGCAGCAAGTATGCCGCAGCGCCACGGCACGGCGTTGCCTGCGAGCAGCACCGCAGAAGGCAGCGCCAGGCGGGGCCAGCAGGGATGCTGCGACGCCGGCAGACGCACACTCGCCACCGCCGCACACCTCGCACCCGCGCAGCGATGCGTTGGCCCGGCTCCCATGCACGCGTAGCGCCGGGCGCATGGCCATGTGACGAGGCGGTAGCGGCGTGCCTGCAGCGCACCGCGCCGCGTGCATCTTGCCCGACGTGCAGCCGTCGGAATCCGAGTGCGAGGCCGAGCTCGACGTCCTTCGTGCCCGAGCACGCCGAGCGTCCGCGCCGGCAACAGCCGCTCAGCCGGGCGGCGACGTGGACAGCGGTCGCCCAAGGGGGTTCTAGACCTCGGCGCTCGTCTGGCGTGCGGTGGCAGGCGCGGCGTGCGTGACGGACTGTGGCGCACGCACGATGCTCTTGCCCGCCGTCGCTGCGACTGGCTAATCTTCTGCAGGAGAGGAGCAAGCTCGAAGCACCGCACGGCGTGGCGGTGCGCCGCAGACGCAGGGGAGCATGGCAACGAGGGCCGCCGCCGCCGCCCATGGGGATGTCGCTTTGCGCTGCACCGCCTCGTGCTGCTCGTCGACGCCGCCTCGTCGGCGCTGGGGCAGCGATTGCCTGCTGGCGTAAGCGGAGGATACATCTTGCGCTGCAGCGACAGGAGCGAGGCAAGCAGAAGCAGCAGGCATGGCGGCGGCGAGGCGGCGTGGTGCGGAGGCCCTCGTCGCGCGCGCGCGCGCACGCCCATGGGGCAAGGGGCCGCATGGCGCGGCGGACCTTGCGCCCCCACGCAGCAAGACCCTGCGCTTGTGCCTGTGCTGGTGATGCATGTGCCGTCGCCGTGCCAGCGGCTCAGCAGCACCCAGCATGCTCGGGCGGTGCGGTGCGCTAGCCCCGGGGCTACCTGCGCGGCGGGCATTCGGCCGCACGCAGATCTGCAGCAGCATCGCGGCGGTCGGGCGATGCGCCGCGATGGCGGCATCCGTCGGGGGCGCCCTCGCAAATCTGCGGCACGCTCCAGCAGCCGGCATCCGCAAGTGCGAGTGGATGGGAATTCCGTGCACACGCACCACGGGCGGAGAGATGCACCCCACGGCGGAGGTGCGTGCGCAGCAGGTGCCCGACCGGAGCCGGCGTGGGTCAGCAGGCCGGCCTCCGATGCGACGGGCGCGCGGCGCTGCCATCGCGGCCGGCGGCGATGCGGCGCGATGCGAGGGCGATGCGCGCGAAATTCTAAATCTCGACGGCTGTGCGGCGCCTGCAAAGCCAGCACCGGCGCCGCACAGACAGCTCGCAGGCCTGCATCAGAGCAGCGTGCTGTCATGCACGCCCGGCTGCTGGAGGCCTCAAAGCCTATCAATCTGGCAGCGCAGCACAGCGGCGGTGGCGAGCGCGGTGCACCCGAGCAACGGCGCAAGACAGCGCCGCCCAGCATGCAGCCCCAGCCGCTGCACGGCCGTGCGGCGACTTCGGAGGCAGGACTGGCAGCGAGGAGCGAGAGCGCAAAGCAGCGCCCAGGCTGCTTCTCGAAGCGAGGAGCGCCTGGCGCATCGCATCTGGGCAAACACACCCGCCGGCATGGCGGATGCGGGAGCTGTCGCCGTGCCTGCCAAGCAGCACCCGGCACGCTGCGGCTGCCCCTGGTGCTGGTCGCTGCCCGCCCCCGTGCACGCTCCGTGCGCCGAGCGCCAGCAGCCGCAGGCCGCAGGGTCACGCACGGCCGCCGCTTGCTCGCCGCCGTCGGGCAGCGTCCCGAGGCTGGCGCTGCGGCTTCTGTACCGCTGCCGGCGCGGAATGGGCAGAAGGCGCTCGTCTGGTGGTGCGGAGAGATAGGCCTGGCGCCGTCGCCGAGCGGGACGGCGAGGCGTGCCATTGGACAGCGACGAGCAGGCGTCCGCACCGCGTGCGCATGACGCAGACGCCGCCGTGGCCCGCCGCTGCACTGCACGTCTGCACCTGCCTGCTGCTGCGCTGCGGCTCGGCTGCGAGATCAGCCGGACACACTGCCGCACTGCCCGCCGCGCGTGTCTCGCGGCGGAGCGTTCGGCTTACTCGCGCGTGTGGCGGCGCCCGCTGCCGATGGGCAGGCGGTGCGGCGCCGACGTGCAGCAGGCGCACGCAGGATCGGCCGCCTGGCCTGCGCGCGACGTCTAAAAGAGGCCAGCTTTGCGCGACGACTGGCGCAGTGCCCCCGCCGGTGTGCGACGCTGCATCTGCGTGACACGGCCGCTGCAGAGGGCCGCATCTCGGCTCCAGCCGATGTGGCCTTGCCTTGCAGCAGCGCCGCCGCGCACAACTCCGCCCGTGCGCTGGTGCCGCGGCTGCGCGCTGCAGCCGCGCTGCAAGCGCAAGCATGTGCCGCCCACAAGGCCCATCTCGTGCGCGAAGTTGCTCTCGCGCCGCCTCGCCCGCGAGGCCTACCGCTGCGTGCGGCAGCGCCGAGCGCTTCCGCCAACGGCCGTGCCGCACTCTGCGCGCCTGCTTCCTTTCCTGCCGAGAGCGCAGAGAGTGTGCCGCTGCTGCTCTGCCGCCCGCGTTTCACATGAGGGCAAGAAGGCGCCGCAGAGTGCTCGGCGGCCCCTCGCGCGAGACGCACCGTGCTCGCACTCTGCAGCTCTCTGCACCGCTGGCTCGGAAGCGGCATCGGCACGCTCGCGGCTGCCCGACGGCAAGACGCGGGTGGCTGGCTGGCGCTGGCGTCAAATTCACCGCCGCCGCCCGCCTCTCGTTGTGCCTCTGTCGGAGCCTTGCGCACAAGCAGCGCTGCCTTGCCTCGCCTGCGCCGCCACGCCGCGTGCCGTGCATGGGCGCTGCTGCCCTGGCGGCTGCTTGCCCGCAGCCGCACCCGCTGTGGGCGGAGTCGTGCGCCGCACACGCTACCCTCGCTTGCCCTGCGGGTGCGGCGCTGCATGGAAGCTGCGTCTGCGGTGCGCCGCCGCTGCGAGAGGGCGAGGGTGAGATCGCAGCGGTGCGGATGGAGTAAGAGTGCTGCATTCGGCTGTGGCGCGGCGGCGATGGCGGCGCAGCACCGCGACGCCGCCCCGGGGCGGCACGGCCTTGCGCGCCGCTGCTGCTGCCGCCGTCCCGGCTCCTGCCCCCAGACGCAGGTGCAGGTGCAGCAGCACTGCGGCGGCTGCGAGCAACGCACCTCGCACTCGCAAGCGCAGCCGGCACCCGTCTCCTGCTCCCACGTCGACGCCGCACTGCTCCCTACTAGCGCGCCCTCTCGCCGCGTGTGATGCGCCGTGCCCTGCTGCTCCTCCCACCCCCATCCCGTCGCGGCGTCCTTGCTCCTGTCTCACGTCTCGGCCGGCGTGCAGCGTAACCTGCTCGCGCCCTTCGCTCGCCCCTTCTCCTCTCGCCCTCATCCCGCCGGCACTGCGCACCGCCGGCCCTCTCTCTCCCTCGCGCTCGCCTTCCGACGGCCGGCCCTGCCTCGCGTCCACGCCTCGTCTGTCGCGCCGCTCCGTGCGCCCCTGGCCCTCCTCGCATCCGCGTCTGCGCCGCCATGAGCTGGCACCCGCTGGCGCCGCAGTACGGCGCCGCGCCGCGTGCGGGCACCGGCCGCAACAGCCTCAGCGGTGCGGGCGCCGGCGCCGGCAGCAGCAGCGGCAGCGCCGCCGGGCCGTCGCAGCTCGAGCAGCTCATGGCCGCGTCGCAGGCGGCGTCGGCCGGCCCGGGCGTGCACCTCTCGCGCAGCCTCAGCATGCATGGCGCCGGCTCGCTGCCCGTCTTTGACGCCGCACGCCCGCCCTTCGCCTCGCACGCCGGCGGCACGCAGGCCGCACCGCCGGCGGCGCCCGAGATCATAACGCGCATGCCCAAGGGGCGCGGCAAGCGGCCCAAGGCGTCGCGCGCCTGTCTGCCGTGCCGCAAGCTCAAGGTGCGTGCTCGTCGGCGGCCGGCAGCACCGGCCACACTAACCACACGTCCAGGCCCGCTGCGAGATCCGCTACGATGCCGCCGCCGAGGGTGCGCCGCCGGTGTGCCACCGCTGCAACCTGCTCTCGCTCGACTGCATCTTCGAGGGCGAGCCGCCGCCGCCGACGATGCCGGCGGCGGACCTGGCGCGCCTCAAGCGGCCGCGCTCCACCGAGAATCCCGACACGCAGAACGAGGCCGATCTCGCCTGGAAGCACCGCAACCGGTACGTCGCCGCCGCGCTGCGCACGTCGTCCGCCTGTGCTGACCTCCGCACGCAGCACGCGCGGTCTGGCCAGCCTGCGCTACCGCCTCACGCATCGCATCGTGCCGCCAGTCGCGCCCGACGACTACGAGGTCATGGCACGGCCGCGCAGCGACCTGCGCTGGTACGGCCGCATGGCCTCGGGCGCCTCGGCGCTGAGCTGCATGCTGATGCGCGACTACGAGCCTCGCCGCGATACGGCGCAGCACGGCGGCTCGGAGCTCTTCCCTGCCGGCGTGCCGGGCCTCTTCCGTCCGCTGCCGCAGCTCTACGTGCCCGAGCCGCGCTGGACGATGGCGCCGCGGCAGCACATCGACAGCCTGTTCAGCGCTCTGGCGCCGCTCATGTCGCGTGAGATCGAGGCGGAGCTGTCGACCATGTGCGTGTATGCTGCGGCATCGCCGTCCGCACCGCTGACACCCTGTCTGCAGCTTCGAGGGCATGTATGACATCCACATGCCGGTGCTCGCCATGCCGACTGCGCCGGCATCCATCCACGACTGCGAGTCCGACACGACGCAGTTCTACCTCGCCGCGCTGCACCTCGCCGCGCTGCCGCACGCCTCGGAAGCCATCCGTCGACGGCTCAGACTGCCGCTGCGCGCCCTCGTCGACGCACACGCGCGCCGCATGCTGGCCTCAAGTCGCTCGGACATCTACGGCGTCCTTGCCCTTGTTGCCGTCGCTCGCTTGTGCGTATGTGGTGCTCGCCGTGCGCCCACGGCTTTGCTGACTCGGGCCTGCAGCCCGTTCTGGCCGTGCGACACGCTCTCGGAGGATCCTCGGCCTCGTCCGGCCGAGAACCCGATCCTCTTTCCCGACGACGGCATGCTCGAGTACTCCACCGACCTGCGAGGGCGCTTCCTCATGCGCTGTGCTCGGCGCCACGCCTACAACATCGGCATCTATGACTCCTTCCGCCAGCTGCGGCACCTGGCCGAGCAGGCGCGGCCCGAGTGGCGCTCGGCGAGAGACGGCTGGCAGTCGCCGCAGCAGCAAGCGCTGCATCACGCTGTGCTGGTGAGTCGTCTCGCTCGCTGCCCGTTGACGCGTCGTGCTGAGTGACATCTGGCTGTCTCAGTGGTGCGGTCTCGCTGCCGACGAGTACCGACTGGGCATCGTCGAAGCGGATCCTTTGCTGCCGCTGGCGCAGGAGCTTGATGTGGACCTCACGCCGGTGTCGATGCTCTGCGACACGGTCGTGTCGCTGTCGTCCTCGCTGGACGCCATCTCGCGCGCGCGCCTCATCTGCATCGTCCGCCGCGCCGACATTCTTGAGCAGGCGCACGAGTACCGCCACAAGTGGCGCTTCACGCCCATGTCGCAGGAAGAGCTGCTGCGCGACATGGTCACGCCCCGGAAGCTGCAGCGCAAAGGCCAGGCGATAGAGCTGGAGCTGGAGGAACTCGAGGCGCTCAGCGCCGGTCGCGAAGATGCGCCGGCGCAGCGCTGGACGGTCTTCATGAAGGACAATCTGCTGTACGAGGTGAGTGACCCTTCCGCTCCTGTCTCGCAACGTCTGGCTGACGCTGCGTGTCCCAGCTCCACGGCGTGCGCTTCTCGCTGTACGTCACGCAAAGCATGACGCTGCGCAACCTTGTCCGCGCCGACTTCTGCCGTGAGCCATCGTGGGAGTTCTACTCGATGGGCGAGATTGTGGAGCAGACGCGCGGCAAGCACGCCCTGCACATGCCGATGGTGCGCAGCATCGTCGAGGCCATCTCGGCCGCCGAGGCCGTCGTCTCGCTCACCAGCTCGATGCTCTCGAACTGCGGGCCCGGCTTCGACCACGTCGACGAGCTGGTGCTGGGCAAGCTGAGCTCGACCGGCCTGCCTGCGCTGTTTCCCTGCATCGCCACGATCCCCTCCGACCTGGTCACCTATAGTAAGTGCACATTGAGCGACTCGCCAGCGTGTCGCTAACTGCAGCCCGTAACCTCATCAGTCAACTACTGCGGCACGGTGAGTGTGATTCGTTGCCGCCTGCGCTGCACTTGTGCTCATCGATCACTGTCCGCAGTACCTCGTCGAGACGCAGTTCATGTGCAACGACACCTGGAACGGCCGCCTCGAGACGGGCCCGCGGATCGAGTCGATCCTGCTGGGCCTGCTTCGCGGCTTTGAGAACTTCCTTATCGAGGTCTCGATCGAGACGCACGCCTCGGCCGGCCAGCCGTCTGCGTCGGTGACGTTCCGCCCAGTGCGGCCGCCCTGCGAGTTCCTCGGCTGCAGCCTGCGTGCAGGTCTGGAGAAGTGGGCGAGGGAGCGTCGCGAGACGGCGCCGCGCTATCGCCGCACGCCGGTCGAGCTCACGATCGCGCATCTGGAGCGCAGCTTTCTGGCCATGGACATGGCGAGCTCGCCGGGCGAGGGCGACCTCGACAACACGCCGCCCCGGGCCCAGACGCCACCGAGCGCGCTGACTGGCCTGGCGTTTGGCTCCGACGGCGAGCCCGGCGCAGAGACGAGCTCGTCCACCCGCTCATCGTTCAACGCCGGCGTCCCGTCCGACCAGTCGCACGCGCACTCTGCACCTGCGGCGGCGCAGGCGCCGCCAGCATCTTCGCAAGGTGCGCCAGACATCAGCGCGTCGGCGTTCGGGCCGCTGTCGAGCGACGGCTCCCAGTGGTCATCCAACGCGCAGTACTTCCAGGACGCCGCGTCGCAGGCGTTCGGTCAGCAAAATGCCGGCATGGTCGCCGCGCCGGCGCAGTCCTTTGCCCAGTCGCAGACATTCGCCATGCCGCAGCAGATGTTCGATCCGCACGACCGCCGCGGCCTTCAGGCCACCGACGGCTCTGCGCAGCAGCGCTTCGCGACGCGGAACGACGGCGGCGGAAGCCACGAGCTCGGCTCGCAAGCGCAGGCGCAGCTTCCCAACTACGTCTTGGATCGCGGCCAGAACATGGCGCAGCAAGCGGCGCAGGGCTACTATCAGACAGACGCCGCCACCGACACGACCGGCTCGCGCATGCAGCGGCCGTCGTCAACCTCGCAGCAGGATCCGCTGCAGGCGTACTCCAATGCGGCATCCGCTGAGATGCACGCCAGCGCCGCGCGTGCCAAGGAGGGACATGGCTACCCGAGCGTGTTGGCGGGCAGCATGGCCATGCCAGATCAGGGCGCCGGCTGGGCGCAGTCGGGCGGCATGCGCCAGCAGCCGCAGCAGCAGCAGCAGCAACAGCAGCAACAGTCGAGCGACAGCAGCGGTGCGGGCTACAGCAGCTTCCTCGACGAAAGCTGGATGCCTTCGCAGCAGCAGTACCAGCAGTACCAACAGCAGCAGCAGCAGTCCCGCTACCGCCAGCAGCAGCAGCCGCAGCAGCGCAGCGACGACGCTGGACGCCAGGGCAGGCCGCAGCAATGAAGAGCCGGGCCGCTGCCGACGTCTGCCGCTTGCCGTTGCTCCTCATTCTCTCTTTTCTCCTCCTTCTCTTCTTGCCGCTTGCCGTGGAGTGACTCCATACCCGCGCCTGCGGTCCGTTCTCTCACCGCGTCTTGCGCGCATCGCATAGCCTATACACGCCTCTCTGCGTCACCTAGACCGGATCCTCTAACTCGCATCTGCCCGCACGTGCTCTCACCCTGCCGTCTCCTGCGTCACTTGTCTCGCAACCTGTTGTAGTCTACACATCGTTCGCACCTAATCTGATCAGCCCCCGCTACTCGGCCTTCGCTGCGGCCTTGCCCTTGCCCACCGGCCGACTCCGGCCCCACGCCACGCGCACGTCCTGCCCCTCGATCTGCACCTTGACGGCACAGCGCAGCGCCGCCGCCTCGGCCTCCTCGCGCCGGCGGAAGTTGACAAAGGCGCACTTTGATGCCGGCACGAGCGTGATGCTCTTGATGTGCTCGGGCTTGAGCGTCGGCACCTGCGTGACGAACCACGTGCGGATCGCGTCCTCGGTGATCGTTGGCGGCAGCGCGCTGAGGAAGAGTGATGTCTGCAAGAGGGAGTGAGCACGACGTGGGTCGCGAGGGCGGAGCGGCAAGCGCTGCACGCACCACGTCCTTGTCTTCCGGCGGTGCCAGCCCTGCTGCTGCTGCGTGCCCGCCGAGAATCTTGCGCGCTACTGGGTCGTTGCGGCCGTGGAAGCTGCGCACGTCGCCAAGGCATCAGCAAGGGCGCAGCGGCGCAGGCCACATTGTGCGTCGAAGCACGTGCGCCACTCACCGGTCCTTGATGTTCTGCTGCGACAGCTCGTTCTTGACGGGCAGCTCGTGGCGGAACGGACACTCGTCGCCGCGAGTGCATGTGCCCTTGGCGTAGAAGGAGCAGAGGTGAGGCTTGTTGCGGTTATAGTTGGGCTGCCCGCCGGCGCCGCCGCGTGCACGCGAGAGCTGCTTCAGCAGATCTTGCCCGGCGCGCGACGAGGGTCCCGAGGACGGCAGTAGTGACTGGCCGGGTTGCCCTTCGAGCTGAGAGGCAAGCAAATGTCAGCCATGTGGCCAGAGATGTGGCGACATGAGAGCCTGCAGCCCAACGCGCACCGATGCGCAGTCGAGGCGCAGCGAGCTCTCTCACATCAGACGCGCACCAGCCAGAGCTGCGCTGGCCGCAATGACAGTCTCCCTCTACGAGAGCTGGCGACGCACCCGCCGCGCTGCACGGAGCGTCAAGTGCTCCGTGCGGCTCTGCCCGGTCTGCGATGCGCATCGCAGCGCACTGCGTCCGCCGATCTGGCCGAGTCCACAGCTAGCAGCAGACTTCCAAAGCCATCGAGGCACAGCGTCTGGCAGAGCCTTTGCCCTGCTATTGCGCGCGCATTGTGTGGTGCCGCCTTTGCGACTGTCCGCTGCGCCACGAGCCGCTGCTTGTCGCCTCTGCGCCCGAACAACACCGCTCCCGCGTGCTACATCGACACCCGCTGCCTGTTACCTCTACACCCCACCAGCCTGCCACTCGCGCCTGCGGCCTCGAGAGCCACTGCCGACCACCGCCTACACACCGCATTGGCCGCGCTGTGCGCCGCATCGCCACTCACCTGCTCCTCGACGCGCTGCACGTAGTACTGCTTGTTGATGTCGCTGCTCGGCGCGCCGCCCTGCAGGCCGAGGGCCGTGTCGCGCACCTGCACGGGCAGGCCGTACTGCAGGTCGAGGATGCACGTCTGGCACACGTTCTTGATCTTGGCGCACGTCGTGCAGATCTCCGTCTTCTTGAAGCGCATGCCCGCGCCGGGCGACCAGCGGAACACGGTAAAGGGGCGGTCGCAGATCTGTGCGCAGTGTCAGCATGGACAGGAGCACTCAGCAGTGGGAATGGCATGTCCCACAGCAGTTGCAGCCAGCGTGGGACGCCTGGTGACAGTGCCGCGAGCGCAGTGCCGCGCCGGCTTCATCGCTGCAAGCTCATGGCTTGTCGAGCCGCGCAGGCGCCCGTCATGCCACGGCCGCCTGCATGCTGGGGCGGAGCGCGACAGCACCACGACAGCGGCCAGCAGCGACTGCCACGCAGGCCTGCATCGTGCAAAGCAGGCGCAGCTTGTGCTGAAGCTGCACCGGCGACGGCACCGCTGCGCAGCATGTCACCGGCGCGTGGCGTGTGCAGAGCGGCGAGCAGAGCGCTGGTCTGCCTTGCCGCACACCTCCTCGCCGCAGCTGCCTGCTGCTGCCCCAGCGCTGGCCTGCGTTGCCGCATGCCTCCTCGCCGGCGCTGCCGCCCTCCGCCCTCACACCCTGCCGTGCCGCCGCACGCGCGACGCACCTTGCACTCCTTGCCGTGGGCCTGCTTGCTCATGCGCACGTACGGGTTGGGCCCGAGGCACGTGTCGCAGAGGATGGGCGTCTCGGCGGCCTCGCTGCCCGTCGACGCGGCGCCCTGCTTGTTCATGAAGCCGTACGACATGGCGGCGCGTGGGTGGGTGAGGTGCTGGTGAGGGTGAGGGTGGAGTGGAGTGGAGTGGAGTGGAGTGGAGTGGAGTAGAGAGATGCGCAGCGCAACGAGGCGCGATTTGGGCACTCGGCGCGGCAGCGTGAGACTCGCACGCCGCCGCGCAGCGCCGCGTCCGGAGCGCTCAAGGGTTGCCTGCGAACCAGGCTTGCGCCCCACCTCGTCGCGCATGAAGCAGAGTGTGGCGGCGGGTGGCCACCACATGCCTGCCCAGCGACTGCGGCGGCAGTCTGTTTGTCGTTTGTCACTCCAGCGTAGCAGGAAGGCAGGAGACAACAGGCATGCGGCTGGGGCGACAAGTGATCCTAGGGTGACGCTCCAAGACCTCGTGTCGTCGCCAGGCGCATATGGCGTCTTCAGATGACACAACCTCCTCGGACGGTCTCTTCATGAATTAGGGACCCTACCGAAACTACCCGTACCGCTGCTGGGCCTGCAGCGAGGGCCAGAAGTGTGGGCGGGCGGGGCGGAGGCGAGGGTGCGACCGGCCGTCACGTGCCGCCGCCCAGCGTCGCGGCCGCCGATGCGGCGGCCTGCGCCGCGGGCGGCGGGCCGCACAAGACACTCTTGGCCGCTGCTGCGCTGCGCTGCGCCGCCTGCCTTCTGCCCTCCATCGCACTCCTCCTGGCCGCGCCTCTGCCGCTTCCCGCACGTCTCTCCGCCGCCTCACCTCCGCGCTTACGCTCAATCCTGCTGCCGCGTTATATGACCGTGCCACCCTCCGCCTCGCCCTCCTGTCCGTCCTGCCGCGCGCGCCGCACCCGTCCGCCACGCCCCGCCTAAGTGCCCCGCCCTCCCGCTAGCCTCTGCCCAGCATGGCCGTCGTCAACATCCGCCGCGACGTCGATGACAAGTTCTACCGCTACCGGTGCGTGCCACGGGCCAGGCGCGGCACAGCGGCGCAGCGTGGTGGAGCATGGCGGCGATGGCACAGCAGCGGCGCAGCGTGGCGGCCACGGCGCTGCGGGGCACACAGACCGCAAGGCGCAGCGCGAGGTGCAGACAGCGCAGCGCAGACGCACGACGCCTGTGCAGTGCAGAGTTGGCAGCCCTGCAGTCTCGCCGCCGCATCGACGTGCGCAGCGTGCGAGACGTGCGCTGGGTGCCGCTCTTGCCCGCCGCCGTGGGCGTGTCTCCGCTGCGTCGCCCGTTGCCATGCCTCCGCTGTGCTGCAAGAGCTGCTGTGCTGCGCGCGCTGCCTGCTGCCGATACGTCCGCTCGCACTGCTGACACGCTCCGCAGCATGCCACTGCTGCAGACCAAGATCGAGGGCCGCGGCAACGGCATCAAGACGGTGATCCCCAACATGTCCGACATTGCCCGTGCGCTCAGCCGCCCGCCGACGTGTGCGTGTGGAGTGCAGAGCATGCCGCAGCTTGTGGCTGACCCCTCGCGCAGACCCGACCAAGTTCTTCGGCTGCGAGCTCGGCGCGCAGACGACGTTCGACGAGAAGGCGGACCGCTACATCGTCAACGGCGCACACCAGGCTGACGCGCTGCGCAAGCTGCTCGACGACTTCATCGCCAAGTTTGTGCTCTGCGGCAGCTGCAAGAACCCCGAGACGGACCTCAAGATCATGAAGGACGGCATGATCCTGCGCGACTGCAAGGCGTGCGGCAAGCGCAGCGACGTCGACATGCGCCACAAGCTCACCACCTTCATCACCAAGAACCCGCCGCCGAAGAAGGCCAAGGGCGCAAAGGGCGCCGGCAAGGCGGCGGGCCAGAGCGTCGAGGCGCAGGGCGGCGACGACGACGACGCCAAGAGCGACGAGGATGACTTCACCGCCAAGATCAACGCCGACGCCAAGGACATGCCCAAGGCCAACGAGGCCGAGGACGACGCCGACGACGTGCAGTGGAGCGTCGACACGAGCGACGAGGCCGTCAAGGCGCGTGCCGCCGCGGCGCTCGCCAGCTCGCTCAAGGCGAACCTCGTGCTCGGCGACGACGACGAGGGCGAGGATGACGAGAATTCGCCATACAACCAGTTTGGCACCTGGCTCCTCGCCAACCGCACCGGCGGCTCCGAGGGCCGCACGGACCTCGCCAGCGCCGAGGTGTACAAGAAGGCCGTCGAGCTGGGCATTGAGAAGAAGCACAAGGCCGTGCAGGTGCTCATCCAGGGCCTCATCTCCGAGGATGCGGCCAAGGACGTGGAGAAGTATGGCGCTGTCATCGTCAAGGTGCGTGTGCATGAGACCCGCCTTCGCGTGACGTGCTGCTCACCTGCCGCGCAGATGACGTCGAGCGAGAAGCACCAGAAGTCGCTGCTGGGCGGCGTCGAGCGCCTCGCGGGCGTCACGTACCCGGAGCTCGTGCCCAACGGCGTGCCCAAGGTGCTCATGGCGCTGTACCAGCTCGACGCGCTCGACGAGGAGGTCGTGCAGACGTGGGGCACGCACGGTGAGTGGCGCGTCTTGACTGCGCAGAGGTGCGACCGCTGACTATGCGCATCGCAGTGAGCAAGAAGTACGTCGACAAGGAGAGTGAGTAGTCGTTGCTGGCGTGTAAGGCAGCGCAATGCCCGCTGACATGTCGCTCTCCTCAGCGTCTAAGCGCGTGCGCAAGGCTGCTGCGCCCTTCCTCGAGTGGCTCGCCGAGGCCGACGACGACGATGAGGAGGACAGCGATCTGGACGACCTGTGAACAGTGGACATGCCCCGTTCCTGCCTCCTGCACCGTCTTCCTCTCTCGGTCTCTCCGCCCTGCTCGCTCGTGACTCTGCTACCGTCCGCCGGCCCGCGTCTCTCTCTGCATCGCTTCTCTCGCTTCTCGCACACATTCTGTACATGCTCGCCACGACTGCGGCTCGCGCTCCCGCTCAATGCCTCACCACTTATTCATGCTCGGCTGGCGGGAGTGTATGTAGAGACAAGACGAGGGGTATAGTGGCGCAGATGCGCGATGAGACGCAAGGCGATGGCCTGCGCGGCTAGTCGCTCACCGAAGAGCTGCCATGGCACGACTAGGCTAGACGCCGGACGCGGCCTCTGCTGCGCCTCACTTGGCCTGCTCCTGCTCGAGCGTCCACTGCAGCAGCACGCGCAGCTCCTCGGCCTGCCGCGCCTTGAGCTCGGCGAGGCGGCCGGCGCCGCACGCCGTGCCCGCGCCGCGCGTCACGGCCTGCACGGCGTCGACGAGGGCGCAGGCCTGCTGCACGGGCGCCTTGTCGCCGTAGAGCTGCGGCAGCAGCGGGTGCGAGAGCGTGCGGTACCAGTACTGCGGGTGTGTCAGCGAGAGAGGGCCAGGGGTGCAGCTGCGCGGCGCACCTTTGAGTTGCTGAAGTCGGCCTCGCGGCGGTGGTCTGCGCAGTGTGAGCTTGGCAGCGCTGCAAGACACACGCCGCACTAACGGATGGCATGCACGAGGTCGCACGTCGCCTCGCCCTCGTTGTCCTGCGCGATGGAGTGGGCGCGCTCCTCGTCGTTGCACAGCGCCAGCACGGCACTGAGGCGCGGCGACGCGTGCGGGAAGGCGGCGGCCAGCGTGGCGGGCGGCAGCACGGCGGGCGTGCTGTGCGTGACCTGCAGCGGCGGCAGGGCGCCGCTGCCGGGCGCGAGGCGCGTGAGGAGCGGAGCGAGCTGTGTGGGCAGCGACATGGTGATGAGGTGGTCGGGAGGCAGGCCGCTCAGGGTGCTGAGCGAGCATCAAGGGATGTGGAGGCGGAGCAGTGCGTGGGAACAGCACTGTTTTCCCACGGACTTGTCGCACGAGAAAAGCCAGCGCGTGCGACTGCCGCAGCGCGACTTTCTGCCCGCGCCACTGCGGCCCGCAGAAGCTGCGCGTGCGACTGGGCGCTTCCTGCGCCGTCGCGGCAGTTGCAGTGGCCGCCTGCGCTGCTGCCGCCGCCGCCCTCACGCTACCGTCACCCTCACCCCACCCCCTCTCGTCAAGTCTCAAGATGGTCTCCTCTTCGTGAGTGTGCCCGCAGGCATGCCAGCACGCCGCATGCGCAGCGCAGAGGTGCGAGGCCGGCGGCTGCCCGCCTGAGCCGTGCTCTCGTCTGGCGGCAAAGATGCTGTCGCACCTCTGGCTGTACCTCTGCTTTCGCATGACGGCGGTGGCGATGCTGCCAGTCCGTAGCACCATACTGACCCCATGTTCGTTCAGCCGCCGCGTGTCGCGCAAGGCGCACTTCACCGCGCCCTCGCACCTGAAGCGCAAGATCATGAGCGCCAGCCTCACCAAGGAGCTGCGCGCCGAGCACGGCGTGAGTATGCGCAGCGGCGGCGATGGGACGGCACGGCGTTGCGATGGGATTCAGAGCAGCAGGGCGCATGTAGGAGCGAGATTGAGGAGAGAACGACCACAGAGACAGCTGAGTGCAGTGTCGGGCAAGGGCAGCGCAGCAGGCGAGAGGCGGCGCAGGGCAGCGAGGGCAGGCAGCGCGGAAGAGGCGGTCACGCGGCAGGGAAGACGCAGAGCAGCGCAGAGCGCAGGTCGCGGCCTCGCCAGAAGCCTTGGTTCAAGCCCCTCTGGCTCGGGGCCAGGTGCTGTACGCCTGCGTCGCTGCCCGGGCCGCCTCGCTGGCTCTGCCAGCCCTTCATGTCGATCCGAAGGGCGGTTGTTGCGTCGCTCGAGGTCGCATGGGTGGCACGTCGCTGCATCGCAGAGCGTGCGACAGGGCCGGGCGCACCTCGGCACGACGCGGCAGCATCGGCCGCGAGCCATCGCCAGTAGATACGCGGGCGTCGCGCCTAGGGCTAGGGCAGCAGACGTTGGGCTTGCACATGCGCAGGGATAGGGCTGAGCGCGGCGGCACGAGGCGTGCTTCTACGCGCGGGACATGTGGCGAGCAGCGCTGGACGACGCGATGGCGGGTCGGCGGACCCGCAGAAGCGTAGAGTGCTCGTCTTTCCGGCGCGCGTGCTGGACGCATGCTCGTAGGCTCGCTGCATGCCGCTGTGCTCGCCGCGCCAGGGCCAGTGCTGCGTGTCCCTGTGGACGCGTGCTCTCTCTTGCCATCAATCGCGCATCGCAGCCGTGCTGACCCTCTCCTCTTAGGTCCGCGCCCTGCCGATCCGCCGCGACGACGAGGTGCTGATTGTGCGTGGCAGCAGCAAGGGCCGCGAGGGCCGCGTGTCGCAGGTGTACCGCAAGAAGTGGGTCATCCACGTCGAGCGTGTCTCGCGCGAGAAGAGCAACGGCGCCACCGTCATGCTGCCCGTGCACCCGAGCAACTGCGTCATCACCAAGGTCAAGCTTGATGCCGAGTGAGTGGAAGCGCGGAGGGTGCGCATCATGGGGCAGCGTTGACGTTCTTTCGCCTCTCAGCCGCAAGAAGATCCTCGCCCGCAAGGTGCCGAAGGGCGACGTCGAGATGAAGGAGGCCAAGGCCTAATTCTATCTTCTCTTCTGCCTGTCGTCCCCGCCTGTCTCGTTCGTCATCTTCACCCCCACCATCTTGCACATGCCTCACGCCACACGCGCCGCTACACGTGTCCCATCTGTAGCAACCCTTTCCTTGTCGGGCTCCACACTGGAGCGCGATGAGAACACCGCCCGTCGCACTGGCGACAGGCGGAGACAAAACATATCTTGCAAACCATTCGGCTTGCGTGCTGCACGCGCGAAGACGCCACCCACGCCGCTGTGGGGTGCCGCAGAAGAGCGAGCGTGGGGGAGCCGGCTGCATGGCCAAGCGACGTGCCAGTCTACCTGGCAGTCACCAGTTGAGTCGCCGCGCGGCATGCCTCGAGCAGCGGCGCTGTCAGACTCGCAGCGAGGCTTGATGGCACAGAGCTGCATTGCACGTCCGACCACCACGGCTTCATTGCACGACCTGCGCGCTGAGAATCTTGATCTCCTCCCTCGGCCTGCGGTGCACGCATCAGCTCTGTCTCGATAGCTCACGCCTTGCGCGTGCCTCACCGGTCGTCTGCATCGACTGCCACGAGGCCGAGGCGCCGCACGACCTCCATGCCCGACGAGACGCGCCCGAAGATGGTGTGCTTGCGCTCGAGGAATGGCGTCGGCGCCAAAGTGATGAACTGAGCGGGCCAGCAGGTCAGCGGACTGCTGTCTCAAGGCACGGCCGAGGCAGACGCACGAACTGCGAGCCATTTGTGCCCGGCCCGCTGTTGGCCATGGCGAGAATGCCGGCGCCGGTGAAGCGCAGCGCCGGAGAGATCTCGTCCTCGAACTGTGGAGGCACGATGCCGCACGTCAGCAGGATAGAGGGCAGGGCGAGCCGGACGAGCAGACGCACCGCCTTGCCGTACACGCTCGCACCGCCGCGCCCTGTGCCCGTCGGGTCGCCGCCCTGGATCATGAAGTCACGCACGCTGCGAAGGGGTGTGTGAGCGGACGAAATGAAAAGACGGCATGGAAAGAGGAGCGAGAGCGGCGTGCCTTGCTGAAGCGTTGGACCAGCCATCGCCGAGGAGCTGCATGCCTTTCTCTCCGTCGCCAGCAGGCATGCACGAAGCGCACCATGCTACACATCACGCCTCTCGCTCCGGGCTCTTGCGCGCATGTCTCCACTTTCTGCGCTTATGACCCACACAACAGCACGCCCGGCTCGCCAGTGAGGCTGGTAGCTACGCGCTGCCGCTGCTCCGGTGTGTGCGCTCTCGGGCTGCCCTCGCGCTCGTGCGTCTGCTCGCTCGCCCGCTCGCTCGCCGCGCTTCCGCCCTCGCCGCTCTCGTCCGCTCTCTCGCTCTTCGCCTGACGCAGCACCACCTACTCACACCCTTTCATAGCCCAGCACGAGCGCACAATTCGATGGTCAGCATCCGTCAGCTCATGCCCTCTGCTCAGCGCTCTGCGCCGCGCCCAGCTGCCAGCCGGCAGCGCGCCGACGCACCGGTGGAAGACCTGCGGCCGCACGAGCGAGGCGTCAGCGCCCAGTCCCGGGCAGAGCCAGCCTCACAAATTGCACGCACCACGCCGTTGTAATAGCCGCGCTGAGCCAGCGTCACGAAGCTGCAGCCACGGCCCCCGTCGTCAGCTCTGCGTCGGCGCACTGCACCCTGCTGCTCTGCGCCGGCACGACGCACTTGTGCACGGTTCGCGGCGCCTCATTGGCGTACAGCTCGAGCACGATGGCGCCCTGCGTCGTCTGCAGCCGCACGCTCTGGGCGCCGCCCTGGGACGCAGGCGCGGACATGGTGGGCGCGACAGGTGGGTGAGGAGGAGCGGCGGGAAGATGGAGGAGCGGAGTGGAGGCGCGCCCGCCGCGCCGCCGCGACACGACACGCAGCAGCGCACCAGGCTCGGAGAAGCGCGCCTCGGTCTCGACAACGCAAGCACGCTCATGATCATCACGGGCGCAGAGTGGGCGCAGATATGTCTCTAGATTGGCACAGCATAAGTCATATCCCGTCCACATCGCACTCAACGCGCCGTCGGCGCAATGGCGCGGAAGCTCGCCTCGTCGAGCTCGTACGCCCAGTGCCACAGCGTCTGGCGCACTGTGCTTGCGTGTCAGCCGCGGCAGAGCGTCCAGCAGCGCACACAGCAACACGCACCGACCGGCGACACGCTCTCGTCGTCCCACTCGGCGCCGTTGACGAGCAGCGTGCGCACGAGCGCCTTCTTGAAGCGCCCGTTGTGGCCCACGCCCGAGACCCCTGCAGTTGTGTCAGCCTCAAGAGTAACAACGGCGGAGACATGCTCACTCACAGCGCGAGATCTGCCGCTCGTCCTGGGCACGCGACTGTCAGCACACGCGCCGCACACCCATGCTCTTCACTTACATCGTCGCAGCGGCGCCCGAGGTAGAAGCGGAAGTACCACTGCCACCAGCCGCGCGGGTCGCAGCTGCGCACCCAGCCGGCCTCCTCCCACTCGCTCAGCGTCTGGCCGGCACGCACGCCGAAGCGGTTCTGCGCCGCGTCGTAGCCGTCGTTCCACAGCTTCTCGTCGTCGACGCCCTCGAACCACGCGTCGGGAAACTCCTCTGCATCGGCATGTCCATCCAGCTCGCGCCGCAAGACAGAGCTGTGGTGCGAGCGGAACGGCCCGCCGCCAAAGATGCCGCCGGCCAGCATCTCGGCGGGCGTGAGGTTGGGCGCAAAGCGCTCGTAGCCCGCCTCGAAGCGCAGCGGCGCGCGTCCGCCGTACTTGGACTTGCCGCGCGTCGGCAGCGGCGCCCGCTTGGCCGAGGCGCGGATGACGAGCGGCGGCGGCGACGGCGCTCGGCGCAGCGAGTGCTGCGGCCGGGCGGCCGGCGAGGGCGGCGAGGCTGCTCGCGCCTGCGAGTTGCGCAGTCCGGCGCGGTTCGAGCGGCGCACTTCGGGCTCTGGCTTGACGGGCCGCGCACGCGACGAGCGGCGCAGGGGCGCCGGCTCAGCATCGCTGGCCGGCGACGAGGGCCGTGGGCGAGGCGCCTTGGGCTTGGGCGGCGGCTTGGGCGCGCGGAACTCCTCCTTGTGTGCGCCCTGCGAGAGGGGTCAGCGAGGCGTGGGATGGCGGAGCACGGCGAGCACGCACACCCAGGCCCAGCGACTCGAGCAGCGCGGCGTTCTCGGCGATGCGCCGCCTTCGCTCCGCCTCGTAGTCGTCCTCGCCGTCGTCGGCGGTGTCTGCCTTGCTGAGCTTGCGCGAGCGCTTCTGCGCCGGCGGCGAGGGCGAGGTGGAGGAGGAGGAGGCGGCGCTGGACGGCGTCGAGGCGCGGCGCGACCGCTTGGCGGGCGGCATGCTGAGAGGTGTAAGGGTCCTGGAGCGAGACGGGCCCACGAGAGGGATTAATAAGCGTCCGGAGCGGGTGGTGGTGAGGAGAGAAGGGTGCGGGTGTTGCTGTGCGCACCAAGTGGAGCAGCGCCGAATACAACGGGCGCGTGCTGCCCTGAATACAACTCGCCGCCGCTTCTTGTATTGCCGCGTCTGGCGCTCGTCGCGCGCGCGGCAAGCTTCGCACCTCGCACACCTCGCCGCGATCTTCCTGACCCCCGCATCCCTCCTCGCCCGCCATGTTCTGCGCCAGTGCGTGCGCCGCTGCACACCCGCACGCGGCACCTGCTGACCCCTGCCGCCAGTCTCCGGCGAGCCGCCGAGCGAGCCCGTCGTGTCCGTCAAGAGCGGCCAGCTGTACGAGGCGCGCCTCATCCGCAAGTACGTCGATGAGAACGGCAAGGACCCCATCACCGGCGAGGCGCTGCAGCACGACGACCTCGTCGCCATCAAGGCCTGTGAGTGGCGGCAGTGCATCCTCTGCTGCACGGCACTGAGCCCCTCCCTGCAGTGCCGCGCATCGCCGCGCCGCGCCCGCCGTCGCACTCGTCGATCCCCTCGCTGCTCGCAGCGCTGCAGACCGAGTACGACGCCAGCGCCCTGCAGCTCTTCACGCTCAAGAAGAACTACGACGACGTGCGCATGGAGCTGGCGCACGCGCTGTACGCCAACGACGCCGCCGCGCGTGTTGTCGCGCGCCTCATGGCCGAGCGCGACGAGGCACGCAGTGCGCTCGCCAGCATCTCGGGCAGCCTCGGCGTCGCGGCGCCGGCGGCGGGTGGTGACGCGGAGATGGCGGATGCGCAGCCGTCTGGGCCGAAGCTGCCCGCTGCAGCCGCTGGCATTGTCGAGACGATGGCCAAGACGTGAGTCAGACGAACACAGGCACGCGCCGCAGCAGCTCACTCCTCTGCAGTCTCTCGTCGCAGCGGCGCCAGAAGATGAAGCGCAAGGCGCCCGAGGGCTACGCGACGCGCGAGACGCTTGCCACCTACACGCAGCTGGCGTCGCTGCCGTCGATGCACAGCACCAAGCCGCCGGGCGTGACGGCGCTCGACGTGTCGAGCTCGGGCGCGCTGCTGCTCACCGGCGGCGCCGACAAGCAGGTGCAGGTGTACGACCGCGCCGCCGAGCGCACCGTCGCGACGCTCAAGGGGCACACGAAGCGCATCACGCGCGTCGTCTTCTCGCCGGCGCAGGAGGGCGAGACGGGCGCGCCGGCGTACGCCGTGAGCGCGAGCGAGGACAACTCGCTGCGCGTGTGGGCGTGCGCCGACGTGGCCGCCGAGACGCCGGCGTACGCGCTCAAGCACGTGCTCAAGGGCTACAAGGCCGACGTCACGGGCCTCGACATCCACCCCTCGGGCGCGCTGCTGGGCAGTGCGTCGCGCGACGGCACGTGGGCGCTGCACGACCTCGCCAGCGGCGAGCGGCTGCTCGTCGTCGACGCACCCACGGGCGAGGCCGACGACGAGGCCGCCGGCGGGTACGCGTACGAGAGCTTTGCCTTCCACCCCGACGGCCAGCTGGCGGCGACGGGCACGGCCGAGGGCGTGGTGCGCGTGTGGGACATTCTCGCCGTGCAGAAGGTCTCGACGTTCCGCGGCCTCGCCGGCGCCGCCTCGGCGCTGGCCTTTGCCGAGAACGGCTATCAGCTGGCCGTCGGCGGGCGCGCGTCGGGCAGCGTGCAGGTGTGGGACCTGCGCAAGCTGGCCGTCGCCGCGACGCTCGAGGGCGCCGAGGGCGGCAGCGTGACGGCGCTGCGCTTCGACGCCACGGCGACGTTCCTGGCGGCGGTGGGCACCGACGTGCGCGTGTGGGGCAACAAGACGTGGGCGCAGCTGCTGCTGCACGAGGGCAACAGCGCCGAGCTGACGGGCGTGGCGTGGGACGCGCGCGACGCCTCGCTCGTCGTCAGCAGCCTGGACCGGACGGTGCGGACGCTGGGCGCGCCCAAGGCCGAGTAGGCGCGGTGCCTTGCCCAAAAGCTGATGTATCTGATGCCCTGCTGAATCCACACCCGAGTTGCATCGCCTGCGTGTGTCGAGCCAGAGCGTAGCCGCGGCATGCTCCTCGCCGAGCCTAGCCGACCAGCCGCCGGCCGGGATCATCATTCAAGCGGAGCTGCAGCGCTGATCGTCGGTGCCGAGCGTGCCGACTCGTGCCTGTTGCTGTCCTTTGTCGTCGGAGCTCCATCCCTGCTGCTCCTGACGCCCGCATGCCGTGGGCCTTCGCGTAGCAAAGGGCAGACGAGAAGAACACGTGCGTCGGCCGTGCTCCTCTCTCGCCGCCGAGAGTGCCGCCACACGCCCCCTGGGGCCGGCTCCGAGCCATCAGGGCGCCCACTGTGACCCCTGGGAGCGGCTGCGGCCGCACGAGAGGCGCGCGCGGCGGCGTCTTTGCGCGCGCCTCGGAGCCGCGGCCGCCATTGCCGTGCCTTGCGGCGGCCGAGAAGTGCGCCTCGAGATGGGCGCCACCGCCCCTGAGGCGCAAAGCGATGCGGTGCCGGCCTCTTTATGACGGCGCAGCCGCTGCAGGCACGCGCGGCGCGCGGCGGCGCGTGCTGACGGCAGCCAAGAGCCGCCAGATTTGCCGCAAGACGCGTGCACCCGCGGCCCATCCATCAAGGCGGCACCGCAGCGCTTGCCTCTGCACCACCACACCCTCGCACCGCTCATCCACCCTCTCTCCACTGCAGCGAGAGCGCCGCGCCGCCGCGCCGCCAGCCATGAGCGTCTATGTCCCGCCGGCCGGCAGCGGCGGCGGCAGCTCCGGCTCCTCGGGCAGCGGCGGCGGCTTCTGCTCCGGCGGCTGCGGCACGCTGGCCGACAACCAGCGCACCTACCTCGCCGGCTACTTCAACGCACACATGCTCAGCAAGCCCAGCTGGCGCTACATGTACCTGCTCTGGCTCGTCGCTGCGGCACTGGCGCTCGTCGTGGCGGCAGGGCATCATCTGCGCTTCCGCGCGCGCAGCGGCAGCCTCGGCGCACGCTGGCTGCGCTGGACCATCCGCAGCCGCACCATTCCGCTCGGCAGACGAGAGGCCAGCGCGGCAGGGCACAGCCATCCGCGCACCACGGCCGGCAATGCCGCCCGCATGCTCAGCCAGCCCGCCGCACATGCGCCGCCCGCCAGGCGCCGCCGCACGCTCGTGCTGCCGCCCATCGGCACGCTGTGCATGGGCTTTGTGCTGCTCGTCATCCCCGTGCTGCTCACGCTCATCGGCGCCGACTACGTGCGCCCCTCGGCGGGCGTGTTTGACCTCGCGGCGTCGTTCCCCAACATCACCGACCCCACGCAGTCGCTGACGGCGCTGCCGCAAGTGTCGCGGCGCGGCGAGGATGTGCAGGGCGCTGCACAGCTGGCGCGCCGCCGCCTGCACTGGGGCCTGGGCCGCTTTCCCGCCGTCACCACCATCGTGGCGACCGTCACGATTCCCTACCGCACCTGGTGGACCGCCGGCGGGCGCACGGGCATCATGACCAACGCCCTCGTGCCCATGGTCGTGCTGCTGGCGCTCAAGGCACCGCCGTTTGCGCTGCTCGCCACGCGCGCCCTCGGCGGCTTCGGCTTTGACCGCCTGGCCTTCCTGCACAAGTGGGGCGGACGCCTCGTGTGGCTCTTTGCCGCCGTGCACGTGGCGCTGTGGAGCGTGCAGCTGCGCATCGACTATGCCTTCGGCGGCAACATGTGGGCCTTTGTCTTTCTCTGGCAGCGCTTCCGCTGGGGCTTCGTCGTGAGTGGCCTGTCTGCGTGACGCCTGCAGCTCGCACTGACCACCGCCCAGTCGTTCGGCTTCCTCACGCTCCTCACGCTCCTCTCCATCGGCCCGATCCGCCGCGACTACTACGAGTTCTTCTACGTGGCGCACATCGTCTGCGCCATCGGCACCATGGTCGCTGCCGCGCTGCACCACCCGCCGCTGGGCATGTGGCTGTGGGCGCCGCTGGCGTGGTGGGGCGCCGAGCGCATCTACCGGGCTGCGCGCACGGCGTGGACGAACGGCGTGGGCTTTGCCGGGCGCAAGCCGCAGTTTGTCGTCGGCGAGCAGAGCTGGCCGGGCGAGAAGCCGCCGGCGTGGCACGGCGCACCGCATGGCGGCCCGCAGCACGGCGGAGCGCAGTATGGCGGGCCGCAGCATGGCTACCCGGACGCACCGCTCGCGGGCCCGCCGCCGGGCTGGGCCTCGCGTGTCGGCCCGCTGAGCAGCCAGGGCGGCCACTCCGTCGACAGCTCGTCGGCGACGATGCTCAGCAGCCCGCCCAGCAAGACCGCGTGGCTGTCGCACGACTCGCAGCCCGTGCGCGGCGGAGCTCCGCTGCAGCACGAGCGGATAGCGCTGCACGACGAGCCGGCAGGCATGCAGATGCAGAAGCTGCACGGCCAAGATCTGGCGGGCAACGGCCTCGACCGGCGGAGAACGCGGCGCTCGGCGCGCTACGACCCTGTCTCCGATGTGATCGACGACTACTCGATGGACGGCGCAGAGACGAAGCGCTTCAGCAGCAGTGCCGACCTGTACAACCAGGCGTACAGCTCGAGCGACAGTGCCTGGTCCGCGCATGTGGCCCACGCGCCGCTGCCGCCGCCACACTTCACGCACATGCAGAGCGAGCTGTCGGCTAGCTCGCACACGAGCCACGCCACGGCGCCCTACCCGCCGCCGTTCGGACATCAGGCGCAGGGCAGCTTCTCGGCGTCCGGCTCGCGCCCCACCACGCCGCGCGCGCTGCAGTCGCATGCGCCGCGCCCCGCCATGGGCGCCGACATTGCCGCCGTGATCCGGCCGGGCTTTGCCTTTGCGCAGGTGCTGCCGGGCAAGACGCTGCGCTTGACGCTGCGCACGCCGAACGCCGTCTCGTGGCGCCCGGGGCAGTACGTCAACCTCAACGTGCCGGCGGTGCGCTGGTGGGAGAGCCATCCGTTCACCGTCGCCTCGGCCTACGACGCCAACTTCAAGTCGTCGACCATCTTCGGCGACGACGACGAGACGCCGAGCGGCCGTGCCAAGGGCGAGGAGCGTACCATGGTGCTGCTGTTGCGTGCGCGCCACGGCTTCACACGGCATCTGTGGAACTACGTCTGCGACCGGCGCGAGGAGCAGCTGATCGCCGCGGGCCAGGCGGCACGCAAGGCGACGACGGGTGTGCACGTGCGTGCGCTCGTCGACGGGCCATACGGCTCGACGGCGAGCGTGCGCTGGGGCGAGCATGCCAGCGTGCTCATCATCTGCGGCGGCTCGGGCGTGTCGTACGGCATGGCCGTGCTCGAGCATCTCTGCGCCTGCCTCTCGCAGGCGCGCCAGAAGGGCTTCGTCACGACGCGCGTGCGCTTCGTGTGGATGCTGCGCGAGTTCAGCCACCTGCAGTGGGTCGCCTCGGCGCTGCGCCGCTGCACCGAGCTCGTCGGCGCACACCAGCTGCAGGTCGACCTCTTCGTCACGCACTTCAACCAGATCGAGACGCGCGTGCCCGCGCAGCCGGCATCGTATGGCGCTGCCTCCTCGCACGCACCCGGCCCATCGGACGCCAGCGCCGCTGGCTTCACCGAGGCCGACGCGGCACAGGGCGAGGAGTTCAACGTCGACGCCTACGACCTGACGCAGTTCGAGGGCGAGGACTACAGCGCGCCCTCGGCGACGGAGATGAAGATCAACGAGCGCCTGCACTCGGAGGGCAAGCTGCGCCGCGCAAAGACGCGGCGCGCCACGATGCGCAAGAAGGCCGGACGCGGAGGTGCAGCTAGTCGGCCCGGGCGCGCGAATGCGCCGCCGATGCCATCGACGCAGCTCGACCTCGGCGAGCCGTCGGGCCCGCTGGGCGACGGCGCCCTGCTTGCGCCTCCGAATCCGTTCGCCGACGACGGCTACACTTCGTCTGGCCCGCCGTCGCCGAACCTGCTGCCTCTTCTCTCGCCGGGCGTCGTGCCCGAGCTGCCCGTCAAGCGCGAGCGACCGCCGAGCATGCTCAAGACGCAGAGCTCGTCGGGGCTCAGCGCCTACGCCGGCAGCACGCACGGCCTGCTTGCGCCCGACGTCGAGTCGCAGGCGGACAAGGACGAGGTGCTGCTGGACCTCGACGCCGACGAGGACGCCGACGTGCGCCACGTCGCCGAGCTGGCGCACCCGGGCCGCCCGCGCCTCGACCGCATCGTGCAGGAGGAGGCGCGCGCCGCACGAGGCAGCTCGCTCCTCGTCACGAGCTGCGGGCCCAGCAGCCTGGGTGCGCTGCTGCGCGCCGTCGTCGCCAAGGAGATCGACCCGCAGGGCATCGGCAAGGGCACGGCGCCGCGCATCGAGCTGCGCAACGAGACGTACGACTGGGGCGGCTCGTAGACGGCCGCGGCCCACCTGCTCCATCTCTGTCCCTTCCTCGCCCTCTTCGGAGGCCCTGCATCTGTAGCTGTACGCGCATCAATCATCCACGTCTGTCAACACACGCTGTGACCCTCCGAGCGAGCCTCTCGGCACGCGCTTCGTTCAGATGACGCGATTCATTAAGAGAGCGGAGAAGTGACGAGAGAAGGGGTATGGAGAAAAAGAGGGTGTGAGATGGGGAGCAGGGGAGAAGGCGAGACGTCTAGACAACCTGCTGCGGCGCCTCGCCGACCTTCTCCTGGCTGCCGGTCGAGTGCTGGCTCTTCTGCTCGTGGCCGGCGACGAGGCCGCCGCTCTCGATGTCGCGGTACACGGGCGCGTTGGGGATGATGAAGCACTCCTCGCCGATCTGCGTCATGTCGATGCCCACGATCTCGTCGTCCTCGCTGCAGCGGAAGTGCATGCCGGGGATGCGGTCGATGGCGAAGAGCAGGATCATCGTGAGGGCGAACGACCAGCCGATGGCACTGCAGCTGTCGGCCAGCTGGTAGCCGAGCTGGATGTAGTTGTGGTTGATCCAGCCGCCGTCGATGGGGTCCGAGCCGTCGAAGCTCGCGACGCGGTTGTCGGCGAAGAAGGCCGTGAGGATGTTGCCGACGAGGCCGCCGATGCCGTGGAGCGCGAAGACGTCGAGCGTGTCGTCGATGCCGACGAGCGTCTTGATGCCCGTGGCGAAGTTGCAGGCGATGGCGCCCACGACGCCGAACGCCAGCGCCGCCGGCGAGCCGACGTAGCCGGCGGCGGGCGTGATGCAGACGAGGCCGGCAATGACGCCGGAGCAGAGGCCGACGGCGCTCCACTTCTTCTCGAGACGGTAGTCAAGCAGGAGCTGGAGGCAAAGAGGTGAGCTGCTGCGGCGGCAGTGCGGCACACGCTCGCCCACTCACCCAGGTGATGCCGCCCATCGAGGCCGAGAGGAAGGTGACGACGGCGACCTGAACCGAGCGCAGGTTGGCACCGAGCGCCGAGCCGGCGTTGAAGCCGAACCAGGCGAACCAGATGAGTGCCGTGCCGAGCACGATGAAGCCGACGTTGGCGGGGCGGTAGGCGAGCGCGTCGGTGCCGTAGCCGCGGCGGCGGCCGAGGAAGAGCGAGATGGCGAGCGCGGCCGTGCCGCTGCTGATGTGCACGGGCGAGCCGCCGGCGAAGTCGAGGGCGCCGAGGTTGGCCATCCAGCCCGTGGCGTCGGGCGCGAGCGACCAGGACCAGTGGGCGCTGCAAGGATGGCGTCAGTGCCGCGGTGTGGTGCAGTGCGTCAACGCCACTCACATGGGGTTGTAGACGATCGTCGTCCAGCAGAAGATGAAGACGAGCACGGGGCCGAGGCGCGCGCGGTCGGCGAACGCGCCGGCAGCGAGCATGGCGGTGACGCAGGCGAACTGCGCCTGGTAGAAGACGCTGCGGGCGTGTGTCAGCACCGTTGCCGCAGCAAAGCGTCCGGTCTATTCACTAGAGCAGCTGCGGGATGAAGTCGCTGCCCGTCGACGGCTGGATGTCCATGCCGATGAGGAAGAAGTTGTCGAGGTTGCCGATGAACGGCGAGCCGCCGCGCGAGAAGGTAAGAGAGGCGCCCCAGAAGACCCACTCGAAGAAGACGACGGAGCTGCGGGCAGGAGGTGAGCGACAAGTTCGGCAGAGCATGCAAGCCACGGCGGTGCGTAGCAGCAGGTGAAGAGCAGCGCATACACGTGCTCAGCAGGTGACGAGCAGCGCACACAGCTGCTCGGCAGGTGACGAGCAGCGCATACAGCTGCTCGGCAGGTGACGAGCAGCGCATACAGCTGCTCGGCAGGTGACAACCAGCGCATACAGCTGCTCAGCACACGGCCATCGCCTCGCTCGCCAGCCCCCGCCCCGGGCGCACCTGCCCGCTCGCACACGCGGCACTCACTACACGGCCATGCCGAGCCAGAGCATGCTGAGCGCGCTGCGCTTGCGCAGCAGGCCGGCGTAGAGGAAGGCGACGCCGGGCGTCATGATGAAGACGAGCACGCTGGCGACGAGCATGAAGCTCACGTCGCCGAGGTTGTAGATGTACTCGGTGCCCTCGAAGGACGTGAGCATGTTGCCCTGGGAGAGGACAGTAAGAGTGAGCATCGCTGCAGAGCATGCAGCAACCGTCGTGCTCGCTCACCTCCGGGCTGGTGGTGACGTTGACCATGATGCGTGCACTGGGGAGTGGGTGAGAGGGAGAGGGTGCGGTGCGGAAGGCGGCTCGCAGCCAAACGACGCCCTCTTATGAGCGTCCAGGGGCGCCGTTCCAGGCACGCTCCCGATGCATGCGGCGCCTTCTCTCGGCCCCTCATTGCTCGCTGATTGGCACGACGCAGCGGCCGGCGCCCTGAGCCTGGCGCCAAGCTCGCTACTGCAGCGCGAGTTCGCCGGTTCGCTCCTCGTCGTCGCTGCTGCTGCTCCACCATCGCAGCCGCAACCGCCGTGGCAGGGCAACCGGCGCGGCGGCGCCGGCGCGTTCCTGAGCAGGTTATCGCTTCCGCTGATAAGGAACCAGACTGGCGCAGTGCCGGCACCTCGACGCGTCCATCCCGGCGCGCTCGCGTCGCCCCACGCCGAAGGCCGTCGGCGCCTCCTTCTCCCGACACTGCGCTCCTGACCGTCACTCGGCCACTTCACGCATCGAGCCGCGTTCGGCCGCGCGCAGAGCTGATCGTCCGTGCCCCAGCCATCTCATAGAGGCAGGCGCAGGCAGCGGTGGCCGGTGCCGGAGCAGGCGGTCGCTCCGCTCGCGCGGCAACTCTACCTTCGATCTTTCATCTCAGCGCTGCAGAGTGCGGCCGCTGTCACCCTGCATGCAGGACGTCTGCCTCGGCTTGATGCAGCGACCATGCGGTGCCTGCAGTGGGCCTCGCGCGTCCATGGGCATGGGGGCCGGCGCGGCGAGTGAAGGCCGTCGATCCGAGCGTGCCCGACTGGCGCGCCTCGCAGTCGACGTTCTGGGGCGTGTGTCGTCTCACGTGCGTCTCAGCGTCGCCTTCCTTCGTCCGAGAGCGTCCCGGAATGTGGTACGGCGAGGCCGCGAGCCGGCGCCGGGATGCGGGAGCGGCCGGCGCTCGCTGCTGGCCTCGCGCCGCGTTCTTGGTCTCACAAGCGTGAAGCCACAGCGAGACTGGCAGGGCGCCACGCGCGGTACCGATAAGGGCCAGCTCCGCCATGACGGCGCCGAGAACTTGCGAAGGCTTGGCCTCCTGCTAGCGCCTCGGCGCATCAGGGATCTGCCCTTTGGCCGAGGCGTGCGACCGCCGAAGCATCAGCGTGAAGCTCCGGCAGCGGCCGTGAGGGGAGGCAGGGGCCAAGACGCACGTGACGGGGATCGCCAGGAGCATCGGGCGTGCCGGCCGAGAAGCAGCGCGCCGGCGGCTCGGCGTCTTCGGCCGATGTGCGCCGCACTGCGCTGCACGGCCGTGCCAAAATGCATGTCAGGCCTCCTCCACCTTCTGACTCCCCAACCACCATGTCCGCACCAACACTGCAGCTCAGCCCGGCGTCCAAGGAGCCGCTGCTGCTGCTCCTGGCGCTCAACGCCGCGCTCGCGGCGCCGCACCCCGTCTCGTGGGACGGCACGCCCGAGGCACGCATCGAGAAGCACGAGGGCGCCGAGGATGTGGCCGCGCGCCTCGTCAAGGACCTGCCGCAGGAGGTGCAGCAGCAGGTGAGTAAGAGGCACAGCAGGGCAAGCGCGGTGGCTGCGGCAGTGGGTGCCAAGGTTGTGGGCTGGCGGCTGCGAGTCGAGCCTGCTGGGCGTGCCTCTGCCGCGCTTGTCCTCCACGCTGCTGGATCCAACAGCAGCGCCCGAGACGCCGTGCTGGCAGCTGCCGTGTGGGGCTGCTTGACATTCGTCTGCCACGCTGGCACACGCTGACCCTCCTGCAGACGTCCGAGGATGTCGCCGAGGCGTTGCGCCTCTTCAACCTGCCCTTCGCCGAGGCCGCCGAGGCCGCTGCCGCACTGAACGCGCGCGTGTCCAGCGCCACGTACATGCACGGCGAGACGCCCGTCGTGGGCGACGCCGTGCTGTGGGCCGGCGTGCGCGGCGCGTCGGTGATGAACGGCGTGCTGAGCAAGAAGAAGGCCGAGCTCGAGGCGCTCAACCGCTGGGTCGCCGCGCTGAGCGACTCGGTGCAGGCCAAGGCGGCCAACGAGGAGCTCAAGGGCGCCAAGACGGCCAAGGTGCGTCGTGTGGATGCTGCAGCGTGGCAGCTGCGGCATACAGGTTGCTCGATGCAGCGCTGACCTTGACTCTGCCTCTGCTGCGCTGTCCACACGCAGGCCCGCGCCAACACGTCCAAGTCGTCGGGCTTCGACGTCTTCCTGCCCGGCGCGCAGAAGGGCCAGGTCGTGACGCGCTTCCCGCCGGAGCCGTCGGGATATCTGCACCTCGGCCACACCAAGGCGGCGATCCTGAACAACTACTTTGCGCGCCAGTACGACGGCAAGCTGCTCATCCGCTTCGACGACACGAACCCGTCCAAGGAGAAGGTGCGTGTGGCGTGAATGTCACTCTCTGCACGCGCTGACGCTGCGCCAGGTCGAGTTTGAGGACTCGATCATCGAGGACCTCGAGCTGCTCGGAATCAAGGGCGACGCCACGTCGCACACGTCCGACCACTTCGACGAGCTGTACCGCCTCGTGATCCAGCTCATCAAGCAGGGCGACGCGTACGCCGACGACACGCTGCAGGAGGAGGTGCGTTGCGCGCACATGTGCCGCACAGCACGCCTCGCTCACTCTCCACCAGATGCGCGCACAACGCATGGACGGCATCGCCTCGGCGCGGCGCGAGGCGAGTATCGAGGAGACGATGGAGCGCTTCGCCGCCATGGCCGCCGGCACCGACGAGGGCCGGCGCTGGTGCCTGCGCGCCAAGATGAGCGTCGACAACCCGAACAAGGCGATGCGCGACCCCGTCATCTACCGCTGCAACATCGACACGCCGCACCACCGCACCGGGTGAGGCGCGCTGCTGAATACGCATCGCCACCTCGCTGAGCGCCTTCCTTTCCAGCACGACGTGGAAGGTGTACCCCACGTATGACTTCGCCTGCCCCGTCGTCGACGCCCTCGAGGGCATCACGCACGCGCTGCGTACCAACGAGTACCGCGACCGTAACCCGCAGTACGCCTGGTTCCTCGAGAAGCTGCAGCTGCGCAAGGTCGAGATCTGGGACTTTGGCCGCCTCAACTTTGTCTACACGCTGCTCTCGAAGCGCAAGCTGCAGTGGTTCGTCGACAACGGCCACGTCAGCGGCTGGGACGACCCGCGCTTCCCGACGGTCCGCGGTGCGTGTGCAGAGGACGTGGCCTGCCGCAAGCCGTGCTGACACTTGACTCAGGCGTGCGCCGCCGCGGCATGACCATCGAGAACATGCACCAGTTCATCCTCGCCACCGGCCCCTCGCAGCAGGTCATCAACATGGAGTGGGACAGCATCTGGGCGGGCAACAAGCGCCTCATCGACCCCGTCGTGCCGCGCTACACGGCGCTTGATGAGGCCAAGGTGTGAGTGGCGAGCACGGGTGCGCATGTGCGGCACGCGGCTGACCTCTCTGCAGCGTCAAGTGCACAGTCACGGGCGTGCCCGAGGCGCGCGAGGCCGAGGTGCCGCGCCACAAGAAGAACGCCGACCTGGGCAGCAAGAGCATCACCTTTGGCCCGACGATCTACCTCGAGCAGGTCGACGCCGCGTCATTTGACGACAACGAGGAGGTGAGCACGCCCGCAGAGCTGCACACTTCATCTCGCTTACCCCACGCGCAGATCACGCTCATGGACTGGGGCAACGCCATCGTGCGCAAGAAGACGCTCGCCGCCGACGGCTCCATCGAGGCGCTCGAGCTCGAGGCGAACCTCGACGGCGACTTCCGCGCGACGAAGAAGAAGATCACCTGGCTCGCCGAGTCGCCGACGCGGCGCTTCGTCGAGGTGACGCTGCTCGACTTTGACTACCTCATCACGAAGAAGAAGCTCGAGGAGGAGGACAAGTTCGAGGACTACATCACGCCGCAGTCGCGCTTCGAGGTGGCCGCCTTTGCCGACCCCAACGTGGCCGAGATTGCCGAGGGCGAGTCGATCCAGTTCGAGCGCAAGGGCTACTACATCCTCGACAAGGCGCAGGGCGCCAACGGGCGGCGCGAGTTCATCCGCATCCCCGACGGCCGCGCCGCGACGGCCAAGAGCAAGGCCGCCGAGGACGACGGCGGCACCGAGGGCCGCAAGGCTGCCGCCGCCGAGGCACGTGCGGCGGCCAAGAAGGCCAAGGAGGAGAAGAAGGCCAAGGACAAGGCGCTGAACGACGCCAAGAAGGCGAAGAAGGGCAAGGGCGAGGAGGGCCAGGCAAAAGCGGCAGGTGCCGCAAAGGAGGCTGCTCCGGCAAAGGAGGCAGCTTCCGCAAAGGAGACAGCCGCGCCGGCACCCGCCGCCGCCGCAGCTGCAGCACCGGCCGCGGCCGCTGCGCCCTTCGCCGAGGCCGCCGAGGCGTCGGCCACCTCGACGATGTACCACATGCGCCCGCACGGCGGCGATGTCGGCGACGAGGCGACGGCGGGCTCGACGATGTACACGATGCGCCGGCTGATCTGAGCGCGCCGCTAGAATGAGATGCGCGATCAGGACTAGATCACTGGTGATGTGACGAGATGGTGCCAGTGCCGTGCAACCTCCTAGCTTGGAGGTTGCCAGGGGCACAGGCGGTGATGACGGCGCGCATGTCCGTGCACCGCCTCTGCGGCCAGCGCGCGTTCAAAAAGCGCCGCGGCGCCGGCCAGGTGCTCCTTCTCTCTTCTCCACATCACCCGCCTCCTCTGCCCTGCCTCTTCCTCGCGCGTCCTACACGTCTGAAGCCGCGCTCTCTGCGTGCCTGCCGCGCCTCGCTACATGCCCAGTCCATCGCTCGGCGCCCGATAGCCTCTGCGTGCCTAGGCTGCTCGCCAGCCCCGCCTCGCTCCGCATCTCTGCTGCTGGCCGCTCGCGCTCGCCCATGCGGCACACGGCGCCGCCGCAGCACATCGCCCTGCAGCCGCTCCACATGCCCGCCGGCGGCCATGCGGCGCCTGCTGCGCCGCTCGCCGCAGGCCAGACGGGCAAGGCGCTGCGCTTCAGCATCGCCTTCTTCGTCTTTGGCCTGCTCAACAATGCGCTCTACGTCGTCATCCTCACGTGAGTAGGGAGCACGGATGCGCTGCCAGGGCGGGCCAAGCGGTGCTCACTCACGCTCTCGCCTACTGCAGCGCCGCCGTCGAGCTGCTACCCGCCGGCGTACCCACGGGCGTCGTGGCGCTGACGAACATCGCGCCCGCACTGCTAGCCAAGGCGGTGTGGCCGTATGCGCTGCGCGGTCAGGTGCGCTACGCGCGGCGCATTGCGGCATGTGCGCTGCTGAGCGCGGTCGGCATGCTGGTGAGTGCAGAAGTGGAGCGAGCAAGTGCGGAGGATGATGCGAACAGGACATGTGCAGTGAGGGCAGGTCTGGAGAGGTGCACTGCTCTGATGGAGTGATAGTACACGCGCTTCGGCTGCTGACCCACGCCCGCTCAGCTCGTCGGGCATAGTCCAGTACTCGCCTCGCGGCTCACTGGCATCGGCATCGCCTCGTTCAGCTCTGGGCTGGGCGAGCTGACGTTCCTGCAGCTGAGCACGCGCTACGGGCGGCGAGCAGGCCAGGCGGTCGGGTGAGTTCTGCGGCGCTGGCAGGGCTTGGCACATCTGACAGCCGCTGCCGCGCAGATGGTTTGCCAGCGGCACCGGCGCCGCAGGCCTGCTCGGTGCCGCCGCGTGGTGGCTCGTCCGGCCGCTCGGCGTGGCGCTGGGCCTCTCGCTGCTCGCGGCGCTGCCGCTGCTCATGGCGGCGTGCTACCTCGTCCTCCTGCCCTCGCGCGAGGCGCTCGAGGGCGACGCTGCCTACCGCACGCTTGCCGAGAGCGAGCCGACGCCGCGCGCCTCGATGGCGTCCGAGTCCGACGACGACGAGGAGCTGCTGCGGCCGCGTGCGCAGCGCCGCGAGAGCATGGACGTGGCGCCGCTGCCCTTTGGCCGCGGTGCCGGCTCGGCCCGCGCCGTGCCGTTTGCGCGCAAGATGCTGCTGCTGCGGCCCATGCTGCTTGTCTACATCGCGCCGCTGGTGCTCGTGTACCTGCTCGAGTACACGATCAACCAGGGCATCGCGCCCACGCTGCTCTACCCGCTGCCGTCGACGTCGCAGCACCCGCTGCTCGGGCGCATCATCCGCAAGCTGGCAGACTACTACGTGGTGTACCAGACGACGTACCAGGTGAGCCAGGCGCATGCCTGCTTTGCACAGTCTGCTGACAGCCTGCACAGGCCTTCGTCTTCCTCTCGCGCAGCTCCATCTCGATGCTGCGCATGCCGGCGATCCCGCGCTCCTGGCTCTGGGCGCCGGCCGTGATGCAGGCGCTGCTCGTGGCGCTGCTGGCGTCCGAGAGCCTGTATGCGTGGTTCCGGCCGAGCATCGCCAGCCCGCTCGTCATCGTGCTCGTCTGCGTCGAGGGCCTGGCGGGCGGCAGCGCCTACGTGTCCGTCTTCTACCACGTGCGTTGCGCGGCAGCAACGGCGCTTCCAACACTAACCCTCGTGCACAGATCGGCACAGATCCGCCGTCGCCAGCGCCCAAGACGGCCAGCGGCGCTCTGCTGGACGAGACAGACGAGGAGCGCGAGGAGCGCCAGGGACAGGAGCAGGAGTTCCGCATCGGCAGTGTCGGCGTGAGTTGCACGTCTCGGCGCGCCGTCCGGCAGCTCACACCCTCTGCAGCTCGGCGACACGCTCGGCATCCTCGTGGCTGCGCTCATCTCGATGCCCATCGAGGTGTCGCTCTGTGCAGCACAGGTGGCCAGCGGGCGGACACTCTGCCGCGAGGTCAAGTCATAGGGGTGATATAGATGTACATTGCCGTCCCGCAGCTGCTCACTTGCCCTTGTGCTTCTTGCCGCGCCGGGCCGCATCGTCGGACTTGCTGCGCTTCTTGCCCTTGTCGCTCGCCGGCGACGAGGCCTCGTCGCGCGCCTCGCCGCGCAGCGACACGATGGTATTCCGCCCCGGAGCGTCCTGCATGGCGCGTGCCACCTGCGCCTCGGCCTCCTCCCAACCGTCGGTGGCGCGGATGACGTACTTCTCGAGGCCGTCGAGCTTCGAGACGCCCGCCTTGGCCTTGTCAGCCTCGGCGCGCTGCTCCTTGGCCTCGTCGCCGGCCAGCTTGAGCTCGTCGTCGAGGCTGCGTGCCAGCGGCTTGAAGCCTGCCGCCGCGTCCGAGCTCGCAGCGGGCATCTCGCGGCTCGCGGCCGAGCGTTCAATGGCGCGCAGCGAGGTGAGAATCTTGCGCACAGCCTTGACAAAGAGCGCGCCGGCCTGGGCACGCGGCAGCGACAGCTCGCGCTCGACATCGCCAATGTCCTTGCGCTGCAGGCCGACGGCGAGCAGGATTGCGCTCTGGAGCGCCGGCAGCTTCAGCTCCTCCTCCTCATCCGCCGGCACCGCCTCTGCGGCGCCCGCGCTCGACTCGGCGACCGCACGTAACCGCCGCATGAAGTAGAGGCCGGCGAGCGCCGGCAGCAGATCGACGACGATGGGCAGCTCGAGCGACGAGTTGGCGTAGCCGTCGAGACGCTTCATGTCGAAGGGCGAGAGCAGCGTGCGCAGCTCAGGCAGCTCCAGCTTGGCGCCGAGCTCGCCGGCGGCACGCGAGGCAGACGCCGCCGTCTCGAGAATCGTGAGGGCCGAGACGGACTCGAGCGTGCGGAAGCGGAAGGAGAGCAGCGAGACGAAGCGCCGCGAGAAGTCCTCGGCGAAAGCCTGCAGCCACGAGGGCCGCTCGGCGTCGAGGGGCCGCAGCATGAGGCTCGTGTGCTCGCCAGTGAGGTCGGAGGCCATCTGCCGCAGATACAGCGGCACGAAGCCGGCGCGGCGCCAGAAGCGGAAGAGCGACGGCGTGTGGCCAAAGGCGACGCCAATCCAGTCGAGCGCCTCGGGCCGCCGCTCCTCGAGCTTCTCGAGCAGCGCCGGCATGCGCCGGGCGTCGCGCACCGCCACCTTGTCCGCGTCGAGCGCAGCTGCCGGTGCGTCGCGCGCCCGCTCGAACGTATCCTCCTCCTCAGCGCCTGCGTCCCGTGCCGCACGCACTGCCAAGGCGTCTGCATCGAGCAGCTCGCCAGCGTAGAAGGCGCGCAGGCACTCGACGGCGCGTGTGCCGTAGCCCGCGCGGGCGTGCTCCGGGTGCACCGCAATGCGCACGACACGAGCGCCGCTGAGCGCTGCGAAGTCGGCGTCCTGGAACTGCTGGCTCATCGACCAGGGGATAAGGTCACCCGACTCGCGCGTGCCGCGAGCCAGGCTGCGCATGACGCTGTCGCGTGCAATGTTGCCCTCCAGCGCCACTTGCACGACGGCGAGCGGCTCCGGCAGCGCATTGCCTTCCCGCGGGCCGAGCAGCACAAAGAGACGGTGCGCCGGCGCGTCGGACATGAGCTGCAGGTCGTTGGGGCTGTTCTTGTAGTGCGCCGCAACATAGAGCGCCATGACGCGCTGCAGGAAGACCTCTGATGCCGGGTGGTAGCTGAAGAGGGCGTCACGGTTGATGCCGAACAGCGTGCACGTCGAGGGATGCGGCGAGCCGCGCGCCGAGAGCGGCGTGAGAGATGCGTCGAGGCAGAGCAGGTTGTGCAGCCACGCCTCGACGGCATCGCCTGCGCCGTAGCGGATCGGCTCTTCGAGCGTGACCTCCTTGAGGCTGCGCGCGCCCAGTGCGCCCGAGTGCTCTGCCGTCAGCGCCTTGGCGCCGAGCTTGGAGGAGCTCGACGTCGACTTGCGCACGAGCGCCGCGGCGCTGCCGTCGTCCTCGTCCGTCTTCGATGCGCCCTCGCGCAGCTGCTGGATGAGCTTGAGGCTCAGGCTGCGGCCCGTGCCCTCGTAGCCGTTGATGGTGCTGGAGAGGAAGACGAGGTATGGGCCCATGAGGTTGCGCACGAGCGCCAGCGGGATCGCAGCCGCCTCGTCGACGACGACCAGCTCGGCCTGGCCCAGCACGTGCGAGTCGGCAGGGTCGATGTACTGGATCGTCTGGCGGTGGCCGCGGAAGATGTTGACGCGCACCACGGCGTCCTTCCACTCGCCGACGCCGCGCTGCACGCTCCAGTCGCTCACCTCGTCGTAGCCCAGCGCGGTGAGGCCCTTGAAGAGGAACTCGAAGAGCGTGCGCAGGTTGGAGGGCGCAGGGCTGGTGACGAAGATGTTGGCGTAGCCGTGCGCCACGGCGGCGGCCATGCAGAGACCCAGCGCCGCCGACTTGCCGCGGCCACGGCCGGCAGTGAGGGCCACCGTGGTGGCCAGTTGTGATGAGGCGAGCACGTCGAGGATCGTGAGGACACCCTTGGCCTAGCAGTGGCATCAGCCTCCATGTCCAGCTGCGGCCCGGCAGCCGACTCACCTGATCGCGCGTCTTGCAGTGCTTCACCACGTCGCCGACGACATTCGTGCCCTTCGTCTCGTCCAGGATCCACTGCAGCTCCTCGTCGCCCTTGCGCCGTGGCCGTGCGCCCTCCTCGGGCGCGACAATGTCGCGGCCGCGCGACACGGGCAGCACGTTGAGCTCGTCGTCGAGGAACAGCGCGCGCTCGCACGACGCGAGCGAGAGGAGGAAGCGCTCGTTGAAGCGCGCCACGGGGTCGGCCGAGGAGAAGTTGCTGCGGTAGCTCTTGTGCACGTCCTGCCGATGCTGTCAGCACGCATACATCCGCCGCGGTGGCCGTACTGCACTCACCATGGCGACGCCGTACAGCTGGCGCAGGCTGCTCATCGTCTTGAGCATCAGCACGACGACTCCGCCGCCCTCGACGGTCTCAATCGTGCGCGCGAGCAGGTTGGGCGTGAGGGCCTCAAAGTCCTGCAGCACGAGCATGCCGTACGTGTTGCCGAGCACCTTTTCCGTCTCCTTGTAGTAGCAGTAGCGGATGTCGGTGACGCCGACGAAGAGCTCAAACGGGCTGGCGCTGTCCTTATCGCGGATGCCGCGCTGCACGTCGCGCTTGATCTTGGCCTCGCGCTTCTTGCGGTGCGTCGTGAAGCCGAGGTCGGCCTTGTAGCACCACAGCACCGAGGGCCGCGCCGCGGTGCGCGCCGAGGAGAGGAGGAAGTGCAGGTTGACGATCTGGTCGCGCGAGTGGTCGCCGACGAGGACGAAGAAGCTGCGGTGCTGGGCGGCGATGCCGCTGCGGATGAGCGCGGCGATGCGCGCATCGAGCTGCTTGCGCATGGCGGCGGCGGGTGGGTGGAGATGGGCGAGGAGAGGCAGAAAGCAAGGGGGCTGAGAGGCGCGGTCTTCTCGGCGCGCTTCTCACTTTTGGCTTACGTCAGCCGGCGCCGCTGCTCCACACGGCTGCGAGGTGCCAGGGGTGCGGCTGGCTGTCCGTGCGCTCCGCTCCCTCATACCACCACCACCACCTCGCCGCCCACTCCACGCATCGCATGTGCCGTGCCGCGCCGCTGCGCCGCCCCGCCTGATGCGCGCCTCTGCCGGCCCGCGCTTCCGCCTGCACCTCGCCCTCGACGCGCCGCTGCTGCCTGAGGCACACGACACGGCCGCCGCATCGCTCGAGCGCGCCGCCGCGCTCCTGGCGCCCTTTGCGCCGCGCCTCGTCGCCCACGCACAGGCGCTACACCCGGCAGACGACAGGCGCCGCGCGCTGCTCGCCGTCGAGGCTCTCTCGCGCTTGCGAAGCGCCGACGCGATGCAGCGCGGCGATGCGGCAGAGGCGGCGCACGAGCTGCCCGCACGCCTCGCCTCGGCGTCCATCGAGTCGACGCCCAGCTACGCCGCTGCCTCGGCGCGTGGCACGGCGGCCGCGGCAGCGCCAAGCACGCCGCGCACCTCGCGCGCTGCCCACCTCGCGTCCGGCACGCCCGCGACGCCCGCCTCTCCGCGCGGCGCCGAGCGCTCGGGGCCCGTGGCGCGCTGGGAGCACACCGGCTCCTTTGGCGGTGCCGCCGCCAAGGGAGACGGAGAGTGGGATGCTGCGAAGACAGAAGAGGTGGCGTTTGGCACCGTGCACATCTTCCGTGTCGATGCTGGGCTGGCCGCGCCAGAGGCGAGGACGACTGTCATCACCGACGACAGCGAGGAGGATGCCGGCACGATCCTCGCCGTGCTCGCGGTGCCGTCGCACATCCATGCCGCCGACTGGCTGGCGTTCGTTGAGGGCGCCGTCGAGGCCTTCGAGCACGTCCGCATCATCAGGTGCGCCATGAGTGAGCGGTGCGCAAGTGCCGCCTTGCTCAGCCTCGTGCCACAGAGAGTCGTCGCCCGGCCGCGTGCTCATCCTGTGCAAGTTCCGCGATGCCATCGACGCCGAGTATTTCTACAAGGAGTACAACAACGTGCCCTTCAACGCCATGCACGTCAGTGGCCTGCACGGGTGATTTCTCGCTTGCACTGAATGCCTCTGCAGCCCGACCTCTGCCGCATCGTCTATGTCACCGCCGTCACACTGTCGGCGGGCACGCAGCCCAGCGCCGAGTCGCTGGCTAACTCGGACCCCTGGCCGCTGCCGCCTGCACCGCGTCGCGGCGACGAGCTCGAGCTGCCGACGTGCCCCGTGTGCCTCGACCGCATGGACAGCTCGGTGACGGGCCTCATGACGAATGTCTGCGAGCACTCGTTCCACTGCGCGTGCCTCAGTCGCTGGGAGGACTCGAGGTGCGCATGGCTCCGATGTGTCAGCACTTGCAGTGAGCTGACACGTTGCGCTCAGGTGTCCCGTCTGCCGCTACTCGCAGACTCGGCGCGGCCGTGCGCTCGTCGACAGCAGCGACGCAGAGGAGGAGCGCGCAGAAGAGTCGCGCGAGAGCGCCTGCGGTGTCTGCGGCACGCAGGAGGACCTCTGGGTCTGGTGAGCACCTCGCTGCCAAAAGCATGGCTCGCGCTGACGGTGCGCCAGCCTCATCTGTGCAGCGGTTGGATGCGGCCGCTACCGCGGCGGCCATGCGCACTCGCACTTCAACTCAAGCGCCCACGCCTACTCGCTCGAGGTGAGGCGCGGCAGGCGTAGCTGGCTTCTCCCTGGTGCTGACCGCTGTCCTGCAGCTGGAGACACAGCGCGTGTGGAGTTACGTCGAGGACGCCTACGTGCACCGCCTCATCCAGAGCAAGGCCGACGGGAAGCTCGTCGAGCTGCCGTCGGCGTCGGCGGCGCCGCCGATGCGGGCTGGAGGCTCGCGCGACGTCGCCGCGCACCCGCCGCGCGAGCGCCTGGGCCGCGCCGAGGAGAGCGAGAAGCTCGAGGCCATGGGCGCCGAGTACTCGTTCCTGCTCACGAGCCAGCTCGACACGCAGCGCAGGTGAGCTGCGCAGCAGATCACATGCATGCGGCGTTCTGACACGCTGTGGCAGCTTCTACGAAGAGCAGGTGCGCGGCGCACAGTCTAAGCTCTCCGACGCGCTGGCCGCGCTGGACGCCGCGCACTCGGCGACTTCGTCCTCTTCCACGCGCGAGGCGGCCCTTGAGGCGCGCATCGCCGCGCTGGAGGAGGAGGCCTCGCTCGCCCGCGCCGCCGCGGCGCGCAGCGAGGCGCGTGCACAGAAGGCGCTCGAGGTGGCGCGGCGTGCGCAGAGCGAGCTCTCGAGCGAGCGCAGCGTCAGCGAGGGCCTGATGCGCCGCCTCGAGGCAGGCAAAGCGGGCGAGACGAAGCTGGCGGTCGACGTGGCGGAGCTGAAGGTGCAAAATGCCGACCTGCAGGAGCAGATGCGTGACCTGTGAGTCGAACTGCGGAGCCTTCTGGTGGCGTTGCTGACATGGGCGACAGGATGTTCTTCATCGACGCGCGCGAGAAGCTCAAGGACGGCGAGGCGGCCGGCGGCGACATTGAGGGCGTGGCCGAGGCCAAAAAGAGCAAAAACAAGAAGAAGGCGAAGAAGTGAGGTGCAGACGAGCAGCAGCGACCGGCATCCAGTGTATACCCCGATTTGAGTCACCGCAATGCCTCCGTGGTCTTGACACTTGCCTGTGCGAGGACTTGTGGGCCGGCATCGTGTTCAGTCAAAGTGCAGGCCACGTTGACGTCGGTCGATGCTGTCGCTGTGCCATGCATCAGAGGAGCGGACGCCGCGGTGCCGTGACGCCAGAAGGACAGCTCCGAACGCCGAACGCCAATCGGGGAAAGCGCCGGCGCTTGCGCACGCCGTCCGAAGGCACGCCGAGGCCGGGGCGAGAAGGAGCTTTCCAGCGAAGAAAGCTTGCTGCTGCAGGACCCTTGACAGGCCCGCGCTAGCCGTGCCCGCTGTGCCTCTCGGCCTGTGCGCGGCGAGCTGGCGGCTCATGCGCGCCTGCGCGTGCGCGAAGAATGGCGCGGGCGAGCGTGCCCCGCAGCGACGCTAGCGAGGCCGATGCTCCCCACAACTCGCCATCGTGCTTGCGAAAGACGTTGCACTCCGTGGACATCTACACGCAGCACCTCAGATCTCGTTTTCTCAATGTACGCCCAAGTGCACCCCTGTGGCTGCGGCGAATGGCCAGATCTCTCTGGGCCAAGCCCTTTGCGGCGAGCTGCGAGCCTGCGAGAGGGCGCGCCCCCTGAGCGCGCCGCGGACAAGGTCCTTTCTGCGCGGCGCTGTGCGAGGCCTGTGCGGTGTGCCGTCTTGGCCGGCAGCTCTTGCTGCATGGCATGCTGGGCCCGTGCGGCGCTCGGATGCATTCCCCACACAGCTGTCGATCATGCAGCAAGCCTGCTCGCCGGCAAGCGGGGCTGGCGGCTGCCGCTGCCCCGGCGAGCTGCCGGTGGCGCGCCGCGCAGGGGCGCTAGCGGGCGCGGCGCGGCCGGCGGCCCGCGCGCCTCGAGGCAACGGCGCGGCAGGCGGCAGGCGGCGAGTCTGCCGCCCCGCGCCGTCTTTCTTCTGCTGCTCAGGGGGCCGCTCCTCCATCATCAGATGCGCTGCTGCTCTGCAGGCAGCATGCCGCTCCCGCGCACGATGCTCCCATCCATAAGAAGCGTCGGGCCCGCGACGCCTCGCCACTCGACCCCAACTCCCTCGGCACCATGAAGCTGCCCCTGCTCGCCCTGCTCGGCGCCGCGCTGCTTGTCGGCGATGCCAGCGCCAGCCTTGGATCCGGCGTCGGCTTTGAGCGCCGACACCACATTGCTGCCGACCGGCGCGCACTCGACGTCAGCTTTGCGCCGACGCTCTTCAACGGCGCCATGCTGACGCTGCAGAAGGCCACGGTGCGTGTGGCCGGCGTGCAGAGCTGATGCATGCTCTGGCAGCCTCGGCGGTCGCACCCCTGGTACGCACCTGTGCTGACCGTGGCCGCAGTCCAACACCTGGCACGGCAAGACCAACATGCGCATCACCGCCAAGCCGCACGACGGCCCGCGCCCGGCGTCGCCGCCGCACGCCGACAGCCCCAAGACGGGCGGGCCGGGCATGAAGCGCGGCTGGAAGGAGGCGACGCGCAAGGCCAGCGCGGCCGTCGCCCAGCTCTCGCTCGAGGAGCGCGTGCAGCTCATGACAGGCGTCGGCTGGGAGGTGGGGCCGAAGCCGCGCTGCGTGGGCGACATTGCCGGCATCGAGCGCATCGGCTTCAAGGGTCTCTGCCTCGAAGACTCGCCGCTGGGCGTGCGTTTCGCCGACCTCGTCAGCGTCTTTCCCTCGGGCCTCTCGACGGCGGCCACCTTCTCCAAGGCGCTCGCCTACGCGCGCGGCCGCGCCATGGGCGAGGAGCACCGCCTCAAGGGCGTCAATGTGCAACTGGGGCCGGGCATGAACATGCACCGCGCGCCCGCCGCGGGGCGCAACTGGGAGATGAACGGAGCCGACCCCTACCTCTCCGGCGAGGCGGCGTACTACACGACCAAGGGCATCCAGGACGCCGGCGTGCAGGCGTGCGCCAAGCACTGGCTGGGCAACGAGCAGGAGATCAACCGCAACAGCTACAGGTGCGTGCAGCGGTGTTGCCGTGTGGCCGCCGCTGAGACATGCCTCGCAGCTCGAACATCGACGACCGCACGTCGCGCGAGATCTACGAGCATCCCTTCCTGCGCGCCGTGCAGGCGGATGTCGCGTCGGTGATGAGTTCCGTGAGTGACGTGGCGCAGGGATGCAGTGCATAACTCACGCCGAAAACCTTGCAGTACAACCTCGTCAACCAGTCGTGGTCGACGCAGAACGAGGACACGCAGAACCGACGCCTGTGCGTACAGACTTGGCGCTCCATGTCGCGCACATCTACTGACCCTTCATGCAGTAAGAAGGAGATGGGCTTCGCCGGCTGGATCGTCAGCGACTGGGGCGCGCAGCATTCGGGCGTCGCCAGTGTGTTAGCTGGCCTCGATCAGACTATGCCGGGGCAGCTGCAGTGCTGCTCGAAGGAATTCACGGGCAGCTTCTGGGGCGCCAACCTCACGATGGCCGTCAACAACGGCTCGGTGCCTGCCGAGCGCGTGCAGGATGCGGCGACGCGCATCCTCGCCGGCTGGTACCTGCTGGGCCAGGACAAGGACTACCCGCGCCCCAACTTCGACGCCTTCGATCCCTTCTACGGCGCCCACCTCAACGCCATCAACGACGCGCGCACCGCCGTCTCGCGCGAGGTCGCCACGGCCGGCCAGGTGCTGCTGAAGAACAAGAAGGGCGCACTGCCGTTCAAGAAGCTGCGCAAGCTCGCCATCGTCGGCTCGGATGCCGCGCCGGCGCAGGGCGGTGCCAACGGCTTCTCTGATCGCGGAGGCGTGGACGGCGTCGTGGGCATCGGCTGGGGCTCGGGCACGGCAGACTACGCCTCGCTCATCTCGCCGTACGAGGCGCTGCAGCGCCGGGCGCGCAAGGAGGGCACCGGCTTTGCGTGGTCGTTCCTCGACTTTGACACGCAGCGCGCCGCCAAGATCAGCGACGGGCGTCTCGGTGTTGATGCTGCCGTAGTCTTTGTCCACAGCGACTCGGGCGAGGGCTACATCACCGTCGACGGCAACGCGGGCGACCGCAACAACCTGACACTCTGGGCCAACGGCGACGAGCTCATCCAGGCCGTCGCCGCCGTCAACTCCAACACAATCGTCGTGATGCACTCGCCGGGCCAGGTCGACATGGAGCGCTTCGCCGACCACCCAAACGTCACCGCCATCATCCAGGCGCACATGCCCGGCTCCGAGGCGGGCCACGCCATCGCCGACGTGCTCTACGGCGACGCCAACCCGTCGGGCCGCCTGCCGTACACGATCGCCAGGAAGCGCTCCGACTACTCGGCCGACGTCATCTGTGCGTTGTTCTCTGGCACTGCCGGCTGGCTTGGCTGACTGTCGCTGCTTCAGACTTCGGGCTGCCCGATACGCCCGAGTCGACGCCGCAAGCGCAGATCGACTACACTGAGAAGCTTGAAATTGACTACCGCCACTTCGACGCCAAGAACATCGAGCCGCGGTGAGCACGTCTGGGCTTGCCCGCAGAGGCCATCGCATGCTGACCCCGGCCAGCTACGAGTTCGGCTACGGCCTCTCGTACACCAAGTGGGCGTACAGCGGCGCCAAGGGCGTGAGTTGCGGCTTTGCCACGCCCCTCCGCTCAGCACTGATCCTCCACCTCGCAGAAATGGCTCACAGCCGACGCATGGAACAGCCGCGAGTGGTCGTGGCCGATCCCCGACTGGCTCTTCGAGCCGGCGTACGAGGTCTCGTTCCACGTCAAGAACGCGGGCGCGCGCGACGGCCACGTCGTACCGCAGGTGTACCTCGGCTTCCCCGCCGAGGCGGGCGAGCCGCCCAAGGTGCTGCGTCTCTTTGACCGTGTGGCACTGAAGGCGGGCGAGAGCAAGAAGATCACCTGGACGCTGGTGCGTAGCCTGTCGGCGCGACGAGCTTGCAGTCGACTGACGCTTGCTCCGCAGTCGCGCTACGACCTGTCCTTCTGGGACACCGTCAAGCAAAGGTGGGTGCACCCCGAGAGCAAGCAGTACACGCTCTACATCGGCGACTCGTCGCGCGACATTCGCCTCACGCTCAAGACCTGAGCGCCGCGCTGCACCTTCTCTCTTCGTCACCCGTCCCCATCCCCTTGCTCCGTCCCGCACCTCTCTGTGCACCTACTGCCCCTTCTAGCCGCCTTGGTAGCCTGTTCGACAATTGCGGCCGAGCTGCAGATCATGCCATGCATTTGCTGCAGCCGGCTCTGGGCGTGGTCTATCGTGGCGAGTCGTCAACGTCGTGAATCTTCGTGTCATGCCTTGCGTTGCCGCGTGGCAGCGTCGGCGTACAGCGTGGCACCGATGGCCGTCGTGACGAACTCGTCGGGCTGCAGCCCCTGCGCCTTGGCCTCGCGCTCTAGCAGCACGCGCGGCTCCAGCACGTCCTCGGGCGTCAGGCGGAACACGCCCCAGTGGATGCCGAGCGACTTGCGGCTCTGCACCATCTTGTGCACTGCCACAGCCTCGTGCGGCGCCATCTGGCGCAAGTGTCAGCCAGCTGACTGACAGTGCGGCGCACGGCACACCCACGTGGATGACACTCATGCACGAGCGCGGCAGGTAGGCGCCGATGGGGATCATGGCTGCGGCAGGGCGGTGTGAGCGCGGCGAGAGACACAGGCGCGGCCGGTGCTGACCTAGGTCGAACGGGCCCAGCACATCGCCGATCTCCGAGAAGGCCTGCGAGTGGTGTGAGTGACGGCAGCACAGGCCGGCATCGATGCGACGCACCGGGCAGTGCGGCAGCTTCTCCTCCTCCTCGCGCGAAATGTCGCCAGGAACAGCGCGGAAGCCGCTCTGCGCATAAAGCGTCAGCAGAAGCCGCAAACAGGGAGGATCTGTCAGCCTCACGTCGCCGGCAAAGTAGACGTTTGCACCGCCCTCGAGCGAGTCCATCGCCCAGCCGGCCCAGAGCGTCGTGTCGCGGTCAAAGAGACCGCGCCCGGAAAAGTGCTGCGCGGGCGTGCACGTCATGAGCAGCTCGCGCGCCGGCGCCGGCGGCTGCGCCGCCGGCGCGGCGAACGTGAGGCGAGCGCGGCCCCACCAATCAAGCTCGGTGATGTGGTCTGCGGGCACGCCGAGGCTGCGCATGAAGGACGCGAGCCCGAGCGGCACGGCGAAGTGCTGATGCGCCGCCGCCGTCAGTCTCGCAGCTGTGCACTGGCGCACGCCGGACGCACCGGCAGAGGGTGCTGCGCATCGGCCGCAGCGATGAGGGCGCTCAGCGTCGGCACACAGAGGTGGTCGTAGTGCGAGTGGCTGATCGCCACGACGTCGATGGGCCCGCCGGCCAGCAGCTGCGCGACGGTGGCCGGCGCGCGTGTGTAGCGCGCCGGCCCCATGAACTGCACGGGCGAGCAGCGCTGCGCAAAGACGGGGTCGACGAGCACGCGGATCGGCCCGCCGGCCGAGGGCAGCGTGATGAGGCCCGAGGCGTGGCTGCGGAGCGTCTCAGTGCTGCGCCCTCGTCGTCCGCACGCGCGCCCGGCTCACCCCAGCCACGTCACGGCCACCTTGCCCGCCGGCAGCTGCGCCGCCTGCACGGCCTGCACCAGCTCGTCGAGCCCGTGCGCGGGCAGCGGCACCTCGTTCCACTCCAGCAGGCGCGCCCTGAAGAACTTGAGGAAGCCATGCCCGCCGGCGCTGGGCCACGGCGAGCGGAACGTCTTGCCGGCATGGTGCGGCAAGGAGGCGTAGAAGGCCGGCGCGACACTCGGCTCGGCGCGCGACACGGCCGCTGGTGCTGAAGAAGAAGACATGGCGCGCAGCGAGGCGCTGCGTGCGGGCGGCAGTGAGCGCAGGCTGTGGACGGGCAGGCGGCGGAGCATGCAAGCTGCGCGGCGAGAGTGGTGGTGGGAGAGCGAGAGAGAGCGAGAGCGAGCGCGCCAAAAGCAAGAAGAAGGCCGCACGCTCCACACCGCCGCCGCCGCTGTGGGCGCACCGGCCAGGCATGCGCGCCAGCCTGGCGGATGCCGCGCCCAGAGAAGAGCCATCGATCCCAGCCTGTTGCATCGTCTCGCACGTGCATTTCAAGCGATACCCGTGCCCTGTCTGCGCCTGCGTTGCCGCCCGCCGTGGCCATCGAAGCATCACGGCCGCGGCAGCATCAGGGAGCCGCGGCCTTGTGCCGCGCGGCCGCCGGCTGGACGGGCGTGGGAACGCGCGCGGATCGAATATCAGGCACGCCGGCGGCGCCGAGTCGTGCGAACGACATCTGCGCTCTGACGCAGCCGTGCCGCGGCACCGCCGCTCTGCGGGCCGCTCTCCAGGCGGCCGCAGCGTCGACTCTGCAGAGGCGAGCAGTCGCAAGCACCACAGTGCGCTGTCAAGGCGCGAGTGGATGCTGCACAGCCCTCGCTTGGTCTGTCTCGGAGGATGCAGCGAAGCCATATGCTCGGACAGACGCGCGGCCGAGGAGGCGCATCAGGGTGCACGCGCATCGCGCGCGCCGCGTCGGCACGCGAAGCCGAAACTCTGGCGCGCGTGGTGGAGGCGGCTGCACGCTGAGCTTGGTGAGCAGGTGGCAGGCGCCGCGGCCGCCTCTCTTCTTCCCGCTCCCACCACCCTCATCCGTCAGCCGCCGCCATGCTGCGCACCCGCCTCGCCGCCTCGGCGCGCCGGCCCCTGCTGGCGCCGCCTGCGCCGCTGCGCCGTCCTGTGGCACGCCCGGCCTCCAGCCTCGCCGACGCCGCGGCCGCGTCGCCCAAGGTGCGCGCGCTGCCCGTGCGCCTCTTCCGCTGGTCGCTCTACGCCGCCGGCAGCGTCGTCTTTGGCCTCAGCGCCACGCTCGGCGGCGTGCTGCTCTACGACTCCTTCACCTACCGCGACATGCACATCGGCAACGTGCCCGCCGCGCCGCTGGCGCTGCACCCCCGGCCCGGCGGGCCCAAGAACCTGCCCGTCATCAGCGACTACGTCGAGGGCGAGGAGAGCGAGGCGGCAAAGACGCTGGGACAGAAGGAGCGCCTCGTGGTCGTGGGCGGCGGCTGGGGTGGTGAGTCAGGGCGCATGCGGCAGCGAGGGTGACGGCGAGGGCGTGTGCGGCAGCTGCCTGAGCGCGCTGGCGTGTGCAGGGCTGGCAGCAGACATGTGCAGCACCGGCCTTGCTACACGCACCGCACGCCACTCCGGCGGAACTGCCAGTGCTGAACATCGCTACACAGCCGTGGCGCTGCTCTCGACGCTGGACAAGGACCGCTACAACGTGACGCTCGTGTCGCCCAACAACTTCTACCTCTTCACGCCGCTGCTGCCCTCGGCCACCGTGGGCACCGTCGAGCCGCGCTCGCTGGTGGAGCCGCTGCGCAAGGTGCTGGCGCGCGTGCACGGCCACTACGTGCAGGGCTACGCCGTCGACGCCGTCATGGGCTCGCCGCTGCCCGAGGCCGCCGGCGGCGAGCAGCGCCTGCTCGAGGTCGAGGTCGTCGACGGCCACGGCGGCGCAGAGGCCAAGGGCAAGCGCGTCTACATTCCCTACGACCGCCTCGTCGTCGCCGTCGGCAGTGTCTCGGCCACGCACGGCGTGCCGGGCCTCGAGCACTGCTTCCAGCTCAAGACGATCCAGGACGCACGGCGCATCCGCTCGCACATCATGGGTGCGTGTGACAGCACTTGCCGGGCGTGTAGTGTCTGCTCGTGCTGAGCCAGCTGACATGCCTGCTGCAGACAACCTCGAGATTGCGGCGCTGCCCACCACCGACCCCAAGGAGCGCGAGCGGCTGCTCTCCTTTGTCATCTCCGGCGGCGGCCCCACGGGCGTCGAGACGGCCGCCGAGATCTACGACATGCTCAACGAGGACGTGCTCGACTACTTTCCCAAGCTGCTGCGCTCGCAGGCCAAGGTGCACCTCATCCAGAGCCGCGAGCACATCCTCAACACGTACTCGGAGAAGATCAGCGAGTACGCCGAGAAGAAGTTTGCCAAGGACGACGTCGTGCGTGCTGTGCCGCTCTGCCCTGCGCAGCACTTGCTCACCTCCGCATGCAGGACATCATCGTCAACGCTCGCGTGAAGCGTGTTGAGCCGGACAAGGTTGTGTATAGTGAGTGTTGCGCGGCACGACGGCTCAAGTCACTCGTGCTGACGCTGGCCCGTGAACAGCCAAGAAGAACAAGGACGGCGGGCTGGACGAGTTCGAGGTGAGCACACAGCGCCCTTTCGCCGCTCTGCCGTTGCTGACACCTCTGCAGATCCCCTCCGGCTTCACGTTGTGGTCGACCGGCATCGCCATGTCGCCCTTCACCAAGCGCCTCACCGAGCTGCTGCCGAACCAGAGCCACCTCAAGGCGCTGCAGATCGACTCGCACCTGCGCGTCAAGGGCGCGCCGCTCGGCAGTCTGTACGCGCTGGGCGACGCCTCCACCATCGACACGCGCCTCATCGACTACCTGTACGACTTTGTCGAGCAGTCGGACAAGGACCACGACGGCAAGCTGTGCTACAGCGAGTTCCAGGACCTGGCCAAGGCCGTGGGCCGGAAGTTCCCCATCGCGTCCAAGCACTTTGAGAAGCTGCAGCAGATGTTCGAGACGTACGACACGGACGCCGACGGCAAGCTGGGCCTCAACGAGATTGCCGACATGTTCCTCGAGACGCAGAACAAGATGACGGCGCTGCCGGCGACGGCGCAGGTGGCGTCGCAGCAGGGCAAGTACCTGGCGCGCAAGCTCAACAAGCTGGCGCGCCGCCGCGACGCGGGCAAGGAGATGAACCCGCACGACTCGGAGGACGTGCTCGACATCGACGACCACGTGTACCGGCCGTTCAACTACCGCAACCTCGGCTCGCTGGCGTACGTCGGCAACGCTGCCGCCTTTGACCTGCCGCTGCCCGAGCCGCTCGGCAGCTGGGCCGGCGGCCTGCTGGCCATGTACGCCTGGCGCAGCTTCTACCTCTCGTGCGTGGGCACTGCATGCATTCTCCTTTGCTGCCGCTGATCTAAACTCCCTGCAGCGAGCAAGTGAGCACGCGCACCCGCCTGCTGCTGCTGATGGACTACGTGGTGCGTCGTCCTGGTCCCGTGCCGTCCACTGCTGCTCCTGCTGACCTCCGCTGCAGCGCCGCGGCGTGTATGGCCGCGACGTGTCGAACCTGTAACGAAATCACGAGACGCTCATAGAGACCCACCGCCACACACCGCGCGCTAGTCTAGGGCCTGAGATTGCGACGGGGCTCCAAAGCGCATGCAGAGAGGGATGGAGGGGAGATGACGCTGAACGTGGAGAGGCACAGTCTGATGCCGCGCAGAGCGCGTCGCACAGAGAGAGGGAAATAGAGTGACCGCGGCGGGAATGAGGGACCGGAGAGAGAGACGCACACGACAGAGCGCACACGCCTACTGCTGCGCGCACTGCACGCCCGGCCCGCCCTCGCCATCGTCCTCGTCCGTGTCCATGCCGTTGCCGTGCTGGTGCGAGCCCTTGGCGTTGCGCGCCTCGCGCTCGTCGACGTCGTCCATCAGCACGTCCTCGACGTCTGCCTCGTTCTTGAGCTTCGGCAGCGCGCGGCGCGCCGGCAGCACCTGCTCCAGCAGCGCCAGCTTGTCGAGCGGCAGCGTCTCGGGGAACGCCACCGAGAGCGTCACGTACATGTCGCCCATCTCGTGGTGGCGGTACGACGGCATGCCCTGGCCGCGCAGCACCTTGAGCGCGCCTGTGGGAAGGCGTGAGTCGATGCACTTCACAACGACTGGGCTCGCCGCAACTCACCCGGCTTGACAACCTCTCCCGGCGGGATCTCGACGCTCAGCGCGTGGTCGTCGAGGTGCTCAATCACCACCTTGCCGCCGGCAAGCGCCGTCAGCAGGTCCACCTCGACCTCGACGAAGAGGTCGTTCTCGCGGCGCTTGAAGCGCGGGTGCGGCTTGGCCTCGACGACGATGATGACGTCGCCGGGAATCGTGTTTGGCGCCTGGTCGGCCTCCTCCTTGAACTTGATCTGGTGGCCGTCGGCCATGCCCTTGTCGATGCGCACCTCGAGCACCTTGCGCTCCTGCACAATCTTCTTGCCGCTGCAGCCCTTGCAGCGGTCCTTGGGGTTGATGATCTCGCCGGCGCCCTGGCACTCGGGGCACGTCTGCTGCATCTGCTGCACCATCGGGCCGAGCTGCCGCAGCACCACCTTGATGCCCTGGCCGTTGCAGCCGTTGCACGTCTTGACCGCGCCCTCCTTGCCGCCGCGCCCGTCGCACTTGCCGCAGAGCACGTGCTTCTGCAGCGCCAGCTTCGTCGTCTTGCCCACGTACAGCTCCTCCAGCGACACGTTGACGCGGTGCAGCAGGTCCTTGCCCTTGCGCGGGCCTTGCGGGCCGCGGCGCCCGCCGCCACCGCCGCCAAAGAAGCCACCGCCGCCGCCGCCGAAGAGCTGCGAGAAGAGATCTTGCGGGTCCATGCCGCCGCCCATGCCGCCGCCCTCGCTCAGGCCGGCCTCGCCGAAGCGGTCGTACCTGCACAGGCGCCGCATCAGCGCCGGTGCGTGCTAGCAGGCGCAGCATCACCACTCACATCTCGCGTTTTTGCGGGTCAGAGAGCGCCTCGTAGGCACCCGTGACCTCCTTGAAGGCCTCCGGGTCACCGCCCTTGTCGGGATGGAGCGAAAGCGCCTTCTTGCGGTAGGCCCTGCAGAGGGAGTCAGCACTCGTGCGGCGAGTTCGCAAGCCTGGGCTACAGCGCGGCGAGCATGCCGGTGCCGAGCAGCGCTGCGCAGCTGGCGCAGACACGCCGGCACGCTCGGCGTGGGCACAGCCTCGGGGGGCCTCGGTGCCATTGCATTGTGCGAGCCAGACACACACGATGGTGTGGCCGGCACTGCGCTGCCATCAGCGCACCAACCCTCGCAGCACGAGGCCCGAGCCAAGCACGCTGCGAAGGCGGCGAGCCTACGCCTGAGCACCTGCGTTAACTTCGCCTAGGCGCCCGCCTCGTCCGGCATGCCATCGGATTGCGCCTGCCTGCCTGCCAGCTTCGCGTCTGCGCTTCGCGAACGACACTCCGTAGACATGCCCGGCCGGGTGGCGGACTGCAGACGCGCAGACGTACACGGACACGGCAACGGGCGCTTGCACGCCTCTTGCACCCTCGCACACCGCCAGGAAACGCCACTCACTTCTTCAGCTCGCTCTCGGACGCATCCGGCTTGACGCCGAGAAGGTCGTAGAACTGCAGCAGGGCGATGCATCAGCCACTGCTGCCGCACGAGGCGCCGGCGCCGCGCAGACTCACCTTGGTCTCCCTGCAGGCAGAGGCGGAGCAGAGCAGAGGCAGACAGTCAGCACAGGCTCGGCGCAGCGCACGAGCAGCGCCGGGCGACGCACTTGACCATGCTGGCGCAGCGAGGGTGGGGCGAAGCGGCGAGGGGTCCGAGGGCGACGGCGAGTGTCGCGTGGCGCGCTGTGCGGAACTAGGGCGCAGCAGAGAGGGTGCGAGGTGTGATGCACCGAGAGTGTGCGTTTTGTGGTATCGGTGAGGCTCGGAGAGAGAGAAGCAGCGCTGGATGATGAGGAAGAGCAGCAAAAGGCACGCGCGACTCGCTGCTCCTCATCGGCGCCGGCCCTTCGAGATTTCCAAGGAGCAGAAGCCTGCGCCGCCGCCCGACGCACCGAGACTCTTACTGCTCCCGTGCCTGCGTCATGCCCGGCGAGAGGCACGCACGCTGCGCCGCAAGCTCGCACCGCCAAAGTGTCGTGCGCGGCGCTCGGGACTCGGGTGCCGCGCGTCTCGCTTCGGCCGCCTTCCATTTCCCACGCCCGCGCTCCCACGCCCTCCCCTTGGGCACCGCTCTCCTCGCTGCTCTGAGGGAGAATCGTAATTGCAGCGCAGCCGGAAAGTACATCGTGGGAGGGTGGGAGGGAATCGCATGCCAGGCTAGAAGGCGCCGCCGCCGCTGCGCTGCACCAGGCGGTCGGGGTGGATGAAGCCGCTCTTCTGCTGCGCCGGCGGCGCGCCCGGCGGCGGCCCTGGCGCTGGCGGTGGGGGGCCCGGCGGCATGGCGCCGTACGGCATGCCGCCGCCCATGCCCATGCCCGGCGGCGGGGCGCCGTAGCCCATCGGCCCACTCGGCGGCGGCATGCGCGGCGGCGGTCCCGGCGGTGCGCCGGGGCGTGGTGCGCCGGCAGAGGGGACGGGATACTGCATCGGCGTGCGTGCGGGCGCCGCAGCCATGCCGGCGCCGTACGGCGTGCGGCTCGCGAGGCCGCCGGCCATCGGCGTGGCGCCGCCTGCTCCGCCATAGGCGCCGTAGCGGCCCGGCGTCGCGGCACCGGCAGGCGTCGCGCCGCCGTAGTTGCCGTAGCTCTGGCCCAGGGCGCCGCGCGGCGTTGCGGCACCGAGGTGGCCCGGCGTGCGTCCGCCACGGGCTGCGCTGGCCTGCGTCGTGTACTGCGTCTTGAACGAATTGCCTGAGGGGCCAAGGCGTGAGCGGAGCACAAGGACCAAGCACAGCGCATACCACTCACACAGCGAGTTGACGTCCGGCAGCTGGTCGGCGTCGCGCAGCTTGAAGCGGCCGGGCAGCACACGCACCGGCCAGCGCTGGATCGGCGCCTCGCGGTTCGCCTTGAAGCCGAGCGAGAACATGCCGGGCCGCTGCCGGTCCAGCGAGAAGCCGTACACGCTGCGGTTCGGGTTCGCCTGCGTGAAGCTGATGAGGGACTGGTCTGCAAGGAGATGTGAGCGTCAGCAGCGAAAGCCGGTCTCCTGCGCAGCGCAACGCACCCAGCTGCTCCTCGCTGCCCTTGTACTTCTCGTGGTGCACGAGCTGCTTGACCATCTGCGCCATCGGCAGAATGTGCCCGACGAGCAGCTCGTCGAGGTCGGAGTACGTGCCCATGTTGCCGACGCGTAGGACCTTGCCCAGCTCGTACTCGTTCTCCTTGTCGAGCTCGAGCACGTCTGCGAGGCGCGTCAGCAGCTGCCACATCACGAGCACGCACGGCACTCACCAATGTGCTGGTACACGCCCTCCTCCACCTTCCACGTCACGGCCAGGTGGTCGTTGCCCTTGGACGACGGCCGCACCACGGCTGTGCCGATCTCGAACGCCGGGTTCGCCAGGTACTCCTCGGCCTGGCCGGCCTTGAAGTTCTTGAAGTTGGGGTGCACGATGGAGCGCGTGTTGCGCATGTTGGTGCGCCGGCGCCGCTCGTTGGCGGCACGGTCGCGCGCCTTGGCGTCAAGCTCGATGTTGAAGTACTTGGGGTCGGGGCGCACCGCGCGCGCGTTGCCGCCGGCCGTCATCTGCGCCAGATGGTCGGGGCGCGCCGTGAGCTCGACACGCAGCGTGGCCTTGTCGAGGTCGATGATCTGCGCCTTGAGCACCTGGTCCTTCTTGACAATGTCGCGCAGCCGCGGCGGGCGCTGTCCCGTGCGCTCGTAGTGCTCGTGGCCCAGGTGCAGGTACTCGCCGTTGATCGTGCCCTCCATGCCCGAGTCGAGGCGCACGATGATCGAGTCCATCATGATGTTGACGACGGTGACATTGACGTCGACGTTGCGCAACGTGCGTTCCGTCTCGCCCGTGAGCGCCGTGAGCATGTCGTCGGGCGTCGGCAGCGCGTAGTCGTTGCGCTCGTCGCGGCACGGCTGCACCAGCTCGCGCGCGATGAACTCGAGCTGCGTCAGCTTGCGCGCGCGCGCCTCGCCCTTGGCCGCCTGCTCGGCCAGCAGGGCGCGCTCGTAGTCGGCCAGGTCGATGGTCTGCACGCGCTCGCGCCGCCGGTCGTCGCGCAGCAGCTCGCGGCAGAACTGCGACTGGTGGTCGCCGTCCTCCTTGTCCTCCTCCGTCTTGCGCAGCGCGTCAAAGGCAATGAAGCGCGCGTAGCGGTAGTTCTGCGGGTGGATGCGCGTGGCGTCCAGCACGTCTGGCCGGCCCTGCAGCTCCTGTCGCCGCGCCGTGCGGATGGTGAGGAAGGCACAGGCGTTGTGCCACACCTTTTGGGTCAGGATCGCCTGCGTCTCCTCGGCCTGGCCCAGCGCCGAGTCGGGCGAGCCGTACAGCAGGCTGTCGCGGTTGACGACTGTGCCCTCGAGACTCGAGTGGATAGCGCGCACGAGCGCAGCGGCCTTGCGCGGGCCCAGGCCCGAGACGTGCTTCAGCAGCGCGCCGTAGTAGTTGTCGTGCGCCGCGCGGTTGATGTCGACGCAGAGCTCGTTCGTCACAGCCGAGATGGTGCGCTCGAGGTGCAGCAGCAGGCGCTCCTTGGGCAGCAGATTCTGGTGGGCGTCGTGCCGCAGCGACACGAGCTCGTCCTCGGTCAGCGCAGCGAACTCCTGCAGCGGCGACTGGGCGTAGCGCGCCACGCCGACGCAGTAGCGCGACAGCACGTCGAGCGACGGGTGCTCCTCCTCGCCGCGCTTGCTGTGCTGGTACAGCCGCGCAACGTCGTCGTGCACAGAGATGACGTCGATCGCCAGCTGCATGTTCGTGTCCTCATCGGAGAACTTGCTCGCCGCGAACATTTCGCGGTGCGCCCGCTCCGCCATGATCTCCACGAGCGCGCGCAGGCCGACAGTGCGCGGACTGAAGCCGGTCACGACCACGACGTCTGGCTGCCGCTTCTTGAGCAGCGCGATGAATCTCAAGCGTGCCTCGTGTGCCTCGCGATCGCGCGGAGTGGCGATGACGCCTTCCGGCAGGTCGAGCGTCTGCGGCGCGTCGTGCTGGTTGCGCGGGAAGTTAAGCCCGTCGAAGGTGTCGGAGTAGAGCAGGTGCCCGCGCGCATCAAGAACGACGACCTTGGTGCGGTCGATGCGCGGGTCGCCAATGCCGTGCGACACAGCCATGACGGTGGGTGAGCTCCAGGAGAGACGCTCCTCCGCCTCGTCCTCGTCAGCCTCGTCGTCGTCGTTCTCGGTCCACATCTGTGCGCTCTTGAGCTTCGACGTGCGAGCCTTGGCAAGCATGCTGCGTGACTCGTATGGGCGGCAGTCGATGCGCTGCGCGGAAGAAGAGCGTCAGTCATACAGCGGCAGGAACAGTCGTGTTTGGCCACTCACGCGGCCCAGCTGCATCTCGCACGCCCTGCCCAGCCACTCGCGGCACTCCTCGCGCAGCCACTCCTTCACCCATGCGCGGCCCGTCGGCACAAGGAACTCCTCCACTGCCTGGTGCACGACGTCTTGCCGGAAGTCCGACCACGCCGCCGATGCCGGACTGCTGCCGTCGCCGTCGTACATGACGCGCAGCTGCCGCTCGAAGCCCGTGAGTTGGTGCGGCATGAGGCGGATGGTGATGTTGACGAGCAGCTGCTCCTCGGCCTCGAGCATCATGAGGAACTGCACCGGGTTCGCCAGCACGGCAGGGTCGTGGCCCGCCTGCACCTCGCGGAACTCCGGCACCGGCTTGCTGCCGAGGTACTTGAAGTTGTAGTACGGGTGCTCCTCGTCGATCTTTGACTCGCCGCGCTCCGTCGGCACCACGTCAATGACGCCAAAGTAGCGGAAGAGCTGTCGTGTCTCGTGGCGCAGCGTCGGGTCGCGCCCAATCTCGTGCGACAGCAGCAGCTTGGCGTCGTCGAGCAGGCGCTCCGTCGTGGTCAGGCCGTCCTCCTCGCGCAGGTACTCGGGCGCCAGCGCATCTGGCTCCTCCTGCGGGTCCTGCCACGTGTGCGGCCGGACCGCGGTGGAGGACTGGTAGTTCTTCGCCAGATGCGTCGAGGGCATGGCGGCGCGGCGCGCGAACTGCACGGCGATCGTCTTCTTGACGCGCTCGTACCGGCTGACGAGCGTCGGCCGCTTGAAGCCCAGGGCGCTGGGTCCTGCCTCGAGAGCCTGCACGTCGCGCATGCGCTGACCAGCGACCATCGCGAGCCAGTCGGACACCTCGCCGACCTCCTCAGTCGACTCGGCGGCATCGAGCATGCGGTCAAAGTCGCTGCGGAGGTTCTGCATCTCGACGTCGTCCTCGTTCATGCGCTCAAACGTGCCCCGCAGGCTCTCTTTCCGAGCCAGCAGCGTCTTGAAGCGCAGGCACGCAGTGACGAGCCCTTGCAGGTCGCGGCGGTTGAGCAGCTGGTAGACGGTGCGCTGCCCCGCAGCGTCCTCGCCGCGCATCTCGATCTCGTCGGGGTGGTGCACGAAGAGGTACATGGCGTCGCGGTGCTCGTTGATGACGAGCTGCACGACGCGGCGCACGCACATCTGCCACACGCTCAGCATCTGCGTAAACTCGCCGTCGGGCGCGAGGAAGAGGCGCTGGCAGCGCAGCGAGATGCGCGGCGCCACCCACTTGGCCGCCTCGTCGAGCTCGAGCTCTGTCAGCGTGCGCTCCAGCAGCTGCAGGCCCTCCTCGCCCGGCAGCGCAAGCTGGAAGCGCTCGGGAATGTCGGCGCGCTTGATGCGGTCGTCCTCCTCGGTGAGCATGCGCTCCTTAATGGCAGCCGGCTCGAAGATCTGCGCGCGGCGTCAGCGAAGATCGCCGGGCCACAAATGCCTCGCACGGCCCACTCACGTCCTTGAACTCGACCTTCTTTTTGCTCTCCTCCTGCACGTCGTCGGCCTCATCCATGTCATCCTCTGCGCCCGGCACGCCCTCGCGGTCGCCCTTCTTGAACGCCCACGCGAAGTCCTCGCCGTCGCCAAAGATGTCCGCCAGCTCCTCCCAGGCCTCCTGGTCGATGCCGGCGCGCGCCGGGTCGAGACCGCCGCTGCCCTTCTCTGCGCGGCGGGCTGCGCGCTCCGCCTTGCGCGCCGCCCGCTTGGCGGCACGGCGTGCCTCGCGCTCAGAGTCCGAGACTTCGGAGCCGGACATGTCCGAGTCATCGTCATCGTCGATGAAGTCCTCCATCTCGTCCTCGTAGCCCGTGGGCGCCGGCGCAGCGAGCTCGCGGCGCGCGCGGGCGTCGGCGGCATGCCGCAGGGCGTCGGCGGCCGACGGCAGCTCCTCGTCGTCCTCATCGTCGTCTTCCGTGGCGCGGCGACGTGACGGCGCCGGCATCTCGTCGTCGTCATCGTCGAACATGCGGCTCAGGTCCTGCGCAGCGGCGGCGCCGCGCTCGGGCGTGGCCGAGCCGCGGCGGAAGCGCTTGAGCTTGCGCTCGTCGCGCCGGCGCCGCTGGCCCGTGTTCTCGGCCAACAGGTCGAGGTCGTCCTCGTCGAGCTCCTCATCCTCGGCTGTGCGCGATGTCAGCGCCCGTCGCTGCACGTGCCTGCTGCGCACGACTCACCCATCTGCCGCCGCCGCTTCTGCTTGCGCCTCCGCCGCTTGCGCTTCTTCTCTGCGTCGCTGTCGCCGCTCTGCTCCTCGTCGTCCTCGTCGTCGACGATGAAGCCGGCGGCGACGCGCGCCGCCTCCTCCGGGTCGTCGTCCTCCTCCTCGGAGCTGTCGGCGCTGCCGCTGACGCTGCCGGCGACGATGCCGCGGCCGCCGGCGACGAGGTCCTCGCCGTCGTCGTCGGACTCAGCGCTGCGCCGCGCCGCACGGGGCGCTGCCGCAGGACTGCTCCGCGCGGACATGTGTGGAGTGTGTGGGAGCGGGCGGCCGGGGTGTCGTGGTCAGGAAGATGCGGGGCGCACTGCACACGACGCGACCGCCAGCAGCCCTCAGGCGAGCAACAGGCGCGCGCGCCGCCCTGGGCGCGGCCAGGCGCTGCTCGGCCGACGCCGCCCGACGCGCGCCTCCGCCGGCGCTCCACGTGCGGCGCCGCCCCGCACCGAGGCTCCTCATCGTGGCCCTGCTGCCTCTCGTCCACCACCCGCCACACTCACGCCGGCCTGGCCACATCACACCTCGTTGCTCTGCCATGTCACGCCCCTCTTCCAGCGCCGCGCGCGCCGCCTCGCCCGCGCCCTCGCCGCTGCAGCTCTACACGACGCTCGCCGCCTACGCCGACGCCCTCGATGCCCTGCCGCTCGACCTGACGCGCTCCTTCAGCGACCTGCGCGAGCTCGACGCCGTGCTCGGCTCGCATCTGGCGGGCTTGACGGCGCGCCTGGCGCAGCTCAGCGCCGCCGTGCGCGACGCGCGCGTCGAGCCCGGCGAGCGCCTGCTGGCGCTCAAGGAGTGCGCCGAGGAGGCGCGCGCGTACAAGATGGGCGGCGAGGACAAGATCCGCGTCGCCGTCAACACGGCCGAGACGGTGAGTAGTGTGTGCAACATGGTGGTGCGAGAGAGGCAAGTGTGGCAGAGCGAGTGAAGCTCGCCTGATGGCAGCGCCCGAGCGCTGAGCATGACGATTCGTGCCAGGCGAGAATACCTGCGTGGCAGCACAGCACCGCAAACTGCAGCGTAGCTCTGATTTTGCGCTCTTACAGCTGCACATCTCGAGCGTGCCTGCGGAACCGCCGCTCTCGGCAGCCCGATGCCCGCCTTGCCCTCTCTGACTCGCGCTGCCTGTGCTCACCCTGACCTCTATGCAGATCATCTCGCACTCCAACTACATCACCTCGCTCCTCTCCACGCTGCAGGCGCAGCCGACGCTGGCCCCCTTCCTCGCCGCGCCGCCGTCGCACATCGCTGGCCACCTCTCCGACGGCACGCCCATCGGCCTCGCGCCGCCCACGCCCGCCGCCAAGCCCAAGAAGGGCCAGCCGCCGCGGCTGGCGGCACGTCCCACGTCGTCGGCCGGCGGCGCGGCAGGCAGCACCAGCGCCTCGGCCAGCAGCTCTGCCGCGCTGCCGCCCGCCGCGACGCCGCCGAACAAGGCCGCGCCGACGCCCAAGAAGCGCAAGGCCGACGCCGAGCCCGCCGCCGCGTCCAGCAGCGCCTCGCGGCCGCCCAAGAAGAAGGCCGCGCCCGCGGCGACGGCGCAATCGAGTGCCAAGGCGGTGCGCGGCACGCCGCTGCCCGAGGAGCCGCGCCGCCCGCCGCCGCTTGGCCCGCCGCCCGGATTTGAGCCGGTGTATGCGACGCCGGCGATGGGCCCGCAGCGTGCGCGCCGCCCGCGCGTCACCAACGAAGACATGGACGAGTCCGAGGGCGAGGGCGAGAAGCGCTACTGCTGGTGCGACAATGTCAGCTACGGCGACATGATCGGCTGCGACGGCGACGACTGCGAGCGCGAGTGGGTGAGTGCTGGGCGTCATGCGCTGCCATCGTGCGCCGGGGCCTGCGCTGATTGCACACTCTGCTGCAGTTCCATCTCGGGTGCGTCGGCATGCTCAAGCCGCCACAGGGCACCTGGTATTGCGCCGACTGTGTCTCGAAGCGCGCGGTGAGTGGCATTGCGGGTTCCCAGGAGCGAGGAGCGGGCATGCTGACGACTTGGACTCTGATCAGGCACGCGGCAAGTCGAAGAAGGCGGCGCCTGGTAAGGCCAAGGGCACAGCACCAGCGAGGGCCGTTGCTGGCGGTCGCAAGTGATCTCGTCGATGCAGCTCTCTGCTCTCTCCACGGCCCCTTTTCCAGCGCGTGTCCCTCTAATGAACAGCTCACACAAGTCTGTCTCGAGGACGTTTCTATCCTTGCATGACTGGCACTCTGGCGTCTCATTCCCGCCCGATGCCCTCGCCCCGGTGCAGCGTCAACCGCTTGTCCTCGCCGCCACTGGCGATGGCCTGTCCATCGCTCGTCCAGTCGAGCGCCAGCACCTTCTCCTTCTCCGCGCCCTTGCCCGCTGCCTCGCCGGACGCGGCTGGCGGGCGCGAGAGCGCGAACAGGGCCGCCTTGGGCGAGCGCGCGTCCCAAAGCTTGACGCTGCCGTCGTGGCTGGCGCTGGCGAAGAGGTGCGCGCTGCTCGGATGCGCACGCACGGCGCTGACGGGTGCGCTGTGTGCCGAGGCGAGAGGCAGAGTGATTGCTGCTGCGTCTGCGAAAGCCCTTGGGTCAGCAGGTGGAATGCGAGAGAGGAAGAAAAAGCACGCACTGAGCCGCATGTCCCAGATGCCGATGCTGCGGTCCACGTGTCCAGTGAGCAGCACCGGCGCGCTGCCGGCCATGTGGTCGAGGCAGAGCAGCACCTTGTCCGAAGTCTGTTTCGCGCGACTGTCAGCTCCTTGCTCGGCAGGCGATGTGAGCAGACGTATCGCACCTTGCTGCTGCTGGCGCTCTGCGAATCGACGTCCCACTCCCGCACACTGCCGTTCCATCCTGCGCTGTACGCCTTGCCCTCTGCGCCCCACACCACGCCGCCGACGCGCGCGTTTGCGCTCGGCACGCCGGCGTTGGGCGGCGCGTGCCACAGCGTCGCGAGCGGCTCGAGGCGTGCGCCCTCGGGCGCCGCGACGCCGCGCTCGGCGCGCCGCTTCTTCTTCGAGCGGCTCTCGTCGGCGTCGCTGCGTGCGGCCAGCGACGTGGGCAACCACAGCGACACGCAGCCGTCCCAGCCAGCAGCCAGCGCCTGCGATCCGCGCACGGAGAGGCTGCACAGCGGCGCCCGCACACTGCCGCCGTGCGCCGCGCCGCTGGCGACGTGCGTGGCCGAGTACATCTGTTCGGGCCCAGCGGACGTGGAGGAGAGGGAGAGCAGGTGGATCGTGCCGTCCATGCCTGTCGCGAGGACTTGCTGCTCCGCATCAGAGCCAATGAAGCGCGCCGACGTTAGGCCGCCCGGTGCGGCCACCCGCTGCGTCAGGAGCGGCTCGGTGCCCGTCGCGCCAAAGAGGCGCAGCGTCGAGTCGTACGCCGCGGTGAGGAAGAGCCTGGACGCCGGGTAAGTGCAAGGCTCTACACAAACATACACGCCGCACTCACCCGTCACTGCGCGCGTCAATGTCGCTGAGCCAGTCGTCGCACTCGCGGCTGCTGGCGAAGCGCGGGGGCAGCGTGCTGCGCACGTACTCGATGTCGAGCGTCTCCTCCTCGGTGCGGCCGTGCGCCGCGAGCCAGGCGTCGATGGAGCCGCGCAGCAGCTCGCCGTCGATGATGAAGTCAAACGGGATGCTGGCGGCGCTGGCGGCGTCGCCCGGGCTCAGCAGGCGGTTGACGAGCGTGGAGAGCTGCGTGCGGCGCCAGGAGAGCGGCACGAGGTACGGCTGCTGCGGGATCTGCAGCGTGGCGAGCGACGTGCGCAGCACGATGGGCACCTGGCGCACGGCCGGCGCCGCGGGTGCAGGTGCGGCCGACGTGGAGGCGAGCGTCGTCATGGCTGGTGCGAGGGTGTGGTGGGGGAGCAAGAGCGGCGCCGGCGGGCAGGAAGAAGCACGAGGCGGCCGCCGCGCGCACTGGACGGCGCCGCCAAAAACGGCTGACGTAAGCACGTTGCGCGTGGGAACACGCCCACGCCCATGGCCCTCCTCGCTGCTCCACCTCGCTTCGCTCCACACCGTCACACCTGCACACGTGCCCCAAGCACTCGCCGATCATGGCCAGCCTCAAGGCAGCACGCCGAGGCATACATGCCGCGGGCAGTGCTCGGCGCCGCAGAGCCGCCGCCGCGCCGAGAAGCGTGCGGGCCGTTGAGCGGCTGGCGCGTCCAACGGCCGGCGTCAGGCGCGCGCCTCTGCGTGACGCACACCTGCTCAACGTCTACGCTCTTGCTGCTCTGGCGCGGGCTAGGCATGAAACATGCACTGCACTTCCGCTCGCTTGTGTAGCCGTCAGTGCTCGCTGAGCCGTCTCGACCACCACCATCCCGCCTGCCGCCATGTCGTACAGCCGCCGACGCGTGGCCTCCTCGCGAGGAGGCTCAGTCACGGCCTCCGAGGCCGCCTCTACCTCGCCACGCATGCCCAGCACGCCCTCTTCTGCTGGTGCAAAGAACGTGCCCGCCTCTGGGCGCTCCACGTCCGGCTCGCACCACTCGGCGCCGCGGTCGATCCGCCGGCGTGTCGCCTCGTCAACCTTCTCGCCCTCGGCGTCGGAGATCTCGGAGCGCATCCTGCCGCCGCTGCCCGCGCAGCCCAGCGGCAACCGTGACTGGGCGGCACGATTGCGCGAGCCCAGCGTTGCGGCCGTCATGCCGCTGGCCGAGCTGCCGGGCTTCGAGGAGGCCGTGCGTGCCAATGCGCGGCGGCCCAGCGCCCTCTCCTTCGGCGCCGGCGCCTCGGCGTTTGGCGAGCGTGTACGCAGTCTTGCTGCCGGCTGGACGGCACCGAGCGTACCTGCAGTGCCCGATGGCTGGTTCCGCTCGCGCAGCGCAGCCGCACCACGCGAGAGTGGCCTGCTGCCGCCCATTGCACTCGAGAGCGGCGAGAGCTCGGCGTCGTCCGACGAGGAGCAGAAGATTCGGCGCATGGAGACGTCGCACAAGGACGGGTATGGCGACGAAGACGAGGAGCTGCCGGAGCAGACGATTCGCGTGATCCAGTCGGGCAACATCATCCTCGAGCAGAACGTGCACCCGAGCTCGTGGTACGAAGACCTGCCGACGCGCCGCGTCAGCACGCAGCGCCGAGCAGCAGCAGACACCAAGATAGTGGAGGAGAGACGGTCAAGCGACTCAAGTGACGAGGCGTGGCATGTGCAGGCTCTGCCGTACGAGCCGCCCGCGTCCAAAGACCGACGCGCACAGGCTTGGATCGCCTCGCCGCGCTCACCGCAGTCCTCGACCGCCTCAGCCTTCGACACGGCCTCTGTGCCTCCGTCCGTCGGCGGACATCAGGTCGCTGATGACAGCCGTGCGGGTGCAGCGCTGTCGGTGCCGAGCAGCGTGGCACCCTCTCGCGCGCCCTCGTCGCTCTCCTTCGCCTCCCTCCTGGCGCCCTCGCACGCCTCGAGCGCCCTCGCAGACGTCGGCGCCTCGCTGCGCTGGTCACAGAAGTTCCCCGAGGGCGCCCACATGTCGCGTGCTCGCTCTTCACGTCTCTCGATGCCTGTTCTTGCGCCCTCTGCCTCGACACAAGGAGGGAGACGCGGCTCGATGTGGAGCTTCGGCGAGAAGGAGAAGGACGCTGGCACGACGATCCCGACGCTGAGCTACGATGCGGCGTCAGAGGACGAAGATGACTGGGGCCACAAGCCACACTCGCGCCGCAAGAGCCGCACGTCGCTCGCCGAGACGCGCAACGGCCTGCGCTTCCTGGCGCTCAAGCGCGAGGAGGTCGAGATCGAGGACGACGCCAGCTTTGTCTCCACGCTGCGGCCGGAGAAGGAGGGCGTCGGACAGCCGCTCTGCCAGGAGACGGAGAGGAAGGCGCGGTGGAACACGTTCAAGTGGGTGCTGTTTATCAGCGTCATCGTGGTGAGTGAAGGCGCGCACAGCTGGGCCAACTCCTGGCTGACCTGGCGAGCCCTCGCAGCTGTTCATCTATGGCACCATCGGCCTCATCTGCTCGTTGTTGACATGGTCGCGCTCGTGGGAGCGCGCCGACGTCTCTGCTGTCGTGGACACAGACATCCTGATCTGTGCGTCTGTCTCTCTGCGCAGCGTGTCACTTTGACTGACCCAGCTCTACCAGTCCTCACACTGGCATCGTTCCTCTGTCTGCTTACCGCCGTGGTCGGGCTCTGCGGCACGATCCTGAACAGCCGGCCCATTCTCTCGCTGTACGCCTTCTTGCTATGGCCGACGCTCGTCAGCCTGCTCGTCGTTGGCTACTCGAGCTACAAGCGCGAGAACCTGCGTCTGGACCGCAAGCTCAACATGGCGTGGAGTCGCTACTTCGACGACCTTGATCGTCTGCGGATACAGAACAATGTGAGTGTCGCAGCGAGCCTGCCCGGCATGCTTCTGACCGTATCGCTCCTCAGCTGCACTGCTGTGGCTTCTACACGCCGCTACGTAAGTTGCAGTCCTTCCATGGCGCTCCGTACCTCTGCTGATCTTGGCGCCCCAGACCAAGCCACATTCTCTCGCACCTGCTATCCGCGCACCTCGCTGCCGGGATGCAAGGGCAAGCTGTTCCGCTACGAGCGCCTGGCGCTGCGGCGGCTGTACAGCGCCATCTTCTCCGTCGTCTTCCTGCATCTCGGCTGCATTGCCGCCTCGCTGCTCTGCTCCAACCACGTCAACTCGACGTTCGGCAAGGGCCTGACGCCGCGCGCCTACCGCCTCGACATGACGCATGTGCGCCGGAACGCCATCAGCATCATGGGCGCTCTCACCGCCGCCGACGCAGCGCGCTCAGCTGCTTCGCTGGCACCTCCAGCCGGAGGACAAGGCGGCGAGAAGAGCTTTGCGTCCATCGACCTGCAGCGTCCCGAGCAGCCGGCCGCTACGCCACGCTCAGCCTTCCATCCGCGCAACATCATGGCGCGCACGACGCTCGCGGCCGCGTCACTCTTCGACCGCCCGGCGCTGCCGCCCAAGAGCCCTGCGCGCCAGACGTACGCCTTCACCGCGCCAAGCAACGCTTTCGCAGGTGCCAGCATGCAGGAGCACAGCATCCGGCCCGTGCGCAGCGACGCTCGGCGAGAAGCGCACGACGACGTCCGCGGCCTGGGCTTCGATGTCGACCTGGGCCGGCGCGAGGCGGGCGAGATGGATGCGCAGCGCCTCGGACGCCCGATGCGCTGAGGCCGCACATCGTTGCCTCTGCCACCACATTCCTTTCGTATACCACCCTTTCTGCCTCATCGACAATGAGACCACGCTCTTTGCACTCTCTGCGTGCGCCTGACTAAGTCGTCGCAAGCCTGGTCGCTGATGACTGATATTGCCTCCTTACGCCCTCTCCTTGCCTCACCTGATGATCTAGAGCTTGGCGAACGTCGGTGTCTGCTTCTGCATGACTGCGAGCATCTACGATTCGCGCAAGCAGCCATCAGCGGCCATCTCGGAGCGGCACGAGGCCCAAGCTAGCAGACTCACCGCGACGGGAATGTCCTCGCTCTGCAGCATGGCCGCGTTCCACACAGCCGTGTACTTGAGGCCCTCGTCGACGCTGTGGTCGCGCGCATGCAGCAGCAGCCGCTTGGTACTCCGCAGCGCAATCGGCGCCTTGGTGGCCATCATCGCCGCGCTCTCAATTGCCGCCGCTGACAAGCGAGGGTCAGCCGCTTTTTGGGCCCGCCGAGATCGGCGAGAGCACTCACCAAGCACGCCGTCCCGGCCGCCCTTGACAACCCGGCTCAGGAAGCCGATGCGCAGCGCCTCCTCGGCGTCGAACTCGCGGCACGTGTAGCACAGCTCACGCGCCACGCTGTCGTTGCCGACGACCTTTGGGAAGCGCTGCAGTGTGCCGACGTCGGCCGCCAGGCCAGCATCGACCTCCTGCTCGCTGGCGCGTCAGCTTCGGCCAGGCAGCAGGTGCTGAGAGAGACGCACCTTGATGCAGAAGCGCGCGCCCTCCTCGGCAAAGCGCACGTCGACGCAGCACAGCAGGTCCACCGCCAGGCCGTAGGCGATGCTGTGCACGGCCGCGACGATGGGCCGGTCGCAGTCCTCCATGGCGGTGAGGCAGTCCTGCAGGTCGCGCAGCCACGCGTGCATCTTGTATGCCTTGCGCGCCACGTCCGTCTCGCCTTCAGTCGCGGCGGCGATGCCCGCGGCCGTCACTGCGAGCAGCGTGAGCTAGGCACGACGGCACCGAGGCGGCAGAGACGCACAGTCCAGCCCGGCAGTGAAGCAGCGGCCCTCGCCGCTGAGCACGACGGCGCCCACCTCGGGGTCCGTCTGGATGTGCCGGAAGATGGCGGCGAGCTCCTGCCACATGCTGCGGGCGTGCCTGCGTCAGCCGCGGATGCTCGCACTGCACTCGCACCGCGCGCCACGACGCACTCGGCAATCCACGAGTTGACGGGCTTGCGGTTGAAGGAGACGCGCAGCACGCCGGGCGCCTCGAGCACGAGGAGGTGTAGCTGGGCACTGAAGCCGCTGTATGGGCGCGGAAAGGACATGGCGTGCGGCAGTATGAGTGGGTGGGATGGTGGAGGAGGAGAGAGAGGCGCACCCCTGAAAGTGACACGGCCGCTCTCGACCCCGCGTCCGGCCCAGCCGCTGCCGGAGCCGGGCGCGCTCCAGGCGCCCAAGTTGCCGCATCAGCGGCAATGCGCCCAGTCGCACGCGCCAGGGCGTGGGAACGTGACGCTGCCACCCGCTACGCCACCCCGCCGCTTCTGCTTCTCTCTCGCTCCCATCAGCTCGGCCGCGCCACACGCTTCTCCACCGGCAAGACGCGGCACACGGCCAGACGCACGCGAGACAGGGAGCACTGGTGATAGAATGGATATCGTCGCGGCGCGAGGGTACTGTGTGCAGTGACGGAGCGGCAGGCGGCGCGCGGCCGTGAGTGAGGTGAGTAGAAGAGACAGGTGGGTGTGCGGGAGAGCCCGCATGAGGGAGGGTGGTATGAGTGGAGGGAATGAGGAGGAGGGAGGGGCCACGGCTCAGGCCATCGCGCAGGTGTAGGTGATGTCCATCTGGCCCAGCGTGAACGGCGGCCGCTTGTCCGACACCGTGTCGGTGCTCGAGCCGGCGTAGCCGCCCGTGCCGTCGCCGCCGACGCCGCCGATCAGGCCGCCGCCGCCACCGCCGCCGCCGTTGGTGCCCGTGCCGCCGTTCTGCGTCTCGGTCTCGTGGGCGCCGTCCTGCAGCTTGCCGTACCACGTCGACTCGGTGCCGCCGTTCTGCTTGCCGGCGTTGCCGCCGCCGCCGCCGGCGACCATGACGCGCTCGATGATGCCGTTCTTGTCCTTCGTCTGCAGCTCAGTGGAGCCGCCGCCGCCGGCAGTGTCGAGGTCTGCGCCCGAGCCACCGGTGGCGCCGTCGCCGCCGTTCGGCCAGCCGCCGGTCGGGGCGCCGTTGTAGTACTGGCTCTGGCCCGTGCCGCCGAGCTGAATGGTGTACTCGCTGCCCTCCACCACCTCCTGGAAGGTGCGCGAGATGACTGCGCCAGACGAGAAGTAGCCCTGGAACCTGGTAGCGCCGGCACCGCCGCCGATCATGTCGACCTGCATCTTGCCGTTGCACGGCGCCTTGTACGAGCTGGCCAGGCCGCCGATGCCCGGAGCGACGAGGCGCCACTTGCAGGTGACACTGCCCGAGCCACGCACGCAGTCGCACGCGCCGTCGGCACAATAGTCCGTGTTCTTGATGGCCGGGCGCGGCACGTGCACGACCGTCGTCGTCTCCGTCGCCGTGGCCGTGACCTCGGCGATGACGGAGGTCGAGGTGGCGGTGACCGTTGGGCCGGGCACCTCGACGAGGTTCATCTCCTTTGCCATGCTGATCAGCGCCGTCTGCGTGCGGATGTTCTTGTTGGCGCAGCGGCAGTTGAGCGAGTACTGGCCCTTGAGCTCGTTGCGTGCCTCGCACGTGCGCACGCTGCTCTTGGAGCCGGCGGCGCGGCAGGCCGTCTTGCACGACGCCACGTAGGCGGCGCAGAACGTCTTGAGGTCGCGGCGCTCGGCGCCCTCGGAGCGGCCGACGATGTAGTCCGCCGCGCCCTCCTCGTTGAAGCTGCGGCGCGTCGGGTCGTCGTACACCGTGCTGGTTGCAACAGTCGTCGATGTCGACGTCGACGTCGACGTCGTCAGGGTGATGGTCGTCATGGTGGAGCTGCAGAGGCGTCAGCGCAAAGATCGGCGTCATGCATCCTCGGCACTCACGCAGCAGCAGTGGTGGTGGATGCGGCGCCGAGGCCGACGCGCTTGAGCGCCGCCTCCTGGTACGAGACGCCGTTGGCGGAGCAGGCGAGGCGGTACTTGGTGCTGGGCTTGCCAAACGTCTTGGAGCACGTGTACTTGACGTCCTCGGCCTTGTTGTCCTTGGCCGTGTCCTCGGTCGCGACGGCCATGCAGGCCGTCTTGTACTCGGCGCAGAACTTGGTGTAGCGGGCGGGCGCCTTGGCGCGCATCTCGGCCTCGGACTCGGCCCGCACGCTGAGTGCGAGCACGACGACGGCGAGGAGGGTCGACTGGACGAGCTTCATGTCGGCCTGGGAGAGGAGGAGAGAGGGGAGGAGATGGTGAGTGAGGATGGAGCCTCAGAGCGCCACGCTCTTATAGCCTCGACGAGCAAAAGCTGGGCCAGGCCGCTGCGTCGGTATCGCGTGTTGTCTACAGCGCTCCGAGGCCCCGCGAGCCTCGTGGTGCATTCCGAGGCGGCGCCGTACCAGGCTGGAGGAGGTACGCCCGCTGCTCGCACGGTGGGTGCAGCGGTAGAGAATGTCCAACATGCGTCTGCGGCGCTGCCTGAGCACCGGTCTTGCAGCAAGTCGTGCGCCCGGCGCATCGGCCATTCCAGCGTTGCGGCGCCGCGTGCTGGAGCCTATCTTCCGCGGGACAGCAACGTCGAGGAAGAGTGGCAGGGAGCAAGGCTGGAGTGGCATCTAGCTGGAGACGACATGGCGCAGCTGAGGGGCCCGAGTCGGAGCAGACGCCGGCCATTGCTCCACTGCGCGGCGGAACGCACATCGCCGGCGCATCGAGATGGGCGCCGACACGACGACAGGGCCGGACGAGGGCGTCACAATGGCGCGGCAGGCCTCCAACTCGGAGGCGTGCGTCGAGGCGCCTGCGGCTCGGAGATGGCTTGCACGGCGGCATGCAGATGCGTGGGTGCAGCGCCGTCCGATGCACCACCGTCGTCGCTCGGGCCAATGCCCGCCTTCGAGAGTGCCACGCTCGGACAAAGGGGGGTCGACGTTCCACCGTGCTGCTCCCACAGTACGCCGGGGCGCAGGTGCGGTGCCGCCGGCGCTGGCTCCGAGCGGCGCTCCCGCTGCGGCCATCGGGCGGAGATGCGGACGCAGCATACAGCGGCCGGCGCCACCCTCGGCAGCTGCTGAGCCATGGACGGAGCACGTCGAGGGGTGGTGCTGCGGCGTCGAGGGCGGACAGGGTGCGTTATGCCGGCATACACTCGCCGCACGGCAGCTGCAGCATCGGCGTCAGAGGAGCCTGATGCTGCGGCAGCATCCTCGGCTGCCGACGGCTGCGACGCTGCCTGCTGCACCTCCTTGGCCCCTCATGCGCGCGATTCTAGCGCCGGCGCGCTTCCGCCGCAGGAACGTACCACGAAGCGGCGCCCGGCAGCAGCCCAGCGGACCCGAGGGCGGCCCCGACGCCGGCGGCACTTCGGGTGCAGAACGCACGCGCACGCGCGGCGCAGCGCGGAGGTGTGGCGGCCGCGAGGCGCGCGTCGCCCGGAAATGCCCTCCCGCCTGCACTGCTGCCGGGCGCTGCTCCTCTGGCAGCGCAGCGCCGCACCCGACGCCATCACCTGCACCCTGCGACAGCATCCCAGCGTCGCATCCGCCGCAGCCGCCGCAGCGGCAGACATGGCATGCGCGCCGCAGAGCGGAGTCAGCGGCGAACGCCGGCGCGTGCATCCGCGGAGCGCACAGCACCGCCCGAGAGTGGGCCGCTCGGCGCTGCTGCCCGCCGTCGCCGCAGGGTCCGATGCTGGGCGACGGCGCATTTTCCCACAGCATCTGGCGTGCAGCGCTAGGCGATCACGCCTGGCGGCCTCGCACTCGCCCTCGCTGTCGCACGCTGCGTGGCGCGGCCGTCTCGCCGGCCTCGAGGCTCAACACGACAGCTCACACCGGCAGTGCTGGCGAGCACCACAATGTGGCTGAGCCGGGGTAGCACAGCACCGGGTCAGCATCTGCGCAGCGGTGTAGTGCGCGGCTCGCTCGACGTCGGAGGCCGGCTCGACTTGCGTCCGCACGGCAACCCGGGGCCTCACGTCGGCTCGCCTGCCAGCAGGCGGCGCTCTTCGCGCTCGATCCGCTCCTCCGCCGCTGCAGTATGTGGCATGTCACCTGGACATGTCACGCTCGGCAGACCGAGCCTCTGCGCACATTGCCTCAGCCACCGGCCAGGAAGCTCGCAATGCGCGCCTCGTTTGGCTCTCGATGCCTTCCTTTTGCGTCGCTGCTCAAATGTGACGAGAAGCATGAACATCAGGCGACTGCGTATCGGCCGTGACGCTTGCGGAGCAAGAGAGTCCTCGCTCAAGCATAAGGAAGAAAGCGAAACGTCGAACAAGAGGTGTCACCGCTGCAGATAGCCGTTGCCGCTGAGGTCTGTGCTTGGTCAGCCTGCAGCAGGTCTCGAGGGACGAGGCAGCTCGTCGGCGTCGGCGTGCACAGACTTCGCTGCCACGCGCAGCAGCGTCGGAGGCTCTCCGTCGCTGATGAGCGTGCAGAGATCGAGCGGAGGCCGACATCAGAGATCAAGTCGATCGCCTCGAGGCAGGCGACCGCTGACACGGGTCTCGCGCGAGAGACAGCAGCAGTGAGGCATCGCCGCCGCACAGGCCGGCTCTGTCCTTGCTCTGCAAGCGAGTCAGGTGACTTCCTTACTATAGACAATGTCGAACACATCCATGCAAATGATACAGAGAGGGCTTCCGTGGTTCAGAGCCTCCAAGTCCTCAGGTGTGGACGAGCATGTTGAGGCCAGACATCGATTCACTCGCAAACTCGCATGCCGCCGCGGCGAGGGCAGCCCAGGCCGGCAGAATGCAGCAGCAGCTATACCTCACAGGATCGGTGGCTCGCACTTCGTTCTGCGTACATGCTTGCTGAGAGAAGAAGAGTGTGTTGCGAGCTGCATGGTCGTGGGCTGGGTCGTGAAGCAGGAAGCAAGGCCTCCGAGGCGAGGACACGGCGCCGCGCGGGACTCGGGGCACGCGGCGCGCCGGCGGAAGCGCGCCGTATGTGCTGGCTGCGTCATCGTGCTGCGCTGGCGCGCACCCTGCTGGCGATCACGCGCGCTGCAGTCGAGTAGAGTGCGGCTGCGGTCGCAGCGATGCAGCGAGCTTCTGCACCGCACCACCACCATCCCCACCCTTCGCACCGCCAGGTCCGCAGCATGGCCCCGAAGAAGCGGGCAGCAGCGCCGTCGCCCGTCCCCAGCGCGGCCACCGGCACGCCCGCGCAGGCACAGACGCTCCTGCGCCGCAGCAACGAGGCCCAGGCCGTGAGTCGCGCGCCGGCTGCGCAGCAGGCCGCATCGCTGACGTGCTCGGTGCTCTCAGGCCCGCAAGCGCTCGACATGGAAGGGCCTCTTCTTTGCCCTGCTCGTGCGCGTCGGCGTCTTCTACACGGTAAGCCGCTGTCAGGCGCAACGCGAAGACGTCCAAGTACTGACACCCGCCTCGCAGCTCATCGCCGCGCTCTGGCACTGCAGCTCGACGCCCTTCGCCTTTGACTACAACCCCCGGGACTCGCGGCAGGTCTGCCGCACGCTGGCCCAGGGCAAGGCGACGCTCGGCCCGCACGCCGCCGCCATCTGGCGCGACGTCGAGATGCACCTGCAGCCCTACACGGCACCCGTGGCGCCGTATGTGCGCACTGCGACGCGCGTGGCACGTCCCTACGTGCGCTCGGCGCAGCGCCGGGGTGCGCAGCTGTGGCGCAAGCACGGCGAGCCGCTGCGCAAGCAGGCGCTGAAGCAGGGCCGCAAGTACGTTGACCCGCACGTGAAGACCGCGCGCACGCACTACCGCAAGTCGGTGCAGCCGCACCTCGACAGTGAGTGGCGCGCTCGCATTGCTCGGCGCATCCGAAGCTGACGGGCGACACGTGCAGCCGCGAGCAAGGCAGTCAAGCCTTATCGCGACATCTACTCCCGCGACGTCCACCCGTATCTCACCGAGGCCGGCGCTCTGTCGCTCGGCCTGACGCAACAGGCGTATCACTTGTACAACAAGCAGGTGCAGCCGCGCCTGATCACCAGCGCCAAGGCGGCGCACCGCTTCCACCGGCAGCACGTCGACCCGGCAGCGCGCCGTGGCTACAGTCTCTATGTGCAGCCGCAGGCCGACCGTGTGCTCGCCTATCTCTTCAACCGCAAGGCGCGCGCTGTGAGCAACGACGCCATCAGCAAGGCCAAGACGAGCTCCGACGAGGCGCGCCAGCACGGCGAGAGCAAGGCAAAGGAGGCTGTCAAGGAAGCCGTGAGTGCTTGTGCTGCGCGCATGATGGGATCAAAGAGATGGGGCTGATGCAGGAGGCTTCTCGGCTCGCTCAGCAGGCCTCAGCTCGGCGCGCACAGGATGACCCCTCCATCATCGACCGCCTGAACAAGGCTCGTGACGCCGTGACGGGCAAGGTGCCTTCGCACGAGGACCCGGTGCAGGCTGCGGCCCTCGATGCCGAGCTTGCGGCGGAGCAGGAGACAGTCAAGACGGAGCTGGAGGCCTGGGAGACCGGCATGCTCAAGCTCATCGAGCAGGAGTACCGCCTAGTCACCGAGCGCGTGGCCGAGCTGCGGAACCGCCGCCTCGCCGATCTGCCGGACCGCTTCGCCACCCTGACCGAGAGCTTCGTCGACGACGAGGTGGCGAGCGCCCTCGCGCGCCTGGACCGCACCTACAAGAAGCTCTCTGTCGACAGCAGCTCCGCCACACTGGCGGAGCGCATTGAGAGCGGCAACGCACAGACGCAGGCGCAGCGCACGCGCCTGTCTCAGAGCCACGCGGCACTCGAGGCTCAGCTGCAGAGCTACCAGGACGAGCTCGACTCCGACGAGCGCGCCGCGATTGCCGCGGGCACGGCCGAGGTCGGACGCTTTGCCGATGAGGCAGGCCGTGCGTACGCGCAGGCCATGAAGCGCGCCAAGTTCGAGGCCACAGAGGAGGAGTGGAGCGGCTGGGACAAGGGCCTCAAGGTGCGCGCCGAGATGTTCGGCGATGAGTGCGAGAAGTTGCGCCTGGGCCAGAAGTCGGTGCGCCCGGGCATCGGCGCCACGGACCTGGCCAAGGAGCCGAAGCTCGAGCCGCGCATCGCCGAGCTGCGCAAGTCGACGGCCAAGCTCTACTCTGCCGCCGACTCGGAGCTTGCGTCGTACGCGCGCAGCGGCTCGCTGCAGCTGCGCGGCGAGGGCGTGCGCCGCACGGTGGGCGAGGCCACGGACAACGTGCAGAACGTGGCACAGCAGCTCACTGAGGGTGCCGCGGCTGCCATGCTTGGCGCTGCTGCCGCCGCTCGTGCTCGCCTCGGCCTCGCGCCGAGCGACCAGGGCATCCTCGCTCGTGTCGCCTCGCAGGCGAGCAGTGCAGCCGGTGCTGCCACCTCGGGTGCAGCCAGTGCCGCAGGACAGGCGCGCTCGAGTGCGCGCAGCGCCGCGTCGGCTGCTGGCGTGTCCGTCTCACCGGAGGGCGCGCGCGAGCACATTGAGAGCGCATACGGCGCTGCGGCGTCGGGTGCTGGCAACGTGTACTCGTCCGTCGTAGCTGCCGTGCAGCCGAGCACCACCGGCGCATTCCAGGCCGCGACATCGAGCGTCGGATCCGTCTACGAGAGCCTGGCGTCTGCTGCGTCGAGCGCCTCATCGTCGTACCTCTCGGCAAGCACTACAGGCTATTTCGAGGCCGCCACCTCCAGCGTCGGCTCGGTCTACGAGAGCGTGGCGTCCGCTGCAGCCGACGCGTCTTCGAGCTACCTGAAGCCGAGCACCACGGGGTACTTCGAGGCGGCAACGTCGAGCGTTGGGTCTATCTACGAGGAGCTGGCCTCGTCCGCCGCCGATGCTTCGTCTTCTTACCTCAAGCCCAGCACGACGGGCTACTTTGAGGCTGCGACGTCGAGTGTCGGCTCGGCCTACGAGTCTGCTGCCTCTGCCGCCTCGAGCCTCGCTGGCGCTGCCACGACGCCCGTCGCGCAGCGTGTGTACGACGCAGCGGGCAATGTCTACTCCGACGCCAGTGCCAGTGCGGCCTCCGTCTACTCCGACGTCGCAGGTGGCAACGTGGGCAGCGCAGCCTCGTCTGCCCTGCGCCAGGCTACGCGCTCCGTCGCCTCCGCTGCGGGTTACTCGCCGTCGCCCGAGACGCCTGGCGAGTACCTCGAGGCCGGCCGTGAGCGTGTCGCAGATGCCGCGCAGGCCGTCTACTCTGCTGTCGGCGGCGGAGCCTACGCCGACTCGAAGTTGCCCGGCCGTCACGCACCGCGGGAGGACTACAACCACATCGGCAAGGCCGCTGCTGCTGGCGCGGCGAAGGTGGCCGACGCCGCGTCGCCGTACGCCGACAGTGCGGCATCTGTGGCGCGCGAGGCCAGCCGCAGCGTGGCCTCGGCTGCCGGCGTGGACGTCGAGCCGACCAATGCGGCCGAGTGGATCTCGTCGGCTGCATCACGTGCCACGGCGGCAGTCGCCGGCACGCAGGGTGGCGTGGTGAGCTCCGCTAGCTCGCTTGCTAGCTCGCTCAGCTCCGTGGCTGCCGCCTCGATCAGCTCGGCCAGCAGCGTCGCGTCCGCCTCGGCCAGCTCGGTCAGCAAGGTCGCTGGCTCGTCTGCAAGCTCGGCCAGCAGCGTCGCATCGGCCTCGTCGTCCTCGCTGGCCAAGGTCGCTGCCTCCTCGATCAGCTCGGCCAGCAGCGTCGCGTCCGCCTCGTCTTCCTCGCTCGCGAAGGCCGCCGCAGCCTCGTACTCGTCGGCGTACAAGGCCGCAGCATCCGCTGCCGGCAGCTCGCCGCTGTCCAGTGCCTCGAGCGCCGCCTCGAGCGCATCCAAGCGCGCTGCCGCGTCCGCCTCTTCCGCTTCGAAGGAGGCGCAGTCGTCGCTCTCCTCGGCATCAAAGGCAGCTGCATCTGCCGTCGGCGACTCGCCGCTGTCGAGCGCGTCGAGCGCTGTCTCGGCTGCCGCTGCTGCGGTCGCATCGAGCGCCTCGAGTCTCTCCTCGTCGTTCAGCTCGGCGACGCGCTCAGAGAAGGTCGCAGCGGGTATCTCGGTGGAGCCCGAGGGCGCCGTGCAGAGCGTGTACAGCGCTGCGGCCGAGGCCGCGAGCAGCATCAGCTCGTTCGTGCAGCCGGCAGCGGCCAGCACGGGCGTTGTGGACCAGGCCCGTAGCGCGGCCAGCTCCGTTGCCAGCCGCGTGCGCGAGGAGCTGTGAGGGAACAAGGGGGCTCTGTGGCCGACGAGACGAGCAAAAAGAAGTCAAGCAGAGGCGTCGCGTTCTGCAATTGCAAATGTAGACCGTGCGCCGCTTCGACGTTCCGCCTCCGCCAACGGTGTGCGCGCAGGAGCGATGGATTGAGAGGTGATGGTCATCGAAGGTGACGAGTTGCGAAAGAGAGACAGATAGCGGGCGTGACAAGGAGGAAAACCGCGCGCAGCAGGAGTGTACATGGGTCCACGGCAGGAAGGAGTGTGGTGGAGCCTCGCCACAGCCCGGAGGCTGCCGCCGAGGCTCAGCTGCAGAGGCAAGAGCTATGTCTCGCAGCGCTCTTAGATCTGCTTCTCATTGACCTGTGTCGCAACGACTGAAGGCATCGTCAGTGCGGAGGCGACTCCCTACACGGCGACGGGACGTACCAGGAGCGGAGTGAGTCGGCAGCGCCGACTGCTTGTGCTTGTGCTTGCGCACCCGTCTGGTGAGGCGCTCAGCTGGCTCGACTGCACCTTCGACGCCGTCGTCGTGGCGCAGGTGCCGAGCGCCGAGCACCGCGCCGTCTTTAACAGCCTGACGCTCTGCCAGGCCGTCTACTTCACCCGCTGAACAATAACTGGGCGCCTCATCCCAGCCAGCTCCTGATCGCTTCGCCGCGTCGTGTCACCCTTGTTCATCCTCCACGCTTGTCCGCCTTGGTTGCATATACTTTAGACCCTCGTCACCGCCGACCGGATGACAGCCCGTGCACTGAAGTGCCTGTCTGAGCGAGACGGTGCCACCGTCCTCGAGAAGCCCGATGAGAAAGCTGTGGTGATCACGAGACGAGAGACTGACAGTGAGCTGCTGCGGCAGCGAGGAGCGGCCATGGCTCTGGCTCTGGGGGGCCACACGTGATCTCAGGTGCAGGTGAGGCTGCTGGGCGGCGGCACGGCGGGAGCGCCGGCGCGCTAGGCGGGGGCAGGCGCGCCGCCAGTGTCTTTGTGCGCGCCGTGCCACTTTCGCTGCAGCTCCGCCCGCTCAGGGGCGCGCCGGCACGCGCGGCACACTGCTCCCGTGCCTGGCTGTCAGCGTGGGACCCGTGCGCACGGCGCGCGTGGAGAAGCACACCTCGGCCTCGGCACGCCCCCGCAACCGCAACCGCAGCCTGCCGCGAGTCGCTTCGGTTGGGGCAGCGCCGGCTGCGTCGAGGCAAGAAGTGCAGCTGGACGGACGGAGAAAAGGGCGGTGTGGGTCCCGGCCGCAAGAGCGCCGCGCTCTGCAGCCGGCGGATGCCCCGAGAGCGAGACCAGCGGCGCGCTCAGGAGCCGGCCGCGCGCGCGCCACGCCGGGCTTGTGCCCCTCGCCGCGCCCCGCGCACCTCCTTTCTCTCCACCGCCATCTCCCTCTCCGGCCTCCGTCGACGTCTTCGTGTGCGGCCGCGGCTCCTCGGCTCCTCAAAGGCTCTCATCTGCAGCGTACGACTGCCATCCGCAGCTGCGAGGTCGCCGCCTCTGTCTGGGCGCCGCGCTCCTCCACGTGCCGCCGCCGCCTCATCTGCGCTCGCACCGCCGCTGCGCTGCGCCCGCCGCCAACGTCCGCCGGGCAGCACACAACGGGCGCACGCCGCCGCGCCTCCGCCGCGCCTCCGCCTGCTCCGCCGCACTCACCTCCATCCTCCGCTCTCCCACCTCCGCGCCCGCCGCCGCATCCCATGGCCCGCCCAGCTGGGGCCCGCCCGCTGCCCGTGCCGCCGAGCCACGACGCCTGGTACGAGGCCGAGGAGCGCATGCGCCCGTCCTACATCGCACCGCCGCCGCAACGCATCCGCGCTCCCCTCGGCTACGGCCAGCCCAGCTCGCCGCCCGCCGCCAGCAAGCCGCCGCAGAGCCCCTCGGCGCGCTTCAACAGCCAGCAGCAGCAGCAGCCGCACTCGGCCGCCGGCGCCTACCAGCCGTACGCCTCGCAGCCGCAGTACGCCTACGCCTCGCAGCCGCACCGCAGCGTCACGTCGCCGGCGCCACTCGCATACGCGCGCCCGCCGCCGCAGCAGCAGCAACAGCACGCCTACATGAGCCACGACAGCCAGCAGGGCTACGCCCGCTCGCCCGAGCCGGCGTACTACAGCCCGCCCGGCGCCTTTGAGGACTCGCGCGCCGGCAGTGCCTTCATGGTGAGTCGCAGGCCTGATGGAGAGATGCTGGGCGCCCGCATCAGCGCTGACTCGCGCATCTCCTGCAGCACAAGGGCTTCTTCGACATCCTCTCGCTAGTCAACAACTCGCCGGCGCCCGGTCCGGCACCTGCTCGCGTGAACACTGCGGCGCCCTCGTCTCCGTCGCGCATCAAGGCGACACTGTCGCGCGCTACTGGCGGCCTGCGCAAGGCAGTGAACCGCGACGCCCCTGGGGATCCGTTTGCGCCTCCAGCGCGCAGCTCGCCCGGCCAGGGCGCGGCGCCCTCGCAGTCGTCCTACGCTACCGCGCAGGCGACGCCGAGCGGCAGCTGGGACCAGCCCGTGACACGCGCGGCCAAGAAGCGCATCAGCGTCGACATGATCAGCGCGCCTAAGGCCGGCACGTTTGTCCACGCCGCACACGCGAGCGATGCCGAGCAGGCCGAGGTGATCCTGCGCCGCTGGGGCCGAGATGGCGTCGGCAAGATTGCTGGTGAGCTGCAGACTCTGCGCCAAGCACACGCGCGTCGCTGACCTGCCCCATAGATCCCGCCTGGATCGGCCCGATCAAGACCGCCATGCGGCAGCAAGCGATCCGCGACCAGGCCGAGGCGGTGGCGCAGGTGCAGGCGGCGATGCACCAGGACTCGATCATCCAAGAGCAGCCGCGGCAGCTGCACATCGTCAATGGCGCGCCCAGCCTCAGCCAGACGGTCTCGCAGCTGACCATCGGCACGACAACGACGGCCACGATCGGTCACGGCAGCGGCAACAGCCCTCTCGAGGCGCGCCAGGCGTTCAATGGCATCGCCGAGGAGCAGCGCGGCTCCGACGGCGAGGCGCAGGACGCGCCGTACCCTGCTGAGCTGAGTACCCCACCCTCCTCGCCGCCCGGACGACGACTAGGCGCCTCGCCGTCGCCTGCAGCGCGGCCCATTGCGCCGGGATTCCCGCGCAGCAACACGGGCGGCACCATGCTTGTCGCTCAGTCGCCGGAGCCGGCACAGGCAGGCATGGACGCGCCAGACTATCTCGCATACATGCCTGCTGTGGAGCCCAAGTCCATCGAGGGCCTACCGGGCGCGGCACCTGGAGGCATCGGCGCGCTGTTCGCTGCTGACCCGGCGGCACGGCCTACGTCGATGGTCGTGCGCGACGCAGACGTGCCAATGGGCGGCCTTGTGCTGCACCGCCAGGCGACGGCCGAGACGCTGCCAGAGCGCATGGCGCTCAATGCCGGCGCTGCGCTGCGCCCCTCGCTGACGACCGTCGAGAAGAGCGTAGCGGCCAAGATCTTCTTCGAGAATCTGTACTACGGCATTCTCAAGGCGCCCCGCGCGCGCGACACGCGCCGCGCCGGACTCGAGGCCGAGCTGGCCTCGCTGCGCATTCCCGAGGCAAGCAAGGAGGCGATCCGCGCCAAGTGGATCGCCAACGAGACGGAGTACCTGCGCGACATTCGCGCGCGCGTCAACGTCAACAGCTTCGCCAAGCTCAAGACGATCGGCCACGGCGCGTTCGGCGTTGTGGCGCTCTGCCGCGAGCGCGGCACGGGCGAGTTATTTGCGATGAAGCAGCTGCGCAAGGCCGACATGCTGCGCAAGGGCCAGGAGGGCCACGTGCGCGCCGAGCGCGATCTCATGACGAGCGCGAGCGCCAGTGCGAGCGCAAAGTGGATCGTGAAGCTCGTCTACTCTTTCCAGGACGTGGACCACCTCTACCTGATCATGTGAGTGCGCTGCGAGGCGTGTGCCGCGCTCGCAACCGCTGACGTCTGGCGCCAGGGAGTTCATGGGCGGCGGCGACCTGCTCAACCTGCTCATTGAGAAAGACATCTTCGCCGAGGACTTTGCCAAGTTCTACGTCGCCGAGATGATCCTCTCGATCAACGAGGCGCACCGCCTCGGCTACATCCACCGCGACATCAAGCCCGACAACTTCCTCTTCACGGCCGCCGGCCACATCAAGCTGGCCGACTTTGGCCTGTGTCAGAGCTTCCACTGGGCGCACGACGGCGCGTACTACGACCAGCAGCGGAAGAACATGCTCAAGAAGCATGGCATCGACCTCGAGGACTCGCGCACGGGCGCTGCGAGCCGCGCGAGGGCGGCGGCGGCGCGCAAGGCCGTCGGCGGCGCAGCACCGGGCCTGCCGGGCGCCGGCCTCGACGAGCGCCAGCTCAACGAGGTCATGAGCGACCGCAACCACGACGGCACGCCGCTCACGCACGTGCTGACGTGGCGCGACAAGAACAAGAAGAAGATCGCCTACTCGGTCGTCGGCACGAACAACTACATGGCGCCCGAGGTGCTGCGCGGCCTCGGCTACGACCAGTCGTGCGACTGGTGGTCGCTCGGCGTCATCGTGTTCGAGATGCTGTACGGCTACCCGCCGTTCGTGTCCAAGTCGCGCCACCTGACGCGGCAGAAGATCCTCAACTGGCGCCAGACGCTGCGCTTCCCGCCCAAGCCGCGCATCTCGCGCGAGGCGCAGGACTTCATCACGCGCCTCATCTGCGAGAAGGAGGACCGCCTCGGCAGCACGACGACGGCGTCGGTCAGCCGGCCCAACTCGCTGCTGCAGGGCTCGCGCCAGCGCAGCGGCTTTGCGCCGCCCGGCGGCAACGGCACGAGCAGCGCGCCCTCGGGCCTGGCCGACGGCGTCGACGACCTGATGGCGCACCATTGGTTCCGCGGCATCGACTGGAGCGCGCTGCACACGCAGAAGGCGCCGTTCCGCCCGGCACTCTCGCACCCCGCCGACACGAAGCACTTCGAGGAGGGCATCGAGGACGAGCCGCTGCCGGCGCCCGGCGCCGCTGAGGCGGCCAAGGACGGCCAGCCGGCGCCCGTGGAGCAGCCGCGCGATCCGATGCTGCGCGACAAGGACCACGGCGAGCGCCTGCTTGAGATGCGCAAGCAGCTTGCCTTTGTCGGCTACACGTTCAAGTCGCCCAAGTCGTTTGATGCGCGCACGCAGCTCAGCGAGAGCAAGATCATTGCCGCCGAGCGCGCCGCTGCCGGCCATGCGCCCGCCGTGCCCATCCCGGTGCCCGAGGGCGGCTCTCGCATGCGTGCCATGAGCTTCTGAAGCGCATGTCCCTCTCCCTTTGCCTTATGACCCGATACCCGCCCCCACGCCTCCACGAACCACGCGGCGTCGTTCGCATGCCCCCCTCCACGCCTGTCTCCCACGTGCTTCATGTCTCCATCTCTCTCTTGAGACGGCCTCTAGGCTCACTGCGCTCCCGTAATGCCATCTCACGATCACGCCGGCGGCTTGCGTGTTAGGTGGACGAGGAGCAGCACCAGCGTCGAGGCTTGACCAAGTGCAGGGCTGACTTCCGCGGCTTTGCGCGGCACGGCGGCCTCTCGCTCGCTTCGCTTGCGTGACCGTGCATGACATGATGGCCTCGAGCCCCTGGAGCGCAGCTCAGCTTCCACTCTCACCTCAGCTCCACGACCTCGCCGCAGTTCTCCACTGCCTCACGCCCTCTCACGACCACCGACTGCTCTCAGCGCCTGCCGCGCCGCAGCATCCAGCTCACGACCGCCTCGACCCTCACGCCGCGTCTGCCTCCACCTCACGCTCTCGCTGCGCGCTCGCTCCCCCTCGTGGCGGCGCCATGGCTTCCACAGCGCTGGCGCCCGCGCCGCCGGGCCTCGGTATCCTCACCGTCACGCTCGTGCGCCACGCGCAGTCCGAGGACAACGCCAACGGCATCCTGGCGGGCCACCGCGATGCGCCGCTCTCGGCCCTCGGGCGCGCCCAGGCGCGGGCGCTCGGCAAGGGCCTGCAGTGGCAGCAGCTGCAGGCCGTCTACTCGAGCGACCTCAAGCGCGCCCGCGAGACGGCCGGCGAGATCGTCGAGGTGCGTGTGCGAATGCTCCGGTCGCCGGGCGCAGGGCTCGCCTCTGAGGACGTGCCGCTGACGCCCTGCACAGGCCAATCAAACTGTGCCTGCGCCGACGCTTGTGCACACGCGGGCATTGCGCGAGCAGTACTTTGGCGTTGTTGAGGGGCGAGCATGGTCAGATCCAGGTGCGTCTCGCAGCCGAGGCCCCTGCGCTCCGCGGCATGCTGACGGGCTGTGCTAGACTGGACTCCGCCATTGCCAACCGACTCGCGCACGCACAAGTACCCGCAGGGCGAGTCGCTCGAGGAAGTCGGCGCGCGCATGCGCAGCGCAGCTCGCCGCTACATTCTGCCGCGCATCGAGAGCTTGCGCGGCGGCGCTGAGGGCGAGGCGGACGGCGGGCACGTGGTCGTCGTAGCGCACGGCGTCGCGATTGCAGAGGTGAGCCAGGCAGAGCCCTGTGCTGTGCGCACGTTTCCTGACCCGAGTATGCCGCAGCTGCTGCGCTTTTTCATGTCGCAGCACGACACGGGCTCCTCTTTGAGCTCGCTGTGGCCCGACCCGAAGGCCAGCTATACGCGCGTGCGGCTCGAGAACACCGGCTGTACCCGGCTGGAGCTTGCCGTGCCGCTCGGCGATCAGGCGTCCGCCTCTAGTTCTGCGCCAGACTTCGACTCATCGCTGGCGTCTATACCCGACGCTTCGACGCCTGCGCGGCCGCTCTATGTGCGCATCGTCGAGCAGAACCGCATCGACCACCTCAAGGCTTTGGCTGCCGCTGCTGCGCTCGGCACTCCTACGCCTGGCGTCTCTGCCGGCGCCACAACCTCAGGCGACGACTCGTTCGGCGACGCACTGGGCCTTTCGCAAGGCGGTCCCTCGTCTATGACGCCAGGCGGCGCGCAAGTCAATGCGCGCGCCATAGGCGCCTACGACGTCAGCTTCATGGTGCGCGATCTCGAGCGCTCGGGCGGCCAGTCAGCCATGCTCTCTGCATTCGGCGAGAACTATGACCGCGACGTAGGCGGATCCAGCTTTGCGCCCCCGAGCGCCAGCACTGGACAGACGGTCTCGCCCGCGCCGGGTGGCTCGCAAGTCACGTTCGGGCCTGGCTTCAGCGTGTCGGAGGTCTCGCCATCGGCAGGCTCTGCGGCGCTGCCCAGCAGCATGAGTGCAGGCTCCAGCTCTGTCAGCCGCGACACCTCGTACCACCACGGCCCTCTGACCGGGCCGGGTGCTGCGTCCGACGCGTGGCAGAGCGTCTGCGTGCGCGTCCTGCCGCTCTTCAACGGCGAGGGGCTCAAGAGCCCGATTGAGGACCTCAACCAGAGCGTGCAGTGAGTGTCTGGTGAGCAGTCACGCCCCGCGTCGGAGCTGAACAAGGCGTCGCAGAACGCACATCGCCCGCACACTCGCTCGCAGTCCCGCGCGCGCCCTCGATGCACTCTCGACCGATCTTGCGGCCCTGGTGTCGACTGGCGCGTACACGCTCAACGCCAAGCTTCAGAGCGTCGGGTATGACGACCTGCGCCTGGTGGGCCGTCTCGTCGAGATCTGGACGTTCTTCTTTGGCTCGGTGCTGCCGTACATCGAGGGCGTCTTTCTGCCGCTGCAGACGGACTCGGTGCTTGTCAGCCTCACGACCTCGTCGGACGTTGGACAGAGCACTGGCGCGTCGAGCTCGGCGGGCGGGACGGGCGGTGCCTCCAGCGGCGCGCAAGCTCTGCACTCTTTCGCAGCTGGAGAGCCGGAAACGCCTCGCAAGGTCCCGTCCGCCTTTCAAGGTCTGCGCACGGAGCGGATTGACGTGCGCACGATTGCGCTGACCGTGTTCCGCGACCGCGTCGTGCTGCCGCTGTACGAGCGGCTCGTCACGCTCTTCTCGTCGATCCGCGAGCTTGAGGGCGGCGGGACCTATGCTGGCGCCAAGACGGGGCCCAAGGGCATGGCATTTAGGGGGCAGGCAGTCTCTGTCGCCTCGGAGGTCGGACATGTACCCAGCATCTCGACGCCCGGACCCATCAGCGCAGGCATGGGCAGCGACAGCCTATCGCCTCGCCTGCTCCAGATGACGATGGTCCTAGCCAGCGTGCTGAGCGCCGACGAGGCGCAGGCAGCGATCGACTCTCTCTTCAAGGCGCTGCGCCTAGGCTCCGCTGCACCGACGACGGAGCGCGAGACTCGCACCACCCAGCAGTACCGTGGCGGCGAGCCTGGCGGGCGCGAGAACCGCCGAGGCTGGCTGCCACGCAGCGCTGTCAAGCATGGCACGCAAGCGCCGGGCAATGCTGGTGCGCTGGACGACGAGAGCGACGAGTGGGTCAGCGCGCGTGCGGGCTTCGGCTTCGGCATGCATCAGCCGCCGATGGCGTCGAACAACTCCCTCTCTTTCGCCTCGCGCTCCCAGCCCATGCTGAGCGAGGACGAGTACCTCACGTCTCTGCGATCGCCGACGCTGGCCTCGCCGCCGCCGCAAGAGCCAGAACACAACGGCAAGACCTTGTCGGAGCAGATCCAGGGCGGCGCCATCGATCTCGGCCTCAGCGATCCGTCGGATGACGACGAGGAGGCAGAGCCGGGAAGCATGCGTGCGGCTCAGCTCCAAGGCCCTCCGCCCGTGCGAAGCTACAGCTCTGGCCATGCGCTGCGTGCCAGCGACGCCGACGCAGGCAGCGACACCGACGACGGCGCCGACGAGTCGCTCGCGACGCCCGTGCAGCAGACGCCCGCACGCGCTGCGGTACCGTACGCCGGCGCCGATGCCTCGCGAGCGCTTCCGCGCACCGCAGAGCATGCCTCGCCCGGCAGCTCGCTGCGTGCAGGCCAGTCGACGCCTACGGTCGGCCTCGGCCTGCCGCTGCTCGACGGCTCGGAGGTCGAGCGACCCGGCGCCACGGCGCAGTAGAGTGAGCTGCCGCTTCGGCGGCGGCGCGTCCCCATCAATACCACCTCTTTGCATGCGAATGTGTCAGCCCGTCGTGCCAACCAGTCTCGGTGTGCTCGCGCTCGCTCGCTCTCTAGTCTCGAGCATGCTCGAGCGGCGGCTGGGGACGGTCGGTCACCGCCTCGCGGCTCCGAGCTTCCCACGGGTGCAGCGATGCAGCCGTGCGGTGCAGAGCGCAGCGCGGCAGCAGCCAAGCGTGCAGCCGCCCAACTCCGCTCCTCGCTAGCGACGCTCTGACTTCGGATTGGGCTCGCCGAGATGTAATGCAGGCTTGCGCCTTGCCGCACGTCTCATGCGATTGCGCTCGCAAGCGAAGCGAGGTGCTGCCGCTCTGGTGGTGCTGGCAGAAGCGGCGCGGCGCGGAGGGGCCGGCGCCGCCAGAGCGAGCACGAGGCGGCGGACGAGAGCCTCTCTCTCCCTGCTGTCTGGGAAGCATCAGGCCGCGTCCACACCGGGTCCGGCACCCAAAGTGCGAATTGAGGGGTTCCGGAAGGTCAGACAGAGTGACTGTGTGCCACAAAGAGTCGCAAAGTGAGCAATCAGGCCCAGAAGCGCGTCCGTTGCGTTCCTGCTGCCCGCCCGCCGCCGCGATGCACGCGTGCGGAGGGCGGGATGCGCGTAAGGCGCGAGATGCAGCAGCCGCCGTTCCGGAGCCGCCCAGCTGGTCTCTCCACCCACCCTCATCTGCTCTGCCCTGCCTGCTTCCTGCTCAGCATCTCGCGGGCCAGCTTCCTGCGCCATACCGCACTCACTCGCTTGCATCGGGCTCGCGCCTCTCGCTGCTGCTGCTGCTGCCGCTGCGGCGTTCTCTCGCGCAGCCTGCTCCTTCTAGCTGCGCGCTCTCGCATCGCCCTATCTCGCCCGCTGTGCCCGCGTGAGCCTGGCTGCCACCGCGCACATGGCCTTCGTCGCCTCGCCCTCGGGCTCGCCCAGCGGCTCGCCCATCCTCTCGGCCTCGACGCCGTCGCCGCTGGCCGAGCAGATCTCAGACCCTCCGCTCGGCTCGCCGTCCGGCTCGCGCTCCGCCTCGCCCACGCCGACGCCCGGCGCCGGCGCCTCCAACGGCGGCGGCGGCAGCACGCAGGCGCAGGCGCCCCGCGTGCACGCCCGCGACTTCAGCGCCGCCTCGCTCTCGCCGTCGGCCGACGTGCCGCTGCGCCATGCGCCCGACGCCGAGCAGCCGTCGGCGTCGCCCTCGCGCCCGCACATGCCGCCGTCGAGCAGCAGCAGCCGCAGCGCCGTGAGCGCCGCGGCGAGCTCCCAGCGCAGCGCCAGCGGCAGTGGGTCCGCCGCGCACAGCCGGCACAACAGCCGCGGCAAGAGCTTCGAGTACAAGGAGACGCTCGATGCGAAGAGCTCCATGCTGGCGGTGAGTCCTGGCAAATGAGGCAGCATGGCTTCGGTGTCTCGCCAGGCCGGACCACTGACGTTGATTGACGGCACGTAGGATGGCTCGCGCATCATCAATCAGTATCGCCTCGAGGAGGTCATTGGGCGCGGAGCTTATGGCACAGTGCACAAGGCGTCGCTCTTGGCTGATCCGTCAGTGTCCTTCGTGAGTGCGACCGTGGAGAGCGCCCTTGTCTGGCGACCTGACGTGGCTTGGCGATGTAGGCGGTCAAGGAGTTCGGCAAGACGCGGCTTCGGAAGACTTCGCGGGCGCAGAACCTGCGGCGTTCGGGTCGTGGACGCGGGCGTGGTGGCATGATTCGGGACGGCGGCGGCGGACGTGGAGGAGGCGGCGTCGAGGCGCTGTCAGAGCTCAAGCCAGGCGAGTCCGAGGGCAGCCGCAACAACTCGCACGGCGGCGCACCCAAGGGCCAGGGCAATGGCGGCGAGGAGGGTGACGATCCGCTCAGCCTGATCCGACACGAGATCGCTATTCTCAAGAAGCTCAACCACGAGCACGTAGTGCAGCTGTACGAGGTGCTTGACGACCCCTCGAAGGACGGGCTGTTTATGGTCTTTGAGCACTGCCCGTGAGTGGTGCTCTGTGCGCAGCATGTTGCCGACAACTGACGGGTGCCGCTTGCTCGCAGAGACGGGCGTGTGATCGACGTCAAGTTGCACGAGTCTGTCGAGCCGCTGCCGGAAGATCGGGCACGGCACTACTTCCGCCAGATCCTGCTCGGCATCGCGTGAGTCCTGCTCGAGCCAGCGCGTGGAATGCGCTCACTCACGCCGCTCCTCAGCTACCTGCATTCGAACGAGATTGTGCACAGAGATGTGAGCCTGCGATGCGCAGCCTGCCCTTTACGCGGATACTGACAGCCAGTGCAGATCAAGCCGGACAACATCCTACTCGCAGACGGCGGGCGCTCGTGCAAGATCGTCGACTTTGGCGTGTCGGAAATGTTCCTCAAGCCCGGCGACGACACGCTGCACAAGAGCGCAGGCAGTCCGGCGTTCATGAGCCCGGAGCTGTGCACGGGTGCGTAGCATGCATCAGCGCTCGGCTGTCTCTCTGACATTGTGCACCGCTAGCTGGTCATGGCGACTTCCACGGGAAGGCGGACGACCTCTGGTCTGTCGGCGTGACGCTGTACTGCATGGTTGTGGGCCATCTGCCGTTCGATAAGAGCCAATTCCTGGAGCTGTACGAGTCAATCAAGTCGGACGAGTGAGTCGCTCATGACCTCTTGGGTAGCCGCCTTTGCTGACACACAGCGCCAGGCCCGAGTATCCGGATCACCTCTCGCCCGAGCTGAAGCATCTGCTCAAGCGACTGCTGGAGAAGGATCCATACAAGCGGACCACCTGCGAGGAGATGCGCCAGGACCCCTGGGTGACCAACAACGGCAAGGAGCCACTGCTGAACGAGGAGGAGAACTCGGAGAGCATCGAGCTCGAGGTCACCGACGAGGACCTCGAGCGCGCCATCAACCGCATCGCGAGCGTCTTGTGAGCATGTCGGCATCCCTGTGGCCCAGGCTGCTCGAAGCTGACTGCCTGCGCGCCACAGCACCATCGCACGCGCGGTGCAGCGCTTCAAGCGCGGCAGTCTCGGGCGGCGCAACGCGTCAAGCGCCTCTGCCACAAGTGACACGCCTTCAACAAAGTCTGATGAGATCTCGCGCCAGATGGCAGCGTCTCCGATGCCGGTGTGCGGCTCTCCAACGCAGGACGCTGCCGATGCGCCGGAGCGGCAAGGCAGCAGCTCGCAACAGGAGTCGCAGCAGCATGCGCCCGCTCCGCCGCCGCAACGACGAGCCGAGTCGTTCCACCCGACGCGAGCGCTTGCACGGCGGCTCGACTCGATTGGCTCGATGCTTGGCCTCGACGACCATCACCACAGCACCGGCTCGGCCTCGCCTGACCAGTTCGAGGGCGCGCAGCCGCACGGCGGCAGCTCCACGGCTACGACGCCGGCATCAGCACACCCTCAGCGCGAGGCGCAACGCAGCGAGACCGAGGACGCATCAGCCAAGGTGCCTGGCTACTTCCCGCACTGCGAGGAGGTGGAGGCGGTGCGCGCCAAGCTCGCCGGCACGGAAGTCAAGGACAAGGATGCGGCATCGCAGAAGAGAGGCGGGGACCACCACGAGCTGGAGGGCCGGCCGGCGCCACACATCGGCGCATCGGGAGCACGCGAGGAGGAGAAGCACGACGCCGACCCCAAGATTCTGCCTGGGCCCGTCGTGACGTCGCCGCAGGAGGCCGACATACCCACGCCGCCCAATGCGTCCGAGTACTTTGTCCGCGGCGCACAGAAGTAGCGTGTAATGCATAATCTAAGGACGGTATCAGGCGCATGCATTGCTGGCCGCATCAGAGCTGCGAGGCTGGCGAATAGTGAGGCGGTGGCGCTTGGTTGCCGCCCGGCGCGGGCTGGTGAGAGACCTGTCTATAGTCCGTGCTCCGCGCAGCCCTTAGCGGTGGTGCATGAAGTCGATCTGCATCGAGCTGTGCGTGAGCGGAGGCGTTGCTGCGCACGCCAGCGGCAGACTCACGCTGAGGTCCAGACACAGCAGCGGCTCGTCGTCCTGCGTGGCGCCGTTGACGTGCACGTTGAACTTTGCTGTGAGGGCGAAACGGCTGTCAGGCGCAGCCTCACACGACGCTGCACCGCTGCACTCACCTGGCGGAATCTCGCGCGGCAGCTGCACCGTCTGCTCGATGGTGTACGTGCCCTCCTGCACGGGGCACTGCAGCTCGGCGTTGTTCTCCTTTGCCTCCTCGCACACGTCGAAGCGCCGCGTGAGCAGGCGGATGAGGCCGAGCTTGACGACGACGTCGGCGTACGTTCCAGCCTGAAGCGTGCGGGCGTCAGCGACAAGGCATTGCAGGGGTAGACTCGCAGCCCTGCATGAGGCTAAGCGACCATTGCGCTGCGCACGAGGCCTCCATGCATAGCGCCACCTGCTGCGCTCTCCACATGTGCGCCACCAGACAACTGAGCGCGCCAGACTTGACACGCACCTTGATCTCCTTCTTGACGATGCCCGACGCGACGACGGTGAGGTTCTGGCCCGGCTTCGGCGGGTCGGGCGAGACCTGGATGCTCGTCACCTCGACGGCGTCGCCGTCATCGCCGCAGCTCTTCCACACCCAGCCGCCCGGTGCCGGGCCGTCGGCGCCGTGCACGACGCGCGCAGCCTCGATGAGCGGCGCGGACGCAGCAGCGCGGCCGTCGGCGCCGAGCTTCATGCCCATGGCGTGGATGTCGGCGCCGGCGCGAGCGGCGTCGGCGACGATGGCATCGACGAGGTCGGTGGGCGCGTGCGGCGCGGCCAGGCCGTCGGCGGGCGCCTGGAAGACCTGCTGCAGCGAGATGGGCGATGCGGCGCTGAGCGAGGCGAGCAGCACGGGCAGGAAGGGCACGACGAGCATGCTGGGCAGTCAGGTGGAGTGGGAGTGGGTGTGGAGAGAGGAGAGGGTCCCGAGCTGGCTGGCTGATTAGAGGGGCCAGCGGCCAATCGCGCCATGCCGCGCACTGCCGCGCCGCACCCGCCCCGGCGGGGCGCGGGGCTGCTGCGCTCCCACCCCGCCGCCGCGCACCGACGTCATCGACTACACGTGATCTGCAGTACCGCGCACCCTGAGCGCCGTGGGAGCAGCTGGCCACCTCACACTCCTTGCCCTCTCGCCAGCTTGCGCGCTATGCAAAGGGAGGATGGGATCGGCTTAAAATGCTTGAATTGGGACGAGCTACATCTGTGAGGAGCTGAGCCATGTGGCGGCCTCGTGGCGCGTCTTGACGCCGCCTGTGCGGCTCGTCAAGGACACGCCGGATGCTCGCGCGCAGTACTCTGCAGCATCCGCCCTCTCCTCTTATGTACTCGAGCTCTCTCAGGGTGCAAGTCGACCAAGAACCTGCCACGTGGCATGAGCCGGCCAGCCCTGGTGCCAGCGTGACCTAGCTCAGCAGTCTCGATGCGCTGGAGGCGGGTCGTGCTAGTCGGTGCCGGCAGGCGCTGCAACGGGGAACAGCCACTACAGCGCCGCGCTCACTCGCATCAAGGCGTTGCGCACAGACGAGCACACCGAAGCAGCCTGTCCTACACCTGCCACACAAGTCTCATGCGTCTAAGTATACATTGCTCATGCCGACAGGACGGCAAACGAGGCGGCCGGGCCCCGCTCGTTGTACGCCGCCTTGCTGACGTAGTTCCGCCCCGAGGGGTCGCTGAACGTGAGCTGCAGATGGACGCACGGTCAGGAAAGGGTGCCATACGACAGCAACAGGCGAGCGTCTCACCTTGCCGTAGATCGTGGCGCCGAGGAAGGGCGCCAGGTCGGTGCGCTCCTTGAACTCGGCAAAGTAGTCGGGCACGCGCAGGCTGCGCACGTTGGTCGGCTGCGCCGAGCTGCGCTCTGCGGCGCCGATGCCTGGCGTGCCATCCATGCCGCCCGTCATCATGCCCATGCCGCCGCCGCTGTTGCTCGAGGCCGACGCCACGTAGTTGGCACACGCGGCCGTGACGGCGCCTGCCAGGCCCTTGAGCCCGATCGTCGGCGCGCCCGTGACGACGAGCGTCTCCCAGAGCAGCGCTCGCTTGTCGTCCTCGGGGATCGAGGCAATCGCGATGCTGATCAGCTCCGGCAGCGAGCGAGACGCGGCCGGCGCACTCGAGCCCTGCGCGCGCTCCATCGCGTCCAGATCGATGTTCTCGTCCGGCAGCGAGCCGGCACCGAAGCAGCGCTGGCCCAGGTCCGGCCCGCTGTCGATGCCGCGCACGTTCGCCAGCACGGCAGGGTTGAACAGAGGCTCAGCGACCTGGCCCAATGGTCCGGGCCCGACCTGTAGCCTGACGCCGCGGAAGACGGTCTGCACCGCACCCTCCTCGTCATTCGCTCCGGGCTGCACATCGTCGCTCGGCTTGCTGGCCTGCGACGCCGCTTTGGCCGCGATGGCCTGTGCCTCTGGATCCGAGCCCGCCAGCGCCGCCTTGTTGCGCGCCTCCTGCTCCTCGATGGCCGCCTTTTCCCGCCCAGCAATGAGCGCCGCCGCAACATCAAACTCCTCGTCGTCGTTCTGCTGCTCGGCGCCGGCAGGCAGGTCGCCGGCCTCGAAGCGTGCGTGCTTCTCGTGGATGAGCTGCAGCGCCAATGCAGCGAAGGACTGATGCAGCGTCTCCTGGGCATCGCTAGCGCTCTCGCCCGTCCGGCTGGTCGAGGCCGCGTGCCGCGAGTCCAGCTTGATGAGGGCATCCGTGAGGGATGCATCTCGCCGCAGCAGGTGTGCCAGGTAGAGGGCACAGTGCCGCAGGCCGACGTTGCAGCGCGTCAGCGCCGCATGCTGCACTGCACAGTCGAGCACTGGCGAGACACTGCAGCTCTCCCAGCCGACGTCGACGACGACGGAGGAGAGGGTGCCGCAGGCGTACGAGCTCAGCAGCGGCGTCTCGACGATGCTGAGCGACGGGGCGTTGAAGAGCTCGAAGAAGACGCGCGTGATGATCGAGTGCGCCGCGCGCGAGACGGGCGCCGGCAGCGCCAGGAGGATGGGCGAGTCGTTGAGGCTCGGCCGCAGCGGCATGAGGCGGAAGAGCAGATGCCGCCTGAGCAGTATCAGCAACGCAGCAGCACCCCACACAGCAGCGCCGACTCACCACAGCGCGATGCACGCCTGCCAGTCCTGGATCACGCCGCGCCGCACCGGCCAGTAGATCTCGAACGGCTCGCCGGCGCTGATGCGCTGGTCGAGCTCGTCGCCGACGACGTAGTCCTCCGCCGCTGGCAGCGCTGCCACGCCCTCGGCCGAGGTTGACGCCCGTGCGGCGAGGAAGGCGCGCGGCAGGCCGACGCGCGCGGTGAGCTCGTAGGCGGGGCGGCGGAAGAGGTCGTTGTGGATGCCGTAGCCGGCGCGCAGCGTGTGCGAGCCGTGCACGATGAGCACGGCCTTGTTCTCGCGCGACATGCTGGCGCGGAGGAAGCGGGCGGCGGCGGCAGGTGCGGAGGGCAGGTGACTAGCGAGGCAGGGCACGGACCGGCAGTGACGGGTGCGGAGCGGCGGATCGAGAAGGAGCGGCGAGGGCCACAACGGCGAGCGGAGCGTGCGACCACAGCGGCAGCGCGGCGCGGCGCGCGTCGCTCCGCCCAAGAGACGCGTCGCGCAGAGCCACGTGGCCGGCCGTGGGAGCGCCGACGGTCCTTGCCCTCCTACCCTCATCCCGGCCTCTGAGGCAGCGACGCCAATCTCGTTGGCGATGCTGCTCGGTCCAGCTACTCTCTCGCACGCCTGCTTCTGTCAGCACAGGTCACGTCGGGGTCCTCCACGTCAAGGAGAGCGCGGTACGGGCTGCGCCCAGCGCTCGCGCCCCGCGAGGCCGGCAGCCCTCCTCCTCATGCCGTGTCGCCGCGCCATCCTCAGAGCACCCGCATTCCTAATTCTGTTTCACTGCTGCTGCTCGTGACGCTGGTGAGTCGAGCTGCAAGCTCGGCAACGAGGCTTCCCGATGGCCGGCCGCCAAGCATAGCGCGTGCATTTTGCCGCGCCCGGCCTCCGCACTGCGGCGCTTGCAACGGCGACGGCGAGCAGAGCGGGCCCGGCGAGCTCGCCTCCTGCGGCCAAGGACGCACCAACAGCTGCATCTCGGCGTCGGGTGAGGTGCGTGCATGGCCGCACGCCGGCATCCGTCGGAAGGGCTTAGCGTCGCTGCGTCCTCTGGATGCTGAGCGCTGCGCGGCTGAGGTGAGCAGAGAGAACGCATGAGTTGGCCGCGTCCGGTCGACGTCTGCTGCCGAACCACCTTGCGTCGACTGTCTCTGCTGCGAGCAGCCCGCACCGGCCGGCGGAAGGCACCTGGCGCTGATGCTGTGAGCGCTCTGCTCCCGCGCTCGCACGTGGCGGCGGCTGCTCTCATGCATCTGCGCGCTGTCTGCGCTCATGCCGCCTTTTCCTCCGCACGCTCGACGTTGGTCCACCTCTGCGGCTGCTCCCATCGCAGCAGCGCCTCCTCCCGCTGCCAAAGCTGTGTGATCTGCCGCACCCATCGAGAAGGACTACAGGGGATGATGCCTGCCGCCGCTGCGCCACCCGCTCGGCACTCGTGCCGTGCTGAGACCTGCTGCCGATTCACACGCCCGCAGCCGCATGCCGGGCCACGAGAAGTGTGCGGCGGTGCGGCAGCGGCGGAGTCGACGACGAGCGTGGACCCCAGCGGGCCCAGCCTCGCGGAACGCCTCGGAGCCGAACGGCGCGCCCGGAGCCGCCGCCGCGTCTGCATCTGCGCGACGTGCCTAGCGGGATCTGTGCTCTGCTTTGCTCTCGCTCTGCCTCGCCCTGCACGCTGCCTCGCTCTGCATCTGCCTCTCTCTCGCTGTCTCGCTCTCTGCCGCCGGAGCGGCTGCTGCAGCAAACGAGGAGCCGCTGCAAGCGATGCAGCTGCGTCCTGTGCATTGGGGTGCAGCATCTGGTTCCGCCGGAGTAACTCTCCGGCTCCCTCTCGATTCATCAGGGCCTCGCGGCCACATTCTCGCAGCGCTCCCTGCAAGCACTGCTGTTGGTCTGGCGGCCGTGTCCATGGTCTTGCAGCCGCACAAGCCAGTCATGCTTCGAAGTGGCTTACGTCTGTTCGTACTCAGCACAGCCAACGAACGCACGCGACGCATGGGAGCGGAATTCCGACCACACCAGGAGCCGCCAGGTCGTGTCAGCATGGGTCTGCGCTGCCCGCCCTTGGTACGCCTTTACATCGAGGCCACTTCAGCGCTGCGAGCATCATCAGCTCAGCTCAGCCACAGGCATGCAACCGACTCAGGCCTGCGTGGCGTGCCGGAGCGACACTAATCGAGGGGATGCCATGAGCGCTCGCGGAGTGGGACTGCAACGCAGCTTGGCCACCATTGGAATGAGCCACCTCTGCTCAAGCGCCATCAGCGCTCAGACTGCTATGCTTCTGACAAGCGAGCGCCACACCGCAGTCGGCTCCTCGATGAGCCGCCGGCAGGTTCAATGCTGGTTCTCGTCGGCGCCAGGAAGCTTCCACGACCATGCGCCGTGACCTCGACACCCTCCGCCGCCCCGGGCCACGCTCGGTGCGGAGTGAGCGGCTGCCGCAGCACCACGCAGACGCAGCAAGCAGAGCGGCGGCCGTACCCTCCTCCGCCTCGGGCACTTGCGCTCTCCGCCTTGCGCTGCTCCCGCGTGAACTTGGCGGGGGCAAGCTCAGCGTGCCTGGATGGCGAACTCAGCCCAACTCGGAGCCGAGGCCCGAGCTGCACGAGTGCCGCAGTCGCACGCACGCTCGCCATCGCTGCATCTGTCCGCAGCCGCATCCGCCGTACCCTTCGCCGTCCACTGCTCGGCTGGACGCATCGCTTCTGCAGCCGTGCAGGCGACAAGTGTCGTCGATGGCGAGCAAAGACGCTGCGTTCAAGGCAAAGGCGCGGATGCATCCGCGATCGCCCTTCCTCCACGGCGCCTGCATCTGCCCCGCTGGCGCTGCACGCTGCACGCTTCCTCAGCCCCTTGCCGGCATGATGGCACGAGTGGCCTGCTGGCTGAGGGTCCAACGGCGCATGCTCCGACGCACGAAGCAGCAGCAGGGGGTATTTGCCGCGGCAAGCTTCGCTCTAGACGCTGCTGCGCTGCATGCTGATGCTGCTGACGGGCGGAGCGGTGGCCGCGACGCACGCCTCAGCCACACCTTCGTCGTGCCTCTGCAGCGTTGCGCCGCATCGCGACGTCCGTATGCCGCCTCCTTCAGCTTCCGCAGGCAGCAGCGCCGCAGCACAGGCCGACTTGCCGCACCCGATCCACGCCGCGGCACGGGACATGCCGCTGCGGCACCGCACCAACGCGAGCGCAGCGCACGGCAGCGAGCGGTGCGGGAGAGGGGCATGCTGCTGCGAGACGTGGACGCAGGCGCAGGCGCCGTGTCCCACGCTCAGGTGCACGCCTCTGCGTCTCTCCCGCTGCAGCGCGTGGGCGATGGGCGCTGCTCCTGCATCTGCGAACGGCGCAGGGCCTCGGTCATCACACGCATGCAGCTGCACCCGCCAGGATGAGGGAGGCGCATCGAGGCAGCCTTCGATTGGCGGACACTCCAGCCAGCGCCAGCCACCTGTGCGCTCGCGGAGAGGGCGAGCTCTGCCGCAGCACGAGGGGCTTCCTCATTCCGCTCTCCCATCGCGGACGGCGCACCTCCTGCTGCGAAAGTGAAGTCTATCCCGGCTCCGGCAGGCGCTGCCTCTGCCAGCGGAGGGGGGCGAAGGCCAATTTGATTTGCAGAACAGACGCGAGAGTGCTCTGCGGCCCCGGCGAGTTGATTGGCCACGCGCGCCAAATCACCAAGAGGCGCTGCTGCCGGCGAGCCGCAGGCCGCGAGCAAGGCATGGCTCGCAGCTGGAGGGAGCAGCGGCAGAGGAGGCCGCGATCTCGCCGCACTGACTGCCTTCCTCCATCCTCGTCTCTCGACGGCGTTTGCCGCAGCGAGCGGAAATCCGGCATGCGGCAGCGCCACGCCTCCTCGGAGCGCCGGCACGGAGGTGCAGCGGGCTGCAGGCTGCCTGCAGAGGCCTTGTTGGGGACACGCAGCACCAGAGCGGCAGCAGCGGCATGCTGCGGCTCTGCCGCTGTCCCTGCACCGCTGCCGTGTCAGCACCCACAGCAGCGCACCGTCGGAGCACAGCGCCGCCGTCGATGAAGCCACGCTGCAGCGTGAGGAGGGCGGTCTCGGCTCCGTCCCACGCTGACGCTGCTGGACGACGAAGAGGCGCAGAGAAGCCGAGGCAGCGGCAGCGAGGAGCATCGGAGCGCTGCTCCTTCGCCCGCCAGGCCCGCACGCAAAACGCGGCCCCGGGCCCGCAGACGCACCCCGATGAGGTGCCGCTTTGGCGCTGGGCGCGGCGTCGCTGGCGGCCTGCCTGCCGCTCTGGTGCTGCTGCTGTGCTGGCCCGCTGCCGCATCGCGCATGCTGCCGGGCGCGGCATGTCGCACACTGGCGGCGCGCCTGCCTGCCCCCGCGACCGCATCTTGGCTGCCTGCTAGCCTGTGACAGCTGGCGCGCCGGGTCGCCGTCGGTCTCGCACGGCGCCAGCGTCTGCGCCTGCTCCCAGCGCTGCAGCACGGCAAAGAGCGCGTGCGAGGCCGCGCCGCCGCCGCGCGCCCCCGAGGCCGTCCCCGCTCCCACCTGCCATCAGCCCCCCCGCCCACGCCGCGCCTTCTTCGCACCCGCTCCCATCCCTTCCTGCCGATTGCCTCTGCCTTCTCCTTCGCCCGTCTCTTCTGCACCGCCGCAGAGCAGCCCGTTGCGCAGCACACGTGAGTGCCGCACCGTGCACACCGCTGCGGCCGTCTCTGCTGCGGCGTCGGCAATCCGCTGCCACGCTGGCTGGCGGGCAGCAACTCCGCCGCTGCCCGGCCGACGCGTCGCCGGCGCGCCTGCTCCGCGTCGTCGCAGGCAGCAGCACGGCCCGCTGCGGCGCTGGCCTGGCACTTGCTGCGTCGCCTCCATTCACCACCCTCGCTGACACGTGTCGCCGCCGCAGCTCGCTTCACCGCCAGGCCGGCCTCTCGCTGTCGCACGGACGTGTCTGCGCGTCCGCGTCTCGCCGTCTCCCACGCCGCTCCGCGTCTGCCGCGGCGTCGCGCACCCACACTCCCTCTTCCTTCTGCCCCGCTCGCCGGCTACGCCCTCGTTGCGCGGCGTGTCAGTCCCTCGCTCGCGGCTCTGCGACCTCGCATGGCCCTGCTGCAGTCGTCCAGCGCGTCGGTCTCGCCGTCTCTTTCGCACGCACACGCATCCGCCCACCCGCACGCCTCGCCGCGCGCACACACGCCGGAGCGCGCCGCCATGTCTGAGCGGCCCGCGTGGATGAGCCCGGACCGCCCGTCGCTCGCGCTCGACGGCGATGCCAGCGAGGCGCGCCTGCGCGCCCAGGCGCGTGCCAGCGACGACGGCGCTGGCCAGCCGCTGATGCCGCCGTCGCCGCCGCCCGTGCCCGGCGTGCAGCCGCGCACCAGCCTCGTGCCGCCGATGCGCAACTCGTCCGCCTCGCCGCCCGGCCACGGCATCGCCGAGCCGCGCACCTACTCGCCCACGGTGCAGGAGCGCTCGCCGCCGCAGCACGGCGCGTCGCCCGGCTACGCGCCCGCGCTGCCGCCGTCATCGCGCACCGACACCTTCCTTGCCTCGCTCATGCGTGCCGGCAGCGACGCGTCGGCCGCGTCGCCGGAGCACGCTGCTGCCGCGCACGGCGGTCACCCTGGTTCGGCGCCTGGCGGCTCGTCTGCTGTCTCGTCGCGCTCGGGCAGCCCTCACGCGAACGGCTATGCCAATGGCGGCGGTGCGTATCCTCCGCACCGTGCACCCTCGCCGCGCCGCTCACTCGGCGAGACAGGACCCGGCATGGGCCGCTCGAGCAGCGACCGTCAGCGCGCCGCCGCCGGCGCGCCCGGCTCGCTGCCGGGCAGCGTTCACGGCACGGCCACGGCGACGTCGAGCCCTCGCCTGCCCAGCTTTGCCAGCCTGACCCGTCGCTACGAGGACGAGGCCGCGCAGCAGCAGCAGCAGGACGGCACCGACGGCTGGCGCCCGCGCAGCGCCCGCGACGACATGCCCTTCGACGCACGCTCCGGCGAGCAGCGGCAGCGCGGCAGCAGCGCCGAAAAGGTGCTCGGCAAGCGCAAGAGCGAGTGGCCCGACGTCGGCCCGGCTGCGTCGCCGTACACCAGCCGTGCGCCGTCGGTGCTCACCGAGGCGCACCCGCGATACCCGGCCGACCGCGCTTCGCCGTACGCGCAGCAGCACATGCCTGGCTTCGGCCCTGCGGAAGGATCTGGAGAGGGCGACCGCTCTCTTGCGCCCTTCCGCCCGCTGCCGCCGCCGCCTTCGCGCGGAGCGCTCGTCGCACAGACCATGACCACTGAGGACCGCCGCGCGGCCACTGCTCGTCTGATCCGCGCGCACATGGCTGCTCAGCTCCACGCCGCAGAAGCGCCCGCGGCTGCCGGCTGGGAGACCGAGGCGCCGCGTGCTGCCGTGCCCCTCGCGACAACGGTGCGCATCAGCCACGCGGCCGTGGCTCAGAAGTCGTACGGCTCGGAGAAGCGCTTCCTGTGTCCGCCGCCGTGCGTGACGTTCCGCGGCGCGCCGATCCGCTCGTACGTGGCCAACAACGGCGCCGTCGCGCCTCCGCAGGGCTCGGCGCGCTCGCCAGCCTCGGGCCACCGCATTCTGATGCGCGTCACCGGCGCCGGACAGCAGAACGCTGCTGCGCCCGCACCGGCTGCTGACGCCAACGGCGTTGCCGGCGGTGCTGCACCTCCTTCTAACGTGGCCGAGCAGGTTGGCCTGCTCCGCGCCGGCAACGTGACTGCGCACGAGGCGTACTTCAATGGCCTGCACGTCGGCGGCGACATGCGCAGCGACGGTGCACACAAGACGTTCCGCCTGCAGGTCGAGCTGCTCACACCGCCCGGCACGTCGCTCGCGCACACCAACATGTACCCGATCTCGCCCTCCGCCGGCTCGCTCGGCGGCTACGAGGCCTCCGTCGGCTACGCGGCGCGGCCGTGGGCGAGCATCGTGTCTGGTGCCATCAGCGTGATCAGCAAGCCGGCGCGCAAGAGCGCCAAGTCGCGCAACAACTCGAGCACCGTCGTGAGCAACAGCCTGGTGTGCCTCTACAACCGCGTCAACAGCCAGACGGTGCGCACGCGCTTCCTCGGCATGGAGAGCACGCAGGAGGAGGGCTCCGGCCGCCTGACTGCCAAGATGGAGGGCTGGGCCCCGCTGCGCATGGAGGTTGTGGGCCGGCCCATCAAGGCGCCGACGTTCGCCGGCGAGCCCGTCATGTACGGCCAGATTGTCATCCTCACGGATGAGAGCGGTCTGTCGTCGGACCCGCTGCTCGTGTGCCGCGTCGACAAGGGCAAGGTCGAGCTCAGCACCGACATCACCGCCGGCGGCCTGCCCGATGGCGCTGCCTCGCGTTCGCCGAGCGCCACTTTCCGCCTCACGGCTCGCGGCCAGACGGACGTGCGCGTGGCAGGCGTGCCGCGCAGCGCCGCCGATGCTCCCGACGCCGCCGGCGCATCGGCAGCCAGCACCGTGAGCCTGCCTACCAACGCCGGTCCCGTGAGCCAGATGCAGAAGATCGCGCTGCTGCGCATCCTGCCGCAATACGTCATGCGCATCAGCAGCACCGACCCGTCGCTCATTGCGCTGCGGCTGCCGGCCGCAGAGCGCACGTACCTCTGCTCGACGATCCCCGAGCGTCGCGCCGAGGGCTGGAAGTCGTCGACGTCGTCCATGTGGGCCGCCGCCGGCTGGGTCGACGAGAACAAGGACGGCTCGCGCACTGTCGCCTTCGCGGCAGCGCACATGCCTCGCACGCAAGAGCAGATCGAAGAGGACCAGATGCAGCTCGCGCAGCAGGCGCAGCTGGCACAGCAGGCGCAGCAGCAGGCCGAGCTCGACGAGGCGGCCAAGATGGAGCACGCCGACGCGGCGCACGCACACGATGCCGCGCCGCCGGCGGAGCACGTGCAGGACGAGCAGATGGCCGAGCCCTCCGCAGACATGCACGCGCCTGCTCCCTACGGTGGCGCGGAAGAGGTGGCTGCGCCCGAAGCCGCACCGGCCCAGCTGTCGCCAAGCCACGCGCCCGCGCCCGCCCCGCGAGCGGACTCGCGCTCTCCGGCGCCTGGCCCCGCCGCGCCCGGCCCGTCGGCGCCGATGCAGTCGACGTCGGCTACCTACGCCACGCCCAGCAAGAGCACGCGCGAGAACAAGGTTGGCAGCGGACCTTTTGCCGAAGAAGTCGACATCGATGCGGTCGACGACACGCTCTGCTGGTCGGTCGTCATGGTCCGTGAGTACTAGCTGCAGTCCCAATGCGCGCTGCGATGTCTTGCTGACAGTGATGCGCTGCAGACCAATCCGAGTTCAGCTTCATCGAGGCCAACAGCGAGGTCGACGCGGCGCAGAACCTGCAGCCGCTGCAGCAGCCGCTGCCGCCGTCCAACCTGCCGATTACGCCCATTCCGCTGCTCAAGTCCGCGCCGTCGTACGATGCGGAGCACAACATCCTCACGGCGCGCATGCAGGATCTGTACTATACGCTTCCCGGCGCCGAGGGCGCTCCGTCGCGCCAGGCGATGCACGAGGTGTGGCTGGGCGACGTCGGCCCGCTGGCCTTTGACGTCGTCAGCGCGCCGCACATCGTCTCGCAGGCGCAGGCCGGCCAGGCCACCACGCACGTCGACATTGCAGTTCGCCTGCCGTCCTTGCTGGACATTGCGGCGGCGGCCAGACGCATCAAGAGCCCCGAGCTCGCCCAGTCGGCATCGGCTGGCCAGCACCACGGCTCAGTCGACCACGTAGAGGGGCACCAGCACCAGCAGCACGACGATGGCGCGCCGCTGCCTCCGCCGCCGGCTCCCCTGGACGCGGGCGCCGAGGAGCTCTCTCACGCCGACGGCATGGAGCACCAGAGCTCCAGCCCAGCAGGCAAGCTCGTCGCGCCGTACGCCTCGACGCAGGCGCAGCAGCAGGACAGCTCGCAGCAGGACATCGCGCCGCTGCCGCTCATCTTCGTGCGCGGCTTCGACGGCATGGTGTACCCGACGGCCACGTCCGTCTACATCGATGCGCCGCGCGGCGGCGTGCCCTCGGCCTCGCTCGCGGAGGACTCCAACTGGTGGAAGCTGCGCATCGCCTAAAGCACCTCGTCCGGCCTCGTCACCGTCTTCCCGAACCCTCAAACAAAACCTCGGCGCCTGCGACCGGTGCTGACAGCCGTCAGCATCGGCAGCAGTTGCGTCCTCTCTCGATTCGTCCATCGGCTCTGCTCCTCGTCCACCAGCCCGCGCGTGCTACCTCACTGCCTCTCTCACTAATCTCTCTCGACGCCAGCGAGGCCAGCGGCCGGCGCAAGTCTGCTACGGCCTCGCCGCCGATCCTCATCGCGCGCAACAGTCGTGCCTGCACTCGTCGAGCCCTCGTCGGCCAGCTCGGGCTGGCAGTCGCAGGACCGTCGTCGTTCCCTCCGTCGCTCTGGCGCCTCGTCGTCGCTCCGCCACGACCGGCCCACACTTGAGCTCCGCGCCCCTGTCCCCATTCCCTCCCCTCGCGCCCTCTCCCGCATCGCTAATACGAAACTGAAATACAACTGTTCCTCTCGACGTCGTGGTGCGCACCTGGCGCTGTTTGTGCTGTGAACGAGGGCGCGGCCCACGTGTGCATGTGATCTCATCGAGCTCGCTGGACCCGCGGGCCCCACCTCCGGCGCTTGCCGCAGCAAGGAACGCGTAGGCGGAACAGAGGCTTGCAAGCGTAATCGACTATTTCGTGCGCAGCGTCGCTCTGCCCTCTGCCAGGGTGCAGCCAGGTCTTGTATGCCGTGCGATCGAGGACAGAAGCTCGAGAGACCTTCGGAAGCACCCAATCAGGGTCTGACCCGGCCGCTGTGCCTCATCGGTCGCTCGCAGCTGCAGCACATCCGCGGCCGTTGCCAACCGACGATGAGCACCTTTCTTGGCGCACAGCGTCGGAGCCGAAGCCCGCACAGGCCGAGGAGCTGTCAGCAAAGGAGCCTGGCCGCGAGGAGCAGGGCTGCTCTCACAATTCTCACATCACAGTGCGCTCTTTATCGGCCGCGCTGGAACTGAGTGGCGGGTACCTGATCGACGGCCACGCCACCTCCTCTGAGGAGGCGTCAGGGAGTCAAGTGGTGAACCAGGATCCCCGCGGGTGTCCGCGAAGGCGGCCCTCACAGAACAGCGGGCGCCGAGGCTGCGTGCGCTGCGCCACGTCGCACCCTCTTTCTCGTCACCTGCGCCGGGCAGCCTGCGTGCGGGCCGACGCCGCGCGCCGGCGGGAGTAGATACCGCTCAGAGTGAGCCCGGAGGGCCAGCACCAGACTTGCTGCAGCGCCAGCCGCTTGGCGAGGCGCAACGCAGAGCCACGCGGGAGGGGCCATGTGATGTCTGCGGAGGGCGCAGCAGCTGCAGCGAGGCGCCTTCTTTAGCCGCGCTCGGCGCCTGCTGCCGCTGCACGCCGCCGATCATCCGGCGCGTCCCGCTGCCGTAGGCCCGCGGAGCCGCAAGACCGTGGCGCCTCGGCGCAGCCGCGTCCAGGTGCAGCGCAGCCTTCGCCCAGCCTTCGCCCTTTCACCGCCCGCTGCTGCGCCCGCCGACGCCATCGTGCCGACTGCGACAGAGCGCGGCGGAGGCCCTCCTCTTAGCGCAGAGCCTCACACGCCACCGCGGCTGTCTCCTCTCTGATGCTCAGACTCCGCCGCGACAGTGCGGGCTCGGCCAGGGCTGGCTCCTTGCGAGGACCGCGAGGAGCGCCTCCTCTCTCGATCCAAACAAAGCGCTGCAGGCTGCACATCGACCTGCAGACGAGTGCAGCGCGTACGTCCTAGCGCAGGCTTGCTGCAGCATGTCGCCATCGTCGGGCAGGCCTGCATGGCAGGCCCTAGTTACAAGGGCGAGCAGTGCAGGGTGCCTGTCTCTGCGTGGAGCGACGTCCATGACAAGGGCTCGCGGGCTTTGGCACAAAGGGAGTCAAGGCCTCTCTGGCTGCCTTTGTGTTGCTCTCGTGCTGCGGCGCGAAGAGAGCACGCGAGACTAGAGCGGCATCCGGCGGCACTCCGCTCGTTTATGCGCTTTGATGAAAAGTGTTGGTTGCGCCCCGTGCGGCGACAGCGCAGCGCAGCGGCACGCACGCACCCTTCGCGGAGCAGTCAGTCTGGAGCGGGACAGCAGCAGCGGCATGTCTTGGTGTCCTGCCCGCAGCCGGACACTTGACGCGGAACGAAGGCGAGCGAGAGCAACACTTGTCCGCAGCAGCAGAGGCGCCGGCCGAGCTGAGCTCTGCAGCTCCGAGCGCCACGCACGCGGCCGCGCAGGTGCCAGCCACTGCGCGCGCCGCACCGCCTTCGGCCTTCGGCGAGCCCGTCGGTGCCGCTGCAGGCTAGGAGGGCCGTCGATCATAGCATAGATTTCGTGCTCAAGCGTCCCGAACCGGCGGCATACTGCATCCTGCGCATCCTCGCACTGCATCACCTTCCTTTGCCCTGACCCTTGATCCTGTCACGCAGCAGCCCGTGCACGCGAGATTGCTTCCTCTGCAGCAGCACATGGCGTGGCAGAGCACGGCCGGCCAGCCGCCTGCTGCTGTGGGACGACCGGGAGAGGTGTACTCGCGCCTCGAGCGCCTCGGCTGCCTCATATACCCTGCGCACCGCGAAGGCCGTTCCACTCGCACTCCCAGCTCCCATCCGACCTCGCGCGCCCTCCCTTGACCGTACCTATCTTATTGCACCACCTCACCTGCTGATCGATCGACTCACACGCGCTCGTCCACGCTGCGCCTCCACGCCTGTGCTCCGTCGCTCGCGTGAGTGCCGGCTCGGACTGGTGCAGAGGGGTGGCCGGGGCAGGAAGATGTGGTTGCCTCGGGCGGGCGCGGCCACGGCGCCTCGCTCTTGTAGTGCGGGCTCCAGCAGCGCCGAGCCTCGAGGTGGTGGTGGGAGCGAGCAGCCTGCGGGACGGCCGTTGGCTGCAAGTGGAGCTTCTTGCACCGCTCCCGCAGCCAAGGCCAGCGCCTGCTCACGTGGGCCTGGCGGGTGCTGTGCTTTGCGCTCGCTGTCCAGAGCGGCTGGGCCGTGCGCCGTGCCGCTCTATTTGCGCATAAGGCGTGCCTCCGCCCGGCATGCGTGCTGCGTAGCGCCGTCCCACGTGTGCGCTCTAAGCGATTGCGAGGGCGGCGGCGCCGGCGGCATGCGTGCGTGGAAGCCGCCTGGCCGCGGGCCCTGTCAGGCGACGAGGCCTGTGGGACGGACGCGGTCGCACGACCTCCTGCGGGCGCCAGGTGCGCGCCGCGTGGCTGAGCGCGCGAGCAAGGGGCTCGGGGAGCGCGGCGGGCGTGTGGGATGCGCTGCCTCGCCGCAGCGGTGCTGCGATGCCTGTGCTGCGAAGGAGGAGGTTGGCGCCCGGCGTGTGATCACAGCGAGCGCCGCTGCACCCTGAAGTCACACGCTGCACGGGGCGGTGGCGCTGCCCTGGCGCGCGCACCCCTGGGGCACGCCGCCAGTGTCCGCGGCGCGCGGCGAAGTGTTGGTCTGCGCGTGCGGCATCCAGGCACCTGGGCAGTGTGCACCGCGACTACAAAAGCTTGTAACCGCGCACTACAACCCAGCCGCGCCGACTACAAGCCGAATACTCCGCGCCGCACCTCCTTGCCTCCGACGCGCTTTGCCCGTGCCCGGCCCCTGCTCGCTCCTGGGCTCGTCCTTCGTGCCTGATCGCCCCGGCATCCTCGCGCTCGCAGCTGGCGACAAACAGCGCAACGGCCGCTGTGCGCTGCTGCTGTGCCGCGTGCCGCAGCGCTGGTGCGCCGGGTCCGCCTGCGATGCGTGCAGCTCACGCCGGCCTCCGCCCTGCCCTGCGCTGACCCGCCCCCTCGCCGCCGGCGCCCGACGCCACAGCCGCACCTCCTAGCGCCGGCGTGCTGCACCTGCGGCGAGCTGCCTCTGCCCGTCTGCGCTCTCGAGCACCGGCCCCGGCCTGAGCGTGAGTCCAGTGTGACAGCAGCCAGATGGGGCAGGACGCTGCGCCTGCGCTCTTCGCCCGTCCGGGCGCCGGCATGCAGCGCGCGCCGCCGTCCGTCCACTGCGCTGACTCAAGTTTCCCTCCTCCTGTGCTGCCCCCTTCCTCTGCTTCCATCCTGTCCTGCATGCGCATCGATGCATGGCTCCGCCCTCGGCCGCGCCTTCTGACGCCGTCCGTCCGTGCGCGCCCCTTTGCCCGTGCCCGTGCCGTCACGCTCCTTGCCTCGCTGCGCTCCGATCATGATGCGGACGCGGGCGCTGCTGCTCCGTCTGCGCGGCTCGTGCATCTCTCCCGCGTCCGTGCTTGACGCTGCACGGCATCTGCATCTCGTGCCTATTCCCCTTGACGGCTCGCGCCTGCTGCGTCATGCCGACGCCCGTGGTCGCGACCTCCGTGCCGCGCCTTGCCGTCGGCCATCTCGTCGTCCGGGCTCGTCTCGTGGTCCTGCGCGCGTTCGGATGATTCGCGGCTTGCTCTTGCGCTCGCTGCTGTGCCGCTTGCTGCTGTGCTGCTGCGCTGCGTGTGCCGTGCCGGGTCGTCTTCTCTTGCTGTGCGCCGCACCGGCACGCCCTCGCTGGCTGCCGCTCTGGCATGCGTGCATGCATCGCCGATCCGCCGTGCGCGCATCATGCCTGGCCCTCGCCGCCGCTCCGCTGCTCCTGCGCCTGCCCGCCCCCTGGCGCTGCGGCTGCACGCCCGTATGGACGCATCCCAACGGACGGTCCGTTGCGCCCTCGCCGCCCATGCTTATTCGCGCGGTGCCGCCGCTGCCGCCGTGCTGCCCACCTGCTTGCTGCCCTGCGCACCCGCCACGGCGCCGGCTCTGACGTCTGTGCTGCGCTGCTCGCCGTGCGTGCCTGTGCCCGTCACATTCTGGCTGCAGCCACAGCGCCCGGGCACATGCCCCTGCGTCTGCGCACGCGTGCCGCAGCGCCTGCTGCGCCCGCAAGATCAACACTTTCGCCGCAGAGCAACACCGGCGCCGGCCCAGCGCCAGTGCACCCTGACGACGCCGCCCCTCCCGCCGCCTCCGCGCCAGACGCGCGCCAGCCGTGCCGCCTGCCCGGCCGCGCCGCACGCCGTGCCGCTCCCATGGTGCGTGCCTCTCCGCTGCCTGCCCGTGCGCCTGTCGAGCCTTGTCGGGCGTCCTCCGCTCCATCTCAACGAGCCGCCCGTTGGCCTCTCCGGGCACATGCGCATGCAGTGCGCCACTCGCCCTGCCGCCGCACAGCAGATGGCGCCGCCCGCCTCATAAGCCCCGGAGCCTTGCCTTCCTGCCCGCCGCTGACTCTCTCCTCATCCCTCTCCACTCCCTTCTCTCCACTCTTCTCCTCCGCCCTCGCGCCACCCGTCTCTCCTTCTCGCTTCGCCTGCACGCACCCACACACTCGTTCACCACTCTCCTTACTTGCCGCCTCTGCGTCTCCTTCTCCTTCACAGCCTTCTCTTCGCGCCGCCACTCCTCGGCGCCGTCCCTCTCACTCCGCCCTCCACCTCATCACCCGCAGCATGCCTTCCATGAGCACCTCGGCCTCGACGTCGCGCCTGCAGACGCGCCGCCGCCGCTCCGACTCCATCGGCTCGTCGTCGGGCAGCAGCAGCCAGATGAGCAGCAGCTCGAGCATGACGAGCACCGCCGCCAGCTCCTCGTCGGCGTCGTCGTCGCGCACCATGAGCAAGAGCATCTCGTCGGCCTCGACGCGCGCCATCTCGCCGCGCAGCAAGCACAACGCCGCCGCCGCCGTCGCCGTCGCCGCTGCCGCTGCTGCCAAGCGGGCCGCCGCCGCTGCCGCCGCTGCCTCGGCCAACACCATGACCGCTTCCTCCTCGGCGTCCAAGCTGGGCATGGAGGCGTTCAAGGCCGAGTCGCGCCCGATCATCAACGACGTCGAGTACCGCGACGAGATCGTCGCACACATGCACCACATGGAGAGCGAGACCCTCGCCAGCGTCGAGCTCATGGACGTGCAGCCGGAGCTCAAGTGGTTCATGCGGCCGTACCTCGTCGACTTCATCGTCGAGATCCACCAGACGTTCCGCCTGCGGCCCGAGACGCTCTACCTGACGATGAACATCGTCGACCGCTACGTGTCGAAGCGCATCGTCTACAAGCGGCACTTCCAGCTCGTCGGCTGCGCGGCGCTGCTCATCGCCGCCAAGTTCGAGGACGCCAAGGACCGTGTGCCCACCGTCGCCGAGCTGAGCCAGATGTGCTGCTCGGCATACGACGACTCGGCCTTCACGCAAATGGAGGGCCACGTCCTCTCGACCATCGGCTGGTGCCTCGGCTTCCCGACACCCGAGGCCTGGCTGCGCCTCGCCTGCCTCGAGCGCCGCGAGGAGACGGCCACACAGAGCGTCGCACGCTTCCTCATGGAGCTCTCGCTCTTCCAGCGCGACTTCATCGGCCTCGCACCGTCGCACCTCGCCGGCGGCGCACTCATGCTCGCTCGCTACATCTGCGGACAGTCGGCCGCGGCTCGGCCACACCCGTTCGGCAGCGACGACGCCGCCGTCACCTCGGCGGCGCAGCTCATCGACACCTACGTGCGCGACAACCTCTCCGAGCTCAGCCTCATCCTCGTCAAGAAGTACAGCTTCTCGCACTTCTCCAACGCCTCGACGCTCGTGCGCCACTACTACACGGCCGCTGCCGCGCGGGCCTCGTCCACGCTGTCCAGCAGCCCTGGCTCGGATGGCTTGCTCCCGGCGCAGGCCGTCACCTCAGCCTTCGAGCGCAACAGCTTCACGACGCCGCGGCGCGGCGGCAACGCCACCGTCGACGACGACGATGACATGTCGACGCGCTCCGGCTCGGCCTCGCCGGCATCGATGGCTTCGTCGCCATCGCACTCGGGCGACGAGGACGAGGACGACGACTGCGACATGCCCGTCACGCCGCTCTCGCTCAACTCGCTGCACGACCCGCTGCTGGCCACCGTGCAGCACTCGGCCGGCGTCGGCGGCGTCAAGGCGCTCTCCAAGCTCGGCGCCGGCAAGGAGAACCGCGCCTCCAAGCCGGCCCCGCCGGCGCAGCCCGTCTTCATCCAGGCCGTGCCTGCCTCGGCCACACGGCCAGCACTGGGCCGGTGCGACAACATGCGCGCCTAAAAACACCTCTCCACTCGCTTTGCATCCCACACACACTCTCTCAGCATGCTCTCGGCCTCCGCGTTCTCTACCACACTCACTGCCCTCTTTCTCTCGCATCAATCGTGTCTTCATAACGTACCACCCTGCCCTCGCACCCACTCAGTTACCCGCGCGGACACCCCGCCTCTCTCCTGTGCTCCCGTCCCTGGCGCCTCAGCGCGCGTGTCACATCGCCCTCGCCTAGATCCTCTACACAGCAATGCAGCAGACACACAATCTTGCCATCCCTCTGCCTGTGTGACGCTCTGTCTGCCGCAGCACGAGCGCCTGCCTGGGCTGCGTGCCCGCTGGCGGTGCGTGTGGCGCGCGTGCCTGGGCTGCACATTCAGATTCCACGGCATGCAGGCGCCGGCACGCGCCCCGCGCCGTGCAGCTCGCCCGCCGCTCCCTGACGCTGACGGCGCCACCTCGCGAGCAGCGGGTATGCGCCCCTGGGCGCTCAACGAGCAAGCCAGCACATGTGCCAGCACGCCACGCCGTCCATTCTTCGTCCACGCGCCAGCTGTCAGGACGACGATTCAGAGCTCACTGAAGCATGTGCCTCCGAGCACGAGCGCGAGATCCTACCACCGACAGACGTCATAGCGCCGTGCCAGCCGTGCAGCGAGAGCCTCCGTGCTACGTTCCGGTGGCGCACGCACATGCGACTGCGTCAGGAGTGCAGCCAGGCCGTTCTCTCCACACGATCGCAGGGCGCGGCTGGCGAGGACGACATGCCAGGGTCTGTCATGCCATCACTGCGACTGTGGCGGGAGCCGAGCATCTCGGGCTTGCGCTCGCTGGCAACGAGCCGCAAGGCAAGTCGCAAGGCAAGTCGCAGCGCTCGCCCATCCCACGTGCGCCGCGGGAGCGAGAGCAATGCGCGCAGGAGAGCGAGGGTAGTGTCCGGAGTGCGCATCATGGCTCTCCACTCATCTTCGCCCCTTCGTGCTCCACCTGCCGGCTGGCGCGCCACGCCGCGCACGCCGACTCCGCTCGCAGCTCCATGACGAAGAGGATGGCTCAACGATGGAATTGTACAGCATGCCGGTGGTGGTGCTCCCTCGCTTGCAGCGGCGCCGCGGCTCCCTGGCGAGCGGGCGGGCGTGTGAAGCGCAAGCTTTTGGGACGAGGCATGACGGCGAAGCAGAGTCTCTCGAGCAAGGATCAGATTGCGTGCGAGAAAATCAGGCCGAGATGGAGGTGAGGAGATCCGAGTCGCCGGCGTCAAGGACCGTCATGACACTGCGAGGAGGCACAGCGAGTCAGCAATGTGCGCCTCGAACATCGTGCTGGCTTCGATCATGGCGCCACGAGACAGACAAGCAGCTTCAAAGCGAGCAGCATGCGTGCGCACAGAGTGCGCCATGGGAGCCGACGATTTCCCGCAGAAGTGCACCCGACGCAAGCGAGCAGCGCCGGCATGACCTGCAATTCGTCGCTATCCTGCTGCGCGCGACAATTTGGTGTGCGCAGCACGCTGCGATCCCTTTGCGTGACAGCTCGGTCCAGCATTGCCGAACGACGGTGCCGCCGACAGCCGGTGCGCCGCGCAGCAGCGTCTCTCCCACGTCGCTGCGCCTGTCTGCCGGACGGCTGTGCTTGAAGCATGACGATGTCCCCTGTGCCTGACGTCTCTGCTACGCCCTTCGTGCTGCATGCTGCGTCTCTGGCCAGCGCACACGACATTCTGCCAAGCGCGCGCCCTTCCCAACCACCTGTCTCACGCCGTCATCCAAGCCCATCCTGTCATCCGTCTCTCTCCCGACTCTGTCTCCTCCAGCATCTTCCGCTCTCTGTGCCTCGCCTCTCGTGCACTCTCCTCCGTCCAACCTCCTGCTCTCTGCCTCTCCCGCCCTGTCAAGTGACTCACCCCACGCGGAACAGCTTTCCGGCCGCAGTGCCCAGCGCCACGTTGCTGCCCTGGAAGTGGTGCACGCTCGTCTTGCTGAGCATGGCGTAGTACTCAATCTCGCTCTTGCGCAGCGGCGGCGTGTTGGCGCTGATGAGCACGAGCTTGGCCTTGCCGCTGCGCATGCTCTTCAGGGCCGACTTGAGGCCGAGCGACACCTGCCAGCACCGCACATGTCAACCTCTGCACAGCGGACTAGCGCCACCGCGCGACCGCACGCACCTTGCCCGAGCGCATGACGAGCGCGAGCTTGGAGTTGATGTTGTCCGCAGACTTGGACTTCTTCTGTGCCGGCGCCATGGTTGCTCTGCGCAGTGGAAGCATGAGCGCCATGCTCCGATGCGCAGCAGCGGCATGCGTGGCCAGCAGTGGCACAGGTGCGATGCATACACCACGCAGCCGTGCAGCAGCGGCACTCACGATTCTTCTTGAGGAGGGGGAGGAAGGATGGAGGAGAGGAGGCGCGCCCGGCGGCGGTGCGGCCGCCGGGCAGCGCAGCGCCGCGCTGGGCGTAGCGCCGCCTGCGCCGTGAGACGGAGACTCGGCGGCGGCGCTGACATAAGCGCGGCGCGCCAGGCTGCGGCGTGCGGCTCTTACTGCGGCGCGGCCCGTGGGAACGAGCGGCAGAGGTCACGTGTCACGCCCACCACGCGAGTGCGACTGCGTGCGTCTGCCTCGCCGGCTTCGCTGCGCTGCCTGCGCCGCACAGCCGGCCGCTCTCCAGCTCCCACCCCATCTTCCCTCAAGCAAGCAGGTGTGTATCCACGCCCGCCCGCACACACCGCACACACCTTCCGTGCGCCACACAGCGCTGCTCTCTGACACCAGAGTTCTGCAGCAAGGATGACGAAGGGTACCACCAGCTTCGGCAAGCGCCAGTGAGTACCGCCGCGGCGCAGCGGAGACAACGGCGGGCGCGAAGCTGGGCTAGGAAGGGGACAGGGACACCTTGGCGTAGCATGGAGAAGCCATCAACGTTTCTGGCGTCGGAGGAGTCCGCGCTGCGCAGCTCGAAAGGAAGAACGGCGACTGGCTACAGCGCATCTGCGGGGCGCATTGGTGGGCGCAAGGGAGGCCCACCATGCAGAGCACGACGTAGCTTTTGCGCACACGTTTCGCGATGCTCGCGGCGCCATAGTCGCCGCCGTCCTCGCCGCCTGTGCGCCATGGCGCAGCCTCCTCGGGCGCTCGATCAATGCTGCGAGGCCGCATAGCTGGCCTAGCTGGGCGCCATCACCTCTCGTCGCCGCTGCACTGCGCCGCTCGGCTGCCCGTCGCTGGCTGTCGTCCGCGCTTGGAATCTGCGACGCGACCGCGCACGCCGCCGAGCTGTGCAGGGCTACGCGAGAGATGGACATGCTGGCGGCGGCATGGCAAGGGGAAGCAGCGGTGGAGAGCTGGGATGCTGGTGGTTCGCGGCGCATAAAGCGAGAAGGCAGCTGGTGCCCGAGGGCCCCGTCGAGGGAGCAGGCCACGCTGCCGGTGCAGGTGCTGCGATGGAGATCAGGGTACACAAGTCGGGTCGGACATCATGACTGACTCTTGTCCAACAGCACGAAGACGCACACCCTGTGCCGTCGCTGCAACAAGCGCTCGTTCCACCGCCAGCACAAGAGTGCGTAGCGTGCCGCTCGCATCTGGCATGCATGCGCATACTGACTGTCGTCGTCTCCCTGCAGCCTGCGCGTCGTGCGGCTACCCGGCCGCCAAGATCCGCTCGTACGAGTGGGGCCAGAAGGCCAAGCGGAGGAAGAGTGCGTGGCTGCCGGCCGGGGCCACCTCTGCTGCTGCTCATGCTGACTTCTCTCTCCCTCCCTCAGCGACCGGCACGGGCCGCATGCGCCACCTTTCCGGTGTGCCGCGCCGTGCCAAGAACGGCTTCCGCACCGGTGTTGCCACGAGCAAGAAGGCCGCTGCCGCCTCGGCCTAAGCGTCTGCAGAGAGAGTCGCCTCTTCTTCTGCTTCTGCCGCCTGCCCTCGCCGCGCTCGTCCATACGGTTCTACTGCACGTCCTCATCACCCTGTGCCATCACCCATCACCATCCACGCCCACTTGCGCCCCCAGCGGCGCGCCCCACACCTCTGATGTTCATCAACAAAACTCCATCTGGCCATTCGATCGTTAGCTGATTCGCTGCATGCGTGATGCGTTCGCGAGAGGGGGATGCAGGCTGAGGGACAGAGATGCCGGCTGTGCTGGGCGTGCCAGTGAGCTGCGTTCGAGTACTTGGCTGCGTGCTCCCGGCAACAGCCAGCGCCATGTCAAGGCGAGCGACCGTGACAGGACCCAGCGGAGAGCCTTGCACGATCACCGCGCAGACACCTGGCTTCAGAGCCTCGATCGGCTGCGCACGACAAACACTTCGCAGTGCTCTGAAAGCGTTTGCATTGTCCGGGCGGCCACATGCGGCGCGCCGCGCAAAGACGACTCCTCGGCGGAGCGCAGGGTCATGTCGGGGAGATAGGAGGCTCCAGACATGTTTGGAGGAGCTCAGGTGGGCTAGAAGGGGTAGCGTGGGGAGTCTGCTGCAGAAGGGCAGGGCGTGATCGTATAGACAGGCAATGGTACACGCGCACAAGCGCCGGGCCTGCGCCACGTGGTCCCATGCGTAGGGGAGCGTGTCGGTGCGAGCAGAGCTTTACAGCATGGCCAGCGCGCCGAGCACCACGGCGGCGGCGCCGACGAGATGCTGCGTGCCCAGCTCGAGCGAGCCGGCAGCGCCGCTCCGGTTGCCGTTGGCGCCCGAGGCCGGGTTGCCCGTCGTGACGGCGTTGCTGCCCGTGAGCGTGGCGGTGGGCGAGCTCTGGCCGTTGGTGGCATTCTGGTTCGTCTCGACGTAGGCGTTGCCAAGCGGCTGGTTGAGGCAGGTGATGATCGGCACGATGTTCTGCTTGGGGCTCGCCGAGAGCGCCTGCGGCAGGATCACCTCGGTAGCCAGCTCGACGGACTGCTTGTACAGGTCGTGCGCCAGCACAATGTAGCCCGTCGACAGCGACGAGGCGTTGGCGATGATGCCGTCAAAGACGGAGACGACCTCGGCGGCAGTGACCTGGCCGGCGCCGATGCGCCAGTCGTTGGTGTCGTAGTTCGTCTCGGGGCCCGTCGACGTCCAGATGATGGGCGTGAGGTTCATGGCCTTGCAGATGGCGCGAACGCTGGTGAAGCGAGCGTGAGCTGGGTGCGGGAGAGATGCGGCTCGATGCGCTCACCGGTCGTCAATGTCGCCGTACGGCGGGCGCATCGTGTTGGGCGTCACGCCCGTGATGTCGTGAATGACCTTCTTGGTCCAGCCGAGCTCGAGCACAATCTCCTCGTTGCTCAGCGTCGTCAGTGCCGGGTGCGACCACGTGTGCACGGAAATCTGGTGGCCTGTCATGTGCTCGTAGCGGAGCATGTCGGGACGCGAGATGGCGCGCGAGCCGACGACGAAGAACGTCGACTTGAGGTTGTTGGCCTCGAGGTACTCGAGCAGCTTCGGCGTGTACGGCGATGGTCCGTCATCGTACGAGAGCTGAAGGGGCACGCGCGTCAGCTGTGCGCCACGGCGTGCACACATGCGCTCGTCAAACTCACACCCCACGTGTTCACATCCGGGCACGTCGTCACGTCCGTGTCGCGCGTGCAGCCGCCGCACGTCCACCAGCAGATGCCGCTCGAACCGGCGCGCGCCAGGTTCGTCGGCGAGCCGCCGCACGAGCCGTCGGTCGACGGCTGAATGTCCGACGGGACACCCGAGAGGTCAACGGCGGCGAGGATCTCGGCCGAGCCGGGGAAGCTGCTCAATGGCAGCTTGTCCAGCTCCGGGTAGCTTGACGGAGCGGGTGCTGCAAAGCGAGGTCAGCCGTGAGGCAGATACGCGGATTGCGCGGCAGCACGCACTAGAGGGCAGCGCTGGCGCGTTGGAGATGGCCGTGGGGCTGGCACCGGCGCTGAACGTCGTCGGCAGCGGGTACGTGGGCGTCACGGCGTCCGTGCCGGCCGTGATGGTGGCGACAATGCTGCTGATGCTCGCCGGCAGCGTGCCGGTGAAGGGCGGCGGCGTCGTGATGGCGCCGGGCGCGACGCCCGAGATGCTCGAGCTGGCGGCGCCCGTGGCGCTGGAGCCGCTGGTGCGCGTGCGGGTGCGCGTGCTGCTGCTGGCGGCGCTGCTGGAGGCCTGGCGGCGGATGGGCTGCAGCTCGGCCGCGACGAGCGGCAGGGCTGCGGCGGCGAGGAGCACGCCGGTGGAGAAGCGCATGGCGGGCGACGGGACTGGCAGAGACGTGTGAGCTCGGTGGACGAGAGCGGTCGCCACGGCAGCGCGTGCGACACCCGTCCCCTGTGCGCCACCAACACGTCGCTGTCGCCTGACACGCGCCGCTCCATCGCACATGCGCACCACTGCCGCAAGCGACACTCACAGGTCAGTAAAGAGCGTGGAATGTGTTGAGTGCGGCGTGCTCAGGCGTGCGCAGCTGTGGTATGCGCAGTGAGGAGCAGTGAGCGTCGTGAGAGAGGGGTGAGAGGCAGGCGGTGGTCGAGAGGCAGCCTGCACAGCCGCGGCAGACTCAGGAGAGCGCGGCCGCGGAAGCCTGCCGTGCGGCACGGCACAAGCGAGCTGCTGAGCGGGCAGCGGGCCAGCAGCGGCGCAGCGCGGCACACGACGCCCCGCCGCCGCCGCGGTGCCGATCCGAGACGTTGCTGCCGCGCCCTGCCTTGGCACGGCGCCAGAGCAGCGGTCGCGAGTTGCGGTGCGGCGGCACCGGGACAGCGGCGGCGCGGCACTCCCGCCGGCACATCGGCAGCGAGGCACGGCGCCTGCAGCACTCGCCGCACTGCTCTCCTGCCCGAGGGGCGCAAGTCAGGCGACACGCCTGTGCAAATTCGCGTGCGGCCTGCACCCTGAAATCCTCTCCTCGCCTGCCATTGCCCTCGCGTCGTGCTGCGGTGCCGCGCTGCCGGCCGCGGGCACGGCGACCAAGGTCGCGCCGCGCGCAGTGGCAGCTGCGAGAGGCATCAGGGGCGCCGCAGCGCAGCGCAACGCTGCGCCGGCGCTCACGCCCCGTCACAGCGACCTCATCTCGGCCTTGAGGCAGCATCGGCACAGATGCCGAAGCCAGCGGGAAGCAAAGCGCGGAAGCACAGCCAGCAGCACGCAGGTGAGATGGGCTGCCGCAGCATGACCCCCTGCGCGCGAGCGGCGGAGCGAGAGCGGCCTCGTGCAGCACGCATGCTACCGCGGACGGCTGGTTCGCTCTCCACATCTGCCTGGCCCTCGCCCGCACAGCCTCGTTGCACCTGCACCTTCTGGCGCTTTGCTGGTGCGCGCAGAGGGCGATCATCGTGCGCCGGAGCTGAGCACACACGCACCAACCGAGCCAGCTTCTGCCGCCTGCATCGCTGAATGCCGCAGCCGCAGATCGACGCTGCCTGCTGCGGGCCGGCACGGACGAGGCTCTGCTCCCCTCGCCTCGCGACTGGCCGCCGTCGCCCTCGCGCTCGGCGTTCTCTTGCCGCTCTGCGGCAGAGCCGCAGCCTGCAGCTGCAGCAGGGCAGGTGCATCTCCCCCCGCCGTGCCGTGCAGCATTCGAGGGTGCAAGTGCCTGCGCCTGATGCTTGCCGTCCTGCACGGCGCATCCCAACGGCTCTGCTTAGCGGGCATGCTGCGCGTCCGTTGCGGCGCCGATCTTCAGATCGCTAAACGCCGAGCCGCGCACCCTGACGGCCGGAACGCACACCGCCGGCGCCGCGCGAGCTGCCGAGCGTCCGGCGGCATCTCGGACGGAGAGGACGGCAGCGCTCTCTAAGACGGCACAAAGAGGATCGGCGCTGCGGTGTGGCCGTCTGCGAGCTGACGTGCGCGCACGAAGGCGAGACGGCGGCTGAGGTGGTGTGCCGGCGGTCAGAGCGGCTCTTGGGCGAAGCCGTGAGATGGTCGGCATGACGGGGCTGGAGTGGGCGAGACGAAGCTCGACAAAGCAGATGCAGTCCACTTCTCATCAAGCCGCGTTGCGCCCGACGCTCGAGCCGATGGAGCGCCGACCGCAGCTCGTATGCCGATGACGACCGAGCTGAAACTGTTCCTACACTCGGATGAAGCGCTCTGATAAATCTCGTCCGATGCCCGCAGGGCAGTGCTGGGCTGACTGCGCTGCACAGCGGGCTCTCGCATGAAGGACAGGTCCGGCATGCCCTGCGCCGCCATCCTGATCGGACTCGAAACTTCTACTGCATCCCTGGCGCACCGCTCTCCTTCAAAGCAGCTCTGTTGCTCGTGACTCGTCTCATTGCCGCAATGACTCGCGCACGTCGGCCAGCACCTCGCGCACGACCAGGTCCTCCATGGCGCCGCGCTCGAGCGGCCAGAGCGCCACGCTGGCGTCGTAGGCGCGCGAGATGCTCGTGTCCGAGATGGGCAGGTGCGCCGCTGAGAGATGCGCCAGCAGCGCTGTTAGCCGCGAGATGGCGAGATGTGTCCGTGCCGGGAGTGTCTGTGCACGAACGTCAGCATGCGGTGGGACAGAAGAGACGGACCAGCGTCGTGACAAGAGGCTCCGAGCTCCAACTGCAGCTCGTATCGCCGTGTACTGCCTTCACAAGGCCATCCTCCGGCCCCGCCGATCCTGCTGCGTCGGTCCTGACGTGCAACTTACTCACCTCGTTGACATCGCTGTACACGCCGTCCACATCACGCCCTGTGCCCTTGCCCGCCAGCCCGCTCTCGATGCGTTTAGCCTCGCCCTCCGCCTTGTCGACGTCGAACTTCTGGTGCTTCGAGACCCACACGTAGCCATTGAGGCCAATCGTCAGGTCCACGTCGGCCTGCGGCAGCGTGACGAAGTGGCTCTTGAGGCGCTGCACGAGCACAGGCTGCACGAGGGCGAGGGCGCCGTTGCGCAGCTTGCCGTAGCGCAGCGAGCGCGTGTGCAGCGCCACGGAGCCGTCGGCAAAGGAGCTCTGCACCTCGGCGACGAGCAGGTCCTGCTCCTGGAAGAACTGACGCATCTGCAGCTCGTCGGCCTCGAGCTTGCGCCGCTGCACGCCGCCGGGCAGATTGACGCTGGCCAGCGCCAGGGCCGCCAGCTGCCGCGCGCCGAGCTCGACGCGCCAACGCCGCTGCCCAGCTGATACGTCTGCGATGCGCCCGACGACGAGGTCGCCCACCTCGGGCGCGTAGCGAGTGCGCACGGGCGCGACGCTGATGAGACGGTTCACGCGGCTGACCGTGCCGCACAGCGACGCCACGATGGCGGGTGCCTCTGCGCCAGCGGACGCGGCGAGTGCGGCCGAGAGAAAGGCGCCGTGGCCGCGCATGAAGGCGGCGCTCGAGGCGATGACCTCGCCGGCGGAGGCGAGACGTGCGCCCCCCTGAGCGGCAGCCTCGTCGGCGGCCTCGGGGTCGAGCCAGGGCGCATCGTCGTCGAGCTCGGGCGCCGGGTCGGCGTGGCCGGAGAGGTGCATGTAGCTGGCGAGCGGCGCCAGCGAGCTGGTGGATGCGGCAGCAGAGGCGCCCTGTGGCCGGACGCGCTCGACGACGAACGAAGCCATGGCTGGCAGGAAGGCTTGTGGAGGGGTGAGCAGGAGGTGCGGAAGGTGGAGAGAAGGCAGCTCCACCTGGCGAGAATCTGAATATCGGCGCGCTGTGCTGAGTCAGCAGCCAGCCAGGCGCACCGCGCTACGAGTCTACGAGGGGCTCGGACCATCCGCCGCGACACGGCGGGCCGCGCGGGAGTCTGGCGCGCCCTCCGCCAAGGCACCTTCCCCGCATCCACCAGCTGCTCCTGACGGCGACACCTGCTCCCTGCTCCCATCACACCCCGCTCCCGGCCGCGCAGCATGGCCGCCGCGATGCGCGCCTCCGGCTCGGCCTCGTCGGCGCTCAGCGCGCTCTCGGGCCTCACGTCGCCCGGCCTCGACCTCTCGGCGCCGGCGCCCAGCCCGACGGGCGGCCGCGCCTTCTGTGCGCCGGCGCAGGTGCGCATCCTTCTCGTGCCCGCGCCCGGCGCCGTGCTGCCCGACGAGTTCGAGCGCTGGCGCCGCGCCGTCGAGACGTTCGAGGTCGTCAAGCTCGTCGACCTGCCGCCGAGCAAGAGCGGCGCCAAGCGCATGCGTGAGTGCCGTGTGCAGAGCAGCGTGCCGGTGGGCTAGGCAGTGAGCTGCAGCGCTCCATCTTGAAAGCCTGCCTTTTGGATGTGCTACACTGCAGGTGTGCCTGCACTCTTCGTCACAGTGACTCACGCCCTGTCCTTACAGCGTCTGGCTCGCCGCTGGCGCGCCTGGGCGAGGTGCACCTCTCCTTCGTCACGTCGCCGCTCGGCTCGCCGCCGTTCCTGGCGCCGTTCAGCCTGTCGCGCCAGGTGCTGGCCGTCGTCGGCCTCGGCACTTCTACCGCTGATGGGCGCAACCGGGCGGCGCTGTCCCGTGCGCCGGCTGCGCTGCGTGCCGCGTATCCGGCGGCACTGGCGCACCGCGTCCTGGGCTTCGACATCGGCGCGGCCCGCCCGCAGACGATGGACTTCTCCAATCTCGATCTCGATGGCGGCGACGCAGGCATCGCGCGCGAGAGCTCCTCGGGCGCCGCCACACCTATTTCCGAGCGGACGGCGCAGGGCAAGGCGTTTGCTGGGCAAGACGCGGCAGCTGGCCTGGTCATCTTCCCAGCAGTGCGGTCGGACATGAAGGACGTGCGCTTCTACCTGCGCACGCTGCTGCCCGAGCTCGTCAGCGCCATTCTCGATGGTCTGGACGCCACTGTTGCCGCGCTGGAAGGCACGCCGCTCGAGACCCCGCGCGAGACGCTTGTGCCGTCGCTGCCGCTCACGAACGGCGCCGCAGCCAAGGAGGGCAGCGGCAGCTCGTCACCGCTGCCTCACATGCAGCTGCAGCAGTCTGGCGGCGCAGCCTCGCCCTCGGCTGCCTTTACGGCGCACTCCTTTACGCCTTCCTCGCCGGCACCTTCGAGCGCGACATCGCGCGCTTCGGCCTTCTTCTCGTCCTTCTCAGGCCCCGGCACAGCCGGAAGCTCCACTGCGAGCAGCTCGAAGAAGCATGCGCGCCGCGTCTCGGTCGGCACCAACGGGCCGTTGGGCCTCGGCCGCCTCACCAAGGTCCGCGCCGATGCTTGCCTGCTGGCTGGTGACCTGTGGGGCGCGCTGAGCAACTACGAAAGCGCGATGACGACGCTCGGCAAGGAGCGTGCGCTGGCCGGCGGCCAGGATGCAGTGTGGTACGCCGGCGCGCTGGAAGGCTGGGGCGTGGCCCGGGTGCTGGTGCGGCGCATGGGCGGCCTGGTGGAGGAGAAGGTGAGTGTGCGAGAGTCTTGGCTAGGCAACACTGCTGAAGAGCAGCGCCCTGCCAGGCACCAAGCTTGTCATTGCCAGGCGGCAGCGCCAAGGACAAGGACAAGAAGGCTGCGGACAAGGAGCCGGCGATCGATCTGCCCTACGCGCATCTGCCGTGGGGTGACGTGGCGGAGGCCTACTCGACGGCGCTCGTCATTTACAGCAAGTGCCTGGCGCCGCTGAGCTACCTGCTGGAGCCTGCACGCTTCGTCAGCGCCGAGTCACCGCGCGACTACACACACCCGCTGCTGCACGCCGGCTGCTGTCTGGCGTATGCGCGCTTCCTGCTCTCCATCTGGGCCTCAGGCGGCTACAACGGCGAGGCATTTGACCAGATGATCTATGGCGGTATCCCGCCGATGCTTGCCGAGACGGTGCGCCCGTCGCTCGCGACCTACACGCAGCACGCCACTGCCACGGGCGTGCAGCGCCACGAGATCGCTGCAGCTGCCTCGGCGGCCCTTACGCACTCCATCGCCGCGCTCAAGCCGCCAGATCAGATCGCCGTGCTCAGCGCAGCCGCGAGCATCTTCGGCTGCATCGGCTTCTCGCGTCGTGAGGCGTACCTGCTGCGCCAGATGCAGGCTGCCATGGTGGCTCTGCTGGCGCGCAGCACCACTGAGACGGCCGATCCTGTCGCGCCGGTCCCGCGCTACATCGAGCCAAACTCGGAGGCCACGCGTGGTGCGGTCCAGCTGGCGGCGACAGTGTGCGACGAGGCATACACCATCAACACCGAGGCTGAGCCTGCGCACAACATCATCGCGCTCGCGTCTGCGGTGTGCGAGACCGGTGGCATCAATGCCGACGTCCCGCCGGTCAAGCGCCTGCCGCGGCAACACGTGCTTGCGCGCGCATTGCAGCTCGAAGGCATCAGCAACGGCGACGAGGACGAAGACGTGGACTTTGACGCCACGCTTGCAGCACGGGCGCGGGCGCGTGCCTCGTGGGGAGCGCAGCCGGAGAGCTTCAGCGGGCCATCCGGCGGCGGCGAGGCGGTTGTGGAGCGGTCTCTGCTGCAGGATGAGGCGCCCTTCGGCTGGGCAGAGCAGCAGATCGGTCTGCTGCGCGACACGATCGGCGTCTGCGAGGTCATGGACGACTTCGTCGGCGTGACGCACTACGCGGCGCTGCTGCTGCGAGACTTCCACTGGCTGCTCTCGCCCGACGAGCAGCTGCGCCTGGCCCGCGGTCTGCCGCGCGCTGTCGAGGCGGCACGGCACAGAGGCGCCAAGACGCTGGAGCTGCAGTACTGGGGCCCGGCAGAGCCCGTCTGCCGGATAGCCGTCGTGCCAGTAGCGCGGGAGCGCATTCCGGAACAGCGTCCGGCGCTGCAGCTGCGCGAGGACGCCTCGGAGGCCGCAGCGAAGCCTGAGGGCATCGCCGGCCTCAACAACCCCTTCGTGATGGCCACGGGCAAGCCCACCACCAAGGAGGCACACACGCTCGTCGTGGACGAGGAGGCTGTCTTTGAGCTCACGCTGCAGAACACCTTTGCCATCAGCCTCGAGTGCTCCAGCATCGTGTTGGAGACAACTGGAAGCGCATTTGAGGCGCTCGAGCTTCGAGACGTCTCAATACCGCCGCGCGCCATGCACACCTTGCGCCTCTCGGGCATCCCGCGCGACACGGGCAAGGTGACGGTGCGTGGCTGCCGTATCACGCTCGACGGGTGCGCGGCGCGCTCGTTCCGCGTCTCACAGGTTGATGCCAGCACTGACAAGGGCAGCATTGCGCGCGCGACGGAGCTGGACGATCGACGGGTGCGCATCAAGGCTGCAGGTCTCGAGGCGCGGCCGGCCTTCGTGGCCGAGCGGCGGCGAGCGGCGCTGCTCGCAGGTGACGCAAAGCCAAAACGGCAGTCGAGCAACGGCGTCGAGCTGCTCCTCGAATGCGTCGTCGTGCCTGCGCAGCCGCTCTTAGCTGTCGAGGCCGCCACAACATCGCACGGCTCGCTTGTGCTCTGGGACGGCGAGGTGACCACACTCCATCTGCGCCTGGCCAACATTGGACGGCTGCCCGTCGACTTCCTGCGCTTGTCCTTTGCAGACAACCTCGCGGACTCGGCGCGAGCCTCGCTTGGCGAAGGCGAGCTCGATGCTGCAGAGGTGCACGCTCTCGAGACAAGCCTCACGCGTGCGCCAGCCTTGGCATACGCGAGGGCACCGCGCGATCCGCTGCATCGGATAGCTCCGGGCGAGACGACCACGCTCGAGGTGTCTCTCCGCGGCAAGCTTGGCTGCACGAACATGACGCTGCAGCTGGAGTACGCCCACGTCGACGGCCCAGGACGCGGTGGCCTGCCGACGGACGAGACGCGCGACTTCTACACCCGCCGCCATGTCGTGCCGCTCGGCGTCACGGTGCTGCCGAGCGTCGACTGCTCGGGCTTGGAGATCCGCGACGCTCACCCAGGCGAGGCCGTGCGTCTCGTCGCCGAGAGCATGGCGCAGCTTGAGCGCGGCGGCGGTGCCCTGCCCGACGGCAAGGCCGATGCCGAGGTCATTGGCAAGGCGAGCGAGGCACAAGACGGCGAGGCGTGTCTGCTGTGCTTCGACATGCGCAACCTGCAGCGCGGCGCTGTTGACGTGGCATTTGATGTGGCTCAGGGTGAGTGTCTTGTACGTGTCTGGACACGGCCCTTGCTGACCAGGCGATCAGACGAGGGTCCTGCGTTGCGCGTGCGCCGCTCACTACCCGGAGGCGGCCGAGCACGCATCGTCGTGCCATTTGCTCGCTTGCATCTCTCGAGCGCCGAGCTCTCAGCGCCTATACCCACGCTCAGCGCGCGGCAATTCGTCGTCTCAAGAGTCAAGCTCTCGGCGCGCGAGGAACAGGCGGCGCGAGCTCGCTTCTGGCTGCGGCAGGAGCTGCTGCGCCGACTCGGCACCGGCACCGACGCAGCACCTCGATGGACAGAGCGCGCGTCGGGACGCCGAGGCGAGGTGCCGCTGGCGGCTTTCACCCTCAACGACGAGCAAGGCGGACTTGTCCGGCTCGGCGGCGTCGATGTCAGCCTGGCGGTCGGTGGTGCGGCCCCTGCGGTCAACGGCGATGCCGTGCACGCACTCGATCAGGCGCAGGTGGAGGAGTATACCGACGTGGTGGGCACCATCACGAATCGCAGCGGTGCGTACGGTTCCAGGCCGGCCATGAAACGCTTCCTCACCCTCCTCCATAGACCGCCCGCTGCAGCTCCTCTACCGCCTGATCCCGCTGCCCTCCACGGCGCTCTCGCGCGCTGGGCAGGCCATGCCGTCTGTGTCCTCCGCCGCCGCCAACGACGCGATGCTGAGCCACGTCCTCGTCACGAGCGGCAGTCTCTCGGCACCCGTCGCGCCCTGGCCGCTGCCACCGGGTGAGACGGCGCGCTGCGAGACGGGCCTGCTCTTCCTCAGCGGCGGCGACTATGCCTTTGCTGCCATCGTCGAGGAGGTGCCGCACGACGAGCAGACACCCGAGGAGCCTGCACATGCCGCACACCTGCGTGCTGCAGCCACGGGTCACCTGAACGTGCGCGTCTCCTGCGCTGCTTGACCTGCTTACTTATTGCTCGGGCTGGCCACGTCACGCAATCGATCTGTAGACAAGACTTTGGTATACCATCGGTGACCTCAGAGCCGCGTGTGGCCTTACAGCAGCTCGCCCTCGCCCTCCTCTTCGTCCTCGCTCCAGTCCACCTCCAGATCGGCCTCGAGTGCGGCCTCCGCCTCGGCCTTCATCCTGTGCGCCTGCGTCAGCATCCTACACACAAGCACATGTGCTGCGGACTCACTTGTCTAGACCAGTCACGCGCTCGAGGAACGACTCGTCGTTGAAGGCCTTCTTCAGCATCGCGAAGCCGTCGCGCTTGTACGCGTCGATGACGGCGGGCGAGCAGGCAGTGCAGAGGTCGTACGCTCCGCCGACGAGGAGCATGTTGCTGAACTGCGCCAGGAAGCCGCGGATCTGGTGCGGCACGAGGCCGAGGCACGAGCCGGACTGCGCTGGATCTGACGAGGCGAGCGGCGCCTCATTGCCGCGTGCCGGTCCGGTGGCTGCAGGGGCACTGACGCTGTAGCAGCGAGTCAGCCAGAGGCTCTGTTCAGCGAGGAGCAGCTCTGCTCACCCATCCTTGTGTTGCAGAACCGAGACCATCAGCTCTACTGCCGAAGCTCCGGCGATGGCAGCAAGGCCGGGTCGTGTGACTGTGCACATTTGGTCGAGCGTGCGGTCCGTCAGAGACTGTCAGAGGCACGTGTCAGCTCGCCGCGATAAGACTATCAGCGCCAGACGGCTCACGTCGGTTGGCGCCACGATGTCGTTGCAGTAGTAGCAGCCGAGTCGGCGCTCGTTGGCCGGCAGCGTCTTGGCCGCTGCATCACGCTCAGCATCAGGACCGGCGCCGTGCCGCATGACGAGATACGTGTCGAAGCCCAGAGCCGCATTGATGACGAGCTGACGACGGTGGTCAGCGCATGTTGCATCCTGCACAGCCAGAGGACTCACCTTGTTCTTCGCTGCACCGAGCAGCGTCGGCAGCCAGCGGCTCTCGCGCGAGTCCATGAGCAGGTACACCACTTTATGCTCGTCGATGAGCTTCTCGAGGGTCTCGACGTCTTGTCGGACCTGCGCTTCGGCGCCGCTCTGGATGGGATGCCCAGGCATCGGCACGTTGAGCTGCACACCCGTCGCAGTCACGCCAGGGTAGATGGCGCGCAGGCGCGCAGCAGCACACTCGGCCTTTGGCTTGCCGCCTTCGAGACAGTCGTCGAAGTCGAAGAGCGGCTGTCGTACCGGGTTCGAGAAGGAGACGCGCGACGAGTCGACGAGCGTAATGTGCCGCACACCCCAGCCCTGCAGCGTGCGTCAGTCTCCGTGTGGATCAGAAGGACAGGGCTGCAACGCACCAGCAGCGTCCGTGCTACATAGCAGCCGAGCGTGCCTGCGCCGAGCAGCAGACACTTCGTCTGCTGCACACGCTCGAGGTTGATCTCGGGCATGATGCGCCACCGCATGAGCTTCAGGTTCAGGTCGACGGCCTGGTCCGCCAGCCTGCGCGGGTCCATCAATGGGCCTAGATCTGCGAGCTTCGGCGCCAGCTTGCCGGAGCTGTTCCGCTCCCAGCCGACAGCTAGCGGCACGTCTGGCAGGCCCGGCTGCGTGGCGAGCGGTGCTGAACCTGTTGAGAGGTCAGCGACGCGACGACGGGTGGTCTCAAGTAACGTACCATGAGCTCCAGTGACCCTCTCGCCCTCGGCGGCGTCCTCGGGCAGCGCGACGTCACCGATCACCGAGCGCCGCTGCGTGCTCTCGCCGATGTCGTCCTTCCAGCACAGAACACGCACGCGTCGCACTCCAAAGCGCGCCGCCATGAGTGCGAGCAGGTTGCGCAGCGGCCAGCCAGGCTCTGAAGCTGCGGCTGACGGATCCACGAAGCCGACAGTGGGCTGCACAGAGCGATGAGCCAGGATCTGCGCTAAGACTCAGCGGCACTCACCTCCTCGCCCGCTTGGAAGAAGCTCGCAAAGTCTGCGACGTCGCCAAGACGCGGCTGTCCATTGCTCGTGCCCACGAGGAAGAAGGCGCCCGAGGCCGAGTCTGCCTTCTGCTCTCTGCGCCGGGCCTCGACGGCCTTTGCGAGTGCCTCGTACTGCACGCTATCAGCATCGTGTCCGAGCCTCGCCGTTCTGCCACTCACGCTGCCTGCTCCAAGCGCGTCAGACACGCTCTTCCACTCGCCCTGCAGCGTCCATGCCGGCTTCGAGACGAGCGCCGGAAATGCAAACCAGTGGACGAATCGGTAGCGCTTGAGGTCGGCGAAGGAGAGCACCAGGAAGCGCGCCAGGTGCGGTGTCGGATCTGCAGCGCTCAGCATGGCCTCATACATCTGCATACAACATCAGCGGATGCGGAGCGTGAGCTACGACGTGCCAACGCACCGAGCGCGCCTCGGCGTTGAAGAAGGCCTGCTTGTCGGCTGTCTTGAACTCCTCGACGGTGTTGAAGTTCTTAAGCGTGCCCCAGGCCGGACACACGTGCGGCGGCAGCGAGTAGCTGCAGAGCGAGTTTGAGCATCACAGGCACTGCGAAGCATGGCAGTATGACAGGCAGGGCGAAGCGTCATAGCCCTGCAAGCAGCGCAAGGCGTCACGGCTTGACCAGCGGTGCGAGGCTTGATGTTGTTGCTGATGAGCGCTGCGAAGCTTGCTCTTGCTTTTGCGCACAGCGCGCCCCGCCACGTCACCATCTGGCCCAGTGCGGGACTGCCTCTCCTCATCGCCAGTTGTGCTGTACTCACCCGTCGCCCAGCGCCTCGCCCTCCACGACCATGCTCGGCGGCAGCGGCACCTCACTGCCCGTCTGGCGGTCCAGCACGCGTCGCGCAGGTGCATAGTGGGCCCGCACGGCGAGCGGCGCGTCGGCCAGCTGCGCATGCTCGATCTTGTGCGCCGCCAGTGCCGACCAGAAGGCCGGCGCGATGGCCGTGTGCAGCGGCGCAAACTGCACCAGCGGGGCGGAGCTGCTCGAGGCCATGCTGTCGCGCGGAGCGAGGTGAGAGAGGGGCAGTCCGGGAGCCGGTGCAGCCGCGCAGCAGGGGAAAGGAGCGAGCGACTGTGCAACAGCGAGCACAAGACGGTGTGTGCGGCGGCCAGACAAGGAGGAGTGGGCAAGCGAAACAAAGGTGTAGGGGAAGAGAACAGAGGAGCGCCGGGCCCGACTGTCTCGAGGGGGCCTCACGCCAGCCGCACGTTCGTGCGCAGCGGCGCGCCTCTCGTACGGGTGCGGCCGAGCTGGTCCAGCGAGTCTGGCTGTCTCTCTCTCCTCTGCCGAATTTCCACGCTTGGAGATGCCATGGCAGGCGAAATGCAATACCGGTGAAGACGATCAGAGAGGTGAGATCTCACAAACAGGCTCTCCAGCACGGGCTTTCGCTGCGGCGCCGGTCGGGCGACTGGGCCGCATGCGCACCCTGTATCACGCGCCGCCGTCTGAGGTCCAAGCACAGAGGCATCTCTTGTCCTTCGCTCGACGTCTTGGCAGGACCGAGCGCAGCATGTCATGCTTCTCTCCATCATGGAAGCTCGCGATGAAGACTCGACGCCGACGAGGTGCGAGGCACGGCCCGGTTTCTCTTGTGTGCTGTGCTCCGCCGGCGTCGACGTCCAGAGAGTTTTCCCGCCTGCAGCTGCGCCCACGTCGTGCATGACGCCTCTCTGCCTGCTGCGCCACGGCGCCCCTTGTCCCTTTTTCGGTGTTGAGGTGTTGGTCTGCTCGGCAGCCCCTGCTTGGCATCGTGACGCCCGCGCCAGCGTCATCCTTTGTGTGCATCATAGCGACGCCAGCTTGTAGGAGCCTCTTCGCTGCTCACGCCGCGGTCCAGCCTCAGAGATGAGCCTGCTGAGGAGAGCGGGGACAGAAGAAGGGTGTGGCGCAGCAGCACCGCAGCAGACGCACCTGCACACGCCGCAGCACAGCCTCTCGGCGCCTTTGCGGCCTTGCTTTGCCGCGCTCCGGCCGCCTTTGTGACGCACCCTCGGCCGACGAGAGGCACCCTCGGACGGAGCGTGCGGCGTGCTGATGAGGCGCTCCATCTGCCCCTGCGCCGCACGAGCCCGGCGCAGCGAACGCTGCACCGCCCACGCCGCTGACGCGGCTGCACGCTGCGCCCCGGCCGGGCCCGCGAGCAAGAAAGGAAGGCGGCGCAGCGCAGCGCAGCTCACGAGGCAGGAGGCACGGCCTCGGATGATTCTCGCTCGGCCGAGCTGCAGTCTGCGAATCTACGCGAAAGGGGGTGCTGATGCTGCGCCTCGCTGCTGGAGGGCTGCGAGCTGCACGCTGCATGTGGAGTGATGGGCGGCGCAAGCACGCACCCAAATCCGCGTGTGATGGGCCGCGTTGGGCGGAGCAGGCGCTCAAATCACCGCACCTGCTCGCGATCGGGCGTCTGGGCCAGGGACAGCCACAGAGGGGCGCTGCTGAGGTGCTGCGGCTGCGGCGGCTGCCTGTTGCCCGCTGCCGGACAGAGGAAGCCCGGCCTGCTGCGCCGCCGTTGCAGCGCAAGACGCTGCCTCGCCGTTGCCGCTCTCGAGACGTCAAAGCACCCTTGAGCCGGCGCTCGCTTCCTTCCTTCCAGCCTGCTGCACCCACCTCCTTCACACCTCGGCGTCGCTCACCACCGCACCAGCTTCCACCTTTGCACCTCAGACCCAGCCCTCTTGCCCTCCACCCTATACCCTCCTCGCCCGCCATGCGTCTCGCGTCTCCGCCCGGCCCCGTCTTCTCCCAGCCGCGCTCGCACCACCCGCCCGGCGGCTTCGCGGCGCTCTATGCCCGCCAGCTCGACTCGAGCAGCAGCGGCAGCGGTGCCCAGCGCGAGCTGATCAAGCGCCAGTCGGGGTGAGTCTGCCGCTCGGCTGCCGCGGGTGATGGCGAACGAGGGTGCCTCAGGGGAAGCACTTTGCGGGCGGGCCGCACAGCCGCGCGCAGGAGGCACGCACACGGCGCCGACGCTCGCCCATGGCACGCTCCCTGTCTGTGCTGCGCCGGCGCCTCGCTCCTGTGCACCACTTTCCGATGCCCAGCAGTGCAAGGGTGCTGACCGCACGGCCTGGGCCGCGGGCGCACGAACAAAAGGCTGGCCTTCGCTGGTCGAGTCAGCTCTCCAGTCCGCACTTCTTGCGCTTGCACTGACTCGCACACCTCTCGCACCTCCACCCTGCCCTACCTGACCTGTCTACCATGAACGCACCTACCTTTGACATCGGTGACGCTTTCACCCCGGTCAGCTCCACGACGAGCGGCAGCGGCACCTCGGGCGGCAGCGGCAGCTCCAACAACGCCGACACGACGAGCGCCGCGCCGGCCAACACCACCACCACGCGCTCGACGACCAGCCAGGCCCAGCCTACCACCACCACGACGCAGCAGCAGCAAGAGACGACGCAGCAGCCTACGACGACGGCGCAGGCGCCCGCCGAGACCACCACGTCCACACGTCCCGCCAGCGAGACCACCACGGCGGCGCCTCAAGAGACGACGAGCGCGGCGCCGCAGTCCAGTGCCGCGCAGCAGAGCAACACGCTCGCCAGCACGCCGTCGACGACACTGGCCACGCTCACGAGCACCGACGCGGGCGGCTCAGTCGTCGTCGTCACTAGCACGCTCGCAGCGTCGGCCGCGAGCACTGCCGGCTCGGCGGACAGCGGCTCGGTGAGTAGCGGCTCGGTCCTTTGTCGCCCACATGGTCTGACATGCCATGCAGAGCGTCAACATCGGCGCCATCATCGGCGGCATCGCGGGTGGTCTCGCAGGCCTGATCATCCTGAGTGAGTGCCTGTGCGTGCAGAGCGCCCTCGACGCCTCCTGACATGGCGCGTAGCCTACCTTATCCTTCTGCCGATCCGCAAGCGCGCCGCCAAGCGCCGCCAGGTGAGTGCCTACGTAGCGCCAAGTGCTGCTCAGCGCTGACCTGTGTCGTCTCAGGTTGAGTGGCTCGCCTTCGAGGCCGGTCACCACACGCCCGACGAGAACTCTGCCGAGGCCGTCTACGGCCGTGGCGACTCGGCGACGTCGGCGACGGACCACCAGAGCGGCACGACGCACGGGCGCAAGGACAGCGATCTCGGCGCGTACGCCATGAGCGACGTTGGCGGCCCGGCCGCCTCGTCGGCCGGTATGCACGGCAACATGTATGCTCACCTCGACTCGGCGGGCAGCGGCACGTGGGCCGGCGGTGCTGGCGCGGCGTACGACCCGGCTGCGGCGCACCAGCAGCAGCAGCAGTGGTACGACCAGAACGCACCGCAGCACCAGCAGCACGCATGGAGCGAGCAGGACCGCGCCGCGTACGAGGCGCAGCAGGCGCACCAGACCAACTACGAGATGTACCAGGCGCAGCAGCAGCAGCGATACGGCGCGCAGCAGGCACCGCACGGCGCCTACGCCGATGCCTACGCTGCCGACGGCTACGCGCCCTACGAGGCCGCACAGACGTCGTCGCCGCCGCTGCCGAGCGCCGGCGCCCAGTCGCCGCAGCTGCACCACGCTGCAAGCACGGCGTCGCACTACCAGCAGCGCTGAGCGTCGCAGCCAGCAGCGCGCCGGCTTCGCAGACGACTTCTCCCGTCGCCGTCCCTCCACGTCACCCATACGTGCTCAGCGCCTGTCCGGCACAGGCGGAGCAGCACCCTCGTTCCCGCTAGACCCCAGCAAGCACACTAGACAGATCCCTTCACAGTCTCGACCTGCAGTCATCGCACTTACCCACTCACACACATCCCTTTCTGGCCCATCGATCACCACGTTACCGTCCCTTGAATCGCCAGCCTGCTTCGATGCGGACGTGTGGATCGTGACGGAGACATCTATTGCGGCGCGTGCTCCATGCGTGCGGGTACTTGCCGGTACTCCTCTAGCCAGTTCCACTCCTCATCCTCGCTGCCCCGGCCCTCGGCGCGCACCGGCCCCGTGCCGCCGGCAAACTTGCTGCCCGCCCAGAACGTGAGCGTGAAGAGGCCGGCGACCTGGATGAAGCGCACGACGGCACTGGCCGTGCTCCCGCCCGCCTCTTCCTCGAATGCCTGCGCGGGATTCGGTCGTGCTCGACCAGCCTCGGCAGCGCGTGCAGCGGCCGCCTGCTCGCGGAAGCGGTTGCGCGAGACCATCGTGTCGAACGCGGCGCGCTGCTGCTCGGCCGTCTGCGAGGCGCCGCCAGCGGCAGCCGAGGCCCACGCCGACGCTGAGGCGCCGTGCCGCTGGTACGTCTCCGACGCAGCTGGCCGCTGCCGCCGCTGGTAGTCCCAGGCGTACGAGGCGCGCGCTCGCCGTGCCGTGTTGTCCGACTCGTCGTAGGCGCCACGCGGCGCATATGAGCTGTAGCTGCTCGCACCCGGACTGCTGCTGCCGCTGCGCTCGCTCAGGCGCCGGTCGTAGTCACGCCTGTCGCACAGTCTGAGCTACGGAACGTGGGCGCCTGTGCTACTTCTGCTGCGACTCACCGTGCCCGCTCGTCGCCCAGCGTCGCCCATGCCTCGCTGACCTCCTGGAAGCGCGCCTTTGCGCCCTCATTGTCGCGGTTCACATCCGGATGCCACTTCTTCGACAGCTGAACACGATGGCACCGTCAGCACTGCAGCACATACCAGCGCGCTGCCCGGCACGCACGCGGTAGAACTGCGCCTTGATGTCGCGCAGGCTGGCGGTGCGCGGCACATCGAGCGTGCGGTAGTGGTCGGCGCGCGGGCGCGAAGCGTGCATGTGCCGCACGCCGCCAGGCGCCGCGCTGCGCAGAGTATGCCGGAGAGCCGGCGGGGGCAGGAGCGACATGGCGAGGGAGTGCGGCTGGCAGTGAGGATGCGGATGCGAAGGAAGCAGCTGCGGCACAGCAAGACGCCGGCGGTGCGGCTGCTCCGACTTCGATGTGGAGCACGGACGCGGCGCGTGCCTTACCTCAGCAGCGCCAGCGTGGGAGCAGCACCGCAGAGTCACCTCTCCTCCTTCTCCCGCGGAGCAGCCGTCGTGAGGCTGAAATGTAGCCAAAGAGGGGCCCGAGGCTCTGGAGCTGCCAAGGCATCGAGAAGCGGTGCCTCGGCGCAGCAGGAGCTGGGCCGCTCGCTCATCTGCGCGCGAGAGGAGAAGCCATCAGATAGCGTCACGCGACGGACGCCCCCTGAGCAGCGCCGCCGCCGCGCAGGCATGCCCGAGGCGCAAACAGCTCGCCGTCTCTCGTTGCTGTCGCAGCAGATGGGCACGCTGTATGGCTCAGAATGACAGCACAGCAGGCGGACAGCCGAAGCAGCAGCGACCTTGCCGACTGGCGGATGTTGTGGCTTTCTCGAGTAGTCTGGGAGGCGGGAGCGTGCGCTTGCGGCAGCGCGCCGGCGGCGGCTTTTCCCGCCGCCGAACCTATTTGCTGTTCACCAACCTCCTCTCCGCCGTCGGCGCAGAACGTTCGTCTGATGACCAGGCAGCAGGGCCCAGCGTTTTCCAGGAGAAGGCACGCCTCCTGTGATGTGCCTGCTCCAGGTGCACGGCTGGGCGCAAAATGGCACCCCACGCAAGCGGCAGATCGTCGGTCTGAGACTGATCGAGGGCGCCAAAGTGGCTCCTCTGGCATCGAAGCCAGGCACGGCTTTCTAGTCGCCCTTCCCTCTCTCTCGCCTACCGCAGCCGCGGTCTTCCCATCATCGACGGCCAAGGAGCTGCCCCTGCAGCTGACCATCGGCGCAGCGAGATGAGCACGCCCCTCTTCAGGCACGGCCAGCGCCTGAGCTGGTAGGTGCAGATAGAGAAGGAGAGAACGCGAACGCAGCGGGGCACACGACGGGGCGACCGAGGCTTGGCCGTGTCGCAGCAGCTGCTCCGAGAGCACATAAGAAGCCGCCCCCGCGCGTCAGCGCTGCCCTCATCTCCCCATCTCTCGCGCCATCTGCTACCTTATCCTCTCTCGCACGCCTTAGCCTCCCTCACCCCTCCACACAACTCTTCAGTCATCATGCTCTTCTCCAAGCGCACCCTCCTCGTCGTGGCCGCCGTTCTGTCTGCGCAGGCGCAGGCCCAGAGCGCCCGTGAGGAGTGAGTCGACGACGCTGCCGCCGTCGTTGAGCTCCGGCTGACGCCTCACGAACAGGCTGCAGGCTTGCATTGTCAACTGCTCCAGCACCGCCGCCACGAGCGTCGGCTGCACGGGCCTCACCGACATCAACTGCTACTGCGCCAAGTACGTCGTCGCGCAGCTATCTGCGTCGACGCTCTCGCTGACTCGGGTCCCTTCAGGCAGGAGTTCGCCAACGAGGCCGGCGCGTGCGCCGCCAAGTGCCCCAGTGAGGCGCTTCGTCTGCTGTCCAACCGCCGGCGGCTCGCTGACACGCTTCTGCTCCCGCAGACTACGTCGACGCTGCCCTGCAGGCCGCGTTCGGCCAGTTCGAGGACACGTGCAAGAACGCCTCGACGCCCTTCACGCTCACGCTGCCCTCGGGCGGCAGCGCCGCGTCGCCCACGGGCTCGGCCAGCTCGGCGCCCGCCGCCTCGGGCACGCCCGCCAACGGCAGCGTCACGAGCGCGCCCGCTGCCGCCACGAGCGCGCCGGCCAAGGATGCCGCCGCCGGCCTCGTCATCCCCGGCCTGGCTGCCTTCGGCGCCGCCGCCGCTGCCGCCTTCTTCGCCCTCTAAGCGAGCGGCCTGCTCTTGCCCACCTCCAGCGATGCGCCTCGTCCATGTCCACTCGAGCGTTCGCTCCCCGCATGGCCTCTACCCCTGGCCGTCACCTTCGTAATACACCCTCTCTCTCCCTCTCTTCCGTGTGTGTGTGTGCGAACATGTCATTAGCTGATTCAGTCGTCGTCGAGTCGCAATGACTGCTGCAGCGTTAGCGCGCGACCATACCCTGTGCCCACTGCGCCTACTCACCTTGTGCCCTTGCTCGACGCTGTCGCTGCGCTCGCGCTTGCGCCGCGACGGCTCCTCGCTGCCGTCGCGCTGCTGAGCGTCGCCGCGCATGCGACCAGCGTCCTCCTTGTACTCCTCGTCGGCGCCGGCGGGCACCTCGCGGCCGCCCTCCTGCTCCTCCTGCTCGCGGTAGAGGCCCTCGTGCTCCTCGCGGCGCTCGCGCTCGCGCCGTAGCCGCTCCTCCTCTTCCTGCAGACGCAAGTGGCCCCAGCCGCCGCGACCGGCGTCGTACTCCTGCCGGTACTCGTCGCGCACCTGGCCGCCGCTGCGCCCGCGCCCGTACTGCCGCCCGTCGACGTAGCCCGGGTCGAGGTCGCAGCGGATCACGCGCTCGTCGAGCTTCGTGCCGCTGATGTGCCGCATGCACGAGAGCGCCTCGGCGTGCGTGTAGTACCTGCGCAGTCGCGATCAGCAGGGCATGCGGTGTGAAGGAGCGGCTGCAGTGCAGTGTCTAGGGCGCATGGCACATCGCCTCGCTCGTGCTGCCAGCACAGTAGCGCCTCGCCCGGCTCCTGACAGCGGAGCATGGCCTGACAACGACGATGTGCGAGCACAAGACATCGCTGGCCAGCTAAGCGGCGCTGCCGTCTAGCTATCACCACCATGCTCTCTGCATCGCTAGACTCCGCTCTGCCCATGCCTCTCGCCCGCGCACTCACTCAACAAACGCGAACCCACACGGCGTCTTGGCCATGCGGTCGAGGCCCATGATGATGCGCCGGATGCCGCCGCCCTGCGCCGGGTGCGCGACGCGGCCAAAGAGCTCGTACATCTGCTCCTCGGTCGTGTAGAAGCTGAGGTTGCCGACGTACAGCGTGCTCGTCTTTGCCAGCGCGTCGAACTGGCTGGCGCGCGAGGCCGTGGCGCGCGAGTCGCGGTCTGCGAGGAGATGATCAGCCTTGAGATCTGCAGAGGGGCCTCGTAGTGTACGCACACGTCGACGGCGCATCGGCGGACTCGACGACGGACGACATCGCGCGCAGGTGAGGAGGAGGTGGAGGATGCGGTGGGCGGAAGCGTGGCTCCCCGCACAGCCATCGGCGGTGAGCCGCTCAGCGGACGCTGGGCCGGCTGACTAAGCACACGCGCCGCTCCCACGCGCTCTGCCCCGATGCCAAGCCGCCTGCGCTGTCCGCCTTCTGCAGGCTGTCAGCAGAGAGGCCTGCCGCTGCTTCGTGCGCAAGGGTCGGCTTGCCGCTGCGACGCTCTTCCTGCTGCGCTGGTGCTGCTGTCAGCTGCTGTTCCCTCTGGCCTCCGGGCGATGGCGCGCCTTGGCCCTGCCCGCCAAAGGTGCCCCTGACGGAGCTCGGCGACGCGGCGCGCGCAGCCGTCATGCGCGCCGCGGCGTGCTCCGCCGACATGCAAGCGCCGTCGTCGGCAAGAGCCTCCTCGAACCCCCACACGCAGAGCGCCAGCTGAGGAGAAGCACGAGCAACTGCGTGCCGTGGCGCATGCCCCTGTCAGAGAGCCAAAGGCCGTGAAGCGCGGCGGAGAGCCCTTTGACGGCCTGCGAGGCTGGACCGACGGCGTGTGCGTCGCCTCTTCTGCTTGCTGCTGCCTTCGCGGCTTGCTTTGGCCGCCCATCCCCACAATTGGACGGCGCTCCAAATGGCAGCTGCTCGATGCGCACGCTCCACCTCTTCGCGGCCACTTGGGCGTCGTATGAGAGGCTGCGATTGGCAGAGAGGAGGCCGCCGCGCGAGACACGAGGAGGCAGACCGTTGGCGTAGCAGGCCCCTGAGCATGCAAGGCACTGCGGCTAGCCGGGCAAGGCGGAGCCGCGCTCTGCTGCCTGCGCTGAGGGATGCGCTGCCGCAGCACCCTCTCATGCGCACACCTTCGACGCTTCTGCTGCGGCGCTGCGGCAGCTCTGCAGCGGGCAACCCGCACCCGTGCGCTCGGGGTGCTGCATGGCTCAGAGCGAGGCGGACTCGTCGAGGACGGCGAGCTGCATGCAATGCACTGGTGCTGGCCGCGCGCCCGCGCCCGTGCCGGTGGCGCCATGCGGAGGCGTCCTGCGCTGCGCCATAGGGGCCCTCGGCGTGCGGCAGGAGCGCAGCGCAAGCACCGCGGCGGGCGGCAGCGCGCTATCGGCACCATCTGATGCGCCCGCCAAGGTACACGCGGCAGCGGCGCCACAGCAGCAGAGCAGCGTGCGGGCGGCGTGCTGCTGCGCCCGCCTCACGCTTGACGGTTGCCTCTGCTCTCCTTTCTCGTCGCACCTGCCACCCTCACTCTGCCCCTCTCCTCGGAGCTGCCTTTCCACACCCCGCACTTTCCTGCACCTGCGCACCAGCAGCTGCAGGCACGCCGCCGCCGCCGCCGCAGCAGCAGCCTCTGCACGAGCCCCTTGCCGGCCTGCCGCAGAGGCGCATCCGAGCGCACGCCGCCGGCCTGCCGCGGTCCGCCACCGCGCGCGCGCATCTCTTGATCCGCTGCTCCCCTGAGCGCGCCTCTTCGCTGCCTCACATCGCATCTCGCACGCATATAAGAGCCACCTCCTGCCTGCCCGCAGCTCCTCTCTCGCAGCCACCTCCTCGCCGTTCCCCGCGCGCGCTCTCTCCCTCTCCGCGCCCGGCCCTCTCTCTCTCCCGCTCTCTCCGTCCCTCTCTCTCTCCCCGGCTCCTTCTCTCGCACCGACTCCTCTACGCTCGCTCACCGCCTCTCACACTCCACGCCCTGCTGCCCGCGCACAGCGGAGCACCCTCCGTACGCCATGACGCACACCCTCTCCATTCGCGCCGCCAACGGCGCCGCGTCGGTCATCTCGGGCCTGAACCCGAGCAAGTTCGACTCGGCCGACCCGCTGCGCCTCTTCATCATCCAGGCCGGCATGTGAGTGTGTGCGCGGCGTGCACAGGTGGCGGAGCAGGCGCTGAGACGCGCCCCCGCACAGCATCATCGTCTTCACGCGCATCCTCGGCTACGGCCTCGCCAAGATGAAGCAGCCGTCGGTCATTGCCGAGGTGATTGGCGGCATCGTGCTCGGCCCGACGTGAGTGGACGGTGTGCGCACCAGCGCCAGGCATGCGGCGTGGCTGACGGCGCGCTGCAGCGTGTGCGGCCGCATCCCCGGCTTCACGGCCGCCATCTTCCCGCAGCAGTCGATCCCGCTGCTGAGCCTCGTGGCCAACATCGGCCTTGTCTTCTTCCTGTTCCTCATCGGCCTCGAGGTCGACGTGCGCATCATCAAGAAGTGCGCCGTGGCGAGCACGGCGATCAGCCTCAGCGGCCTCATCCTGCCCTTCGGCCTCGGCGCGGCCGTCTCGTGGGGCCTGTACAACGAGTTCATCGACACGTCCCGCGTCAGCTTCAACCACTTCCTGCTCTTCACGGGCACGGCCTTCTCCATAACGGCGCTGCCCGTGCTGGCGCGCATCCTCGGCTCGCTCGGCATGCTGCAGTCCAAGGTCGGCACGATTGTGCTGGCTGCCGGCGTGGGCAACGACGTCATCGGCTGGGTGCTGCTGGCGCTCACCGTGGCGCTTGTCAACGCGCAGACGGGCCTGACGGCGCTGTACGTGCTGCTCACGACGATTGCGTGGTGCCTCGTGCTCTTCTTCCTCATCCGCCCCGTCTTCCTCTGGCTCTGCCGCCGCACGGGCAGCTTCGAGAAGGGCCCGACGGCGCTGATGCTCACCATCACGATTCTGCTCATGTTCACGTCGGCCTTCCTCACCGACATCATCGGCGTGCACGCCATCTTTGGCGCCTTCCTCGTCGGCCTCATCATCCCGCACGAGGGCGGCTTTGCCGTGGCGCTGACGGAGAAGATCGAGGACCTCGTGCTCACGACGATGCTGCCGCTCTACTTTGCCCTCTCCGGCCTCAAGACGCAGCTCGGCACACTCAACAGCGGCATCACGTGGGCGTACACCATCGCCATCATCGTTGTTGCCTTCGTGTCCAAGTTCGCCGGCTGCGCGGGCGCCGCCAAGGTGTGCGGCTTCTCGCTGCGCGAGAGCGGCGCCATCGGCGCGCTCATGTCCTGCAAGGGTCTCGTCGAGCTCATCGTGCTCAACATCGGCCTGCAGGCCGGCATCCTCGACACGCGCTCCTTCTCCATGTTCGTCGTCATGGCGCTCGTCAGCACCTTCATCACGACGCCCCTCACGCAGCTCATCTACCCGGCGCGCTTCCGCCTCGCCGAGAAGGACGGCTCGGTGCACGGCCACGAAGGCGACGACTGCGAGGAGGAGAAGTCGGGCGACGGCGCGCTCAGCCGCGCGTCGCGCCACCTCATGGTCGTGCTTGACGGGTTCGAGCACCTGCCCGGCCTGCTCACGCTCATGCAGCTCATGCGCCCCTCGGACGCCACGCTGCCGGCGTCGGAGAGCAGCGAGTCCAACCTGCGCCACCGCAACGTGTCCGGCTCGGACGGCGAGTCGATCAAGGAGTCCTCCTCCTCGTCTGCCGGCGGCCATCCGGCGACGCACGAGCTGCGCCAGGGCGCGCCGTACCAGAGCGCATCGGCCGGCCGGCCCGAGGTCACCGTCAGTGCGCTGCGCCTCATTGAGCTTACCGAGCGCACGTCGGCGGTGATGCGTGTCGCCGAGGCTGAGGACACGCTGCGTGCCGACCCGATCATCAACGTGTTCCGCACCTTCGGCCAGCTCAACCACCTGCCCGTCTACTCGTCGATGGCCGTGGTCGACGCATCCGAGTACGCGCCGACGGTCGTCTCGCGCGCGTCTGGCGCCTCGTCGAGCCTGCTCGTGGTGCCCTGGACCGTGCCGCAGGGCTCCATCGCTGCGCCCACCGGCGAGGCGAGCGGCGCGCTGCCTGCCTCTGCGCCGGCCGCTGCGGGCGTCTTCTCGACGATCTCGAACCCCTTCGACTCGATCTTCGGCCCCGGCGCCGACGGCCCGACGCGCTCGCCGCAGAACATCAACTTCGTGCGCCGCGTCTTCCAGACGGCCACGTGCGACGTCGGCCTGCTCGTCGAGCGCCCGGTCGGCACGCGTTCGACGGGGCCTCTCGGCATTTCGCGCCGCCAGCACGTTGTGCTCGCCTTCATGGGCGGCCCCGACGACCGCGCCGCGCTGGCTCTGGTGCTGGCGCTCTGCCGTGCCAACCGCGAGCTGCTCGTCACGGTGCTGCACTTCAAGCGCGTCGCGGCCGACGAGGCCGGCGACGCGCCGCTGCCCGACCTGCCGCCGACGGTGCACCACGCGCAGTCGCTGCAGCACGGCGCCGGCGGCGTGCAGGACACCATGTACCCGACGATCCACGGCGCCGCGCCGCTCGAGGCGACGCTCGAGGACAACCTCTCCATCAAGAACGCCACGGATGCCGCAGCCGGCGCGCTGGCGGGCCGCCTGACCGTCAAGCTCACGGCCACGTCGCGCCCGCTGCGCGACTTTGTGCAGGCCGTCGACGCCGCCGAGCCGACGCTCGTCGTGTGCGGTCGCGGCCGGCGCATGCCGACGATGACGCACCGCGAGGAGCTGCGCTTCCTGCTGCGCTGCGGCATGGTCGACCCCACGGCCGCGGACCTCTCGGCGCCGCCGACGCGCGACGGCGAGCGTGCCCTCAGCTCCGAGACGTGCAAGGTCATCGGCGAGCCGGCCATGGCCGTCACGCGCTTCGCAAAGGCCTCGGCGGCGTGCCTTGTCGTTGCGGCGCCGATGCGCAAGGCTCCCGCCACCTCCGCCTAAGCACTTACCTTACCAGCACATCCCACACTACTCCGTCCCTCGCTGCCTGTCACTTTTATCCCCCTCGTTGCCCTCAGTGTATCGCCCGTCACCGCCTACCTCGCTGTAAGATCTTCTTCCCATTTAACGACCCCGCGCGCTCCAGACTTGCCCCCGCATCCGGAGCTGCCGCCTCACGATCCCCTCGCTCTCGCACTCGCTGCCGGCACGACATGACCCCCTCCGATTCGTCAATCATATCATCACTGCTGCGCCCCTAGAGTCGTGTGGTATACAGCTCCTGCGCCGCTCCTGGTGGGAGCGAAAGGAGCCAGGGCGCGACTGCCTTGCTCGGCGAGGGCTCAGGGGTACCGGCACCGTCGCCGCCGCGGCAGAGGCCCGATCGCCAGCTCAGGCCGGCTCGCGCGGGCCGTTCATGCTTGCGCATCGCCTAGTCGCCGCCGCCGAAGAGCGCCTGCACCTGCTCGCTACCACCGCCAACCGCCTCGCTGAGAGTAGGATACAGCTCGTCAGTGCACTGGCCTCTCACATGCGCAGAATCTTTGGCGTTGCACTCACCGCACACGACGCGTGGGCCGGAAGCCAGCCTGTGCCGCCCGGGCCTTCTGCTCCTCCTCCAGGCGCTGCTGTGTCGTCTGCGTCTGCTGCTTGGGCGCCTCCTCGGCCCGCTGCTGCTGCTGGCCGCGCTCCGCCTGCTGCATGTTCTCCTGCTCCAGCAGCAAGCCGCGTCGCCGTGCCGACTCGCGCGCAGCGTCGCGCTCCGCCTCGTCGTCGCCGCCGCCGAAGAGCGCGGCCGTGACGCCACTGCTGCCGCCGCCGACGGCCTCGCGCACACGCCGCGTGGGACGGAAGACGTCGCCAGACGGATCGCGCACCACGTTGGCGGCCGGTGCTGCCGGCGCAGCGCGAGGCGCGTCGAAGGAGACGGCGGCGGCGGAGGCCGAGGCACTGCTCTCGCTGGCGTCACCGCCGGCGCTGCTGCTGCTGCTGCTCATCTTGCCCACAGTGGCGTACCTGAGAGGCATGCGATCAGCTTCCAGCTCGACGCACGCGCTGCATGCGTCGCCGTGTGGCCCTGCAGCGTCGCGCAACTGCTTGCGCCCACCACCACTGCCCACGCCGGCCACTCGTCCGCGCTGCGACTTACTTTGGCAGGGCGCGGATCTCGCTGAAGTTGGTGCCGACCTCGACATTGTGCGTCTTGAGGAAGGAGATGAGCGATGCCTTTGTGAAGACGATGGAGGCGTCCTGCGCCAGGTTGCCTGCGCGCGAGATGTGTGAGCACATGTGCGGCGGTGCAGTGAGGACCGCGGCGGCGCACCGAGCAGGTAGGCCCAGTCCTTGGGGTTGGAGTCTTTGCTGAGCGTGGCGTGGGGCGTGAAGGAGGCGGCCATGGTGCTGATTGTCTTGCGGGGTGCTGCGAGGTGATGGTGAGAGGGCAAGCGGTGCGCGTCGTGCTGGGAGAGCAACACATGCCAGCGCGGCAAAAGCAACACGGCGGCAAGGCAAGGCGCGGCGGCGCACGCAGAGGCACGCACGCCGCACCGCCCACGCGCCCCAGGCACGAGCAAGCGCGCGCACGTTCTCGCACGGCACGCTCTCCGCTTCTCCTCTCTCACACCCCGGCACCCCACCTCCTCGCGACCCGCACCCCGCCCTTCGGCCTGGCCCCCGTCCGCACAGCACTGAGCACGCGACCGTGCTTCCAGCCGTGCTGCTGCTGCACACCACCACACTCCTTTGCCCGGCGCCACCTCTGGCCAAGCGCACCGCCCTCTCCAGCTTGCGGTGCCGCCTCCACCTCCCGACTTCGCGCGCCTCCCACCTTCGCGCGCAACCATGTTCGCCTTCCCGCCCTCGCCGCGCGTCTTCTCGCTCTTCGGCTCCTTCCTCGTCGCCGCCTCGGCCGGCGTCAACTATGCCTACTCGTCGTGGGCGCCGCAGCTGCAGGAGCAGCTGCACCTCTCCAGCACGCAGGTCAACATCGTCGGCGTCGCCGGCAACATCGGCGTCTACCTCAGCGGGCCGCTCTGGGGCCGCTGGGTCGACCGCCGCGGGCCGTACAGGTGCGTGTGGTGCGCGTGCTGTGGCGTGGCAGAGTGTTGACTGTGTGTCCTGCAGCGCACTGCTGGCTGGCGCGCTGCTCGTCGCGCTCGGCTTCGGCGGCCTGAGCCTGGCATACACGCAGACATTCCCCTTCAACACGCCCGAGATCTCGCCGTGGATGCTGGCGTTCCTCTCGCTGCTGACGGGTCTGGGCAACTCGGGCGCCTTCACGGCCGCCATGAATGCGCAGGCCAAGAGCTGGGACGGCAAGCGGGTGAGTGCAACGTTGCCGCATGCTTCTCGTGCCAGCTGACAGCTGCCCGGCAGAGAGGCACTGCGACAGCTATCGTGCTCTCGGGCTTCGGCCTGTCCGCATTCATCTACTCGACGCTCTCGCACGCGCTGTTCCCCGGACAGACGGCATCGTACCTGCTGCTGCTTGCGTTCGGTAGCTCGTGCTCCTTCCTGCTCGGCGTCGCGCTCATCCGCATCATTCCGCCGGAGGAGGAGGCGCGCAAGCGCCGGCGCGGCAGCGATGGCCGCGGCTCGTATGGGCAGCTGGAGGCGTCGCCGGAGAGCGACGATGTCGACGAAGAGGGTGCTGTGCGAAGGCCGCTCGGCCGCCGGCGCACGAGCAGCGACGTCACGGGCCGGGCGTTCACGCACGCGCCGCTCGCAGACGACGAGACGCCGTCAACTTCGGAGCTGTCGGATGAGGAAGAGGCATACCAGACGCCTGCGGCTCTGCGCCACAGCAGGTCTCGCGCCGCCTCTACGTCTTCGGCTCACACGCACGAGACTGCAAAGGACGCGGCGGCGGTCAAGGACGTCACTGGCTGGAAGCTCTTCTCGCAGCTTGACTTTGGCCTGCTTTTCGTCATCATGACGTTCATCAGCGGCATCGGATTGCTCGTGATCAACGTGAGTGCGCCCGCTGCACGTGAGCGCCCTGGAGGAGGCTGAGCTTCGCTCCTGCAGAACATCGGCACGATCACGCGCACGCTCTACGAATACAACAAGCTGCACCCCGACTCGTCGCTGGCATCGCTCGCCGCCGGCGCAGCATCACGAGCTGCGGGCCTGCTCGAGCAGGTGCCACGCACCGCGGCGGCAGGCAACAACGCCCTGACGGCTGCAGACATGACGCTTGCTGCGCTCAAGAATGAGAAGGCGGCCGTGCAGCAGATGCAGGCTCACCAGGTGAGCACTGCGGCTCAGCGATCAGGCTGCAGAAGCTGAAGCCTGTCCCGCAGGTCTCGGCCATTTCCATTGGCAATGCCTCGGGCCGCATCATCATCGGTAAGCCCGTGTGCACAGCACATGCTCAGCACGGCGCTGACGCCCATCGCGCACACAGGCCTGCTGTCCGACCTGCTCGTGCGGCGCACCGGCGACGCCTCGCAGCGCGTGTGGCTGCTGCTGCTCGTCTGCTTCCTCGCCGTGGGCTCGCAGGCGATGGCCGCCGCGCCCGACACGATCAACTCGGTGCACCGCCTGCTCCTCGTCTCGGCCGGCACGGGCCTGTGCTACGGCACGCTCTTTGGCCTCGCGCCGGTGCTGACGTTTGAGTGGTTCGGACTCAAGCACTTCTCTCAGGTGCGGCAGACCGTAGCAGCGTGTGACGGCAGCGCTGATGCCCAACACTGCAGAATTGGGGCATCGTCTCGCTCAGCCCTGTGCTGGCGGGCAATATCTTCAACGTGAGTCTCTCGTGCTGGCGGAGCTGCACGGCCGCTCACACAGCTCCCTTCACAGATCCTCTTTGGACGGTAAGCATCACAAATACGCACCTCGAAGCACACACTGACCCTGCCGCAGCGTCTACGACTCGCACGTCCCCACGACGGGCCGCGACACGCACCTGTGTCTCGAGGGCGAGGACTGCTACCGGTGCGTGCGAACTGCTCGCCGTTTCTCGCAGCGCTGGGCTCACCCCTCTCCCCGCAGCTCCGTCTTTGAGATCACCGTCGTGTGCGCCCTGCTTGCCACGGCCACCAGCCTCGTGCTCATCTTGCGGCGCGCCGGAGTGCCCGCTGCGCTGCGCTCGGCGCTCGGCTCACGCTCGGCCTCCGCCTGAGCTGCTTACGCCGGCAAGTGCTTCTCTCTCTAAACTCTGCTCGGGTCTCTCCAGGTCAAGCGCTAATCACAAGGACTTATTTGGTGCGCTCGCGTCGTGATCGGGAGGGTGCGGATGCTGTGCCTCCCGCAGCAGAGCAGGTGGGGCTCCAGATTGTGGAGCTTGTTTTTCCGGACGCCTGCTGCGCTGCAGATGCCTGGCCTGCACCGACGCAACGCTCAGGCGCCGCCGTGCTGCGGCACCAACGCCATCTCACACAAGCGTAGCGCCATGAGGCATGCTGCAGCCCAGCAGAGCTGCCCGGCCGTGCCGGCACATTTCGCGAGACTTGTCCTGTCCCTGCATGCTGCGGAGGCGTGAGCGTCTCGTCCGCTGTGTGGCCCTGCACCCTCCGCCAGCCGCAGCCCAGCGAAGCGGCGCCGGCGCCCCTCACGCCTTCGTCCCGCCTGTGCTTTGCTTGCGCTCTCGTCTGCAGCCGCAGTGCGTGCTGCGGCCCTGCAGCGATGCAGATGCTGCTGCTGTCTGCAGCGCATCGTGGCTGAGTTTCTGCGCTCCTTGGCCCCCCGCCATGGGCATCTCGCCTCGCTTGCGGCCGAGCGAATAGAATGGATGATCAGCGCAGCGCAGCAGCAGCCGCAGCCCGCCCTCCGCCGCCGACGGCTGCTGCACGCCGTTCGCCCTCCGCCGCCGCCGCTGGCGCGGCCCGCTGCCGGCGGTGCCGCCGCCTCGCGCCCTGACCCTGACGTCACGTCGAAGCTGTCGGCCCGCGCTCTCGTGCCGCCGTGCTGCCGGCCTGCGCTGCAGCGGCGTGCGCAGTTGCAGGTGCAGGCAGGTGCAGATGCAGGCAGGGCGCCTGTCCACGCCTGCCGCAGCGGGCGCAGCTGTGGATGGCGGCGTGTGCTCGCCTCGCCGCCTCTCTACGCGCTGTCTGCGCTGCGGCATCCATGTGAGCTTGCCTCTGGCAGCAGATGGCTTGAAGACAGCGAGCGTGAGCTGCTAGGCTCGGCTGCAGGCTGAGGGGCAAGGAGCTTGCGCGGCGTGCCGTGGCGGCGAGTCAAGAAGGGCGCGGCGGCGTGCAGTGCGCAGCGGGTGGCCGGCCGCCTGCGCAGGGCCAGGCGCGAGCGCGGCGGCAGGCAGGCGCGCGCGCGGGCTGCGCGCCTCCAGCCGCGCGCCAGCCAGCGTCGTCGTCACCGCACAGAGAGCGCGCGAGGGCCAAGCACGCGCGGCAGCACCTGATGAGCACGCTGCGGCTGCCTGCGCCTCCTCCTCCTCCTCTCCACCCCTCTCACGCACGCCTCGTCGCGCCCTCACCGCCTCCGCCAGGCCCGCTCGACTCCTCGTCGTGCCGTGGCGCGCCACTCCGGCCGCAGCTCGCCGTCCCTGCCGCCCTTGCGTGGCGCTGCCTGCTGCCTGTGCGCCCGCGAGCCTCTACCGCGCGCGCCCCTCTGTGTGCGCCGGCTGCGATGGCACGGCCGCCGCCACCTGCCTCGCCTGAACGGCACATGACCTCGCCCGCACGGCCGGCCGCGGTGCCTGCGCCGCCCGTGCGCTCGGCCTCGCACCAGGCGGCGCAGAGCGAGCGTGAGCTGCTGGCCGCCATCGGCGGGCCGTCCGCCTTCTCCAACTCCTCGTCCAGCTCCTCGGGCTCGACCTCGACGGTGACGCCGGCGTCCGCAGTGCACCTCGCCACTCCCAGCGCGCGGCCCGGCCGCGCCGTGCCGTCGAGTCCACGTGCGAGCGCCGCCTCCTTTGCCGGCAGCATTGCGCGCACGGCATCGCCCGCCAGCTTTCCTGCCAGCAGCGCCGCACGGCCCGAGTCGCCGCTGACCGGCGTGGCGGCGGCGGCGGCGTCTGCCTCGCCTCGCACGCCCATCGGGCCGCACGGTGGTGCGCACTTCTCGGGTGCGGCCGTGCGAAGAGGCGGCTGGCGCCAGAGCTGGGCGACGGCATCCTCGAGCGCCAGCACGGGCGTGCGGACACGCACCGCCAGCATCGCATCAGCGGACCGAGAGGCAGACGACGAGGCCGCGGCAGACAGCGAGGCCGCTGCCGCCGCTTCTGCAGACCTCGAGCATAACTTTAACGACGGGCCTGCACACGTCTGCTCCTCCGACTTCAGCGAGACGGGCAGACGTGAGGTGCGGCGCACCTCAGACGCTACCACGTCGCCGTCCCTCACAGGGTTCGGCAGCAGCCAGCACTCGGGCGCAAGCCCGAGGCTGGAGGCAGCCGAGATTCTGGCTGCCTTTCCGCCGGATCAGGACGGGCCGGCGTGCGGCGGGTCCGAGGACGGTGGCGAAGAGCGCCTCATCTGGGGCGGGCACTTCATCCAGTCGGTTGCCACGCCGCCGGGAGCGCTCGCCGAGCTGCCCAGTAGCTCTGGCGCCATGAGCCCTCTTACTGTGTCGGAGAGCACGACGGCGCCGCCGTGGAGCTCCAGCGCAGGAGCCAAGAGTGGAGACTATGACTGGGCCAATTTCGTGTATGCGTATGCTCGGTGAGTACGAGTGCTGCTCGACGGTGGCGGCGGCCGGTCCGCGGCGAGGCCGAGCAAGGGCGAACATCAAGTGCTGACCCTCATGCGCCTCGCAGCGGCCGCTTCGACCCACTGCGCCTGCCATGGCCGCCAAGTCAGTCCACGGCATACCCTGGCGCCGAGACGCGCATCGTCGACGAGCCGTATGTCTCTCCGAAGTCTTCGCCGCCTGCAGAAGGCTTCGATCCCAACGCACGCCGTCCGTCCCTGACCTACATCCGGGCCACGGGTGCAAACCTGCAAGCGATGAGAGACGATGGCGCACAGATCCGCGCTGCCTCACAGGCCGGCGATGCAGGCGCCACAGACCTCGACCGGTCGCCGGCCGACGAGGCGATGGCGTCCTGGCCGGGCCCGAAGATGTTCGCCGGCTCTCGCACGCCGCCGCCAATGATGCCCAGTACCGCGGAGCTCAAGGAAAGTGCACTGGCAGACGCTTCGCGGGAGCGTCAGGGCAGTCTGCCAGCACAAGCGCCACCGCGGCCGACGCCCTCCGAGGCACCGAGTCCGCCGGCGTCGCTGAGTGGCGACCCGTTCGCACTGCTGCAGTTCGTCTCCTCCAGTTCGCCACAGGTGCGCGAGGCCGCGTCGCTCGGCGACGCAGCCCAGCGCATGATGTCAGACTCGCCCCACGGCAGGAGTCCGGCACTCGGTGCAAAGTCCAGCCCGGAGCTGTCCGGCAACAAGATGGCCAAGGGCAGCCTGGCCCGGCAGACGTCAGAGGGCAGGAAGCCGGCCTTCGACGACTCTGTGTGGCGAGCAGACGAGGCTAGCAGCGCAGGTGCTAGGACAGCGCCGCGTGCTACAGGCGCTCCTTCGGCCACGCGGCCGGACATGCACGCCCAGATCAGCGACTTCGATCTAGAGACGGCGCACGTCACTGTCGGCAGCCACTCCGCGCACTCTGCCGCGGGCCAGCGCGGCTCGTCAGACAGCGCTTCGTCCCAGCCCTCGTCGCCAGTGCCATCCAGAAGCATGCTGGAGGCCGCTCGGCGCAGCACGATGCGCCCAAGCGGACATTCTTCAGCTGCTTCGTCGGCCTCGAACGTGGTACAGGTCAGGTCGCCCGACTCGATCTCGTCAGCAGCCGATGCCGCGGAGGCGCCCAGCCGCCCAGGCCCTACGCCGGTGCAGCTGCCGCCAGAACTGCAGCAGGACGGCTCCGAACCACCGCAGACGTGGTCCTCGGCTCCTGAGGGCATGCTGACGAGCTTCAATTCGGTCTTGTCGTCCCACTTGGGCGGAGTCAGGAGGAACGAGGACGCAAGCACGAGCGACATCGGCGACACGTCCACAGTCTCGGGCCTGCGACGGGCCGCGAGACGAGCCAGTGCGCGGCGCGAGCGGCCCCTGGTGAGGCCTCGCACGGCAGATCGCAATCTCCCTCCGCACAGTCAGAGCTTCCACGGCATTGCACGCCCCTCCTTCGACGACGGCAGTCCGCTCGAGCCTGCGCCGGACAAGTGGGTCCCTCCAATGAGCGAGTTGCGTCCGCGTCCTCCGCAGACGGTCGGCCGCACGCACTCCGACGGCGAAGGCGACGAGCCGGGCGCGGGCGCGCGTCGCAGCGAGAGCCACATGTACGAGAGCATGCGCAATAGCTGCGGTCAGCGCACAGGACCACATTCAGGCAATCGCTCCCGCACAACGTCGGACGCCCAGTGGCAACGCTCGCAGGATCAGGACATCATCTCGCAGCCATCGTCTGGCAATCCGTTCGTCAACGCATATCTCACCATGGGCAAGCGCGTAGAGGGCTTCTACCGCGAGTTCGGCTACCTGCCCGCCATTGTGCCGCCGAACGACCTCGAGCGTCGCCAGGCGCTGCGACGGTACGGCCCGCCCAAGATTTCGAGCGACGTCAACTTCGAACGCGTGGCGCACCTCGTGAAGCTCGTCTTCAACACCAAGCTCGTGATTGTCAGCCTCGTGGGCGAGAAGACGCAGCACTTCCGGACGCAGGCGGGCGCCTCGTCGAGCGGCTTCTCGCCCGAGTGGCTGCAAAGCATCGCCATGTCGCGCAACTGCTCGTTCTGCTCGCATGCGATTCTGCAGGACAACGACGAGCCGTTCGTCGTGCTCGATACGCTCAAGGACTGGCGCTTCGCCGGCAATCCGCTCGTCGCCAACTCGCCGCACATCCGCTTCTACGCGGGCGCGCCGCTGCGCACCACCGACGGCTTCAACCTCGGCAGCCTGTGCATCATCGACGACAAGCCGTGGCCCGAGTTCAACCCGCGTCAGCGCCACACGCTGCGCGAGTTTGCTCGCGTCGTGATGCGCGAGATGGAGCTTGCACGAGACGCGGTGAGCCTTCTTGCCCTCTGCGCTGCCGCATGCGCCGCTGACAGCCCTGCTTCACAGATCCACCTCAAGAGCCGCGACCGCATGCAGCATTCGATCGAGCTCTTCACGCGCGAATGCCTCGAGATGGAGTCTGGCGACGCTAGCGCGGATGAGGACGAGGCAGGTCTGCACCAGGTGTACACGTTCGCTGCGAAGGGCATGCGCGAGGCCCTGCAGGCCTCCGGAGCCATCGTCTTCGATCTGTCGCACTTCGAGCTCGTCGAGTCTCCGTCGTTTGACGGCGAGGAGACTACCAGCAAGATCTTCTTCCCGAGCCCCTACCAGAACCCCGACGCCGCGCCGTTTGCCAGCTTTGACAACCCGGGCGGCATCGAGGGTCTCATGGAGACGACTGGCGGCATGTCACAGGAGGCCGGTGCGGAGCTCAAGAACAAGGCGGTGCCGCCCATGGCGGTGCTCGGCGCAAGCGAGTCGCACGCCGCGCCGCCAGACCGCGGCCAGCCGGTGCCGCTCTCGCACTACATCAAGGTGGCCGAGTTCTTGCGCCGTCACCGCACGGGCTGCTACTATCCCTTCGTGCCCGCGCCCTTCCGGCATCTGCTGCCCCCAGACGCGTCGAACCTGCTGCTCGTGCCCATCTTCGGCCTGAACAAGCAGCCCTTTGCGCTGCTGTGCGCGTACTCGAAGTCCTCGGAGAACGGTCCGCAGCTGCAGGACATCAAGGACTCGGGGCTGCAGTACCTGCGTGCCATGGGCACGATCATCCTGAGCGCCATTCTCAAGAAGGACATCATGCTCGCGGACAAGGCCAAGAGCCACTTCATCTCGAACATCTCGCACGAGCTGCGCACGCCACTGCACGGCATTCTTGCCGCTGCCGAGCTCTTGGCGGAGACGAAGATCAACGCAACGCAGGGCAGCTACCTCGAGACGGTCGAGGCGTGTGGCAAGAGTCTGCTCGAGCTCGTCAACCACGTGCTCGACTTCACCAAGCTCAGCGGCAACACGCGCACGAGCCAGATGGCGACGAAGCCGACGCAGCGGTGCGATCTCGTGAAGCTCGTGCAGGAGGTCTGTGAGAGCAGCTGGATCGGCCAGATGGCACGCAAGCTCGACAGCCAGCAGTCGTCGGGCATCGGCAGCGCCTATGCTCAGGGCTCGTCCGGCTCTGCGGAGCCGGGAGCCGCCTCGGTGCGTCCGAGCATCGGCCGCGCGCTGGGCGGCGGCGCAGTGGAGACCGTCATCGACGTGATGATGCGCCCCGACGGCTGGCTAGTCAAGTGCGATGCGGCAGGCATCCGCCGCGTGCTCATGAACCTCATCGGCAACTCGCTCAAGTTCACGACCGAGGGCTTCGTGCACGTGTCGCTGCGCGAGCTGCAGACCTCGGACACGCACGTCGTCGTCGAGCTTGGCGTCACGGACACGGGCAAGGGCATCTCGCGTGCGTTCCTCGAGGAGCAGCTCTTTCACCCCTTCACGCAGGAGAACCATCTCGGCCCAGGCACCGGTCTTGGCCTCTCGATCGTCAACAGCATTGTGCAGTCGCCGGCAATCAACGGCAAGATCGACGTGTGGAGCACGCTGGGACAGGGCACGGAGATGCGCGTCACCTGCGAGCTCGAGCTGGCTGATGCAAATGCGGCCGACCTCGAGGGACTCGTCTACCGCCCGCAGCTCAACGTCGCGCAGCAGCACACAGTCTCGCTGCTCGGCTTCGACCCTGAGTCGCGCGGCCACAGCGACCTCAAGGAGGTGCTGCGAAGCTATCTCGAGGACTGGTGGCACTGCACAGTCGTTGATGCTGATGCCGACTTCGTCGTCATCAACGAGGCGCTGCCGCTGCTCGAAGACCTGGCGAAGACGGCACGCGACGCTCAGCGATCGCCGCCGCCGGCACTTGTCCTCACTGGAGCCCGCGGCGATCCGCAGGGCACGGCCGCGTGTGACAACTACCACCGCGCCGGCGGTGTGTCGCGCCTGCTCTTCAAGCCCGTCGGTCCTGCCAAGCTCGAGTCGCTTGTGGACTTCTGCGTTCGCTGCGTCGAGCGCATCAAGCGTGGCGAGCCCGCGCTGGCAGCCGACGAAGATCGCGACGCCCCGCTGCCCTCGCCGGCAGCGTCGCCCATGAAGCCGGCCCTGGAGAAGGCCGACTCGTACTTCTCGACCACGTCGTCCTCGTCGGCGCGCACTCCTCGTGTCGAGGTCCGGCTCAACAGTGCGCTCACGCCCAAGGCCTCCGATTCCTCACGTGTCACAGTGCCGAGCCTGCATCACGCTGCGCTCAGCTCGCATCACATGTCGCCCGGCCCGCCCTCGCTCTCCGATGCCGGCTCATTGCTGCGGCGCCACTCAGATCACGACCGCAACGCCACGATCAGAACGCACTCGGACAGCTCAATCGACTCGGCGCCGCCAACCTCGCGCCGCTCGCGTCCGACGTTGCCAGCGCGCAGCATCACGTTCCACGAGCCACGCCTGCAGCGGCAGGCGGTGATGTCACCGAACCATTCTTCTCATCCGCATTCGGGCAGCTCGCGGCGCAGCGACAGCGGCGAGGTGCACGACTACTTCGGCCCGGCCGCCATGGCTGCCACGGCGTCGACGTCGGGGTCGTCCACTGCGTCCATGCACAGCGCCTCAACGCCAAACTCGCCAGGTTCGACCATCTCGCTCGAAGGCGGCGACGGAGCAATTCTCAGGAGCGCGCTGCAGACGCCGCGCGGCAGCCACGGCTCGCACAGCTCCATCAAGCGGCGTCTGCACATCCTCTCGATCGACGACAACCAGATCAACCGCAAAATGCTGGCGGCGTTCCTGAGCAAGATGGACGTCGAGTACGTCGAGGCGGCGAACGGCGAGGAGGGCGTGCGCGCCTTCGAGGCACATCCGCCGCAGTACTTCGACGTCATCCTCATGGACATCTCGATGCCCGTGCTCGACGGCATCTCAGCCACGGCGCAGATCCGCAAGATGGAGGCCGAGCGCTTCCGCGCCGCCGTGCAGCACGGCGGCGCCCAGGCTCCGTCGTCGTGGCGCGGCGCTCACCCGCGGGCTCCGGGCGTTGGCACGCCGGGCGGCTCGCGGCCAACAGCGCAGTCGCGCGCCAAAATCTTCGCCCTCACCGGACACTCGTCCGACGACGACAAGCGCCGTGCGTTCGCCACGGGCGCCGACGGCTTCATCGTCAAGCCCTTGAGCTTCAAGATGTGAGTCTGCGCGGGTCTCCGTTGCCGCGCCGCGTCGCTGACCCTCTCCTTCCTCTCAGTCTCTCTTCTCTTCTGAAGATGCTGGCCTACACCGACTAGGCTGTCGCCACCGGACTCCAGCATCGCCTCTATCTACCATGCGTTCCGCGTAATCTTCTTCCCTCCTCTCAGCCCGCCTTTCCCTCGGCGCGCCGCGTGCGCATCTCCGTTCCTCCTGACTCCTCTCGCGATCCGCACCACGCCGCCTGCCTTTGCCATCTTCACAGTCAAGATCTCATCCGCCGCAAGCCCCTCATGTCTCGGCCCTCTCAATTCTCTCTCCGCGCCTTCACTCTGTGTCTCTGCCCCACCACATGATCTTGCATGCCCACCGTCAGGGCCAAAATCATCCGCGCCGCCTAGACACATCGCGTTAATGCAAGCTCATCCCCATTGCTTCGTGTGCTACGGGTGCTCGGCGGTTCGGCGCTGGGCCCGGACGCGGAGAGGCCGCGTAGGCGTGCGCCAGTGGTTCTGCGAGAGGTCCGAGAGCGGCAGCGTGTCGCTCGTGTAGGGCTTGCCGGCGTCGTCCGTCGACTGGAAGTCGTACGCGAGCAGCAGGGCAGCCATAGACAGCGTCGTCTCGAGCTTCGCGAAGCGCATGCCCGTGCACTCTGGACAGGCAGGCCAGCAGCGTCAACGCTGTCCACCGGTGCGAGGCCTCGCCGCCACTCACTGTGTCGGCCGTAGCCCCAAGCCACGTAGGTGTACTCGTTCGGCCCCTCGCCGCGCTCGTAGCGCGTGATGTCAAACTTGAGCGGGTCGGCGAAGAGGTCTGCGTCGTGCAGGTTGGCAGACGGCGCCACGGCGATGTACGTGTCGTCCTCGATCGGGTGGCCCTCGATGACGAGGCGGGCGCGAGGCTTGCCCTTGGCGTCCAGCTGCGGGCCGGGGTAGTAGCGGTTGATGCTGTCTGCGAGCGCATTGGTGTCAGTATCACTGCCGCGAGAGGGCATCATCTGAAGCTGGCTCACTGGTGAGCAGCTGCAATGGAGAGAGCCGTGTCAGCAGAAAGTTAGTGCAGCGCTGCCGAGGGCGCTCACCAGGCGGATCGTCTCCTTGAAGACGAGATGAATGGTCTTGAAGTCGGCCTCCCACTCCTCGAGCGAGACCCGCTCGAGCCGCTGCTGGTCCGTCAGGTCGTCGTAGTCGTCACCTCTCCGCTCGGCGCAAGCACGCAGACCCTCGATGAGCTCCTCGCGCGCCTTCTTCTGCAGCGCCTGGTCCGCGCCCAGGAAGGCGATGGAGTAGGCGCCCGTGCCGATCGTGTTGAGGATGCCGGCCATCAGCCCGCCGATCACGAAGCGCGAGATGCTCGCAGGCGCCTTGCCCTCGTCGATGAGCAGCTGCGCGAAGTCGTCCTCCTTTGCGCCGCTCTTGATGCGCTGGTCGAGCGTCACCTTGACCATGCGCCAGAGCGTAAAGGCGCCGATGAGCCGGCGGATCAGGCGCGGCTGCGGCAGCCACGGCATGATTGTCGTGAAGAAGTCCGAGTTGTTCTGCGTCGCCCAGAAGGCATCCTGCATCTTCTGCAGCGCCTGCGAGTCGCTGGCATACTCAGTCATGCCCATCAGGCGCACCGTGTAGCGGAAGATGAGCGGGTAGTACGACTTTTGCAGGTCGACGACGCCCGAGCTGCCCTCGCGACCGCCCACCCAGCCGTCGTAGAGCTCGAAAGCGTCGCGCACGAGCGCCGGCCGCATGTTGTTGAGCCCTACAAGTGAAGTCTGGTCAGCACGAGGCCTGCACACACCGCACAGGGCCGCTCACGCTGCGGGCTGATGGCGCTGGCGAGCTGCTTCATCTCGCGGCGCTCCTCCTTGTCCATCTCGCCCTCGACGAGGCCCTTCTGCTTGGCGCCGGCAATGCCGGCGAACAGGAATGTGTTGCCCTGGCTGAAGCTGAGGTCCGGGTGCAGCGCAATGTTGCGCAGCTCGTCCTGGTTCGTCGTGCCGTAGGTGTAGACGACCTTGCCGGCGAGGTTGAACTTGGCGAGGCCCTGGTGCGGATGCCGCGGGTCCTGCGTGATGTTCTTGCTGAGCCACGTGTACCGGTTGGCATACCAGCCGCGCGCGCCGAAGCCGGCAAAGGGCCCGCTGGAGATGGTGCGCACGCCGTTGTTCGAGTTGAGCGCCCGAGGCGGCACGAGCGCGACCCAGAGCATCAGCGACACGGCGCCGAGGAGCACGGAGAGCAGCACGGGCGAGAGCTGCGTGTCCAGCCGGATCCACGGCTGCTGGCTGAGGCTCTGCATGGTGGGCGCCGGCAGTCGAGTACAGCTTGCACGTTGCGATGCGTCTTGATGGTGGTGGTTTGAGGCGAGAGGTGACGCTGCGAGTCGGCGAACAGAAGCTCTCACGCTCCAGATGCGCTGATCGTCCGCACTGGCCCCTGCATCCGTCGAGAGAGAGAGCTGGGCGCGCTAAATCAGGCCACCGGCTGGGACGCCGGCGCACGCCGATCATCCGACAAGCGCGTCACCATGCCGCAGACTGCTCCTCTGCCCGCCGGCGCGCGTCTGGCCCATGCATGCACCACGCAAGGCCGCCCGCCGCCGCTCAGATCTTCGTCGGCCCCCTCTCGCCTCTCAACCACAACATCGCAACATGTCGGCCTCTGCTCTGCACCGCTACTGGCACGAGAACGGCGCAGGGCCCTCGGCGCGCGGCAAGGCGCCGTTTGCGCTCGTCAGTGAGTGCAGCGCAGCACCTCAGAGGCCAGCACGGCCCCCTGACGTACGCACGCCTCCACAGCGGGCAGCACGGGCGGGATGGGCGAGGAGTGGGCGCTGCAGCTCGCCGCGCTCGGCTTCAACGTCATCATCCAGGGGCGCAACAAGGGCAAGCTCGAGACGGTGCGCTCGCAGATCCACAAGCTGGCGCCCGACGCCGACGTGCGCCTGCTCGTCACCGAGGCGACGGTGTACCCCAACCCGGCGCTGACCGAGGGCCTGGCCAAGCTGCTCGACGAGCCCGACGTGCGGCTCACCGTCGTCATCTCCAACCTCGGCGTCAACGAGCTGTCCTATCCGAAGCTCGACGAGCAGTCGAGCGAGAGCGTCGCCGGCATCGTGCTCGCCAACGCATTCTACCCCGCCGAGGTGGCGCGCATCTGTCTGCCGCATCTGAAGCGCCACGAGCCGTCGCTGCTCGTGACTGTGACGAGCATTGGCTGCTGGGCGCCGCCTCCGTAGTGCGTCTGGCTATGCCGCAAGAGCTCTTGAGCAAGTGCTGACCTGCCTGCGCAGTCTCTCGCCGTACTGCGGCACCAAGGGCTTCGACGTCAGCTTCAGCCGCTCGCTGCACAACGAGATGATCTGCGAGAAGCGGCAGGTCGACATCGTCTGCATGGTGCCCGGCCAGGTGTCGTCCAACATGTGCCTCGAGCCAGTCAGCCGCATGGTGAGATGTCAGTAGGTGCGCGCACGAGGTCAGCAGCTCACACATCTTCTGGGCAGGTGCCGACGTCTGCAGACTGGGTCAAGGCGGGCATTGCCTCGCTGCGCTCCACGTGGTGGACGCCGCGGCCAGGCGCAGTCGTCGTGCCGTGGGGCCCGCACGCCTGGGGCATGTTCTTCATCGCATGGGCGCCGGCTTTCATGGTCAACGCCATCGCGCGCAGCAAGGTCGTCACGATGCGCGACGAGTACCTGGCGGCGAACGCCAAGGACAAGTAGGCGCGCTCACAAGCTCGATCCGGGCCTCGCTCTTTACCCAGCCACGTTCTCAGCACGAGGGATCACGCGTGGCGCTCCATAAATATGACACATTCCCCTGAGCCGTTGCAGCACACGGCGCACACGGCGGACAGCGTTGTCGAGGGTCACAGGGAGGTATAGCGTCGGGCCCGGACAGTGTCGGGCCGTGCGAGCGACGGACGGGCTGTGAGGGGAACAGACAGGTGTAGAGTATGCTTGGTGACGCAAGGGACGGCAAAGGTGGCGGAACAAGGGTGGAGGGGTTGATGCGAAGGCGTTGGGGACGACAGGTGCAGCTTGCTAGTGCGAGAGGTCCATTTGCGAGTCGTCGAGCAGATGGGGATGGTACGGCACGCCCGAGCTCGCGGCAATCTTCTGCTGCTCCTGCAGTTCGAGGATGAACTGCTGCATGCCGGCCATGTAGCCGACGGGCTGAGGACCCATGAGATGCATGTTAGCTGGCGGCGGCAGGCCCAGCGCGGCGCGCAGCTGCACGATTTCGTTGCGCGCATCGGCCAGCGCGGCGTCGCGACGCGCCAGGCGCGTAGTGATGCGCACGAGGTACTCGTTTGAGTGGCGCAGCAGCGCGACCTTGCTGATGGCACGGTTGGCAAGACGAGAGGTCTCGGCGTCGCACAGCTCGGCGGGGTCGAACTGCTCAACGTCGATGTCCTCGAGCGCGCCGTCGGGGCCGAGGTAGGAGCCGCCGGGCGCATCGTCGTCGAGCGTGATGCCCGGCAGCATGCCGCGCAGCTCGTCGAAGCAGAACTTGAGCGAGTCGCGGCGCTTCTGCTCCGCCGCCTTGTGCGACGTGCGCCGCGACTCAATCCCGCCGGACGACTTGAAGTTCGCCCATTCTTCGCGCTCGGCCGGAGAGAGGCCTAGAGCAAAGCGTGTCAGCGAGAGGCGCCATCGCAAGGGCACGAAAGACTCACCGCCGGGCGGGGGAACGCGCATCACTGCATCGCTCGTCTTCTGGACCGCATCAGCTGCAAATGTGACGGCCTTGTCCGGCGTGCCCGTGCCTTTGCCCTTCAGCTTGCTCGGGCCCGCGCCGTTGGCCTTCGCAGCGCTGCTCTTCTGTCCGATGCCCATGATACTGCCCGGTGTCAGCGGCTTGCCGCTCGACGAGGCGCCCGGCGGCGGCATGGAGCCCGAGCTCAAGTCAATCGGACTCGGCGTGCTCGCAGCGCCCTCGCTTGGGCTAGCCTCGAGCGACTTGCCCGCGCCCGTCATCAGCGGAGTGAAGCTGTTGGGCACCGCAGCAGTGCCAGGCTTGGCGCCTGCCGCCTCGGAAAGACTGGGACGACGCGAGCCGGGCCCCGACGTGGTGGCTGGGCTTGCGGCAGTAGAGTCGCGCGAGCGAGCGGCGCGCGCTGGGGGAGCAGTCGGCTTCACCAGCGGGCTGGGCCGCACCTTGTTGGCGCGCGCCTCTGCCGTGGTCGAGCGGTTCTTCCGCGGCAGCGGGCCAGGCTTGGCATGGCCCATGAGCGCGAGTGGGCTGGCTGTGGGCGTGGTGCTGTGGCCCTGCGGACCGAAGTGCGGCGACGTCGCCGAGCCTGCGCGGCCGCCGCGCCGGCTCAGGCTGCCGGAGCGGCCCGGTGCGCCGCCGTGGGGGCTGGCCGCAGGCGGCAGCATCATGATGTCGCTCGCTGACGGTGGCTGCGGCCGAAGCGCCGGCGACGTGAGCGGAGAGAAGAAGTCCGCCGTCGTGCTCGCGCCGGTGGAGAAGACACTGGCGGGAGTGATCGCGGGAGACTCGAGCGGAGTGAATGATCCGTTCATCTGCGCATAGGAGAAGAGTGAGTATAGCTGACGCACGGTGAAGCCGTACGATGGAGGCTGCCGCTCCCGTAACTACCCGCACCGCAACTCACGTAGGGCGTTGACATCTGCTGGCCCGAATTGAAGGCGCCGGAGTGCACGGGCGTCATCAGGCCGTACTGCGCCATGGCCGAGCTCATGGGCATGTTCGGCTGGCAGAACGGGTTGTTGATCTGCGCGTGCGGGCTTTGCGCCGAGCCGTCGCGCTGCTGAGCGTACGCATTCGGACTGAAGGCGTTCATGAAGGGCGACGGCGCGCTGCTGCCCGGCCCGGGGTTCTGCTGCGTCGGCGTGTTGCCGTTGCTGCCGCTGACCTGCGCTGCCATGCTGATGAGGTCGGCGTGCTGCTGTTGCTGCTGCTGATGCCGCTGCTGCTGTTGATGCTGCTGCTGCTGCAGCTGCTGCAGGGCGTACGCCTGGACGTTCGACGGCATCGACGACTGGCCGTGGTTGCCGCGGCTGTCTGCCTGCCGCTGCAGCGCCTCGAGCTGCTGCCGCAGAACGGCCGTCTGCATGTTCTGCAGGCGCTCCGCCTGCTCCTTCTCCATGAGCATGCGCTGGATGTCGCCGATGCTCAGCTGCATCTGGCCCGACTGCTCGAGCAGCTGTGCGACGTTCGAGGCCGCAGGCGAGGCGGCACTGCCGCGCGAGGCCGACTCGGCAGCATTATTCGACATGCTCATCAGCAAATTGGCGAGCGGCGATCCGGCACCACCAAAGGCAGCGCCTGCAGGGCCGCTCGTGCCGTTGGACGAGCCGCTCTGTGCCATGGCCGCATTGCCCGAGAGCTGGCTCACGCGCGGGCTGCCATGACGGCTGCCTCTGCTGTCGCTCGCTGCGGCTCCACGGTGCGAGCTGGCCGGCGAGTAGGTGCTGGGCCTACCTGCATGCGACATGGATGCAGGGCTAGGCGCGCCGACGCTGCCCGGCGCCGAGTTGGAGTGGCTGTGGTGCGCAAAGGCATGGCTCTGGCCAGGCGTGTGCTGCTGGTGCGGCGCAGGGCCCTGTCCGCCCTGTCCGTCGGCACCATGCGCACCGCTGTGGGTGAAGATGTTGAGCTCGTCGAGCGAGGATGGGAGCGTGAAGTCGGCGCCGAAGTCGAAGGCATCGAGGTTGAAGCCGCCCATGCCGCTGGTGCCCGACGGCCCTGCGCCGTGCTCGTCGGCGCTGGCACGGCGCGCATGCTCGGCGTCGTGGCTGCCGCTCTTGCTGCTGCCACTGCCGCTGGCGCTGTTGCTGCCGCCGCTGCTGCTGCCGGCGCCGCTCTGGCGGCTGCTGCCCGCCTCTGCGGCGAAGTGGACGGCGCTGTGCGACGGCGTGCCAGCCTGGCTCGGCTGGCCGGCGGGCGAGGTAGTCATCATGGGCGCGTCTCGAGGCACAGCGGAGAGGCAGAGGGGCCTGCGGCCAGGTGCGGATGCCGACGGGCCAGCACCGCGCAGTCACACAGACGTGCGGCCGAGCTTCGGGTGCGGATGAGAGCGCAGCAGGCGGACGCAGAGGCGTCTGAGCGAGCGGCGAGTCGCGCTCGAACGAGCGGGAGCGGTGCGGCGAACGAGGCGCTGCAGCGACGCAGGCGATGAGGGTGAGGAGGAGTTGAGTGCGAGCACGAGTGGGAGGAGGTGGTGCGATAGAGGATGCAGAAGCACGAGCCGCAAGCGCGAGCCCTTCGCTCGGCGCTCTCTCTCTCTCTCGCGCGCCGCGCGCGACCGCCGGCCGTGGAAGCTCGCGCCCAGCGAAGACGGCGGCTCGCGCGGCGCAGGCCGGAGCGCGCGGCGGCGCACCGCTGAACCCACCGCCGAGCGCTCGCCGGGTGCGGCGCTGCGCAAAGGCAGGCCGCGTGCCGCGCGCTGCTCCAGGGCAGGAAGAGGCGGCAGGCACGAGGGCAGTCGAGCGCGAGAGCATCGCACGGCCACATCATGGCCGAGGCACGCCGCCGCTGTGCTCAGGTGCCCGACGAGGCGCCGCTGCACCCGCTGCAAGCCATGAGAGGCGAAAAAATGATCGCTGACCGCACTCGGGCCCTGCTCGTGGCTCCTCCGCCGTGCCCCGCTCACGTCCCCGGACGGAATGCGCCGCCAGACTCGCTGCGGCGGCATCAGCTGCACAGCAGCAGCCGCTCAGGCAGCTGCATGCATCTGCGCTCTGACCAGCCGCAGCCGCTGCCCGCTGGAGAAGAAGCTTCGTCCAAGTCACACGCGCAGGCACATCGCCGGCCACCGCTCTCGGCGGCGTGAGAGAGCAGCTGCGACCCATCGCCGTCGTCCTCTCCTGCACTCTGCGATGGTCCCTCCGCTGCGCGCGCCACACTCGCTCGTCAGGCACCCTGAGACAGGAGCCGTGCCGACCTGCCCGGCCGCCCGAGCACGATCATCTCGGAGGCGGCGGAGCCGGCATGCTCTCGGTCGAAATTTAATCAAGCCTCTTTTCCTCATCATCGAGGCACACCGCCTGCGATCCGTGTTCCTGGCGCTCGGGTGGCTGCTCCTCGCAGGAGAAGCCATCTTGATTCACCACACTCGCCGCGAGCACGGCGCTGCCGATCAAGGCGCCGCAGGGACGTCCGCGACATGTCGCTGCACCGCTCAGCTTCAGCACCAGGGCGTCTGGGCTGTAGCACAAGCGGCAGCAGCAGCGAGCCACGGCGACGGTCATGTCTGAAGTGGTTGTGCGCTCTGGGCCTCTTCCACTCTCCTACTTGCGCTTCGCAGGCGAGCAGGGCCAGCCCTCCGTGCCGCGTCCCTCCCAGGTGTGCGTCCGCTCGCTTGGCCGCGCTCGGAGGGACTACGCCTTGACTTCGCAAATGCTGGACTGCTGTGAATGCCGAGCCACACCGAGTTGCGGCGTACTGCTGCAGCAGCATGCAGCGTGCAGAGCGCAGAGTACCTCGGAGCCGAGGCGTCAGCGACACGGCTCGGCAGGTTTGCGGCGCCACGGTCGGCTGAGCGCGGCGGCTGGCGTCTGGCAGGTCCGCGTGACAGGTCCGCATCCGACGGGTGGGTCAGCCTACGAGATGGGTCGCCGTGCTGTACCGGTGCATGGGCAGAGCGTATTCGGCTTGAGACAGCTGCAGCATCCGCAGGGCAGACGCAGATGCAGAAAGACTCGCCGCTGGGGGCCGCTGCCCGAGAGCGAGGAGCGCCACGCCCGCCACGCCCGACGGTGAGATCCCCGAGCCGCCGACGCCGGTCGTCTCTCCGAGCTGTCCGGTAGCACGGACCGAGCAAGGCGCCGCTGAAACGAGAATCTTGCTCGCCGTTGCCATTTTCTCCCCTCTCCTGTCTTCAGGCGGAGACGTGGGAGGTGCGTCCGAGTGTGTCCATGTCGTGTGAGCGTCGCCGGGCGCAGTCACGAGGGCTGCTGCTGCCACAGGGGTTCAGCAGGGTGGGGCACGCTCCCTGCGCAGCGCTTACTTGATGCACCACATGCATCTCTGCCAGCCTCTCAGATCGTTCAGGATAGCGCTTTGTGACGCCGAGCTGACCGCCAGTCGACCAACCTTCTGCGAGGTCGCACGTGAGAGGGCTGGCGGCGCGCGCAGGCGAGCGCGACGCGTGTCTGCACGCGTTGAGTGCGAATACGACGACGATCGCCTGGAGTAGGGCGGCCGTTGTATTCGAGCCTCGCTGAAGCTACAAACCCAAAATGACGCACGGCACGCAAGCAACACACTCGCGCAGTGCCTGCGGAAACGTGTGCTTGCTGACGAGCCCTCGGAGCGGCGCCTACTCCACCTCATCTCGCCTCCAGCGGCGACCTTCTTCCCCGCCCCAACCATCCACGCCCCGCTCTACCCCGGCAACAGCACACCCAGCGCCGAGCAGACCTTCCAGCACCGCATCCGTCCTGCCACTCGCCTCGCACTCGCCTGCCATGGCTCCAGTCGCCACGACGTCGGCGGCGGCCTCCTCGCGCGCCCAGACGGAGGAGGAGGAGGCCGATCCCGAGCTCCTCCGCGTCGCCAAGCAGCTCGACGGCGATGAAGACGACGACGAAGACGACAACAACGACCACGACGGCGATGCAGCTGATGCTGACGATGCGGCCGCCCCTGCCACGGCGGCTCAGGTCGAGCCAAAGAAGCGCGGGCGCGGCCGTCCGCCCAAGGTGCAGCAGCCGCAAGAGGAGGAGGATCCGGCAGTGAGTCACGCGCGGAAGAATGCAAGCACGCAGCCGCACGGCTGCCGGCTGTCATCGGAGCCCGTGCTGACCTCGCACTGTGCTTCAGGAGACCGCCGCTCGCCTCAAGAAGCTCAAGTACCTGCTCAAGAAGTCGGGCGTGTACGCCAAGATCATGCAGGAGAAGATGGACCGCGAGGCGGAGAAGCGGCGCACGACAGACGCCAAGGCGGAAGCGGCAGGCAAGCGCGCTGCAGTGAGCACGGAAGCCGACGCTGAGCCGGCACGGCCCGTCGCCGGGCGGTCTACGCGAGCGGGAGAGGCGGGCGAGAAGCCAGAGGCCAGCACTGCAGCGCGCCGACAGCGCGCGCCAGACAAGCGCAAGCGAGGCACTGCAGAGTACGCGATCACCGACCTCATTGGCGAGGAGGATCTGCAAGCGGCTGGCGAAGAGGATGGCCCGGCCCAGAAGAAGGCGAAGGGCGCGGACGGCGAGGCTGCGCCGGTCCAGAAGGGCGAGGCATTCGAGCGCGACGAGCGCCAGCCCGAGCTGGTCACGGGCGCCATCATGCGCAGCTACCAGATCAGCGGCCTGGAGTGGCTCGTCAGTCTCTACGAGAACGGCCTGAACGGCATCCTCGCCGACGAGATGGGCCTCGGCAAGACGCTGCAGACGATCTCGTTCTTTGCCTATCTGAAGAAGCGCAACGTCTGGGGCCCGTTCCTCGTCGTCGGGCCCAAGAGCACGGTCCGCAACTGGCGGCGCGAGTTTCAGAAGTAAGTCATCCGGCTGCGATGCCGCCAACGGCTCGTCTGACCTCGCTCCGAAGGTTCACGCCCACGATTCCCGTGCTTGAGTACATGGGCAGTGTGAATGAGCGGCGCCAGCTGCGCGAGAAACACCTCCGCACGCCGCAGGTTGCGAGTGAGCGCCACGCATTTCCGATCGTCCTGACCTCCTTCCAAACGGTCGTCTCGGACCGGAAATTCCTGGACAAGCACAAGTGGAAATTCATCGTGGTCGACGAGGGGCAGCGGCTCAAGAACATGAACTGCATGTGAGCCGCATCCGAGTGCTGTCGCTCAGCTGCACCCGCTTACACGACGCCCAGCCTCATCAACGAATTGAAGAAGTTCAACTCGGCGAACCGCTTGATCCTCAGCGGCACGCCGCTGCAGAACAACCTCAAGGAGCTCTGGTCGCTGCTCAATTTCATCCTGCCCGACATCTTCGACGACCTGGCTACCTTCGAGCAGTGGTGAGCATGCCTTGTGCGGTCCGCCGGCACGCACAGCTGACGCGCTGCTTCCACAGGTTCAACTTCGACGCCGTGCGCGAGGAGGGCGGCTCGAGCAGCATCCTGAACTCGGCGTCGAAGCAAGACCTCATCAAACAGCTGCACGAGATTCTCAAGCCCTTCCTGCTGCGCCGCATGAAAGTCGACGTGGAGAATCTGCCGCCGAAGAAAGAGTACCTGCTGTATGCGCCGCTGAGTCAGATGCAGAAGGAGATGTACGACTCCTTCGTCGACAAGAGCTTCCGCCGCCGCCTTCTCGAGCTTCACACGGGCCTGTCGTTCGACGAGATGGCGGCGGTGGACGACGACATCGTTCGCTGGGCCGACGATCGTGCAAACAAGGGAGGCAAGGTGGCGAAGCGTGAGTGGGCTCTGGCGCGCGTGCGTGCGTACCACGTGGCTGACCACAAGCATGGCACAGCGACCGTGCAGGACTCGGTAGACGACAGCTTGTCTGTCTCTGAGCGCTCTCGGAACCGCGTGCGCCAGGCCAAGAAGAACGTCAGTTACGGCGACGAGACGGAGTCTGAGTTTACGCGGCGCATGGAGGAGGGCGGCCACAGTCCCGGCGCCGAGGACGTCTTGCGACCACGATCAGCTGCCGAGCTGAAGCTCGAGGCGCGCAAGGCGTTGATCCGTCAGGGTCGTGAGTAGACGCCAATGACGCACGCAGGACACCGCTGATACGGCATCACAGAAAAGCGGGTCGACCAGGGCAAGTACTCGAATCTCACGATGGCGCTTCGCCGGACGTGCTGCCACCCGTATCTGTTCCACTGGCCCACGGACGAGACCGGCGAGCCGGTGACTGGCAAGGAGCTGGTCGCTGCCTCTGGCAAGATGATGATGCTCGAGCGGCTTCTCGGCGCGCTGCTGCCGCGCGGGCACAAGGTGCTCATCTTCTCCCAGGTAAGCACGGCCAGCCGCCTGCGCTCCTCGCGTCCGCCCGCTGATCTGTCGTCTGCAGTTCACCACGGTCCTTGACGTGCTGGAGATCTGGGCGACTGGTTAGTCGGCCTGCGTGTCACACACGCGGCCAAGCTCACACCCGTGCCTGTCCAGAGCACCAAGGCCTTGAGGTGTTCCGCATTGACGGCAACACTTCCGGCGACGACCGCGACGAACAGATGCAGGCGTTCAACAACGAGGACAAGGTCAAACTGTTCCTGCTGACCACGCGCGCCGGAGGTCTCGGCGTCAACCTCGTCGCCGCGGACACGGTCATCTTCTTCGACTCTGACTGGGTGCGTGGATAGTCGGCTGTTGTGTGGCACTTTGCTGACGCGGAGGACGCAGAACCCACAAGCAGACCTGCAGGCGCAGGACCGTGCCCACCGCATCGGACAGAAGAAGCCCGTCTTGATCTTCCGTCTGGTCGCCGGCAACACATTCGAGCAGCGCCTGCTCAAGACCGCCACGGCCAAGCGCGAGCTCGAGAAGATCGTCGTGGCCGAAGACAAGTTTCTCGGCGTGTCGGAGTCCAGCTTGGTCGGTCTGAGAATGAAGGGCAAGGCGGCGACGCTGGTGGACTCGATCCGCAAGCTCGAGGCAGAGAAGGTGCAGCTCGCGGTGCAGGGCGACGAGATCATCTCCGATGCCAACCTGGAGAAGCTGCTGGACCGCAGCGAGGCGGCCATGAAGCGCGAGCGCGGCTGGGTGTCGGACCGCAGCGGCAACGAGCTCAACGCGGACAACGCCGACGACGCCCAGATGGCGTTCGAGGTCACCGAGCGGACACTGGATGAGGACACTGATCGTGAGCTGCGCCGAGTTGCCCAAGCGAGCGCGCGCTGACTGACGCATCCCTCGCAGCCGCTCTCCGCAAGCTCTTTGGAGGTGCCGACACGGGCGACAAGCGTGACCAGCTCGATGCCGAATGAGCTCCGCACGGATCCCACACGACGTCGACTCTGCCGACACTTCACGCTCCCTCTGTTCACGCTGCACCATCTCTTTCACGAGTACATCTGTCACGCTGCCCTTCTATCGTTATGCCATCTATTAGAGGTCCCACTCCTGCTCTGCGAGCTCGTCGCCCTCGCGCCACTCGTCTATGCGCAGCCGTGTCTCGCCGGCGTGCTTGGACAGCTTGTAGCGGCCGAGCTCAAAGGTCGCATACGCCTTGCGACTCTTGGCTGCGGCCTTGGCGTGCAGCGGGAGGCTGCTGGCGGCCCGCGCCGCCTCCCGCGATGTCCACACGCAGGTGGCGAGGTTGCTGCCTTGCGTGTCGGGCGTGCCGTACCTGCGAGCGAGGGTTGTGAGCGACTATCGCCGAGCTTGACAAGGCCAGCAGCACTCACCAGTACATGAGCAGCCCGCCGGCGTTGACGGCCTCCTCGTGTGCGTGGCGGTCCGCATCGTAGAGGCTCGTGCTCTCCGAGCCGCTCTGCCGGCGCGACCGGAAGACCACGCCGTACCACTCTCCTGACGAGGCCTCGGGCAGCTCGAGCTGGTCCCAGTTGAAGACGCGCCTGATCAGGGCCAGCGAACCGCTCTGCTGCGGCGAGCCTGCGGCTGCAAAGACCGGGCACGCCGAGGCGTCGGCGCCCTCGACGAGCGGATGCGGTGCAGCGGGCGAGGCGACGCCAAAGGCATCCGCGTAGTCGTACGTGAGCGGCCGCAGCTTGTGGAGCGCCCGCCATAGATGCAGCGACTGCGGGCCGAGGACGGGCAGGCGCGAGCGCGTGTACTTGACATCTTCCGAGGCCAGCTCAGAGGTGCCGTGCGGGTAGTCGAAGGGCAAGTAGGCATCCTCGAAGGCCGGCTCGACCGCCTCTGGCGCATCTTCTGCAGCCGGTCGCCGGGCCATAAGAGGAGCCAGTTGCTCGAGCGCCGGTGGAGCAGCAGCGTCGACTGCAGGCACCGGACGGGAGAAGGTGAGCGGAGAGGAAGACTCGACGACGTCTGTCGAGAAGGCCTCGCCACGGCCACGGTCGCGCTCTGGAGCTCGCCTTCCCCGGGCCGTGGCGCGGCCGCGGTGCGAGCCAAAGGTACGGTGCCGCGAGCGTCCGCGCGACGGCTCGTCGACGTAGTCAAAGTGCCGCACCTGCGTCGGCGGCGAGGGCACGATGGGGATAGGAGCAGCGCGAGGCGTCTCGCTCGGCGCGATCGCGATGGGCGCCGAGCGCTCGAGACTCTCCTCGCTCACGGCGGGGCGCAGAGCCTTGGGTGGAGAGAAGAGCGGCGAGCGGGTGCTTGGGCCTGGCACCGGCGCCATGGCGAGGCCGGGAGCGAGCAGCATGTGCTTCTGGCCAAGGCGGCCGCCGAGGACGTGGTTGGTTCGTGGACGACGCAGGTGGAACGCGTCCGAGTGCGTTGGGAGGTGGTGCGAGGACATCGTGTACCGAGATGGCCGCTAGAGCGGGTATTTGGGCGAAGTTCTGCTGGCGGATGGGAGCTGCTTGCGGCGTTGGGTGCACTTGCAGTGATGAGCGGACGATGTTTGGGCCTCAGCGGGACGGACAGGCCTCTTGCGGCTTTATATCACCCAGCGCTGCGGGCGCCGAGTCATCAGAGACCCTCGACGCCCCGTGCGTGGAGGAGCGGCCCGCACGTCGGTGGCGTGCGTGGGCAGTCAATGCCTTGTTGGCGTACCAACAGCGCATGCTGCAATGCGGTGCGCCATTCGCATTGCGCATGCGGCCGGTGCTGCTGCCCTGCGCGTGGCCATGGCGCGAGGGGTCCGAGGGGCCGGTGGCGCCTCGACGCCCAAGCACGAAGTGGCAGGGGGCCCGGCGCCCGCCTGCGAGACAGGGGCAGGGACCCCCGCTGCCTTCTCTCGGCGCTGCACGTCCAGCGGTCTGGGCCGCCCCTGACACGGATCGTTGAGTGAGCAATGCGGCCGCAAGCAACACGCATCGAGCCGTGCGTGTGGAGCGGGTGGAGCGAGTGCGTGCTTGCGGCCGGGAGCCGCGTCCGGTGGGCGTGAAGGGCGCGAGATTGCGCCATGGGCGCATGACGTGCCGCGCCGCGCCATCCGCGCTGCTCCCACGCCACTCGACTGGCCACGCCTGTGCACGCAGCAGATCTCGTCTCGGCCGCATGCCGATGGCGCAGCAGCAATGACGTCTCGGCACGGCGCATGCAAGATGATATGTCAATGGCTCGGTGGGCGAGATGAACCTGGTGTAGTCGGGCGTGGGAATGATGCACGAATGGCTGCTGATACAAGTGTGTGGAGAGGAGACTGACGATGCGGAAAGGCGAGCTCGAAATGGGACTAGGGACGGGGCTGTTTGACGACGACGGCGCTCCTCTATGCTCGCAGATGCAGCGCCTCGATGAACTTGCTCAGGTCCTCGCGCTTCACCTCGATGACGCTCGAGTCAAAGGCGTCGTGCTTCGTGCGCGCGCCGCACTTTGCCGCCGCCTCCTGGAACGCCATGCCCCAGCGGTTGCGCTGCAGCACCTCGGTGACGAGGCCGACGACGACGAAGCGGTCGCGGCTCTCGTCGAGCGCGGCAAGCACGAAGGGCAGCGGCGGCGGCGGCGCAATCGCCTCGAGCACCGACGGGTCCTGGCCCTTGGCGCGCAGCCGCTCGCGCTTCCTCTCCAGCGCTTTCCGCGCGTGGCCCGCCACAATGTCGCGCAGCGCCTCCACGAGCCAGAGCGCCAGTCGTGTGAGCGTGTTCGGGTTGGTGAAGAGCACCAGGTCGGGGCCCTCGGTGATGCTGGACACGCGAAACGAACGCAGCGTCTTGACGGCAGACTTCTCGATGAGCGCCACGCCCTGCGAGACGATCGCTCGGTGCAGCGCCTTGGACAGAGAGAGCGAGGAGCGGAGCAGCGACACGCTGTGGAGCAAGTGTCAGAACATGCAAGCTCCGACGCGAGCAAGAGTCTCACCTGGCGGGCTTGCGGGCGTCGAGAGCGTTGTACGCAGCAAAGAAGTTGCGCACCCAGTCGGTCTCGTTGTTCGTCGCGCCGCTGCTCTCTGCATTCTCCCGCTCGCCCTCTTCGGCGTCCTCTGCTGTGCGCTGCTTGCTGGTGTCCATGGCCGCGCCCAGGCTCCACGTCTTCTTGCCGCCGAAGAGGTCTGATGCCGTTGAGCCTGCGCCCGTCGCTGCGCCATAGGCGCCTCGCTGCCCGCCAGCACCCACGCCGTTACCCGAGAATGTCATGCCCGGTGCATCGACCTTGATGCGCACGCCGTGCGCGGCCGTGAGCAGCGCAGAGAGGCCCTCGACCGTGTCGGCGGCGCTCAGCGGCGAGCTCTGATAGCCGAACGAGCGCAGGAATGAGAGGTAGACACATTCGGTCAGGCCGTACTCGGGCGCGATAGACTGGATCCGCGGCACGAGCTTCTGCCGGAGATCGAGATCCATGTGGTCGAATGTTTGCCGGCATTGGGTGAGCGACATGCTGCAAGAGGCTGTTTAGCACGGGTGTGCGGCTATGATGCGCGGCTGGACGACGCACCCCATCTTGGCCATCAGGCCGCGCAGCTGCCCCATGCCCTTCTCCTTCCAGATGCTGATCTTGCCCGCCACGTACGCCGAGTGGTACATGGCGTTCTCCAGGCTCCAGTGGCGATAGAGTGTGAAGCGCAGCTCCTGGGCGATGACTCGGATACGGCCGTCGTCGGCGTCGGCCGCCTTGCCGGGCAGCCCACCGTCCCGACGCGAGTGCAAGCCGCCCTCCTGCACAGGGTTGAGCTCCCGGACGATCTCGGCGAGCAACTTGGCGTGTTCTTCGTATGTATCGTAGCTCGTGCGCGACGCCAGGTAGAGCGACGTCAGGCCAAGGATGCCCAGCCTGCGAGAGACGTGAGCACATGCCAGCTGTCGTCCGACTGCTCAGGTGCACTCACCACACTGTCTCGTTCGAGGCCCGTCCGAGGCGGTCAGCCAGCTGCCACACCACAAGCGAGACCGGGAGGCCGTAGCCCGAGCCGCGGGCGTGGTATCGCGCCAGCACCGCGCGGTACTGAGCGAGCACGGCCGCAGACGTACGCGCAGGCTTGCGGACTTTGCGCCTCCGCCGCCCTCTTGGCTGCATGGCACCGTCAGCATCGCGTAGGCCCGGCAGCCGGCACGGCGACTCACTGGTGCCTCGCTGCTCGATGCCTCTGCGTCCTCGTCCTCATCCTCATCTGCAGTGTGGCTGCTGCCGCTGGCCAGCCGCCGCCGCTTCCTCTGCGCCGGCCGCTGCTCTCCGTCTTCGTCGTCGTCGCTCGGCAACAAGTCGTCGGCGTCATCTCCCTCGTCGCTCTCCTCATCCTCACTCTCGCTGCCGCGGTCGCTGTCGCTTTCACTGTCGCTGACCTCGAACTCTAGGCGCGAGTAGGCCTCATGCTCGCGCGACAGGTGCTGCTCGATCGCGCCATCGTCCCAGATGCAGATGCGCGAGAGCAGCTCCGAGGTCGCAAAGAGGTTCTCGAGGTTCCATGGCCGATGCGAGTCGATGACGTGAAGCGTGCACTGCGGGGGTAGTGACAGCCCAGCCTCGGGCCCGCCAGAGTACTGCCCGGCCGAGAGAAAGCTCGGCAGAGGCAGCAGAGCGCCGAGGTTGAGGAAGATGAGGGTGTGCAGCTGCGACACGCCAAGGTCAGCGCCACACACGCTGCCGCTGGCACCAGGTTGCTACTCGTGTGCGCCTGCGTCAGGCCACTCACCTCCTCATTGCCAGTGACGTCGTCGCTCAAGATGCGCGTGAGCGTCGCGTAGCCGTCGCACGGCACCACGCGGTATGCGATCTCGTCCTCGCGCAGCAGTGCCACAAGTGCCCGCGCCGCACACACGCCGTCCACGTCGGGCGCCACGACGATCATGACGGCCGCCGCTGCCGCTGCCGCGCCAGTGATGCCGGCCGAGCGGCGCGCCGCGGCCACGATGCCCTCGTACGCATGGCCGACGTCGCGGTCTGAGCGCAGCGGGCCCGGCGCCTCCTGGGTCGCGGGGGCGCTGATGAGCACCATGCGCCGGCACGCGGGGTACTGCGGCGGCGAGGCGGGCGGAAGAGGGCGGGCGAAGAGGCAGCGCGCAGCAGAAAGCACAAGGCGGTGAGAAGGAGTGTGGGCCAGAGACGGAGCAAAGAGGGGCAGACAAGCAGGTGCGATGGAGTCTGAGGAGGGTCAGGAAGCGCATGTGCCTTGCCGCACCGCCGCCGCGCGCCGCCGAGCAACACGGCCTCTCTACGCGTCGGCAAGCGCGTCGCGCCCGCGTGGGAACACCTCGGGCTGCCTCAGCCTGCTCGCCCCCCTCCACACGCCGATGCCCGGACTCGACCAGCTCCTCTTGGCTCTAAGCAGCACTCGTATCAACGCTGCTCCGGCTCAAGCTAAACCTGCCACACCCCCGTGTGAAGTAGCGCCGACCGGTCGGAAATGCCGCGAGCAGCCGTGTGCGCCGGCACGAAAGCGACGGTGCCCTGCTGCTCCCACGCTGCTCCAAACTCCGCCGGCCGCAGGTAGCCGCGGCTAAACCGTCTCAAGGCCGTCCTCCTCGAGATCCGTCAAAAAGCGCATTTCGCTCGCAGCCTTGGCTTCCTGAGGACCACACTTTGCCGTACGTTCATGTCTGGGAGGTTCGTGGCCTCTCTTCTCTCTAAAAGCAGCCGGTACACGGCCGCCAGCTGCGAGCAGCTCCAAGCATCGGCGTGGCTCGCAAGGCCGGCTCTCTTCGTTCCAACGGCGGCGCGGGCCGGTTCTTGGGAGCCCCCACTTGCCCCTGAAGCAAGTCTTTGATGTCGTGCGGGTTGGAGAGTGCGCGCGCAGATCACCTCCTGTCCCTGAGCAAGTGCTCGAGGACGAGAAGGAGCAAGGCCGGCCGGCGGTGTACCGCAGGACGGGCGACGTGGCGCACTCAGCGGCATGGCGTCGTGCGCGCGCCCACAGCACGACATCCAGGCACGCGAGCGGCGAGAGTCGCTCGCTGCGCCGCCAAGGACGAGGCGCGAAGGATGCCGCGGCAAGCAGCGGCGGCGGGCACGGCGCCTGTGTTGTGCGCGTGGCGGCGCCACCTGGCGAGACGATAGGCCGCGCGCGCCTTCTCGGGCGCGCTCGGTCGCCCCGCCGCACCCACAGAGCCGCCCTCGTCCTCGCTCTTCTCTGCCCTCTGGCGCCGCGCGGCCTGTCCCCTCCTCCATCACACCATCCAAGCACACCACTCCCAACGGCACTGCACCCCTCACTCGCACTCGCCAGCGCGCTCTGTCACGCTTCTCTCCTGCGCATTGACGCCGCGCCGCCGCTGCTGCCGAGCGCCTGCACGTTCTGCCATCCAGCTCGCTGCTCTGCTGCGCACACCACGCCCCTGCGATCGCTCCACTGCGGTGCCCCGCACATCGCCCGCTTGCGGCGCAGGACTGCACATCGGCAGCCGCACGCAGACGAGCACTCTCTCTCCTGATCCAGCAGCGCTGAGCCACCTCGCCCAGGCGCCGCCGGCTGGGCGCGCAGCGTAGTCCGCCATGGCATCTCCACTTGCCTCTTCGTCGCGCTCCACCACGCCGACGGCGCCGTCGCCCTCCTCCTCGCTCCTCACTCCTGCCGCACACGGCTCCGCATCGCCCTCCTCGTCCCGCTCCGCCTCGCCGACGGCCGCGCTCTCCCGTATGTCCTTTCCAGTCTCGTGCGCGTCGCCCGCAGCGATGCGTGGCGACGTCGGCGCCGGGTGGAACTCGCTCGGCGCCCTCGGCGTCGCTGGCGGCCGCTCGAGCGCATCGACGCCCGCCGCAGCTGCAGGCACGCCGGCCAGCGGTGGCTGTGACACTCCGGCCGGCCGCAAGAACCACGCCGAGGCAGACGTCTCGCCCGAGCAGGAGGCAGAGGAGGCGTGGCACGCGCATGCGAAGCTCGGCGAGCAGGACGCAGACGACGAGATCATGCGCGCCACCACGCCCGGCGCCTCCTCTTCACGCAACCCACTCGTGCCGCCGCCGTCGCGCAGCCTGTGTGTGCGGCACCAGCGCATGGCCGACGAAGGCATGACGGCGCGGCTGCAAAAGGTGCGTACGCAGTCCACACCCCGTCCCTCCCCCTCGCTCGCCGCCAGGCCGTGTTGCTGCTTTCTGTGCACTCCATGCGTCCTGGCTTGCGCGCCTCTCCCTCACGGGAAGGCATGCAACCGTCGTGAAGCGCAGATCGAAGAGCCCAGTTTGAGGTGAAGGCGTGGGTCTCGACCCGCCTTTGCCATAGAAGCGGCACGACATGCTCAGCATCGCATCATTGCACCTGCACGACGGTTGCTGACGCCTTCGTCTTGTCACAGTCAATCGAGCTGCTGCCGCTGCAGGACCAGACGGCCGTCAACACCGTCTGGGCGCTCTTCTCCTCTTCGCCAGCCTCACGGCGGTCGCTGATTCTGCAGGGCATTCTCACGATGTGCTGCTTCAGCCAGCTCTCTCTGCTCTCGCAAGAGCTGGCGCTGGCCATCCGCATCGACCCATTCACGCTTCTGCCGCGCGAGATTAGCCTCAAGATCTTGGGCCACCTCGACGCCATGACGCTCGGCCGCGCCGCCCAGGTCTCGCGCACCTGGCGCGCACTTGCCGATGACGATCTGCTGTGGCGCAACATGTGCGAGCAGCACATCGAGCGCAAGTGCGAGAAGTGCGGCTGGGGCCTGCCGCTGCTGTCGGAGCGGCGGCGACGCGCCAAGCCGAAGGCACTGCGAATCGACGCGGCATCCACGTCCGAGGGCGCCGCGCCCTCGCCTCGTTCCGCATCGGCCTCGGGCAGCCTGAAGCGCAGCATCACTGCCGCCGCAAACGCAGCAGCACACGAGCGGCATGCACGTGCTGGTGACGCCTCAGGCTCCAACCCCGGGTCTGCGCTCAATTCGCCGCGCATGGCATCCGTCGACATGGACGTGGAGGAGCGCCTGGGCCGGCCGACAAAGCGTCCGTGCACCACGTCATCTCGCGACGCGCCAGGCGACGCCAGCGGCGATGCTGCCGCGCAGGCCCTCGTGGCGCCGCCGCCGCACACGCTGCCCGCAGCGACGCGGCCGTGGAAGTCGGTGTACTGCGAGCGTCTCGCCATCGAGCGCAACTGGCGGCGCGGGCGCTTCACGACGCGCGTGCTGACGGGCCACACCGATGGCATCATGTGCCTGCAGTTCTCCGACTCGCTGGCGCATCCCGCCTTTCCGCTCCTCATCACGGGCTCGTACGACCGCACCGCGCGTGTGTGGAATCTCGAGACGGGCGCCGAGCTGCGCGTGCTGCGCGGCCACACTCGCGGCGTGCGGTGTTTGCAGTTCGACGAGGTCAAGCTCATCACGGGCAGCATGGACCGCACGCTCAAGATCTGGAACTGGCGCACGGGCACGCTGATGCGCACGCTCGAGGGCCACACCGAGGGCATCGTCTCGCTGCACTTCAACGACGACACGCTCGCGTCCGGCTCGGCAGACTCGAACGTCAAGATCTGGAACTTCCGCACCGGCGAGTGCTACACGCTCCGCGGCCACACGGACTGGGTCAACGCCGTGCTGCTGTGGTCCGGACCCGGCACAAAGTCGTCTCAGCCGACGCAGAGCAGCGCCGTCGCCGGCCGCGCGCCGGCGGACTGGAACGACGGCGAGCTGCGAGCGGAGTCGGCAGACTCTAGCAGCTCCGAGGGCGCGGGCAGCAGCTTCCTCTTCAGCGCCAGCGACGACGGCACGATCCGCCTCTGGGACTTGGCGCTGCGCGAGTGCCTGCTCGTGCTCGACGGCCACGTCGCGCAGGTGCAGACCATCAAGCTCGTCATGCTGCCCGACGAGGCGATGGCCAAGCTTGCGCAGGGCGCTGCGGGTGGCCCCGGCGCCGCCGACGCCGATCAGCTGCGCCGCGCCGAGCAGCGCGCCGGCCGCTACGCGAGCAATGGCGACGACGACGCAGACGACACGAACGCGTCGAACTCTGCCAGCTGCGGCTACAACGCCTCGGCCGTGCCCGGTGGGCGCGCGGCGAACGCTGGCTTCGCGCCGGCCATGCCCGAGCGCGGCATCTACGCCGCCACATCTTCGGCCAGCAACCGCCGCGCATCGGGCGCTCGCAACGGCTCGCAGGCACCGCCGGAGCCCATGCGGCGTCCGATCGACCCGACGCTGGCGCACCTCCAGAACCGTCTCTGCTCTGCGGGTCTCGTGGCGCCTCTGCCGCTCGACGCCGAGGCAGCGGACCTCGAGCCCCTGCTCGACCCCTCGCCCAACGGCGCCGCAGCCCGCACCGCGGCGCACCGCGGCGCACGTCCCGTGCTGCTCTCCGGCTCGCTCGACAACACGCTCAAGGCGTGGGACGTGCGTACGGGGCGCTGCATTCGCACGCTGTTCGGCCACGTCGAGGGCGTGTGGGCCATCGATGTAGACCGGCTGCGCATCCTCAGCGCCAGCCACGACAAGACGCTCAAGGTCTGGGACGCCGCCACGGGCGCATGCCAGAACACGCTCGTCGGCCACCGTGGCGCCGTGACGTGTGCCAGCCTGGGCGACGACAAGATCCTCAGCGGCTCCGACGACGGCGAGGTGCGCATCTGGAGCTTTGCGCCGCCGCTTGAGGATTGATCGGCCCCGGATCAGGGGCCGTCTCTGCAGTCTCCATCCCATGTGCCCCCTCTGCGGCCCGGCCTACGTGCCCGGCGTCCGCCATCGCTCGCATCTTCTCATGACTGTCTCCCTGGACACCAACTCTTATGTGCGCCCCTGCACCCTCCTGCTCCCTTTCTCCCTGCGACATGTGTACACTACTGCTCCTCACCACGTCCAAAGTCATCCTCTCCCGTGCTGCTCGCCTGGCTGGTCTGACTGTCTGAGGCAGCGACGCCAGAGGAAGGAGCCAGCATGGCCTCTCAGTGTGAGCGCCGGACTTGGCTGCCATTGCTCATCCGCCGCATCTGCCCCTCCCTCTGCCCCTCCGTGCTGCCGGCGAAAGCGATTTGTGCGCGCGCGCGAGGCCGGACGCTGCTGTGCCCCTGGCGTCTGGACCCGCCCGACGCTGCTCATCACGGTGTGCTCTGGAGGCTGCCAGCACAGCGGCCTGCCGGGCGCCGATCGCGCAGATCTTGCGCCTGACCTCGGGTTGCGTGTGTGCGGCTGTGCCATGATGCAGCGGCGGCGAGCCCGGCGCCCAGCCAAGCTCACGGCGGCGGGCCAAAGCGGCACGGGCACGGCGGCATCCCGACAGGGTGCGGCGGCTGCGTATCGCCATGGATGGCGCGTGCGCTCGCCGCGGCGCCGCATGTGCGCCTCGCGGGTGACTGGCGGCGTGCCTGCACGGCCGCGCCGTGCCGAGCCGCCGCGCCGTGAAACTCGCGCCGCGCTGATCCGCGAGCTTGCTGCGCCTCCTTCTCGCCGCACTCTCACCTGCTCGACGCTCGCCTCGCTCCTGCTCTCACACTCAGTCGTCTCGACCACTCCTTCTCGCCGGCTTTCAGCGTCAGGCACTTGATTCGCGGCTCGACTGCGAGGGCCCATCCCTCCACGCGCGCTCGCGCTCCTGCCGTCCACCAGCGCCCCCTGCCCGCATGTCTCGCGAGCACGCCGCCGGCCAGGGCGCGAGCAGCACCGCCACAAGCATGCCTCGCTCGGCGTCGTCCGATGGCGATGCGCCGCACGAGCAGGCTCAGCGTGCCCTCGGCGCGCTCAGCCTCGCCGAGTCGAGCAGCAGCGCCGCCGCGCGGCCCTCGACGGCACGCAGCCTCAGCTCCAGCGGCACGTCGGCGGGCGCCGCGCTGGCCGAGGCGAGTGAAGGCGCGACGCCCGCCGTCAGCGCTGGCGCCGGACGTGCACCTCGGCGGACGCAGACGATGAGCCAGCCCGCTCCGGCACTGGTGGACGAGCCCGAGGAGGACGAGGCGTGGCCAGACGAGGATGCGCCTGTGCCGAGCAGCCGCGGCGCTGCGCCAGCTCGGGCGACGACGATGCTGCCCGGCTGGGTGCGTGATGGTCACGACGACGATGGTGTGAGTCAGCGTACGGCATTTCCCGCCCTGCACATGGCTGACCTTCCTGCTTAGGCTCGAGCACGCGCAGCGGAAGCAGCTGCCCATGGGCTCCTCTCTGCAACAAGTGCGTCCCAGGGCGTGCGCATCGGTACGATGGAGCAGCCTGCGACGGCAGCACTGCCGGACTCTGGCGGTGCTCGAAGCACGTCTGCCGGCCGGAATCCACGCAAGCCGCTGCGGTCAACGACGCTCGATCCCGCGCAGCACCTCCGCACGCAGCAGAGTGCCGACGCGGCCTCCACTGCCGATGCAGCACCGGGCTCGGACGATGCGTCACTCGACGACAGCACGCCGCACGTCTCGGTCGCACCGCAAGCGCAGCGGCCTGACCTGCTCCAGACAGCGCCCTTCCTCGCCGCCAGCTCCGGCTCCGGCTCGGCAATGAGCGCCAACGGCAGCGGCAGCAGCCCGGAGAGCAGCGTGTATGCCACGTACCCGCACAGCCAGATGGACCTTGCCGCGTTCGAGAGCTACCGCACGACGCCGGACCCGTATGCGCCCATGGCACCGCCGACGCCGCAGCATGTGCCGCAGCAGGCGCGGCCGCACTTTGCTCCGGGCTCCGACGGCGCCGGCCAGCACTACGCACGCCAGCAGGAGCAGATGCTCATGTATGCGTACCAGCCCGGCGCGGCACAAGGCCAGCCGCCGCTGGCATCGCCGTACACGTACGCGCAGCCGCTGCAGCCGCTGCACTATCCACAGCAGGCGCCGGCGCACATGGGCCAGATGGGCCTCAACCCCAACATGGGCGCGTGGTACCCGGCACAGGCCGGCCCGTCGCACGGGTACCACCCGCCGCCAAGTCCGCTCGTCTCGCAGATGCCCATGGACGACGGCAACGTGAGTTCGCCTTGGCAGCGCGTCGTTGTCGCAAATGCTGACTCTTCCACAGCGGCAGCAGCAGCACATGCGTGACGGCGCGGGTGGCCCGTACGGCGGCGGCGACGGAGGCAGGCCTTACTCGGTTGCTGCCTCGCCGCGTGTGGGCCAGATGCCTCTGCGAGGTGGCTATGCTGGCACGCCGAATCGTTCAGGCGGTGGCCACCGTCGAGTGCCCACGGGTCCCGGTGGCATGATGCTGCCCAGCGGCGGACTCGCGTACCCAAATGCAGGCATGCCTGTGCCACAGGGTGCACCGCTCGGCATGGGCTTCCCCGCCGCGCCAGACGGCTCGATGCCCTTTCTGCCGTACGGCCCGCCGGGCTCGATGCATTCACGCACGCCCTCGTCGGCGTCGCACCACTCGCACTCGTCGATGTCGTATCCACAGCAGTACCGCGCGCCTTCCTCGGGCAACGGCTTCTACCAGGGCGGGCGGCACTCGTCGTCGCCGTCGGTCTCCGGCTCCATCTCGGGCAGTGCGTCTGGCGCCGCAACGCCGGCACGCTCTGCGCTGCTCGAGGAGTTCCGTTCCAAGGCGTCCAAGGGCCGCCGCTTCGAGCTCAAGGACATCCGCGGCGCCGTCGTCGAGTTCAGCGGCGACCAGCACGGCTCGCGCTTCACGCAAGAGCGTCTGGATGTGGCGACGCGCGAGGAGCGCGACGCCGTCTTCGACGAGCTGCTGCCGGCGGCGCGCACGCTGATGAGCGACGTCTTTGGCAACTACGTGATCCAGAAGCTCCTTGAGCACGGCACCGTGGCGCAGCGTTCCACGCTCGTCAAGGAGATGTCGGGCCACGTCCTCGAGCTCTCGCTCGGCACGTATGGCTGCCGCGTCGTGCAAAAGGCGCTCGACCACGCGCTGCCCGAGGAGCAGCTGGCGCTGGCCGACGAGCTGCGCGAGCACGTGCTGCAGTGCGTCAAGGACCAGAACGCCAACCACGTCGTGCAGAAGATCCTGGAGCGCATCCCCGACGCCGCGCAGATTGACTTTGTGCCGGCGGCGTTCCGCGGCCACGTCCCGCAGCTGGCGGCGCACTGCTACTCGTGCCGCGTGCTGCAGCGCATCTTTGAGCACTGCGCCGAGAGCCAGGCACGACCGCTGATGCTCGAGCTGCAGCAGCACACGCAGCAGCTCATGCAGGACCAGTACGGCAACTACGTGATCCAGTGGACGCTGCAGCGCGGCGCGCCCGCCGACCGCGACGCAGTGATCGAGTCGGCCAAGGGCCAGCTGCTCGCGCTCTCGCGGCACAAGTTCGCCAGCAACGTCGTCGAGGAGATCTTCCGCAGGGCATCGCCGGCGCAGCGGCACGAGCTCATCGAGGAGATGCTGGTCGTCCCGGATGCGCATACGGCTCCGGCGTCGACGAACATCGTCGCGCCGATGCCCGCCGCGGTACTCATGATGCGCGATCAGTTTGCCAACTACGTGCTGCAGCGCGCCCTCGAGACGGCCGAGCCCGAGCAGCGCGCACGTCTCGTTGCCGCCGTGCGCCCGCACCTCGCAAGCATGCGTCGCTATGCGAAGCACCTCGCAGCGATCGAGAAGCTGCTCGGGCCGGACGAGAATGCTGCGCACTCGAGGCCGCCGCGGCCGTCTGCGAGCGGCGCCAGTGCTGCACCGTCAGCCAGTGCGCCGTCGACAGTCGGACCTTCCGCTCAGGCGCCGGCCTCGTCGCCGACCGTCACAGCATAAGCACTCTCTCCTCGGCCCACCCTGCTCTCGTGCTCTCTCACGCCGCTCTGCTCCTGTCACTGTCACCTGCTCCGCGGACAGTACTGCCCCCGCCCCCTTCTCAGCATCAACCCTAGACTGGCGCGCGCCCACACCGCGCCGCCCACACATTCGCGCGCCGCACGCGCCGCAATACCACCATCGTTCGCACCACGCTCGAGTGTGACAGACGCTAGAGGTTTGGCTTGGAGGTGAAGCTCGGCGAAAGCATGCGGCGCGTGTACATCAGGAGGGCCCACATGACGCGCGGCGCGTGGTGGGCCCGGAGCCGCTACGCGAGCAGCACGGAGCAACGCCGCCTTCGCATTCCGCACAATAAATCACAGCATCTCAGCCCTCAAGGGGGGCCGCAAAAGGATCCCGGTGGGGGGTAAGATGGGGTGCAAAAGGCTGCGGCAGCCCGAGCAAAAAGGCGGGCTACACCGGGGTTCGAACTCGGGACCTCTCACATGTGGCGCAGCATTGCTTGACCCAAAGTGAGCGTGTTGGCCACTACACTATGCGGCCCTCGAATTCGCTGAGGCGGCCGCATTTGCGTACATCAACGGTGCGTAACAAAGGCACCGCTCCCGCTCCGACCGAGCGCCGGCTTGTCCCCTCTGGGACAGTCGTGTTTGCCTGGCATCTCGCCGGACTGCGTTCCACGCACATGAGCCTGCTCAGCGGCCGCGTGGACAGGGCTGCTTGCTGCACAGCGTGCGGCTGAGGGCACCATGTGAGCACGGCTGCTGCCGCGCGTGCCCGCGCCCCGATGACGTCCTCGCGGCGGAGCGTGAAGCGTGGCACAGCCCGACCGCTCGGCGCGGCGCCGGCAGCAGAGGAGCAAGAGCGCGCACGGGCGAGCATCCATGCCAAGACTCGCGGCGTGCGCGCGCTGCGTCGGGCCACGTCTTGCTGCGCCTTGCGCCCCGCATCCTCGCCTTGCCACGAGCTTGCATCCACCTTTCCGCCCACCACATCCACACATCCACACACACCATGGGCTTCCTCGACAAGCTCGCCGCAAAGGCACAGTCCGTCGGCGGCGCCGGCGGCCGCCCGGGCCAGCAGCAGGGCTACGGCGGACAGCAGGGCTACCCGCAGCACGGCTATGGCCAGCAGCAGCAGGGCTACGGCCACAACCCGTACGCCGGCGGCGCACCTGGTGGCGGATATCCGGCATCGCCCCAGCCGGCCAGCGCATCTGCTGCGCCCACGGGCGAGAAGGGAGAGAAGGGCGCAGAGGGCGACGACCGGCCGCTGCCCGACGGCTGGGTCAAGCAGTGGGACAGCAAGTGAGTGGCGCGGCATGATGCGCGCCAAGAGTGTGGCAGCGAGAGCAAGGCGGCGCCACGAGCCTCGCTGCTGCTACTCGTGAGAGCGATGTGTGGCGAGAGTTGGCTGCGCTGCCGCATCGTGCTTCATTCGCCTGTCTGCCTGCTCCTCGCGCTCGGCGCTGACGCTCGCCACCTCTCAGCTACAAGCGCAACTTCTTCGTCAACACGCGCGAGACGCCGCCTCGCTCGATCTGGGTGCACCCGCTGGATGAGCCCGGCGCGGCGCAGCCTTCCTCCTCCTCCTACGCCGCTCCCAACGCACCGCCGCCTGGCGGTGACATGCGCGGCGACGGCGGCTACCCGCAGCAGGGCTACGGACAACCTCAGATGGGCTATGGCCAGCCGCAGATGGGCTACGGACAGCCGCAGATGGGCTATGGCCAGCCGATGTACGGCCAGCAGCCCATGATGCAGCAGAGTCGCATGGGCGGCGGCGGCATGTTTGGCGGCGGTGGCGGACGGCGCATGGGCGGCGGCGGCGGCGGCATGGGCAGTGAGTAGCGTCGTTCGTCGCCTCTGAACGTGAGCTGACGATTTGCGCTCCCTCCCTCCCTCAGTGCCGCTCATGGCCGGTGCCGGTATGGGCTGTGAGTAGCGCCTTGTCCCTTCACTTCTTGTCTTCAGGCGCTGATGTCCTCCGCCTCGCAGTGATGGGCGGCATGCTGCTCGGCAACGCCATGGGCGACAACGACTACGGCGACGGCTACCAGGACGGCATGGATGCCGGCGGCGATGACGGTGGCGGCGGCGAGTAAGCGCCCGTCGCGCCCGCTTGCGGGTCGCACGAGCGGTGTGCTCGCATCGACGCCCGGCTCCGCCGAACCACCTCTCTCTCTTCCGGACTTTCCCGCCTCCTCAAGACCTCTTCCGCCTCCAGTCTCCGTCCGCACTCCGCTCGCAGCTGTACATAAACGACTCCCCCTCGCCTCCAGTCTCCACCACGAGCGAATGATACATACGATTACCAGCGTCATCTGTAGAGGAGCGATCACAAGTCACGCCTCTGAGGGTGCGGCAGAGATGCATTCGTCCGGAGTCAAGGTGCAGAGACGAGTGGGGGCAGATCACCACCCTGCAAAGCAAGACATGGAGTGTCAGAGTGGCTCAGAGGACTAGCATCGGGCATTGGTCTGCCGCGCCCTGCCTGCGCGAACTCACAAAGCCGGTGGTTGGCGCACTGGTAGCCGTCTGCAGGTGGAGGTCAGCGTTGCCCCGAGCCACGACACCCTGAGATGCTCACTCGGGTGCTGCGCGGAACACGAAGTCAGCAAGGGCAACTTCATCGCGGCAGCACGGCCTGCTCACCTTGTACAGGTACTCCTGGTGGTACGAGTCTGCCTCAAAGAAGTCGCCCGCCTCGCGCTGCTCGATCTGCGTCACGATCTTCTTGCCCTTGGGCGTAAAGTGCTTCTCCTGCACCTCGGCCGTGACCTTCTTTGCGGTCTCGAGCTGCTCTGCGTCGTGGGCAAAGATGGCGCTACGGTACTGCGTGCCGCGGTCGTTGCCCTGGGCGTTGAGCTGGGTGGGGTCGTGGGTGCGGTAGAAGAACTCGACGAGCTCGGCGTAGGACACCTTGCTCGGGTCGAACTTGACCTGCGCCGCCTCGGCGTGGCCTGTGCGACCCGTGCACACCTCCTCGTACGAGGGGTTCTTCGACGACTCCTTGCCGCCGATGAAGCCGACCTTGGCGTCGAGCAGACCCTTGCCGCCGGCGTAGTGCTCGCGCTGTGCGAGGCGTCAGTGTGGCGGTCTTTGTGCGCGGGCGTGGAGGGCGGCTCACGAAGATGCTGTGAGGTGCGTCAGCATGGCACAAGCCACCGCGCGCTCACACCACTCACTGCTCGGTGCCCCAGAAGCAGCCGTTGGCAAACGTGCCGAACTGCGGCTTGTCGGACGCCGACGAGGCCATGCTGCGCGCCTGCTGTGCGAACGAGGTGGTGGGCTGGGTAGGCGGGAGCAGCGGAGCGCTGGGTGCGGAAGAGCGGAGCGAGGCAAAGAGACGTGCGAGCATAAGCGTGAGGGCGAGAAGGAGGACCTGCGTGGGTGAGAGACGCAGGGACAGGGTGGGCGAGCGGTGGTGGTGGTAGGGGAAGGAGTGGCGTGAGGTGGAGGCGGGGCGTGCTCAGGCTGCGCGCGCCACGTGCGGACGTAAGCACGCGATGCCGCTCCCACGCTCGCGGCACGGAGCTCGTCCCTCTCCTCACCGCCATCTCGCTCAGGCACAGGCAACAGGTGGCTCAAGCTGCATCGTGATTGCTGGCGAGCGGGTGTGTGGGTGAGCGGGGCCTGGTATGATGTCTAAGGGCGGCAGTGTATGCGGGGTAGAAGATGAAGCGAGCTGGCCGGAGCAGAGGTCTGTGTGGTGACGATGTGGAAGGCGGGTCCGGGCGACGATCAGAGGAGCAGGCAGACGGCACCGGCACCGAGGAGCAGTGCGGCAGAGCGCAGCGACTTGGCGAGGCCGGCGCTGCCGTTCGATGCGCCAGTCAAGGCCGAGGCACGCGCGATGCTGCTGCTGGACGTAGAGCTTGCGCGGGCACTGCTGCTCGACGAGTGCGAGGCGGAGCTCGTCGACGAGCCAGCGCTGGACGCAGCGCCCGAGCTGGCGGCACCGGTGCTCGTGGCGCTGCTCGACGTCGTGCTGCTCTCCGGCACGGGCAGCACGTCGGTGCGTGCGTCGGCCTCGGCGTTGTTGTTGTCCGCGTTGCTGTACCAGTCCTCGTCGACGTTGGAGAGCTCGGCGATGCAGTGCGGCTGCCAGCCGGCCGTCTTGAGCGTGGGGTAGTACGACTCGAAGATGCCGACCGAGTCCGTGGTGAGCTCGTGCTCGAGGATGATGACGCCCTGGCTGCGGTCCTTCTTGTAGATCGTCTGATAGATGTAGTCGACGACGCTCTGCTTGTCCTGCCCGGGCACCTGGCCGGGGCATGCCGATCCGCCCTGGCCGTTGAGGCACCAGTCGTTGCTGTCGTAGGCTGGCGCGACAGGTCAGCGAAGGCGCTACACGATGCATGCTGCGCTTGCACTCACCCCACATGACGGCGCGCAGGCCGAAGACCTCGCGGGCGATGGCGCGGACGCGGTCGTCGACGTCGCCCTGCGGCGGACGGTAGAGCGCGGGCAGCAGACCCGTCTCGTCCATGACGATCTGGTGGAGAATATGAGTATGGTGTGACGTGAAGGCAAGCAGCAGGGCAGCGACGCACCTGCATGTTCCAGCCGAGCTCGGCGACGATCTGCTCGTCGGTGAGGCCGCACAGCGGCGTGTGCGACCAAGTGTGCAGCGCCATCTGGATGTTGCTCTGCTTGGCGACCTGCAGCGCGTTGGGGAAATCCAGCACCTGCGAGCCGATCCTGCAGCGATGCGTCAGATGTGCTGCAAGGGAAAAACTCATGGCCGATGCTCACATGAACGAGGTGGACGTCTGGTTCTGGCTGGCGAGGAAGCGGTACAGGCCCTCGCTCTGCTGCGTCGGTCCGTCGTCGAACGAGACGGCCCACTCGTTGGCGGGCGCCTCGTAGATGTCGTCGTGGCCGAAGCACTTGGTCGCTGTCCAGGAGCAGACCTGGCCGACGTTGGTGCCCTGCGGGTACTGCCCCGTGCCGCCGGGCGCCGCGACGGGGTAGCCGGGAATGGCGCCGCGCGCCTTGGCGGCCTCGTACGCGGCCGTCCAGGAGGCGGGCGTCATGCTGCTCGGCGGCGTCTGGTTGATGGCGGGGTACTGGCGGCCGGCGGGCGCGCGGCGCTGCACGGGGTGCGAGCCGGAGGCCTGGTACACCGGCATGGCGGAGGCCAGCGGCAGGAGAAGGAGCGGGAGGAGGGTAGAGAGATGCATCGTGGTCCGTGGATGGGAGTAGAGGAGCGGGTGGTGGAGTCCGTCTGCCTTGCGGGCCTGGGGGACAGAGTGAGTCGGAGGAGCACTTGAGAGGATGAGGGGGCTGATGAGAGCTGCGACGGAGGCAGCAGGCCTTATGTACGGCCCAGCGGCGGCTCGGGCGGATGCGGCGCAGCCTCCGCCTCCGTGTCGTGTGGATGCCGGCGCAGCGGCCTTGCTCTGGTGCTGCTCCCGCTGCGGCGAGCTCTGTCTGGCTGCCCCTGCACCCTCACTCTGACGCTCGCAGCGCCCTGTACCTGACGCCGGGACCGCAGCGTCTGAGTAGAGTGCCGGCCGCGAGTCCTGGGGTGCAGCGTCGGCATCATGCCGGCGCAGTGACGCCGCAGCGGCGGGCGGACACGGCTCCTCGCCTCGACTTGGCTCCCACTCTATTCTTGCCTGGCGCGCCAGCACACTTCGGCGCAAACAGCCGCAGGCAGAGGCTCCGAGCGCAATCAGAGAGTGTTCACGAGTGCAGCGCTCTCTCTGCCTTTGACCCGTGCCGGACTGCCTGCGTCGCTGCATCTGCTGCGAGCACACGGAGCCCCGTTGCGCCGCTGCCGGCGCTGCTCCCCTGCGACGCAGATCGCGGCGCCGCAGATGCAGCGCGGAGGTGGGCGGCTGACAGCGGCAGAGCGGCAGAGCGGCGCTCGGTGCGCCGGCGCCCGTGCCGACGGCACGGTACCGCATGGGAGCGCTGCCGTCTGCCGCTGCAATCGCTCTCTCCTTCGGCCGCATGCGCCCCCTCCGGCCTGCCCTCATGCATCATGCGGAGCATCTGCCTGTTCCGCTGCCGATTGAGATGGCCGGCAGAGGCAGGCACGCCCGACGCCGCACCTCGTCGCAAGCGGACGCGGCGTGACGCTCGCGACGTCGCATCTCCGGCGCAGAGCACCACACGCACGTTCGCGGCGCGGCAGCCGGCGTGCTGGCGCGGCTGCTGCATCCTGCCGCCGCTCGGCCGCTGGTGGCGCCGAGCCGCTTCCTTCCCTCCTGCTCTGCCGCGGAAGTTTGGCTCAGTGCCTCGTGCTCAGAGCTGCGTCTCGCTGCACTCTTGCGGCGCGGAAAGGAGGCAAGCAGCGAGGCTGGCGCCGAGCGCCGCGGCGCTTTTGCCGATGCGGCCGGCAGCGCTGCCTCCGGCGCCACGGCGCGGCACCTCTCAAGTTGTGCGGCTCTCTACGATGCCGAGCAAGCGCAGCAGCCTCGGCATCCCGGTCCGCGCGGCTCCGTGCCGATGTCGCTGCACCTGAGCGCTGCGTGCTGTCACAGCGTCAGCGCACAGATTGCCGAGAGACGCAACGTCATCTCAACAGAAGCGCAAGGCAGCCAAAGGCGCGGCGGCATCGGGCTCCCAACGTTGCGTGGGAGCAGGGCGGCTGGCTATCAAGATTGGCCACGTGCCAAACTCCGACCTGCCCGCTGCTCCATCCTTGAGACGGCGTAAGATCGCAGCCCGTCGAGGACGACGGGAGAGCACGAGCTGGCGCGTGGGCTCGGACACAAGCTCGTCGCCGTGGGCCTGCCGGCTCCATTCTATTGCAGCGGAGCGGGAGCAAGACACAGCGCTGCCGAAAGCTCTCGACTCGGATCCGTGCGCCGGCTCGGACCTGCCACTCGCCTCTCTACACCTGCGATGCATCCATCATGCCGAGCGCTGCTGGGGCTACCAGGTACACGCAAAGGCGGCCAGCAAGCACGACTGGGACAGCGCCGCGAGCGGCTGACAGCGGACGGAGGCTCTGCGCGCAGACGCTGCCGCGCGAAATGCTTCCGCCGCACCGGGACGACGGCAAGCGGGCCGGCTTTGCGAGACGGCGTGGGTCCAGTGCGACGTCGGTCTTCGCACCTTCAGCGCTGCGCAGCATCCCTGCTTGTGCAGCCCGGTGCCTGCGCACTTGCAGCGGGACATAGTCGTCCTGCTGCTGTGCTCGAGGGATGGCGCGACTGCGGGAGCGCAACGCATGAGCGAAGATCTGCAAGTCGGGAGCAGCCGAGCGCGGCGCCAAGGCGCAGCCGCAAGTCTCTTGCAAGGGCCATCGTGCAAGCGACGGAGCGTAAAGAAGGACTCTGCGGACGTCGGAAGTGTGGGCTGCCGACTCGACGGCAAACGGGCTCAAGAGCTGACGAGGCTGTCGATCTCAGAGCCGCCGCCTCTGGCCCCTTCCGCCGGCAGCCTTGCCAGTCCGTGCCGTCGTTGCCGGCGCTGGCTGGGTGTCGTCGGCTGGTGCGCAAGCCGCAGCACAGCTGGACTGCAGGGCTTCTCTGCGGCATCTGTGCAGCTGTGTCTGTCGGAAGAGACGCTAGCACAGAAGCCGAGACTCGGCCTTGCCAGCGTCGCGGGGAAAGCAGGAACAGCCCTGCAGCGATGGCGCGGCACGTGTCACGCTCGTGCAGCACGAGACGGCCATGGCATGCCCGTGCAACGCTGCGCTCCCTTCCCGCATCGGCCTTCGGCACGAGCCGCTGAGCGAGGCAAGTCGAGTAGCGTACGTAGCATTCCGAGCGCTTGCGGAGGCACCTGCTGCGGCCGAAGGAGACATCGGAGAAGGCGGACGTGGGGAACCTCATCGTTAGCGTCTGCGGCCTGCAGCGCAGCGCCCCGCGTCGCGTTGCGGGGTGCGCCGGCTCGGCGCGGCGGCGGCAGCGGATCGGCAGCGCCATCTCCTGCTGGTTGCTCCCGGCTCCGAGGCGCGGCCTTCTTCTTCCCCACATCCTCCGTCCTTGCACGCCGCACATCTGCGTCCCTCTCGCTGCTTCGCGTGTGCGCGCATAGGTGTCTGCGCTCCACCCGGCCCCGGCGCGCCATGCAGCCGCCGCACCACCACCCGCATCCCGCGCACGGCGCATGGGACGGCGGCGCCGGGCCGCCGCACCAGCACCCGCACCAGCAGCAGCATGCGCCGCACCACGCTCCACACCTGCCGCAGCTCGGCGGCTACGCTCCCACCGGCGGCCATGCACATGCCTCGCCGCAGCTAGGCGGCGGCTACTACGCCAGCGGGACGCCTTCGGGCAGCGCCACGCCCAGCCTGCCGCCGCCGCACTCGTCGCCGGCGCCGCACGCGCAGCAGTGGGCGCCGCGTCATCCCGACGAAGTACAGCAGGGCTACTATCCCATGCAGCCGCAGCCGCAGCCACAGCCGCAGCCGCAGCACGCCGCGTGGTCGCACGAGGGCCGCCAGCTCTCGCAGCCCGGCGTGCCGCTCAAGGACGAGGACGAAGGCGACGGCGCGACGCCGCTGCGCCGCAACCAGGCGTGCCTCTCGTGCCGCAAGCGCAAGGTGCGTGGTCCCGCTGTGCTCCGTGCTGCCTGCCGTGCTCATGCGCTCCCTGCAGCTGCGTTGCGATGCCGTGCGCCCGGTGTGCTCCACATGCGCGCGCTCCAAGGCCGCTGCCGCCGCCTCAAACCACCCGGCACCGGTGCCTGATGGCCCATGCCACTACGACGATGCGCCTGCGGCAGGCGCCAGCGGTGATGCTGACCCGGAAGCCGTAGCGCGCAAGGAACGACGCAAGCGGCGCCGCGACACCGTCGGCGAGGAGGGCGAGCGGCGTGCACGCAACGGCAGCGGCGGCAGTGAGCTGCGCCGCGACAGCGAGTCGTCCACAGCGCGAGGCGGCCCAGGGCCGCAGCCGCTGCCGCCTGTGGCGATGCAGCCAGTCGCAGCACCGCAGCATGCGATGCCGATGCCACGCCCAGGGCCCTCTGCGCCGATGCATCATCCCGCCTGGCAGCAGACGGCACCGCGGCCGGCGCTCGATGCCCCCTTTCCCGTCGATGCCAACCCGCGCGTCGCAGCGCTGCAGGCCCGCGTGGTCCATCTCGAGGGCTTGCTGGCGCAGGCCCGCGCCGAGAGCCGCGATGGACGGGACAGCGTGCTCCAATCGCGCGCCGCCTCGCCGACGCTGCCGTCTGCGCGCTACCAGCGCTCGCACGAGCGCGGCGAGCAGCGCGAGGCAGCCGGCGCCGTGCCGATCTACAGCATGCTTTCGCCCAGCAGCGGCCGCGAGGAGCGTCTGCGCACGCGCTACCAGATGCGGCCCGTGCTGGCGCAGACCATCCCCTCCGCACCGCACGCAGCGTCGCCGCTGAGTGCCGTCTCGGCTGCTGGCTCCGCCACGATTGAGCGCGCTGGCTCGCGCGACTCGGGTCCATCAGTGGCGCCCGCCGTGTCTGCCACACGCGAGGAGTTCAGCTTCGACGACGAGGGCGACGGCTCAAATGGCGTCTCGATTGCCGGCGGCAGCAAGGGCGAGCCGGCACCGACAGTTGCCGAGCCTGATCCGCTGCTCGAGCTGCTCTTTCCCGGCTGGTCGCCCGACCTGCCGCCGCCAGACGTGGTGCACGCACTGTGCCGCACCTTCTTCGCGCGTCATCCGCTCGGCTCCATGCTCTACAAGCGCTCTTTCATGGCCAGCCTGTCGCTGCCGCCGCGGCACCCGCACCGGCCGCACGAGTCTCTCGTGCATGCGATCCTGGCAGCCGCAGCGCCGCTCTCGCCCTTCTTCGACGGCGTCGAGGCGCATGACCTTCACCGCCCCGACGCCGAGTTCAACGTGCCGTTCCTCGCCGACGCGCGCTCGCGGCCCGACAATGCCAGTCCGCGCAACACGAGCTTCAAGGAGTGGCACCTCACCAAGGCGCGCAACAAGGTCGAGCGCGGCCTGCTCAACGAGTACAAGGGCGCGCTGGACTGGGTGCACGCCGTGCTGCTCATCACCAATGTGCTCTGGGCCGACCTGCGCTTCACCGAGGCCTTCTTCAGCAATGCGTTCCTGGCGCGTGCAGCCAGTGCCGCAGGCCTGGACAAGCTCTCGAGCAGGCACGACGCGACTGCCGACACGGGCATCTTTGGCGAGCCGGCAAGCGCGCCCGAGGAGCACGAGCGGCGCCAGACGATGTGGTGGATCTACATTACCGACCAGATCAACTCGGGCCTGCCGCGCTTCTACGAGACGATCCTCTCCGACGCCGCCGTGCAGTGCGAGCTGCCTGTTGCCGTGGCTGACTTCCAGGCCGGCCTCGACCCGCCGCTGACGAAGCAGCACCTGGCGTCGCCGGACCTCTTCAAGACGGGTCACATCGACGACTTTACGCTGCACATCAAGTCGAGCATCCTCATCAAGCGCGTGCTGACGTTTTGCGTGCGGCACCATGTCGCGAGCAACCCGGGACGGCGGCCGACGGCCATGCGCAAGCTCGACGCCAACATCGCCGACTTTATGGCCAGCTTCCCGCCGACGCGCTTCACGGCCGACTTCTCCTCGGACCGGCTCGTGGCGCATGGCAACATGCACCTGGCATCGATCTACCTGCACGAGCACTTCCTCAGCTCCACCGACGCGGCCGGGCAGTCGGAGCAGCGCGTGCGCTTTGCTACGCAGCAGATTCTCACGGCCGTGCACGAGCTGCTCGCTGGTAGCTACGACTTTGGCCTGCTCTTTCCGCACATCTTTGTCGTCTGGAGCGTCGCCGGCCGCATGGTCGCCAAGGAGATGGACCGTGCCCGCCGCACCGGCGCGCCGGAAGACCCAGGTCTGGCTGCTGCGCTCGCCGCGCTCATTCTGGCGCTGGAGCGCGCCGGCGAGAAGAGCATCAAGGCGCGCCGCTCCGCCGAGATGCTGATGCACGTGCGCGCCGGCCTCATCCCCGAGAGTGCGCTTGCCGACCTGCTCTACCTCGACGGCGTCATTCCGGCTGACGACGACGACGACCGCATGCAGCAGCTGCAGCAGGTGCAGACGCTGTACGAGCAGCAGACGCACGTCCAGATGCCTCTGCGCGCCCAGCCGAGCGCCCCGCAACAGCAGCAAGCGCAGGGCCAGGCGACGGCGCAAGGGCAGCCGCAGCGCCCCGATGGACAGGGCGTGTATCCGTTCGGCCTCGACTTTGAGGCGGCGCCGCCGCTGCCGAACCTCGCCGCGCACATCTGGGACGAGAACGTCGATGCGATGCAGCAGTAGCACGCCGTCCTGCCTCTTGCTCGTCGTTTGCTGCCCACCCTCTTCCCCCTTGAGCTTCTTGACCTGACCCAGCTTTCGCACATTGCCGCACCGCTATCTTGCATCCCCTCATCCATGCGCCGCTCAGCATTCCCCCTGTACCGCCGTCACTCGTCTATAGCACGCTGCGCATGTTAATACCACACCTCGGAACCAAGCGGGTCCCTCGAGAGGGGCACTTGAGCTGAAAGCACATCGGAGGCGCTTCATCGCGCGGCTGACGTTGACCATTCTATTTCCAGCGGCTCTGGTCTCGGCGCCGTGCATTGGAGCGCCTACGCTTGCATGCGCCAAGCGAGAGCTGAGGCCGACTAGAAGAAGATGCGCTGCAGAGAGTCGCTTCTCAGCACAGTGCTTGAACGCGACGGCGAGTGGGGCACTCACGAATGGATACGACGGGCTGGTGGCACGACGTGAAGGCAAACAGTCAGCGCCACTTCGTCTCACAGGCAGCTCGCTCTACTCACTTCTTGATGCGGAACACCGCCAGCACCATGCTGAACGTGCCGAGCAGGATGGCGCTCCAGATGTACACGCCTGCCCGCTGCCGCACCGCATCGCGCTGTGCAGGCACAAAGACAATGAGCGAGACGACGGAGAAGGCGAGCAGTGCATCTGCGGCCATCCAGCGTCAGCTACTGCGAGGAAGGGAGCTCGCGCTGAGGGGCCACGTACAGAAGGCAGCGATGATGTGCGTCTCTGCGCCGTACTGGTTCTGGAAGCCTTGAGCAAAGTACTCTGGCCGGCCACCGGTGCCGATCTGCATGTACGGCGGCGCACGGATGTTGTTCCACATGTGTCCGGCGCACATGATGATGATGGTGCCGAGACTGATGGCCATGCAGACAAACTTGGCGCCCGACGCAGCGAGCACCGAGAGGGAAGAGGCGGCGAGCAACTTCGGCAGAACGAAGAGCAGTCCGCCGGCCATGACGAGACAGGCACCGCTGAAAGTCAGGACGGCACCCCAGGGGAACGGAGCGGAATAGGGGAACTTGTACCCGAGCTGCGCGGAGAGGAAGTCGGCCACTGACGAGCCCTCGAAGCCCTGTCGGTTGAAGTCGTACTTGGCCGGCTCAGCCTTGTTGTCCGACGCCGCGGGAAAGTACAGCAGCACGGGTGCGTATGTGAGTTGCAACTGTGGCCAAGGTTGAGTGTGTCAGTCATGGTGCCGCAAGCCCCGCATTGGCTGCGAGTCGGCAACCCAGTGTGCCGCTCGGACAGCACAGCATCGTCAGATGCCAGCCTCCGCGCCATTCGCTGCCATGCAGACAGCAATGCAGCGGATGCAACCTATCAAGCCGTGCCGCTGCCTCGTTCTGCCAGCGGCCTGTGACGCAGATCGCTAGCAGGAGCTCCGGACTAACGCCTAGCAATGAAGGGCCAGGGTCCGAAGCTGCCGTGGACCCTTTCCCGTCCATCGGCCCGCGCCACTTTCCTCTGCCCTGCACGTAGAGCAGCACAGGCTCTGCCCCTCCCCGCTTCATCGGCCGGGATACAAGGCGCAAAGGTGTGGCTTCGCGCTGTCGCACACATGTGCGTGCCTTCGTGTACACCTCGCATTTGCCCGCCTTGCCCGCTCGCTGCTCGCAGCTCACCTGCTGAAACACCTCTCTGCCATCCTTGAACTCAATGCTGGCAAACACGAGCTTGTCCTTGTTCGTGGCGCCCTTCTTGCGCCAGCTGTTGGCGACGGCCTTCCAGTGCGGCACAAAGGTGTGGCACGGCGCACACGGCACGCCCGAGTCGACGGCGGTGAGCAGCAGTGCGGTAGCGTGGCTGCGCGGCGGCTGCAGGAGCTGTGTGAACTCGGCGGGCGAGGCGAGGGTGAGGATGCCGTCGGACGCGGCAGCGGCGCGGGCGAGGAGGGGCGCGGCGCTGGAGGCGGCACTGGAGGCGCCGGCATGGCGAGAGGGCCGCCGGGCGGCATCGACGCTGCCGGCGAGCAGCGCGACGAAGGCCAGCAGCACGGCGAGGGAGAGGGGCGTGCGCATGGTGGATGAGCAGCGGCGGCGGACGGGACGGGCGGGTGAGGGGCGGGAGGCATGCTTCTGGCGCGGCCAGCGCGCGCGACGCGGCATGTCGGGCGTCTGTGCGCAGCGGCGCCGGGGAAGCCGCGCCGCCGCCGTGCCGTGACACGTGACCGGACCCAAAGTCGAGGGAGATGCGCTGCTCCACCTTGCCCCGCTCCCACCTCCATCCTCCACCGCCGCAGCGCCACGCACCGCCGCACACAGCACACTCACCAGTCTCGCACCACCGCACATTCGGCATCATGGGCGCGGCAGAGAAGATCAAGGAGATCGAGGAGGAGATGGCCGTGCGTCTGTGCTGCCGAAGCAGACTCGCGGTGCTCCTGGCACGGCTGACATGGGTGTGCGGCATTACAGAGGACGCAGAAGAACAAGGCGACCGAGTACCACGTCGGCCAAGTGCGCATCTCCTGCGCCGCCAGGGCCTCGTCCGGCTTTGCTGACCGCCTGCGCCTCGCAGCTACGAGCCAAGCTGGCCAAGCTGCGCGTGCAGCTGCTCGAGCCCGACACCAAGTCGCGCGGGCCCGGCGAAGGCTTCGACGTGCAGAAGCGCGGCAGTGCGCGCGTGGCACTCATCGGCTTCCCCTCGGTGGGCAAGAGCACATTGCTCAACACCGTCACGCGCACCGAGAGCGCCACGGCCGCGTACGAGTACACGACGCTCACAGCCATCCCTGGTGTGCTCGAGTATGAGGGCGCAGAGATTCAGCTGTTGGACTTGCCGGGTATCATTGAGGGGGCATCGCAGGGAAGAGGCAGAGGTAGACAGGTGGTTAGCGTGGCAAAGACGGCGGATCTCATCTTGGTGAGTCGGCGTTCGAGGCGCGAGCGTGCAAGCTCTGGCCCCGGCCGGTCTGCGGCTGGGACGAACGTGGCGACTGACAGGATGCTACGCATGATAAGATCATGCTGGATGCGACAAAGTCAGAGCAACAACGACCGCTGTTGGAGAAGGAGCTGGACGATGTGGGCATTCGGCTGAACAAGTCGCCGCCTGATGGTCAGTCTCTTGCGGCAGACACGGGCGTGTCCAGTGCTGATGCTGCGCTCTTAGTGGTGCTGAAGCGCAAGAATGGCGGCGGCATTGTCATCTCCAAGGCCATGGGCCTCACACTCACCAAGATCGACGAGAAGATGATCCGCACCATTCTTGCGGGCTACAAGATGCACGTGAGTCACGCCCTGCCTGCCCCCTTGTCCTCCTCGCCTGACCACCCCATCGCAGAACTGCGACGTTCTCCTCCGCGAAGACATCACAGTCGACCAGTTCATCGATGTGGTGCTCGGCACACGCAAGTACACGCCCTGTCTGTACGTGTACAACAAGATCGACTCGATTTCGCTCGAGGAGATGGACAAGCTGGCGCGACGACCACATTCCATCGTCGTCTCGTGCGAGCAGAAGTTGAATCTGGATCGCCTGCTCGATCGCATCTGGGTGCGTCGTGAGATGAGTGCGGAGAAAGAGCACCGATCGCTGATAGCGCCCCCCCCCCCTGCCCGACAGGCGGAAATGCGGCTCCTGCGCGTCTACACGCGCAAGCGCGGCGAGCACCCGGATCTGAATGACCCGGTCATCGTGCGGCGAGGCGGGACGATTGAGGATGTGGTGCGTCTGGCTTGCTCGTCACATATCGGCTCAGCACGCTGACTTGATCGCGTGGCGGCCAGTGCAACCAAATTCACAAGTCGCTCGTCGAGAAGTTCTCGTACGCGGTGGTGTGGGGCGCCAGTAGCAAGGTGAGCATGCCATCGCTGCCTCTGGTTACCCTCACACCGGGCTGACGCGTTATCGAACGCAAGTTCCTGCAAGGACAGAAGGTCGGCATCAACCATGCGGTGGCCGACGGCGATGTAGTCACGCTGTTCATGAAGTAGAGTGCGTCACGCTCTACGATGCCCGGAGACTCTTGCGTGGACGCAGCTCAGCTGCGGCCTCAGCCTCACTTGCGCCGCAGATGCCTCTGCCTCTACTTTTGTCCTCCTCCCTGGATCATGTGGGCCTTCGCAGAGAGGAGAGGCGGCGTGCTACGCTGCCATGGGGGCGGATGCACGACTCCAGATCCAGCTGCGCCGTCGCCCTCGCAACCCACGCTCTGCTCCCGTGCACCGTCATCGGGCGTGCGTGCGCGTTTTCATCTCGCTCCCTTGCACTTATCACAGGGGACTCGAGCTCATGAGCGGGGAGGAGGAGGAGGAGGAGAAGGAGAAGGAGAAGGAGAAGGAGGAGGAGCAGCTTGATCTTCCGCGGATCCCAGAGCCTCGCTGCAGCTGGTCTCGCGCTAGCGCTCTGCAGCGACGGGAGCAATTTCTCCGGCGCTGCTCTCAACGCAGCAGCACCCAGCGCGAGCTCGAGCTCGCTGCCGCCATCGTGCTGCAGCGTCGTTGCGTCTGCTTGAGCAAGCGCGTGTGGCCATCGAGAGGCGTTGTGCAGCGTCCCGCGAGGATCCGAACGCAAGAGTGAGCGAACGCCAGCTTGCTGCCCTCTCGCAAGGCCGGCGCTCGACAGCGCAGGGTGCGGCGTCTTCTCCGACGTCGGCGCGACACAAACAGAAGCCCAAGGGTGACGCTAGAACGACGCCAGCCTGCAGCGGCCGGCGGGCAGGGGCTCGCTCGCTGCTCGCTGCTCGCTGCTGCTGCCCGCTGAAACCGCAAAGGACGCGAACCTGACGCTGCTCTTGGAGGCGCTGCAGGTCGCCTGCACAGGACGGCAGACTTGCCCGCTTAGGACGCTTCCCGAGGCTAGCGCGCCGCAAGCTGCCTGCACCCTCTCGCTCAGGACACGTTACTCCGGCCCCGGCTGTCACGCTTCACGAGAGCGCCAGATAGCATTCGGAGTGGGCAAGCCGCAGCGCCTCGTGCTAAGCCTGCCGGCAGCATGCCGCGAGACGCCCTTTGGACATGCGCTGCTGCTCAGCCAGCGACGTGTGGGCCGTGCAGCGCAGCGCGAGGTGGGCCGCGGGCGAGACCGGAGGGCAAGACGGCCTCGCAGGCGCCCTGCCAAGTCGAGGTGGGAGGATTGAGATTGATCGGCGTCGCCCGAAATAGCGCTCGGACGCTGAAAGGCCGATCACAGCGCTGCAGCGTCAGGGTCGGCAAGGGAGCAGCGCCGGCGCTCATGGGCGCGCGCCGCGCGATGTGCTTCCGCCGCCTCGCGCGCGGCTCGTGCGCGTGCGGCCGCTGTGCCTGCGCCGCGGCACCCGCAGCTCCTCATCCCCGAGGCCAATCATGCCTCCTTCGGGACGAGCGCCGAGCCAGCGCTGCAGGCAGGTCGCGAGGCGAGTGACGCTTCATCACTCAGCGCTGAGTGCCACGGCACCACGCTAGCTCGTCGTGTTGATATGAGGGCGCGTCATGCCGTCGTCCCATGCGCACGCCGCGCGGCTCTTCCGCTGCCGCTGCTTCCGCAAAGAGCACGACTCGCCGCAGCGCCGGCCGGTGCCGAGCACGGCGACCTGCCCCACAGCGCGAGATAGCAGGCATCGAGGCATCCCAGCACGGCGCAGCAGCTGTCGCGCAAAGCATGACGCCGCACCGGCGCGCAGTGCGGCGTCGGCGGCCGCTCGAGCGTCGGCGTGCGCACGCTCCCCTCCAGAGAGCAGCCGCACACCCTTGCCCGACGGCCCGACCTCGAGCGCTCCTCCTTTCCACCCATCTCCATCCTCTCCCCTCGTCCCGCAAACGCCTCTCTGCTGCACTTCGTTCGCGCTCTTCGCCTTCCCGCATCGTGGTCTCCCCCTCTCTCCTCCAGGCTCGCGCGCCATGCGCTTCCTCTTCGTCTCGAACCCCGCCACGGGCCAGGTCAACCCGCTGCTCGCCATCACTCGCGAGCTGCTCGAGCGCGGCCACTCTGTGCACTTTGCCAGTGCCGACCGGCTCGCCGCTTCCTTCTCCAACGTGGCCCGCCAAGCCCACGCCAGCGAGCGCGCCTTCTTCCACGGCGTCGGCGCCGGCCGCGCCCTCGAGGATCTGACGGAGCTGATCAAGGGCAAGCCCGAGCTCTTCCACAAAAGCATTCGCCATGCGCCCGGACAGCTGGCGCAGTATCTCTCCTACGTCACCACGCTCGTCGACGAGGCGGCCGGACACGACGAGTACGCGCGTGTGGTCTTCAAGGTGCGCGACCTCTGTCTGCACGTCGACGCCGACATGATCATCGTCGACAACTTCTCGCCGTTTGCGATGGACGGCGTGCGCCTCAGTGGCAAGGAGTATGTGCAGACGTCGCCGGCGGCCAGCTGTGCTGCGGCCTCTTTGTGAGTTGGCTTGCGAGACGAGTGGGCGCACAAAGCAGCACTGCGGCGGGCTCACTGAATGTCCGCACGGCGACAGCGTCGACATTCTGCGGCATCCCATCGGCCTCAGCGGCGCCGACTCTGGCATGCGCCGCGCCGACGGCTCTCGTTCCTGGCTGCAGGCGCTCTTTCTCATCTGGCGCAACGTCGCCTTTGCCTGTTCCTTCGTCTACTGGTGCATGACGAGCGCCTACGCGCGCGAGAAGCGGCGGCAGCGGCGCGACGTGCTCGGCCTGGCGCCCGTCGACTTTCTCTGCGACAGCTACATGACGCCGGCGCCGCACCTCGTTCCGCAGATGCAAGCGGCCCTCTCGTTCAACGTCGCCGGCCTCGATCTCTACGAGCCGCGCTGCTTCGACGCGAAGGTCTTCTTCGTCGGCCCGTGCTTCATGCCCGGCACGGGTCCCAAGAGTGTCGTCGCGAGCTTCGAGCGCCCAGACGCAGTGAGCGAGTGGCTAGATGCCTCCGAGGAGGTCATCTACATCAACATGGGCTCCATCTTCTACTTCACGCACCACGAGTACGAGGCGCTCATCGATGCTCTGCATGCCGTCAGGGCGCAGCGTCCGCAGCTGCGCGCGCTCATCAAGGTGCCCGATCTGCCAAAGACGACGCAGAACGTGCCGTGCGCGAGTGAGCTGCCGCAATGGATCTGCCGCGAGAGCTGGATCCCCTCCGTCGAGAACGTGCTGGCGCATCCGGCGGTGCGCGTGGCCATGCACCACGGCGGCGGCAACAGCTTCAACGAGGCGGTGGCGTACGGCATGCCGCAGTTGATCGTGTCTCAATGGGGCGAGACGTGAGTTTTGTGTGTGTGGGGGAGGGGCTCCTCTTGCTCGCATCTCCCACTTGCGGCAAGCATGCGCTGACACTCGAGACGAAAAGGCATGACATCATGGCCTACGGCGTGCACGCCGGCATCGCCCTCGGCTCCCAGTGCGCTCCTCGTCTCGTCGCGGCGGAGCTCAGCGGCTCCATGCTGCGTCTCCTCGTTGAGAACAAGGCGTTCCGCGAGCGAGCTCTGCGCTGGAAGCTGCGTTCGGAGCAGTCGGGAGGCACCAATGCCGCTGTGAGCATTCTCGAGTGAGTACAGTCGCGACCCCCCCCCCCCCTCTGCGAGTCGCGCCGAGCGGGCCTTTGCAGAGACAGCGGGCGCTTGGCTCATCAAGCGCGCTTCGAACGGACTTGCAGATCATACGCCGCTCGCAACACCTCCGCCTCGCTCGCCGTGCGCAAGGCCACGCCCGCGCTGTACGTCGAGGTCGCGGGCCTCCTCACGCCGCCGCTCTCGTCTGCCTCTTCGGCCGCCGGCACGCCGCGCGAGCTGTACGGCAGCCGCAGTGGCAGCCCCGCTGGCTCGCCGCTTCGTCGTCCCCAGCTGCTCCTGCACTAGCACTCTGCTACTTGCGCTCTCTCTCTCTCTCTGCATCCGGACAACCCTCGGGCG